GAGGCGTATCTCTCCGCCCGCCGCGAATACGACGAGGCTGTCAAGGCAGCCGACGAGGCCATCGACCACCACAAGCGGCTCCTACGCCAACGGGACGACCACGTCCTCACCGAGCTCATCCGGCTCGACAATCTGAAAGTTGCCCATCGCTTTCAACCGCTCTTACCACGCAGCATCCGGGCACGACACAACAAATTCATCCCACGCGCCATCCCCAACGCGTACTTACCCCTACCCGCACCCCTACCGACGTCTGCCTTCAGGCGCCCCCCGATCCCATCCCCTTTCCTCCAAGCAACGCCGCGGAGCACTACCATCCCGACTGACTGGCAACCCAACCCTGGTTGGACCCCGAAGGGAAGCTGCAGGCGATGCGGATCGTCTCGACACTGGGTACGGGACTGTCCGGACGTACGATGCGCAGGATGCGGAAAAGAAGCCCCTGGACACCTGGAGCGAGAGTGCGGAACCAGGCCGATGAAGCGACACGTATCCGCACCACCTGAAGAACCTGCGCGACGCGTGGGGGTGGTTGTCGACAACGTGTTCCTCGAAGGAATCATCAACGAGGCGAAGGAGAGGAAGGAGAAAGAAAGGCAGACAAAAGCGATACCCATCCCTCCACCGCGTAGCGCTAACCCCGAACCCCCAACCAGTCCCGTCGCGGGACCTTCGCGCCCCCGCCCCGATACACCCGTCGTCTTTCGCAAAGTCGATCCCGACTGGACACCGGACACCACTCAATGGACGTGGGACAGCTCCTGGCCGAATCAGAAGCACCTCTCTGGCGAGGAATGGATGAACGTAGGGAGGAACGCGCGCAAGGAGTGGTTCGACGAAGAGGAGGACGACGGCGTAGATTGGGAGTTGTATGGAGATGGTGAGCAGTAAGTAGTCGAATGGGACTTCGACTCTGGTAGGGGGGTAATGAAACATTCGTCTTTCCGTTCTATTCCTTGTACTACTAGCGCCCATACTGGCGCCTGTCTTAGCGCTCACCCGCAGGTTGAACATTATGTAGCTTACATAATGGGGTCCATGCGCACTTCGTCCCTGGTATCGTACCACTACGTTTCTTTCTTCACTAACGCGACCACATAGACACGATGGTCCGTGCGCAGTCGGTACTTGTATAAGTAGTTGTACCATTAGTCGGTCGAACCCTAAGTTCGACCTGGTTATTCATTCAAGTCTCTGCTCCTCTTCGCTTGGAGTAGTGGTCATTCTCGACTTCCTCGCTCGACCTTCAGGACGACGCACTGTCCATAAGTCCTCGCTCGTCGTCTACGAGTCAGGCATCGATACAGGAGTATAGACCGTTGTATCAAAGACTGTGCTTTGCGCTGACAGACTCGACCGGCACGCGACCAGCACGCGACCGGTGCCTTACGCCTCAGTAGGTATGTGACCCCACCGACTTGCTACCGTTGTTCTCCTCACGTCGCATCGGTTGGTTCTCCCAGCACCGTGTCAGCCTATTGCGAGAATCCAAACCCCGCCGCCCAATTTGATGCAAAGGACACAGATGGGGCAGCCATGCAGAGATTAATTTGGTATTTCTAGGTACGTCACGTCGTGCGGCCTTGGCCACTTACGCGTGGAATACTGATGATGCCGCCGTCCTCCAGTCTCACATGCAAGACCGTCCAGCGCACGTACACACAACACGAGCGTGGGGGTGGTCTGTGCATCAAGTTTTAGCATGCCGCCGGTACGCTATCGTGCCGCGCTCATGCTGACTTCTCTCATTCCGATTTGTGGCCGCGTTGTGGCCGCGGCCAGCGCGTTCGCAACCGGATGCGGTGCTCGCGGGTACACGACGATGCCGCGCGAGCACCCTTTTCAGTCTGTCCGGTCGGCGATTCACAGCCGTCCCGACGTATTTTACAGGGCCACTTGTCATGGGGCTGTCGAGAGGGAGGGGGCATCAAGACAATGAGGATGCACAATTGTACTTACGACATGAATTGCGTAGCGTTTCTCATGTAGCCGAGACGATGGGCGTCCGGTGACGCGGGAGAGCCGGGCGCGGAGGAAGACGTCGCCAGACCGCGCCCGCACGTTGAATTGCCGGCGACCGGCGTTCGTATGCACATTGCACGTACCGCAGAACGCGACGACCAAGCTGCCCGCAGCCTGTGCCATCCGTCTCAAGCAGTGGATGAGTGTGCCCCCGGCCGTTGATGCGCCGCCCTGTCCAGCGCTGATCCGCCCGTGATGCCAAGGTGCAGGCACGGCGCGGGATGTCTGTGTGCGGCCTGCCCGGCGTATGGGTGGAATGGATGCCGTCTCACGCCACAGCGGGTGCGGGATCTTGCGCGCATCAGGTCGTGCTCGTGTGATGACCCGCGACTGTTCCTCCGCTCGCGCTCGCGACAAGTCACGTTGACCGGCTGTCCCACGTACGCCGTGCGCCGCCTCTTGACCGTCGACGCATGAGGCACTGACGATGTCATCTTCAGGATCGCCGCGGGAGTCTTTGCCGGGTAGCACGACGCTGCGCAGTCTGCACGCGGAGCATTCTGCGGCGCGGCGTCTCGTGCTCTGTACGCGCTCGGTGTGCCGTCTTGGCGCATGAGCAACGGGCCACGATGCGTGTGCTGGTCAGAATCGCCCGCGCGCACCCTCAACAATATGCCGCTTGCTGGTGTCCCTATCGTGCTCAGGGGGAGGCGGCGTGAGCAGCGTGACGACATGAGAACGGATCAATAACGTTACAGCATGTATTCATTACCTGGTAGCTTATTTTCGCGTAGCTGAGACAATGGGCGCCCGGTGAGCGGGAGAGCTGCGCGCGGTTCCTGCGATCGGGGGAGGAGACGGGGGCCAGTGTGTGTGCGGCGACTAGACGCGAGGAAGATGGCGAGGTGTCAGACGCGCGCGCGTAAAGGAGCGGCGCGTTGCGCGACGCGAGCGCAAAGTGGGCGCGTCTCGGACTGGGCACCGGATGTCTGTGCGTGACCCTGCCGGTGTGCGGGTGTCGCCTTGCGCCACAGCGGGTGCATGGCCCTGTGACTCACTCTGACTCGCTTCTCTGTAACGTCCCGTCGACCGGCCGTCCCGCTTCCAGCTCACTCCAGGGTGGGCATCGCAGACCGCGCGCCGGGCAACCGTGCAGGTCGGATCCGTGTTGCCAGGTACGCCGCATGTTGGCTATGGATGCATGGAGTGCTGATGGCGCTGTATTCTAGACTCCCGCGCGAGGCCTCGTCTGGTAGCATAACTCTGCCCGGTCGCGCGCGTCCTAGGCAGGACACGAGCATCGCGCACGAACATCGTGGTACGTACCTGTGGTGTAGCTGAGACGACGGCGGTGGTGGCGGTGCAGGAGACTGACGTGCGCGCGTCGAGAGAACGGTAGCGGCGGCATATCAGACGGGTGCGCTGAAGAAGGGAAGAAGAGCGCGCAGTGCCAGGCTGTTCGGCGGCAGACGGTGGAGGCAGAGACAAGGAACGAGGGGTGGCGCACCATACGGTGACATTGCGCGAGGCCGTCGAGCGAGACGCGACGGGGAGGGAGATGGCGCGGACGTCGTCGACGGGAGCTGGGGACGGAGCGCGTCGAGACGGGGTGATAGAGCGTGCGAGATCGACGGCGCGATGCGGGGATGAAGAGGCGGCCGAGGATACGGCGTGCCAAGATGCGTGAATGGAGGGCGGGTGGATGCAGCGACGGGCATTGAGCTCACCTAGCATAGCGTGTTCCCTGGGTCCCCTTGACGGCGCTCGAGGCGACGGCATCGGGAAGTGGCAGGCGGAGCGCGTGTTGAGGACCGGGAGCGAGCGGGCATGAGTATTGCGCAACGGCGAGGTTTAGTCGGCGTACATTGTGGGTGTCCGGGCGTGCAGGCGCAGGCGAGCCATTGACCCGAAATCTGTAAAAACCCTACATTCCGCTCGTTTTGTGAATAAGTACACCCCGCGCATCATAGGTGAATGCCAGGGGCACTGACCTCGCCGTTTCTGCCTATGGCTGATTGTACCGGCCTGAAGAATCGGCGCGAGTTTCCGCACGCGTGTATGATGCTGATGTAGTAGTTCTGCTGCTGCTCGTCTGTGTGTCGTGCGCCGTCATCATCTGTCATGCTACATGAATCTGCTTCGATTGCTTCAAATGTTAGATTTCTGCGTGACCGCACAGGGCACCGTCTCCTAGAACAACGCAGCCTGCTGCTATTGCTACATGAACGCGCCATCATTTCACCCTCGTCACCATCATGTACTCTTCATTTAAGATCCCGCTGGCTCATTGTAATGCCCGCCGGAGTAGCGTACCATCTGACCTTGCTGCGCCGTCCAGTCCGATGTTCCCGCACCATGTGCGAGTCTCTGTCCGACTCTCCAGCGACACTGAACACCTGAACATCGACACGGGCACCGAACATCTGGCGACCTGCACGCCTGCTATGGCAGCCCGTAGCAATGCGAACAAGGACGGAGGCAGCCTTTGCTCGCGCGCGCGCGCGCGAGGCTGTCGCCTCTGGCGTGATCTCCCTTTCGAATGCTGGCGCGACTCCCGCCGCTGATGACCGTGCGCGCGAGCACGACCCCTATATTCTTTCAACGACATCTCTGCATGTCTGCCATGGTGCCGCCCTACCGAGGCGCACCGTCGGACCATGTCAGAAGGTGTTCCCGTGCCAACCGCATGCAACACGCCGGCCGCCTTGGCACCGCCGCCAAAGGTGACCCCGGCGCGCCCCAGGTGTGATATCGCTTCGCGACCGCGTCTCCACCCAACTCGCGCTGCTGATAGCCGTTGCGCCGTCTTGCTCGCACGCTTGCGGGATTCGCGGTCACACAGGATATCCTGTGTGTCCTCTTGGTGGAGGCGGCGTGCCGGTATTGTAGAGGACAAGGGCGAGCTTGCAAGCTTGCACCTTGCCTATCGCGCGACGCGCAGCATGCGCGTTCTCTGCCATGCAGTCCGCGCCGTGCCGTAGGCTCGCTCGCGACCGGGGACGCGAGCAAAGGGACGCTATTGTTGCATCCCCGGGGTCCGTGCGCAGACGTTTGGACATGCAGCACCCTGGCCAACAGTCGGGATCGCTTGCCAACACTTGCGGTCATTGCACGCGCAGGCAGCGCGCGGTCACAGTGTCCGGCGGCTGGACGCACAAACGTCGCGCCGGGCATCAAATATTTTCTCCCGGGAGCGGCCCCGGCCTCGCGAGTGGGTTGCCAGGGGGTACTGTCCGCGTCGCGCGTGCAAAGTGCACGCGTTTTGCCGTCCGCGAATTCTCTGCGCTTGAATACGCCGTCGCGGCGCACGAGATGGCGCTGCCCATCAGCGTCTCGACTCCCGCCGTCCCGATAGCGATAGCTATGCGCTGTCTCGCTTGCACGCGCGCGTATTCGCAGCCTAGCAGGCCCTCTTGGCAGAGGCCGACCGCGGTCATAGAGGGTGAGCGCGGGCTCGTCAGCTCGTCCCCCGCAGGGCAGACGGTGCGACATGCACAGTGCGTATCTACCGAGCAAACCGCGTCACGCTGTAGCGTTGCCCGGGACAGGGCCGTATGTGGACACCCGGACGTGCGGTCGCCAGGCCAGGGGGGTGGGGGCGTTTGCTAGCACTTGCGGTGGCAATCACGCGCTAATGACGGGCGGGCACGACGTCCCGTTGGCGGACGCACGAGTCTCGCTCTGCGCATGCAAGACTTCCCGGGAGCGACGCCGGCTCGCGCGCTGCCCCGCGGGTGGGCTGCCAGGCGGACGACCGTCCGCGCATATGAAATGCAGGACAGGACGCGGACGCGGACATGGGCGTGCGCGCGCGTCCTGCCATTGGCGTATTTTCCGTGCAGGGATGCACGTCTGGTCCGGTCCTGTGGTGGAAGGCGTCGCGGCGACGCGCGCGAAGCCCAGGCGAGCGCCCCGGCGGAGATGCGCGTAGCTCGGGTGCGGGTGTTGCGGGAGGATAGGCGAGCGGCTGCGTGAGGTACGCGGCGGGGCTGGGCGCCGTGACGCGGGGAAGGGAGCGTCCGTGCGTGGGTTCGCAATGCGGGAAGGGGGGTAGCGGGAAGGATATAAAGAGGGCCGGAGATGGGTGGAGGGTCGTCATCTCCTGGCCGTGAGTTTGTCGCTGTTGACTGGTATGGGTCTCGATGGTGTCTGCATACGGCACCTACGCCTGCTGTCTGTACTTTAGTGTCTGGACTGACCTTCATATGCTGCAGGTACGTGGGCCGACGTTGGAGGGCCCTGAAGAGCCATAGCGGTGAGCGCGGTCACCGGTCGACGTTGGTTTGATTGATGGTGTACTTACAGCGTGTGGAGTTGACAGTTGGTGGATGCAGGCGCGGGCGCGGGCGGGATGGACGGAGTGCTGGGGGAATGGAATTTGATGCGGCGGCGAGTGTTGCGTAGAGGTTCTGCGCATCGGCGTTATATTTCGTTAGCTGTGCCGATGCGCGTGTGAGCAAGCGATCAGAGTGTACATCAGCGTGCTTACGGGGCGCGCGTGCGGGCTGCAGGTCCTGGAGTTGTCGGGCTGCGATGAGGCTGCGGTAGGATGGCGGAGGATGCTGTCGCGACGGACAAGAAGTGCGGGCGAGCGCTCTGGCCGATACGCGCGGGCGGCGTGCGATGGACGGTGCAGCTGCACGAGTTCGGCGCAAATGAGCATGATACATCAATGCAAGGCGTGCGCGACTGCTGCAGCGGCGTGAGCAGACGACGGGCGAGCGGGCGCACCTTCAGCTGACGGCGAGGGCGGCCGAGAGGACGGATGCAGCGTACAGAGGGAAAAACGCACTGTTTCACGTCTCCGCAAGCAGCAAGGGTCTCCAGGAGCGCGCTGTCGATGTCGTGAATGGGAGACTTGAGGTGGCCCTTGATGACGCTGTGTGCGCCGTCCGGCGTGCGCACGCGGATCACGGGCGCGACGCCCTGCGCAACACGCTCGTCCCGGATGGATTAGTGCGCGCCCTCCGCGCGCGTCGCCCAGCCCGAACACGCTGCGCTTGACGCCCTCCAGCAGCTGCGCGCTGCGCCCGCGGCGACCGCCTTTACAAGCGCACGCCCGTTCTGCGCGAACTCGCCCTCCTTTGCGACGTCCGCGATCGTGACCGCGTCCACCGCCGCCGCCGCGCTTTGCTACTTTCTTGACCCGCCCGCCGTCGCTCGCTAACAGCACCGTCAGCGGCGGCGCGTCGATCGCAGGGAGCAGCTCCGTGTACGCCTTCTGCGCCCGCGCGCGGCATGCGTGGCTTCGCCGCTTGACGTCGCTCTCGGAGACGTCTCCGGCGTGACCGACGTGGTGAATAGCGCGGTGCGGGGAAGGAGGATGCATGGCGGCGTGTGTGCCAGCAAGCGGCAGTGGCGCGGCGTGGGGATGCGCGGATGCGGACGTGCGTGGGCTGTAGGCTGCAGACTGCGCGGGCTGGGATGCACGAGAAGTGGAGGTGAAGGGCGCGGCTGCGGCTGCACGAGGAGGACGCGGGCGCGCAACTGCAGCACGGATGTGCCAAGGCGGACGGGAGTGTTTTCAACCCCTGACAAGGCATGCCTGTGAGTGCGATCCACAGACGCAGCGTCCACGGTGGAACGAGCGATCAGGATGTAATGGTAGGCGACATACCGTATACCAGATGCGGGCGTGCGAGCGATCGGCGAGCGGACGCCAGTGGGACGCAGGACAGTGTGAGACGCAGCGAGCGCCGTGCGATGCAGAGCAGAGACGCAGCAAAAGACACCGGACACAGGCCAGGCGACCGAACGACGATCGCAGCCCGAGGACCGAGGACGTGTGTGCACGAGCGCTTGAGCATTCGAGAGACGATCACGAACTCGACACCCTCGATCTTGACGTCAGGGGTCCGATTCCGCGTCCGAACCTCAGGCTTCAGCTTCAGCTTCAGTGCTAATATATACTTGGCTTGTCTCTTGGGCTCTCTGTCCCGCCTTCAGTGCCTGCGCCCCTTTGGATCTCAAGTCTTTCCGCGCAGTAGTCTGGGTGCTATTGAGCCTGGTCTCATCGGAGCTCTCAAAGTGTCTTGGCGTCTTTGTCGTTGACTGCGTCTTTGTCGAGAACATATGGAACTCCCGGAAAAAGGAAGAACCTCTTTGTCCGACCTTGTCTGTTGACTATAGCTCTTGCTCGAACAACGGAATGCCACTGCCGCATGTCTGTGGCTATGCCACGTTCACCTGCTTTCATCCTCTGGGCTCTAACATATAAAGCATGAAGTCTATGGGCTTAGAGAACACTGTATCCTCAATTTCTTCCTCGCATCGCGACGTCTGGCCTTCTTACTTGGGTAGCACTTTCGGACAGACCAAGCCATGTCCTTTTTCATGCGGCCCACGCAGCCCACCGAGGACTCCCGAAACCACATTTCTCGTGGCATCCGGACGCAGCAGCAAAACAATCGTGCACAGCAGGCTCACACAGCAGCGGACATTGTCTCATTCCTGCCCGCATCGAGCTTCAATCCGCTGGCTGAACCCTTCGTCCCTGGAGCGTCTCGTATGCACACTTTGGCCGCGACACCGGTGCCACAACCATCTGTACAGCAGACTTCTGCGGCTACGGACGCCTCTCTTGTGATCAGATATGACTGGCTTCCAAGCCTGCGACTGGGATTAGCGGCCGTCCACCCGGAGTCACGGAGAGTCCTTGCACAGTCTATCGTCAGACTAAAGCCGTGGGCCCGGGACCCTGTCCGCGTAGCCATATTGTCCGCCAAGATAGCAAAGTGCGTCATCGAGGGTCACTACCCCAGCATGACGACAGTTGCGCAGTTCTCAAGCGAGCTTCACCAGCTTTTGCGGCAGGAGGAAGGTGGCCAGCTCGCGATGTATTTCAGACGCTGCCTTGAGCTCTACCTCTGCCGCTGCTTCGCCGAGTACTGCTATCCGGTGAGTTTTCCCGTGCATTGCGCGACGTGGCGTTCATGCTCCTTGCCGTGATCGCGCAGCTCTGTCAGCAGCCCCATGAGATATACTCCATGCGGGCGCCGGTTCGGTCTCGTGATGGTGAGGTGACACGCAGTAGAATCGAGTCGGCGCTGGCGCTGGCGGCGTACGTTGGCGGGCTCTTCGCACAGGATATGATCTCGGGCAGTCTCGCCCTCACTTGTCTGAACGCACTGGTCTCGCAGCCGTACGTCCTGGAGCACTTGCAGGCGATACACGCGCTCCTCTCACACGCTGGTCAGAAGCTGTGCAAGGCCGGCTCCCCAGATTATTGGGACAGTATCTCGAGTGTGGTGCGATGGCGGGCGACTCGGCTCCTGAACGATGCGAGTATGGCTAACGCATCCCTTGACCGAGGCCAAGTTCGGTCCTTCGTGCAGGTTCGTCCCCTCATGTGCGTTGGATGGCGTCCTCAGTTGACTGTGACTTTTCGGCATTCGGTAGGACATATGCGATATCACCGAGGAATGGTGGAAGCTGTCGCTTTCGGAGAACACTTTTGCCCGTCTAGCGGACGAGCTCGACCAGCAAACTGCCACAGCTCAAGGACTACAGGACGGACACAATATTACGAAAGGACAATGAATGCGTCGCTATCAAGCTCTGTGGCCGTTGATACTAGCGAGCGGTTGCTGCGTCTATGCGCACATCGGACTAGCGGTTCCGTCTTCATTCTCTGGGTTTCAGCCTCTAAGTTTTAGGGTTAAAGTGTCCGTTCCTTGTGTTTTGTCGTCTTAATATAAGTTTGCTTCATGTTTATTTATTTCGCGGGAGGACTAGTACTGCCTGTGCTCTCCGCTTTCACGGCGCAAGTACACTTATAAGGAGACCTCGACCGCCCTCATGAAGAGGAGAAAACGCTGGTCCATGTGCTCTCTGACGATGCTATAAGTCCGACTAGCCACAACCCCAGATACATACAGAGCGTTGGGAAAGCCTGCGTGAGCACGATCACGCTGGTCGGGTCGCGGTGATTGATCCCGACTTTCCTTTCCGCCGAGTGGTCCACCACCGATGTCCGATCGCGTCCCTTGGCCGTAGATGAGATGAATGGCCAGATGACGAAGGGTGAATGAGTGGGGCAGATCCTTGGTGTAATGCGCGAGCGTAAATAGGATGCGTCGGGGGCTCACACCTTCGAGAAGCCGAGACATTTGCATTGACAGTCGTGGACCTGATCCGGAGACGCCGAGTCTCGCTTGTCTGTGCCCGGGACGGGGCTTCCATTCTCATTTAGAATATGTCTTTCTGTTTCGGACTGCTTGCGATCTATTGCTATAGTGTGAGTGTGCGTCGTTCACTCCTCCTAGGTTCGGTATGATGTCGCTCGTGTCAAGGCCTCTCTGTGCTTATATAAACCAGCGTCGGCGTCGAGAAAATGTATCTTCCCTCTCTCCCTCGAACCACAATCACCTCGCACTCTCTCTGCGCTGGTACGGACGAGTGGCCCGTGAGTCACACGTACACGATGAGTGTTTCGTCCGGCTGTATCGTTGCTCGTGCGTGGTCATTCGGACACGCATCGTGATTGAGTCGTAGTATTCGATCGTTTCTATTCGAGCACGCGTTGGGGGGTTCCAGCAGATTATTTCCTTGCTGATATTGTCTCGCGAGCGCACATATACTAGTCTGTTTGTCGGCCAAAACTAACTTCATTTTATCATAGCTAGCTCACAGTCATCTCTCCCCTTCGACCAACTTCGGACATCGCTGCTCGCATTCCTCCCACACCGCGACTGAGCACAAGCGGGAGAAGTTGGCCCACTCAAACCGTCGCGGATGTGGTGTCGCGAGGGCCTCGGCAATATTGATAGACAACACCACAACGTGCATCAACGGGTGGCGGAAGGTGGCGGGGTGGCAGTGAGACGCCCGGTGGCGGTATCTCCGCGTGAGAACTGATCTGGTTCATCTCAAAGCAAACCAGACACCCGGGGCCGCGTCAGCGGCCTCTTGTTTCGACTCGGAATTCCGTCCCACAATCGCAGCCCTCCTTGTTTGAAGTCGTTTCTAGAACATCAACGTAACAGCCTCTTGACAAACAGTCGGAGGCAGCCTCTTAAAAACACTGCTAAAAACACTGCGGCCCTCTGCGCTGGTCCTCGCGAGTCAATTTCGTGGGCATTGCACCTGCGTTCGATGTCCGGTCCACATGGACTTATCGAAGAGACGATGGACCTACCTAATCAGTCTGCCTCTGGTCTATTTCCGTCGGTCGCCACGAGTGGGACACAAGGCATCGCAATTGTGAATCTTCGTTGTCTGAGCGCCACATTGCTGCCGCTGCCGCTTTGACGCTGTGTTATGAGGGGTATTTAGAGTTTTGTGGCGATCCCGACCTGGTGCCTACAACTCTCGCGTCCCTTCCTCTCACTTCCCCCCATCCACTTACTCTCCCTACCCGAGCCGCGCCTCCTGGACAGACAAACCCATGTCTCTCGACTCATCTCAACAAGAGCAGCCCATCTATTGTGCAGTCGGCAACGCAACACTCTACGATGATATGCGCCACAGTACCAGTGCGACAGCCTCTAGCTTCACTCAGCAGGCTGAACCATCAGACCTCAAAGCGTTCTTTGACGGTCCCAGTACTGCTCGCAGTCGAAATCCCCTGCATCATTCCCCCCTCGCGCACCATGCAGAGCATCTGCGCCACACTCACGGAGGCACGGGTCTGGCCCCGTCAGCCTTGGCGCACAGTGCCATCTCGAAACTTGAGCCATCATCCCGCACGCGGGGTTCAGCAGCAGCCATAGCGGTACAACCTCCAGAGCAGCATGAATGGTTTCAGAGTATGGCGATGGGAGTCGCAGCGATGCATGCCGATTCACGTGTAGTCCTCGCACAAGCTGTCTTCAGACAGAAGAAGAGCTGGAAGCGCAATGATCTAGATGTACTGGCGACGGTGTTGATTGACTACGTCGTCGAGGGGCCATGTTACAACATGGAGAGGGCGGCGCGGTTCACGTGCAAGCTCTATGAGTTTTTCCGCCACGACAAGGGCCGCGATCGCGCTGCACACTTCAAACGGCGTATTGAAGAACACGTCTATGCCAAGTTCACCCAGTATTGCGTTCCGGTGAGCATCACTTGCCAAGCATTTTGGCTGACGCTCTTAACCTCATGCCGTGTCACGCAGCTCTCCACATGTCAATCAAATAGCGCAAATAGCGCGCAGGTACTCTATTCAACAGCACCGGCCCCATCTGTCAATCCGAGGTTAGAAGCGAGAGCCAGGTCGGCGGTGCATCTGGCTGCGCTTGTCGGCGAACTCTTCGCAGATGGCATGGTCTCAAGTTGGCTGATCCTTTACTGCCTCAATTCGCTGGCTGCACAGACATACGTTCTGGAACACCTCGAGGCCATGCAAGATCTGCTCTCACATGCTGGCCACAAGCTGTATGAGGCGCCCGCCTCAGACTACTGGGACAAGTTCACGGTTGTGGTGCAGTGTCGAGCCGACGGACTTCTCAAGGGTGCGGGCGTGGCCGACAAAGCGGAAGACTGTGATAAGGCAAAAGGCCTCGTTCAGGTTCGTATTTTCGTCTGCGTGGATGAAGCTAGACGCTGATGCCTGTAATCCCGCAATGCAGAAAATCCGTGATATCGTCGAGGAATGGCGCAGGTTGAGCTCATGTTCTACTTCAGACGACTCTTCTAGCAGCACTTTGGTCGAGGAAGATGACGAATACATCTGGCCGCCTCGAACTCTGCCAAAGAAATGTTAGCAAGATGCTTAGTGGGGCCTAGTCTGGCGAAGGTGTTTGCAAAGTGGACGGTCTACTGTTGTTACCATATGAGCCATGATGATACCCTGGTCTCCCTCACACGATCGTGTTTTACCCTTCTGAGACTTGTAATATATACCCTTGCAGTTCTATCCAAGTTTCGTTTGCGGCTGGGCAAGACCGACTGTACGATGTATCTTGCTAAGACCGGGCGTCTAGTCAGTCGTAGATTAGATCGTGACCAAGTGAGAAGTCTCGAGTGACACCCGGGCCCGAACTCCTTCTCGTCCAAAACCCGGCTAGGATTTGTGTTTCCTCAAGCCAGTGAATATGTCGGAGGCACCCCCCCTCCCGAGTCTAGCGAGGAACAGCCACATCAAACATTGCAAGCTCTGTTTGTCTGGGCTCCCCTCGTCCCAGGTCGAGATGGATTCGTCCCGGTACGTTCTAAATAGACTCCTCTATCTCAGCGGCCTTCAATGGTTCCCTAGGGCGGCGGTCGGATTTTATTGTCTCGGAGCGTTAGACTTGCTTGGCGCGAAGATCACTGATGCAGATAGGGCGGCGTGGAGGAATTGGCTGTGGGCCCAGCAGACCAGTTCGTAGTTAGATCATAGCCCCGATAACGATTATGGACTAAAGGCCCATGTTGCTCATTCCCCATTCCCAACAGGAGGAAAGTATGGGACGGGCTTCAAGCCGAGTACATATATGACGCCCGGAAATGATTCGGTATGCTCAATCTCCGCGATTCATTCTCGAGCACGTTCTCACCCTCTGCGGTCGTTTTAGGAGGACTACTCCGAATACGACACGCCTCATCTGATTATGACCTACACTGCCATGCTTTCTCTGGCAGTTTTGCGTGATGATTTCGCCAGGCTCGATCGTCCCGGGATTCTTCATCTCATCCGTGCATGTCAGCGAGAAGACGGCAGGTAAATAAGTACACTATCCATCTGTCTGAAATCATTGTAAAACCCCGCACTCAACAGCTTTTCCGCGTTGCCGGTCGGCGGCGAGGCGGACCTTCGGACTGTCTACTGTGCATTCGTGATCAGCAGTCTGCTAGACGACTGGTCAGGAATGGACGTCGATAGTGCTATTGCGTATGTAAGACGATGTGAGGTACGCTTATTTCCTCACAGTAGCTACTGCGTCTTATATCTCAACTAGAGCCATGAAGGGGGATATGGCCAGACGCCATTCGGCGAAGCTCTAGGTCACGTCATCTGGCACGATAGCGTGCCGTTCCCCATTGACAGTCGACTACAGGCGGGACCACGTACTGTGCTGTCGCATGCCTCGAACTCGCGCCATCGACCGCGGCGTCGCCACGAGAAACTCGCATGTCGCCATCCCATCGCGAACGCACGATCCGCTGGCTCCTCCACAACCAGACCGCATCAGGTGGCTTCTGCGGGCGCACGAACAAGGCAGCGGATGCCTGCTATTGCTTCTGGTGCGGGGCTGCCTTGAGTGTGCGTTTGCTTGAGAGCGTGCATCTGAGCAGGGGTTAACAAGCGACTGCGTGCGTGTTGGCCGTAGATCCTGGGTGCGGCAGACCAAGTGGACTCGGCCGCGCTCGCGAGATTCCTCGCTGACTGCCAGTTCAAATTCGGTGGTATTGCGAAGGCGCCCTCCGAACGCTCAGGTTCCGCCATTTCAATTGTCCGTATCGAACATGCTGATCATGCGTCATAGATCCGTATCACACATACCTGTCCCTCGCGGCTCTTGCGATCTATCCGCCACCAGCCGCAGACGAAACATGGAAGCTGCCTTCTCTCAATGTGCTATGGAATGCGACCACAGAGACAGCACGTTGGGCACGAAAGCACATCCCTGCATCAAACTGACTCTCGTAGGAATGTCAAGCCATTCACATGAATATGTCCTTGCTGACGATGCCAGCTCACAGCTTACCAGGCCCAATGTATTTACTGATATGTGTAACAACACCGATACCATTCCAAGCCTTGCTTAGTATGTCCCTGTCACCACTCAAGGTACATAAGTGCTAGCGGCACTCATGAAGGTCCTCAAGACATTGTAGCAACTTAATCACAATCGACGGGGTGTTTACAATTATTGTATGTATGCTGTTACAGTCCTTCGTCGTACAGTTTCCTACACAGGGCGACGTAGAATCTCTCTAAGTCCATCTTAGTTGCTAAATCACTCTTCTCGGCCTGCTTCTCGTTTCTCTCTCTACCTGCCTTTGGTTCTGGTGGCGCACGCTTGTGCTCACGCTCTGAGGCATTGGACGACGTTCCCAGAGCGCGCGGAGATGGTACCTGTTCGACAATCCAGTCGAACACTGCTGACAGCTTATCTGTCGACGATTTGAGCACCTCATCCGCTTGTTCCTTCTCCGCGCCTGCCTGAGCGCCGAGCAGCTCGCGCGCCTTTGCCTCCTGATTCTTCTGCTCACTTACACCCACGCCTGCGCTTTTCGCCGCCGCCTTCTCCTCTCGCTTCCATGCACGCACGAACCGGCCCCAGTCCGTAAGATTCCATCCGTCGCCTGCCTCCTTCTGCTTGTCATCCTTCGCCTTGCTTCCGCCCAGTATATTCAGCCCCGGCACTGATACGGAGGGGAGGTCCACCTCGATTCCCCGCGCGCCACGCATGTCCCAGTGATCGCAGCCCTCGAGGACACCTAGAAACTGGCCCCAGCGCGCGCTCTGGATCGTGACGAGCGCGTCGTTGCCCCACTCCTCTTGCTGGGCCCACCGCGAGTCCCCCTCTCTCCGTGATCGCTCGCGCTCACGCTCCTCATACCCGTCAAGCACCATCTTTGGCAGCCACAACGGATGCCATATGTTGAGGTTGGCGATCCGCCCTGCTATGCTGAAATACTTCACCGATGGATGGTCCGGAGTATTCGGATTGAATATCGTGTTGAGGTATGTGGACGTAAGGTTCGCATATGCTGGCGAGTCGAGGAGAGATAGCAATAGCGTCGTGAATGAGGATGGGAGCGACGCCAATGACAGCGTCGACTTGGGCGTTGGTGTTTTCTCCCTTGCGTCCTGTGAAGCCTTCAGAGGGACTGCGTTTGGAGCGTCCTTCTCTGATGATGCTTCTGCGGCAAGGGCGGCTAGCTCTTTTTGACGGAGCCGTCCGATGCCAATGTTCTCCTGCAAGTTGGAGTGCTCTCAGTCGACCGCATTTCGCTGCTTAGGCTTACTCACCCTACACCAGTCCATAAACGGACTACCACGATGAGGGGTCGCAATAGTTGTCAGAGACAGCGGTGTGTACTCTGCCGGCTTGATGTGGGTGATCAAGTGCCGACAGTCAAGTCCGCCCATTGAGTGTGCCATGAAATTGATTCCTCGCCCAGGAGCTTTTCTGCTCAAGATTCTGTCCATGCTCTCCGCGCGCGACGCTATAGAGCCCGTGCTATACCCGGCCGCCTGTGAGCAGACGGTAGCAGGAAACAGACCCCACATACCTTGGTACTGCAGTCACGATGACTTCAGCTCCAACCCGATCTCTCAATATGCTTAAGACATTTGACCAATAATGTTGCTGGAGAATGGGGAATGCAGAGGGGCCGCGCACATCGAAGCCATACAGCCCTATGAATAGATTAGCGTGCACAAAGTCGCTTGAGGCATGTCGCATACCGTGGCAGAGAGCAATAGGATACCTTGGGCGTCTCACAGGATCATATAAGACCGGGCTGTTAAGTAAGCTGTGGATAGCATCGGGGGGTCGTTCCTTGCGCGGTACGTCGTGGATGTCAGGTAGGTCGCTGATGTCTCGCCAGTCTGTCACGTCTGCGGTCTTCGCATCAAGGGAAATACGACGTGAACTGTTAATCCACGTAGGCCATTGGAGAGATCTAAACGTTTCCCACAACTTCGTCGAATACTGTTGAGCATCATCCCCAGGTTGACTTGCGGGCTGGCCTCGGGGCTGGAGATAGTGGTGCGAAATGGAGAGCGTTGAGACTACGTTGACGACGCGGCGAAGGAGGACGACGACAGGAGCCGGCAGCCATAAACTCTGCATGTCGAGCACGATGGGGAGAAGAGCGAAGAGAACATCACCGCCGTTCCCTCGCCCCACCCCAGCGAAACGGATCTAATCAACTGCATCTCCGTTTTCGGACATTTCCATCGTTGTCTTATCTGTTGGTAAGTTAACTCCAAATGGAAAGTCCCAAGATTGAACGTTTGAACTTCGGTTGTCGGAAAGCTGAGCAACTTGAGGGCCTTTCACGATGGACATGGCCTTTCTCTAACGAGCAATGGTGATCGCGTTTGCACTTTATTCGACAAGGGAAACAATAGAGCCTTAGACTGGCCTTATACGCCTGCCGCCGAGCAAATACATCAGGTAGATCCCGATTCATACCCGGATTTGGTAGTTGTCGTGGTTCAACATTCGACCGTTTAGCTCTTGGTTTCTGACATTCACCATCTTGGTCTACCCAGTTCTTCTTGACTCTCCATTTGGGGCTACCCAGTTTCTCTCGACTCTCTCCTCCGTGATTTACCCTTCTTGACTGTCATGGAAATTGTGTCCGTCGGCACCGCAGTCAGTTCTATGAACGCGCATCAGCTAGCGTTGTTGCTGTCCGACAAGTTGTTCAAAGAAAGCCACATGTTCAGGTGCGCGCTGGACAGCAATATCATGCGCGACAGTCAATGAATGCTCTTTACACACAGCAAAGGGCTCGTAAGTTGCTTTCCGCTCCTGGACTGTAACGTGAATATTCAGGGATGAAAATGATAGCTCGAAGTACTCGAGCGTATTGTGATCGGTTCTCTGTCTACGATCCGCCGACGAATGAACGGTAGACAACCCATCAACCGCTTGCCCCTAGAAATACTCGGGCTTATTTTCAGATATGTCCCATCCTGTCCGGCCTTCCAGTTCTCGAAAGGGGCGCTCTTCATGTGGCCGGAGAACGCTATCGCCGTGACTTCAGAGCTGGTTGAGCTCACCCGCGTCTGCCGTCACTGGCGCGACGTCTCGCTTGAACTGGGTTCTTTATGGACGAATTACCAGGATGGCATGCACTATCCTGATCAGTTCCTCAAACGCTCTGGTGCAGCATTGCTGAAGGTGTCTATCAGAGGCTTGCCTAGTCCCCGCGCGGTTGACCTGCTCGGCTCGGATGGGTCGCGCATACAGGAGCTGTATCTACTGGACGTAAACGATATGTTCAGCAAGGGTGAAGGTATCCAGAAGTATACCGCTTTCACAGCGACCCGACTGGAACACCTCACGCTGGCTACGGACGGCGATAGGAAGGATTACAACATCAACCCCGATATTTTTGCTGGCGCGGCACCCAGACTTCGTTCTCTCACTATTCAGTCACTCACTTGGCTACCTCGGAACCAATTCTTCAACCTGACTCAGTTATGCATTTATGATCGTCGACGCGGGGGGCCAAACTACGAGTCATTTAGGACTGCCTATCAACTCTCAGATTTTATGAAATTTCTGGCCGGTTGTCCTAAGCTTGAAGACCTCACCTTAGTGGATATCTGGTTTGATACTCGCGGATCTTCAGATGGTGGGCTATCTGCGATCTCTCTGAATAGTCTGCGCAGACTCGCATTGGGCAAGATGATACCGCCGCAAGTCTTGACTCTTCTCTCCCACGTCGCCAACTCTGCTGGTATAGCAACTCGCGTCTTCGGAATGAGCTGTGGCGACCGCGATTTTCTTCCTCAACTGGCGAACTTGATCCCCGTGCACGGCATGAAAAGGCTTCAGCTGTCTGTTGGTCCGGGAAGGTCTTTCATCTTCGCGCCGACAACATCCTCCCGCGGGGCGCGAGTCGAGTTCAACCAATGCACCGGGGCCTGTGCTCATTGCGGAGAATGGATCAACGCCCTTTGGTCCAAGTGGCCATTGCTATCAGTCCGAGAGCTCTGGATGACCGACCGAATTATCCTGTCGAGATACAACAGCTCTGATCGACTCCTGCGCACCCTCCCCAACGTGACGGCGCTCGTAATCACACAGCTCGAAACGGACGAGCAGAGGCGCAAGAACTTCATGGCCGAATTCGACCGTCTTATTGTTGCGCTGACGACGTCACGAAACGCTCCAGCAGACTCGGTACTGTATATGCCTCATCTTGCTGTTGTGCATCTCTGGTTCTGTGGACAACCTGTAGACCCTTCGCTGCTCATCAAGTTTTCTGCAGCTCGAGCGCAATTGGGGCATCCTATACGACAACTGATAGTGGAGTTCGCCTCGCCGCATAGCTCATTCGACTCGGCTTTGTCTGTACTCAGAAACCACGTTGGCCGCGTCGACATTCGCGTGTCCAAGAAACCGCCTTCTAGAGATCTGCCTGTCGCCTGCACAACTGGAGTTCACGAGTTCTGGCCGTCTTGGTAGTTGGCGCACTGACAATGATGTGTTTTCTTTGATTGATTTTCTCGTATTGTTATCTTTTTGTAACGATGTTGTCTTGTTATCGAATTCATGTAGCCATAGAAAGTCTGTAAAATGAATTGCCATCTCATGCAGTCTACCATGGCAAGGTCTAATAATGTATGCCTCTGGATAGGTCGAATGCAGCTGATCGGAGATGATCGGCAACTGGACCCCTGCGCGATTATTTCGAGCGGAGTTTAAATCATCGTCATCTGCCTTCGCCGACCGAGATTCCCCGAGCAACGTTTGTCTCGGTGACGAACCCTTCTTACTCGACGACCTTGATGGTTTCAAGAACGCTTTCCGCCTCCCTCGGGCGTGCTCTTCGCGGCGCAGCGCGCACTCCGGTATGTCTGCGGTGAGATTGCACGGTAGAATGGCTCTTGACATCCCCTCCAGCGATCATTGCGGTCGTTTGCGACGGCAGTCAACATTCCCAGCCCTATTACAGAGTCCACGACACTGTCTAATGGCCTGACTGTCGCGACGGAATCAAATCCTCACGCGCAGACTGCAACGGTTGGTGTGTGGATCGACGCGGGCTCGAGGGCAGAGACGGACAAGACGAATGGCACCGCGCACTTCCTCGAGCATATGGCCTTCAAGGGCACGAACCGCCGCTCTCAGCATGCACTAGAGCTTGAGGTTGAGAACATCGGTGCGCACCTCAACGCGTACACGTCTCGCGAGCAGACAGTCTACTACGCCAAGAGCTTCCGCAAGGACGTCGGTACGGCGGTGGACATCATCAGCGACATTCTGCAGAACTCGAAGCTCGAGAACACTGCCATCGAGCGAGAGCGCGATGTCATTCTCCGCGAGCAGCAGGAGGTCGACAAGCAGATGGAGGAAGTTGTTTTCGACCACCTCCACTCCGTCGCGTTCGCGGGTCAACCCTTGGGCAGAACCATCCTCGGCCCCAAGCAGAACATCCTTTCCATCAGCCGTGATGACCTCGCATCCTACATCCAGACCAACTACACTGCGGACCGCATGGTTCTTGTCGGCACTGGCGGTGTTGACCACCAGGAGCTTGTGAAGCTCGCGGAGAAACACTTCTCTGGCCTCCCCGTCTCGTCCAACCCCATCCCCCTCGGACGTCTAGCCCATCCCAAGACGAAGTTCGTCGGTCAGGAAGTACGGATACGCGATGACACCATGCCCACCGCGCACATTGCCATCGCCGTGGAGGGTGTTGGCTGGAGCTCACCTGACTACTTCCCCATGCTCGTCATGCAATCGATCTTCGGCAACTGGGACCGTTCACTCGGTGCCGCTGGCCTGATGTCGTCACGTCTGTCCCATATCATTTCGTCGAACAACCTTGCGAACAGCTACATGTCGTTCTCGACTTCCTACTCTGACACTGGTCTCTGGGGCATCTACCTCGTGACGGAGAACTACATGAATATGGATGACCTCGCACACTTCACGCTCAAGGAGTGGACGCGGATGTCAATCGGCCCGACGGAGGTTGAGGTAGAGCGTGCGAAGAGCCAGCTGAAGGCCAGCTTGCTCCTTAGCTTGGATGGCTCCACTGCCGTTGCGGAGGATATTGGGCGACAGCTTGTGACGAGCGGCCGCCGCATGACGCCCAAGCAGATCGAGCATGCGGTCGACGCAGTCACTCCTGCGGAGATTAAGCGGGTAGCGCAGAAATACCTGTGGGATCAGGATGTGAGTATCGCAATCTCCTCCATTTCGTGCGAATATTGTTGCTCACCTACGTGCTAGATCGCCATAACTGCTATGGGTCCTATTGAGGGCCTGCTAGACTACAACCGTATCCGTGCTGACATGTCATCGTTGCTGTACTAGACGAGGTTAGCATGCATGGCACTCTCGCTCATTATATATATCGCTAATAGCAGTGATTCACAGGGACATTGAGGGATAGACGTAAAAGTAGTCGCTACTTCCACTTTTTGTCACTAGATAGGGAAGTGGGGTTAATTCTTTGCCGCCTTGTCGTGTGCCTTTGGTGAGGATGCAATCGTCCACGCTGGTTTCACCTTGTGTACCACTTCTTCGTGTCCTCCGTAGCTGCACGGGTGCACTTCATTGTAGCCAATATCATCATCTAACTCCAGTGACCCTATAGCAGCGCGTCTTCATCACTGTGCAAAAATCAGGTCAGTCTTCTGTCGATATTTGGTCTTCCAGAGAATTCGTGACAGGTGACCTCCAAGCAGACTTGCATCGACTTGCTCTGCTGGTTGTGGGGATTACTGTGGGTCCGGAACGCTGATTTCTCTTTAGTTCTGCGATGTCAGAAGTTGCTCTGCTCGCATGTCATTAAGAGAGTCGGCCTATGTCTCTCGCAGACACCTGCAAGGTATTGTAAGGCTTCACTTCATTCGATTGCACGAAGAATACATTGAAGCAGTTCGCGTGGAATTAGAGGGCAGCTCCTCATCAGCTCTCGCACAGGAAATTGAACATGTCTGTTCCTACAGCCGTGCTGGCACAGGTTAGTGAAGACACATTGCAGCCAAAGCCCATCAGCTTAGGAAAACATATGTAGGCGTGATCCTAGAGGTCGTTTACTCTGATAGGTCCGTCATTCCTTCGGCATCTGCTGCAAGCGAACGTCGGCGGCATATTTAACAAAAGCATCGACGTGAACATTTCGACCACCGTCATGCATGTCTGGTCTGGTGTCTTGACTCTACATCCGATACACGACCCAAGTGCATTCTACGATCACGCGTAAGTTCGCCCCAACTCGTCTTGATGCCAATGGTATTCATGCAGTCCGCATTAGATCATAACCAACACAGTGAAGCAATGAAGGCTGAAGCACCCGCATGGTCGGGAAATGAGCGCTCGGAATCCTGTGAACTATCGTTTGTTGAAACCACGGCTCGGTTCACTGCATCCTTCTTTTGCGTTAGCTGCTTTGGACCACTACACCCGTCTTCCATTCTCATCTTGTACCATCCCAGGTTTATTCCTCCGTCTCGAATCGCAGACGGGGACCCTTCGAAGGTCACGTATCCTGTTATATGAACGACGTCGCTTCCAGCAATGATTACTCCACTCTGCAGCTGTTATCTGGCGGTCTCGCTAACGCTGAAGTCAGCACGTTTTACATATGCTGGTCAAATTTGTTCCAATGGGACATGTAAGTGCCAACTTCAGCACGGCTAGGTAAACTTAGAATTTGATTGACATATCTTGTGCAACAACACGCTCTGGCCATGCCCGCGCCTATATAAATCTGGCAGATCGAAGCCAAGTTGCATATCACATCACACATCCCTAATGCACAATCTAGTACCAATTACGCTCTGGATAGAGAAGAGGATATGTGTTTCTGGAGGAATAGTAGAAGGCATCGTCAAGCTCAACTTCGTGCGGCTCCAAGAGGAGCATGTAGACGAAGTCCGGGTAGAATTGAAGGGTAGTGCGAACACGTACGTCATATCAGCATCCTGTCGCATTTGTAGTTTCGTTATTCGAACACTGGCATAGTCTTGTTCAGGTTGGCCTCGGATCGCCACAAGAGCACCACGGACTTGTCGACTTGAAACTTTCCGTCTGGACTCGAGGATCTGCTTTTCCACCTCCAGGCTCCCACTTCCTGATCTTACCCTTCCAATTTGAGCTACCATACGGCCTTCCACCCTCGATAGTCCAAGCTGTTATAGGCGGTAAGGCCGATATTGTTTATAAAGTAGAGGCGATCGGCGTCCGCTCGGCAGTGCTTCACTCCAACCTCCGAACATCATTGCATATCGCCGTAGTGCCTCCGGATCCCAACGGTATACAGCTCCGGTCGAATTTAGAAGCCGGGTGGAATGGCCACTGGACGACTGCAACGGAGCACAAGAAGATGCGCAGAGACTTCTGGGGTGCCTATGCCGAAGTGAAGATGGAGGTGAATGTCTGAAATGATTGGGATCGAGCAGTATTCATTGTATGACTGCAGTTCGTGCGTCCCATGCTTCCTGGGATACCATTGTTCACAAAAATTCCCTTCATTGTCTCCATTACAACCTGGAGCAAGCCCACTAAACATGACGATGAGCATACATGGCCTGTTCTACCGACGGAGCCGAGGCAGGTCCGCTTTGAGTTGCGACAACGGGTCGCCATCAGCGCGCAAGCCAGACAGAATCCGCCTGGAGTGCGCGTGTTGCCCCTTGGAGATGTATGGGATTCCCCTCGACATGTCAAGACAGAGACATCTGAGCGAGAGTGGATACCGACGACTACAGATCCTACCGTTGGCTGTTGGAAGCAAGAGGTGGCTTTCGGCTCGGTTTTCAAGCTCAAGTGCACGCCAAGTTTCAATGAAAGTTATCTCATCGTCCATGTGCGCGCAGGTGTTGTTGTAGCTTAGTATGCATTGGGTCTAATCTATTTTGGTCATCTTAGCATCATCTACATCTGCAAGTGAATTTTGGCGGCATGTTTAACACCATCAGCATGGACATTCCGATTACCGTGTTATCTGGCATGGTGGCTCACCAACTTGGATCTGCGCCTCATGTGCCCGAACCTGCTGAGCTGGATCTTCCTCCGTAAACTCATTCACGATATGAGTAGATTCCATCTAATTGTCATCTTCGCGCAGCTCGTACTGGACGGCGACGTACAATGCTGGATATTTACGCGCACCTTCAGAGAAGACTTGAGCACTTAATCTTATCGACAACCTGTATGTGCCACTTCGCGCTCACGCACTCGATTACGCCCTCATCCGGTCCCGTTTCATATGACAGCCCAAGGATAGAACGACTCACTACCCTCCACTCCTGCACACGTACGATAGCTCGCTCGCGTTCATTCTCCTCTATGCTACCGGACAGCCAACGACCCCCTTTTTACTTCGCTTCAAACTACACACCCATATATTATCCGGCATAGGGCGACGCCCTCCAGCGAATATAAAACTGGATTTCTGTCTGAAAAACCTGTAAGTGTGTACGGTTGAGGGTGGAGACGATCGACATCACGGTAGTGTAGTCCGGACCCTCCTTCACGGCACCTCGGCCGCCTTTGACATATCTTGTTCCCTTGATACAACTCCGTTAGGAAACTCACGATCTTGGTAGCATAGACATTCTTGTGAGACTGCTACCTGTTAGCACCCTTGATATCTTGTATAATCCTATTGCAAAAGTTGTAGATAGTGACCTTAAGCAGATCGTGATCCACTATGGTTAGGTCTCATACTGTGTTAGGGTTAAGCCGGCGATCACCCATCAATGCATCATTACCGATCGGTACCGCGGCGAATCTGGTTACCTTAATTAACAGCGACCTTATTTATCAGTGAATTATCGGTAATTTATCTAGGTCGGAAACATGGGTGTTAATCTGGGTCAATCTGGGAGTGTTCCTCGCCGACAAGTCTGTTGATCTGACTGCTGGATTCCTGCGGGATGTTCTGGCTGATAGTGCGGTCGAAGTTCGCGCGGAGGACCTGGACTGGTAATTGACGGTCAATGCTGAGATTTACCGCTTTAGGCTGCTAATTAACGTTAATAAGCACTTGAACCTCTAATAGACTGACTGCTAATTTAAAGTAAATTAGGAAGCAATTCCAGATTCACCGCGCCCTACTCTTGATCCAGGCTCTGAATTTCTCGTCGTTGGCTTCCTATTCTCTGTTTCTATCCTCCGGAGAGATGAGGCCTTCTGCAGCACGCCTGCTGAACATCTTGGTGCCCATAAAACGGCATGTTTGATTCACATGTGCAAATATTACAGTTGTTCTAAGAGTGGTGCAGGACAGTCGACTATGCGGTCAAGATTCGTGTCAACCCTGACCAGAAGGGCATTGACCTTAGTGTAAAACACTCTATGGTACGCATGCCTGCTGCTGTGCTCTTACTACTGGGCTTTACTGTTGCCACATAGAACCCGTTCGACGAGATCGGTTCGTAAGCCGCGACCTTCCCGCTCTGCTTCACGGAGTCGCTCACGGGATGCTGCTATAGCGGTGGAGGAAGCTGTGCGTCTCCGTGAACGCCTCAAAGACACCGTCAAGTCTATCAAGGTCGTCACCATCGGCCCGCCCAAGGCGTCTGAGACGCTGCGCACGGCGCTCGCGATGGGTGCGGACGCGGGCATCCATGTCGAGGTGCCCGAGAGCGCACCAGCGCCGGAGCCGCTCGGCGTAGCGAAAGCGCTGCGCGCGGTCATCCAGCGCGAGAAGGAAGGCGTAGACCTGGTGATTATGGGCAAGCAAGCGATCGACGACGACGCAGGGCAGACGGGACAGATACTCGCCGGGCTGATGGACTGGGCGCAAGCGACGTTTGCGAGCAAGGTCGAGGTGGACGTGGGGAAGAAGCAGGCGAATGTGACACGAGAGATTGACGGAGGGCTGCAGGAGTTGCAGTGCCGGTTGCCTTTGATTGTGACGACGGATCTCCGGTGAGCGAGGTTTACTCTTGGTGAGGGAAGGTGTGGATTGACTAACGTATTTGCGTTCAGTCTGAATGGTACGTCACATCCGGGTTCATTAGCAGTTGTCGTCGTTTACTGATGTGGTGCACAGAACCTCGCTATGCGTCACTGCCAAACATCATGAAGGCCAAGAAGAAGCCCATTGAGAAGCTGACACCAGCAGATCTCCAAGTGGACCTCACACCCCGTCTGGAGACCATCAAGGTGGCAGAACCGCCAAAACGGCTGGGTGGTGGCAAGGTCAGTGATCTCGCTTCCGGATTTTGCTCGTCTCGCTCATTGATATCGTCTTAGGTCGAGAACGTCGACCAGTTGATAGCCAAGCTAAAGGAGGCCGGAATCACGGCGGTTGCTCCGTAATCCATACACCTCGGTCATCGTGTCACGTACACTGTCCCGCACAGCGTGCACAGAGCGTAATGATCACGACAGCGTTCTGCATCCATGCTTCGGGGGTATCAAACATCCAGTGATTAATGTGTAAATAGACATTCTGCAAGGAGATGCGCGGCGCTCCCGGTAGCGGGAGGCCCGAGCGCCTGAAGGGCTATTCTCGAGCACACGCCCACCACATGTTTCTCCCTTTGATGAGAACTTCCGGGCTTCTGCAATACAATACACTCCGACGTGCTTCTTGTACTTGGCGTCATCCTTTCACTATGGGTCGTACTGCTGGATAGCTTCGCTTTATCGCGAACAAAAGTCTATGTTCCCCGTCGTAGGCGCACCCACTTCGGCACGAAACAACGCGACAGTCGTGCCTGCAGCTCCAAGATGTTTTCCGAGTCGGGTCGTTTCCAGAAGTGACAAGGGCGTATCATGGCCACTGCAATTCGGAATTGACCAGATGAACAAGTACTGGCCCCAAGCGGGCTGCGCCGACGCCAGTCGCCCCGCGTCCTCAGCCTCGCACGCCATGTTTGCCACATCTGCATTTATGACCTCGCCCGCAGCAACCCAGAGCCCCTTTGACTTGCCAGCTTCGCCAGGTCCCTCGCGTGCCTCCGCCCAGCGACCCAAGACGCGCGACGACGAGCTGTGCCAGGGGTCTGACGGTCAGGAGACGGTATCGGACAACGCACAGTCGACGGAGCCTACTGTAGACATCACCACCGACGGCGGACGGCGGCGCCGACGAAGACGGCGCGAGGGGGTCGCGGCGCTGTGGCACAAGTGGAACCCGGCGCTGACGTTGGAGAACTCGGGGAGCGTCGCGCGGGACCACCTCGCGGTCGAGCGTACGTTCCTCGCGTACGTGCGGACGAGCCTCGCGATTGCGTCGACAGGCGTCGGTGCGTGTGTTCTTTTGTTGTCCGTTCGAGCTCTGGCTCATTCAGAGCTGTCCTTATCCTGGTGGCGCTGCAGCGCTTGTACAGCTGTTCACTATCGCGAGCACGTCGAACGAGAGGCTACAGAAGTACACTCGTCCCCTGGGCGCGACGATTATCATCATCGGCCTGTGCACGCTCGTCATTGGCGTTGTGCGGTACTTTACCATCCAGTCGCTGCTCCTGAAGGGGCTGTACCCTGCTGCCCGCATGGTCGCGGTCGCCATTGCACTCGCGCTATGTGCCATCATCATTGCCGTCTTCGGTATATTGGTCGGGAATCGTTAACGCATCACAGCGGGCCATATCACCACTTCCTCTACCTCGACTCGGACGTCTGGCCATGTGTTCTTAACCACCACGGGTTCGAAGGTGGTGTATCCATATTCTAGTGGACCCTGCACTACTAGTCAGCTGTATCAGCATAGATGTGTGTACGACCTTATGTACGACCCGTCACGATCTTGTACTCACGCATATATTCGGCTATCACTCCCTCTCAATGGTTTCTGGCAGTCTGCATGGTCCTCGAGAGTGAATTGAATGATACTACGACGCAGGCAACGACAGGCTATCTAACTTCCCCATCACGACGTACGCAAACATAAATGTTTGTGTTAGTCGTCCCTCCAGGCAACTTGCCCTGCCGCCCAGCGATCGCCCCATATGACGCGCTTGTGGTATACCTTCCTGAGCTCTCTGAACTCCCGCACGAAATCGTCAATGTTCCTGCTGTTCATGCCTGCAATGGTGGGCTCAACCGAGGATGCTTGCACGAATTCAATTGCTCGGGCCTCTGATGTGTCGTCTTGCGCGGTCGTAGCATGCCTTAATCGCATTAGAAGGAATTGAGGGGTAAAACGCTGTCTGCGCCTTCAGACGACGATCCCCACATCCCACATGCGATTGACAGGACGGACCTGGTAGACCTCTTTCTGCTCTTTCTCTACTTCTTTCCACTTCGCCTCGAGGTCCCGCGCTTCGTTGAACGCCTCCTCTGTTTCGCTCCTGAGCTGGTAGAGCGACTCCTGTAGCGCGAGGTTGTTCTCTGACGGCTGCTTAAAGCAATACTGGCAGTGGCTGCAGCAGGAAAGTACACACTTGCAATCGTCTCGTTGGCGTTCCCAAGCTCTGCCTGGGCGCGGTATAGGGCCTCCACTTGGTTCAGGGAATGAAACACAGCCTGGAAGTAGACCGGGTCGACGAGAAGTTCTTGCAGGTCATCCCGTCTGTGGTTTACTCCAGTCTGAGCAACTGGTCTCTCTCAGGACAGTGCCGCGCTCACGATAGGTGAGAGAGCTCAGGCAATTCAGCTAGCAATGGGGTCGACATCATGCAAGTCTTTGCATAAGTTCTAGCGGTGGGTTTGACGCCCAATCAACGCTCGGGACGAGCGCCTCCTGTAGGCTCCTGTACCTGGTCTGCCAAGTTGGTCACCAGGACGCTAGCATGGCATTGGTGCTCAACATCTTGTAGGTTCTTGAGCGCATAGAAGGTGTTGTCTGTGACTCTCGTCGAATTCTCTGTAGAGAAACTCCTTGCACTTTCTCATTGTTACACCCAGCTCAGGCTGATTGCGTGTCAGGGCTCGGTTCACCAGGAAGTGTCAAAGCGACTACACTCATCGTTATCCAGGCACCTCATCTCCAAGGGCTATATTTTTTGCGGGTCTTCATTCGTGAATATACCATCGCCCCTCGCGTGATTTTAAGAAGAGGTGAGCTTCAGTCGCTGTCCTTTTGCCAGACTATACCGCGTTCTTGCTGAACATAGCCAACTCGAACCGAGGTGACATATATGAAGGCCTCTATTGGACAAAATTACTTACCCAGGTATAACCACGTTGGCCACTTTTGTCCGATATGGGCCCGCAAAGACCTAGCCAACAGCAATCCAGCGATCAGCGTCTTTGCTTTATGAACAATAAATCAGGCTGAACTCTTCAGACAGTCTTCCACGGTTAGCGCTGCGAGATGCGAAGTGCTATAAACTCAGGTAAAATATTGATTGTGTCAATTAATGCGAGAGGCATCTACTGCTCCATCGAATGAAGTTGAATAAATACAGACGTTCCAACTTGTTGTGGCGCGAAGAAGTAAGCATCGCCGCAGCATGGCCATATGGATTGTTTCATTCTTAGCGCATCTGATGGCCACGAGCTATTTATAATACATGAACCATAGAACCAATCCGCCTCGTCATCTCGAACACGAGCCATTTGTTGCTGTGGCCCGCGTGCCTCTTCTTTATCTCTGATCATCTCTTCTCGCCCTCACTCATCGACCACAACTCCTCCATCTCACATACAATGGGTCAAGGCGGAAAACTCATTCTCATAAATGGTACGCCATACGCATGGGAGCTCACCTATGAGCATAGCTATCAAATGAAATCATGGCCGTTCAAGGACTTCTCCACGATACCCGCTTGTAAGTCGTTCTCATTGTACTTCCAAGCGGGGCTAATCATCACCCCAGACTCCTCCGTCTCGATCTATGTGGAATGGGTTGGCGACATCTTCGAGGATGTGAATGACGACTCGGGGGATGCCACATACACCCTTTCCGGTACATCGTATTCCTTTCAGATCCAAGCGCGTTGGCGATTCCTGCAGGTGCAGCTTCAGACCATGGCGACCGTGGGAAACGCTCAGGGCAGCACGATCGGCCTTGGCTGGAAGCACAATGGCATCGTACCTTTTATCTTATCTGGAAGCGAGGGCGGTTTCTCGTCTTCCAACCCGCCATCGGCATGGATGCAGAGCAACATCGCGAGACTTGGGCCACACCCGCTCCGCCACCTCTGCATTCCTGGATCACATGACTCCGGAATGTACAGACTCACCGGCGGTACTGCCTTCTCCAATACGTCCAACACGATCACTCAGACGTTCTCGATCGGAGATCAGCTCAATCGTGGAGTACGCTACTTCGATTGTCGTCCTGTTTTGAGCGGGAGACAATACGTTTCGGGCCACTACTCTGACCTAGCGCATCCGCTGGGGTGGCAGGGAGGGAATGGGGAGTTCTTCGTGGATATCGTCTCGCAGATCAACAATTTCACCAATTCGAACAAGGAGCTCATCATCTTCAACTTGTCCCACGATCGCAACACGAGCGCAGGGCGTGACTACAAAGCGTTCAATCAAGAAGAATGGGACGACTTGTTCAAGCTTCTGACGGGCATCAATCACCTCTACGTCGCCTCGAATCCGGATACCGTCGACCTCACCTTACTCCCCCTCGGCGAGTTCATTGGCAATGGCGAAGCAGCGGTTGTCGTCATCATCCAGCCCGACGACAATACCGTCACACTGGGTGACTACGCCAACCTCGGGTTTTACACCTACGCGCAACTGGACGCCTACAACTCGTACTCGAATACCGAGCACAACGACGAGATGTCCCGCGATCAACTGCAGAAAATGCGGGAGGTGAGAACGGACCCGGATGCGCAGTGGTTCCTGTTGTCATGGACCCTGACGCTGAACGCGGCATCCGCGGTGACGGGTGTACCCACGATCCTCGAGCTGGCTCAAAAGGCTGCGGCGAGCCTGTACACGGACGTGTACTCCGCATGCACTCCCGCCACATATCCGAACATCCTATACCTGGACGCCTGGCAAAGCTCGGACCCGACGGCATTGGCCATGGCGATCAATGACACAGTGAATGAATTGTAGTGTGTTTGTGAAGGTTTTCATGTCTTTCTCGTGGATTGGACGGGGAATTTCGTGCAGTTGTTCGGATCTAGGGTTGCTGTTTGTCTCCGATGATGTTTGGATCTGACGTCTGATAACGTATCTCTTGGATAGGCCGACTGTCATACTCTGCGTAGTTTGAGTGCAACATTGCTTATTTGTGTTCTGTCATGTTCTTCAATTGCGGCGCCATTCTTTTCAGGGTCTGACAATTGAGAAAGATCATGTGCGCTAGCGAAAGCAGACCGAGTACGCTTCTCGGCCTCTCAACCTTCGCATATCGTGTGCATCAAGTGCATGTGCATGGTATTGTACACAACATCATATCTCTGTCCGACCATCGCAAACAATTTCTAGTATGCTGTACGTGCCATTGGTCCCATGACGGTGGTGACCGTCGTCGCCGTCGTCGTCGTCGTTCTGATGGTAGTAATGCGATAATCGTCTTTGGTCTCCATGACGGTCTCGGTAACTGACGGCTTGGATTGACTTTGTGAATACTTTAGCTTCTCCTCTTGACAAACCAATCTCCAGATTTGACAAGACTCCCGCGGCTTGATTTTCATCAGTTGAAGCTGTGGAGAGATCTAAAGGTGAGCTCATAGGCTTAGCTGATAGCACCCCCACCGACACTTGCCTTCGTTCCAGGAGCGGCGTTTCCCCAGTCTGCCAAGTCGAGAACGAAATCAGTGTTCGGCCAGTAGATCCTGGGGAACACCTATAAGAAAGTCACAGGCTGGCATTCAAACATGTTAGCACTCACTGAATAGTTCCTTCGTCTACTGGACGCACGTCCCAGCTTACTGGAAATGGGGTAGCAATGACGGGTGCATGATCCTGGAGTGCCTGCACGGTCAAGTACAAGCCGCAATCGTATTTGTCGGAAAGCCAGACGGATCGGATGGCATAGCCGTTGCCACTCAGTATGAACTCCCACTGATGGTGCAATCAGAATCAGCCCCGGAGGAGTATAGAAAACACATACTTGTTGATTTTCTCCCCCGTGTGCTGGATACCCTATTACAGTCTGGCGATCTGCTCCCGAAAGGTCGAGAGCGGTTCCGCTCCTCGAGTTGAGCAGCATGTACGGCCCAGGAATGGGCAAATACTCGTAGCCTTGTTTCACCATGCTGGCCAATGTCTAGAGAACGTCTGTGGGAGGTGGAATCGAATGTTAAAAGGCAGGCCACGGGTTTAGCACGAAGGAAAGAGAGCCTTGCAGAAAATCCTCTGAACCGCAGGCTGTGACCTGTCCTCAACTCGCAGGCTGCGCCGAGACCAGAAGAGATCCTACATAAGCTCCACACGAGGTACTGTGCACCTCAGGCTCGGGACCCTCAGACTTGACTTAGACTTGCTAATTGCCCCTACGTGGCATGTAAACCGATTTGGGGCGGCTTCGATATTCATTCACTGACTAGATTTGGATTCTTCTTACCTCATTGTGTGGATGTTTGAATGAACTTATAATTCAATCCGGAGACTAGACAACTAGATAGCCAGGCACCAGTGGTAATGCTCGCAACATGGAGCGTCTATGATAGTCGGGTTTCAGTTATACTCTCGCTATGACTGAGTATTCCAAATAGTACCCTGCTCCCGATTTTCAGCAGTCATCTCGATGGCATGTGTCATTACCCAAGAGGCAGTTCCTATGCCTATGGTTCAGGCCACATACGTAAAAGTGTACGCGGGGTCAGCAAATCATGAGTGAGTTCAAGATAAGCCGCTCTTCACCGTGCACCCACGAAGGCCGCTGTCCTGGGCCAATATGGGTTGATAATTTGGTCGTAACATGCAGGGACGAGCTTGAAGGAACTGGAGGCATCCTGGTCAGCTACACCAGATAGGATGAGGATACTTGATGTCCGTGTTATGCCCACGGCGCCGGTACCCTCAGCGGCGGTGGATATGTGGCATAAACTTCTACATCGGATGGGCTTGGCGGCTGTTCAACGTTCAACATTAATGTAATTTCTGGAGGTTCCTGGATCTGGTTATTAATAGCCACGTGATAGCCGTTTGGACGGTCAACATGGTTCTGAAAGCTTGATCCGGGGCATGATGCATGGAGTTCTTGTTTTCACTCCGTTCAGCTTCGAGTTGCATCAAAGACAGAGACGACACTCTGGAACTGATAGCACTCATCCTGGAGCGCCAAGTTGGAAAGAATACAGGCAAGGCAACGAAGCGTAATTTCGGGGCGATGACTCTCCGCCTGTTTCGGAGGGACAAGTTCCGTTCTCAGACTGAAGCGGTGATCTCACGTCTATCCCGGTTGGTCTTCGCAATCCGTGATCCTGTCCCTTCGCATCAACACAGCACATGTCGGAGCCTGGGACAGAAGATACCACTAGCCCAGTTTTGGTTGATTGACAGGCTGTTATCAGCGCCAGCATTTCAAAGTACCAATAATACGGTTCAGCTGTGACTCGAGCGGCTCCTCAGAGGTGACGGGCAGATCGGGCTTTCGAAGCCTATATCATGGGCGTCGTATTGCGTTCATTTGCAAAGCGTATATATACCGATAGATCGCGGCACTTAGCCCTGATTCTTCCTCTCACTCAAGTACCGCACCGATAAGTTAGGTCAGGATGAGGCTTGGGACGCAGGAAGTCTTGTCCGTACCGCTTCCTCTGGAAGCGGCATTTCTCTCTCCTATGAAGGTCTACATACACCAAGTCACGTATGTCTGCGCGCTCCAAAATATTTTCTAATCTCACGTATGACTGCAGCGACTTCTCCGACACACTGACATTTCCGACGTATGCGGGATGCGTCTCGTTGGTGGTTTTCCTCCTCCAGCTGCTGTACATGAGCTTGTGGAGAAGGTGGTCTGCTAGAAAGTCGGCTCCTAATGATGGCTCGACGGATAGCGCCGATTCTGATACAGTGGTTTCCGAAGAAGGAGCTGCCGAAGTCAATGTTGCGCGTCATGACACTCCCCGAGGGGGGCCGACTATTTTTGCGTTCAACTTTGGCAAGCTGGTCGCATGTGCAGTGCTGTTGACATTGTCGATCGTTTCCTGGGTTGTGAGCTTGTCTGATGACGAGTCGTCGGCACTTGGTCTTTCACAGACGTGGGTCTTAGGCGGCCTTTGTTTGACATACGTAAGTGTCATACCATGTCTTTGTGTGATTTCCAGCGCTCACAATGGGTGTCCAGGCATATGTTTTGGTCCTGTCATTCGTCCCTCTATTGGCCGAACCGGTGTGGGGCTCGATTGCCTCTGGACATGCCACACTTGTCCTACTCTGCACTTTGGCAGTATATTTGTATCGCGACGTATGGCCATACGCGACGTTCACACAAAAGCCGCTCGATACCTCTGAGGGGGTGTTGCTTTGGGCCAAGATAGCCAGTCTGACTGTTGCGGCGGTCATCATTCCTTTGCTTACCCCGAGAATATACGAGCCATTCGATGCTAAGGTGAGAATACTGAACGATACAACCAGTTGTCGTCGCTCACCATATCGATGTAGAATCCATCGTCCCAACCGCATCCTGAGCAGACGACACCGATCCTGTCGCTCATGTTATTCTCGTGGCTGGACAAGTTGGTGATGAAAGCGTACCGCATGCCGCATCTTCCACTCGATGAGCTTCCACCCCTGGCCGATACTGATAGCGCGGAGAACCTGGTCAAGCGAGCGTTCAAGGTATGTCTTAAAATATCACATCGTCTCGTTGCCTGAACACACGCATTCCTCAGGAGCTCGATCCTTTACTAGTCAAAGACAGGCATATCGGGTGGGGCCTGCTTAAGGTTTTCCGTACGTGGTGCATGCTTTCGGTGATCCGATTATACTGATGTAATATGTTGAATGTCTCAGGCGTTGACATTTTCATCATGAGCACGATGCTTTTCATTTACGTACGATACCTGTGACTTTTATGCTTATGTTCTGTCACTGATACGTTTGCAGATCCTCTCCGAGTTCGCTAGTCCGATAGGAATCAAGTATCTACTTGGGTCAGTAGTCAGACACAACTCCTAGATAACTTACAGTGGCTAAAATCCTCTGCAGATATGTCGAGAGTGGTGGTTCCGACGCCGATGTGCGGCCTTGGGTCTGGATCACATGGCTATTTATCGGGCCAATGGCAGGAACAATTTTCTTTTCATTATACTACATGGCTTCGGTAGGGTTCCAATTGCGTCTCTTGCGTAAGCTTACTGACACGCGCTCAGATGAGAGTGTCGGTGCAGTTGGAGGCTGTTGTCACCGAGCTCGTCTTCACCCACGCCCTTCGGATCCGTATGAAAGCCGAGTCATCGGAGGAGGTAGCCACCGCCCCCGTGACACCCGATAATGCGTCGATTGTGCGGTCGAGTGCGGCTCAGAGTGAGGATGAGTCCACTGATCGTGAGGAAGAGACACTCGCAGGCTCGACCGCTGCGAGCACTCAGTCAGCTAAGGGCAAGCGAAAGTCGCAAGGCACCCCCGAACCGGCGGCTGTGTTGCCTCAGCCGACAGCAAGCGAAGCGAAGGACAAGGACAAGGACAAGGACAAGGGCAAAAGTCTTGTTGGTAAAATCAACAATTTGATCACGAGTGATCTCGCAAACATCACCAGGGGGCTTGAGTTCGCTCAGATCTGTAAGTTATAGCGACATGCTTGTCTCTCGGTACTGACGAATTTTCTCTGCTAGTTATACGAGTTCCTTTTCAGCTAGTGTTTTCCGTCTGGTTTCTTTACACAATCCTTGGATGGAGGTATGTCCAGCACTCTCCTTATACCCGTCGTCCTACGTACTCATTCTTTCTTGAGCGCGTTCGCCGGAATGTCCGTCATTATAGTACTACTTCCTGTTCCTGGCATGCTTGCGAAGTTGCTACGCGGGGTACAATCTACGCGATCGAAGAAGGTAAGTAATTCGCTGTCGAAGGTAACTCACGCTAACGCGTTCCTAGACGGATGACCGTGTTCAAAGCGCAACTGAGGGTACGCAAACGTCCGCACATGTGAATATGATGATCTGAACTCTCGCGAAATTGCCAGCCTTGAATGTGATCCGGATGGTCAAGTTGTTCGGCTGGGAGTCGCATTTGATGCGTCAGATATCGGGAAAGCGTGATGACGAACTAGTTTGGTTGACAAAGAGCAGACTGCTGCATCTTTTCAACGCCATCATTGCGTAAGTCTGATGCCCGCATCTTGCTGCACCGTTGACACTGCTTATTTCAGTAACGTTATCCCTCTGTTAACAATGATCGTCACATATTGGACTTATGTATGTTTTCTGAACAATCTGCCACTGATGAGCTGAGATTTAATAGCTTATATTCGGCAGACTGTTGTCATGCGGCAAGAGTTAACAGGTAAAGCGATGTAGCAATACTACAGTAGAGATTTAGGTGACTGATATCGAGTTCAAAGCGTCGAAGGTCTTCTCCTCCATGACTGGTATGCAGTTCTACGACTGGTCGTTGAGCCCACTTACTTAGATGGATCTAGCGTTTGAAATGTTCACTGGCCAGATCCACATGTCCTTCGGGCTGCTTCCGGCATTCATTCAAGGTATTTTTTGTTGCCCTCTTAGGGGAAAGTCATATAACGCCATTATCTACAGCGAAAGTGTCGCTCGATCGTCTCAACGCCTTCTTACACGAAGTTAGTCTGCATCCTTCAAACCGCTGTTCGTTTCTGAATTGTGTTTGGTTTAGACGGAACTGCTGGACGACTTCTCTGAAACTCATAGTCCCAATCCTCACGAGCGACGAATCCATAGCCATGGCAGTGCTACAAATCCTAATGTGATTGGCTTCCGAGACGCGACGTTCACATGGGCCAATGAAGAGCAGGCACCGCCTGATGGCCGCTCACGGCGGAGATTCGTGCTACGCATCGAGAACGAGCTCACATTCAAGCAGGGTTGCATCAATCTCATCGTCGGCCCTACAGGCTCCGGGAAGACCTCGATGCTGATGGCTTTATTGGGTACGGTGGCTCCAGGATCTCGGATTGGGTATGAAGTACTGAACATGGTAATCAGGTGAATTGCACTACATCCCGTCAGGATCAGACTCCTACGTCAATCTACCTCGCAATGGCGGTGTCGCATTCGCTACTCAGGAGTCATGGGTACAAAACGAAACTATACGGGTGAGTCTTGCGTACGCGGTGCTATTTTAGCTTATGCGCCGCATCAGCAAAACATCCTGTTTGGTGCAACGTACGACGAAGCACGGTACAACCAAGGTAAGCCGTCTGTTGTGAATGAGTGACATACATGCGAATGATCTGTTCAGTTGTTTATCAGTGTGGATTGAAACGAGACTTGGAACTGTTCGACGCCGGTGATATGACAGAGGTTGGCGAGAAAGGAATAACGCTCAGGTTTGTACGATCTATCTCATTTCAGTTATCACTGACCCTTACGGACACGTAGTGGAGGCCAAAAGGTGATACATCTGGGAACTCATGAGACTTCAGCTTTAAGGCTAAGAATTATTTAGGCACGGGTTACCCTCGCCCGTGCGGTGTACTCAACCGCTGAAATTTTGTTGCTTGATGACGTAAGTACAATCAATCGATGTTTATTATCACAAGCTGATGTCGCTTAGATATTGGCGGCTCTTGATGTGCACACTGCTCGCTGGATAGTTGAGAAATGCTTGAAAGGTGACCTTATCCGGGGTCGAACCGTTCTCCTGGTCGTAAGTGATGTCTCAAATCACTAGCCTTGAGTCTCAATGGCGTTTTAAGACTCATAATGTCGCAATGGCGAGCCCGGTGTCTCAGTTTGTTGTCGCTCTTGGAATCGATGGACGAGTCTCAAGTCAAGGATCGCTCTCGAGCGCTCTGGCGCATGACAAGATACTCGCTGCTGAAATGGAAAAAGACCGCCAAGCTGTCGAAAACGTCGAATATGATGCCATTGCGGAAGACGCTGACGAGGGTGTCAAGAAGGCCAGTGGGAAATTGATTCTGGAGGAGGAGATTGCTGAAGGCCACGTTGGCTGGCCAGCAAGTAGGTTTCGCTATCTCCAACCGCATGCAGAACTAATTATTGTACAGTGAAGCTGTACTTGGGGAACCTTGGAGGTGGACACCAAATCCTCTTCTGGATCGGTTGCGTTGGTGCCCTTCTCGTCTCAGATTTATTCGACACTCTCCAGGTGTGGTATCTAGGTTATTGGGCACGGCAGTATGAGGAGCATCCCGCAAATGAGGTCAAGGCATCATTGTATGTTTATGTATGAGTTACGGCTCGTACACCATCTGACTGAAACACCACAGCTACCTGTCTGTGTACGGTTCTATGATGCTAGCGTCGCTGGCACTGTATGCCGCACACTACACTGTGTACACGTTCGGGTCCATCAGAGCCTCAAAAGTCATCCACAATTCCCTGCTTGCATGCGTGCTTGGTACCACGTTGAGGTAATGTTGATCAGTCTTCAACAAATATTGCCAAATCTGTGGGCACATACGAGATGGCGTGCACATGTGGCCCTCCGGCGTACACCGTATTAGGTCGTATCAGGCCACCTGTGCACGACTCAACTATATGCTTCACAGAATGGACCCGTCATAAGGAGAGTGAGGCTAACGATCTCACAGATGGCTCGATAAAACACCAACATCCCGCATCATCACTCGATGCACGCAAGACATCGGCGAGGGTGAGCATTTAATCCCGCTATGCTGCCCCCCATTTAATTGAGTCTGCGACAGTCGATGGAAGCATTTCTAGGATACTCGGTACCATCATGAACATGAGCGACGCAATGATTGTCAAGCTGGCGGCTGTGGTCCTCATGTCTCCACTTTTCTTGATTGCTGGAGTCTTGCTCGTAGCAGTAGGAGGGTGTATTGGACAACTGTATATGAAGACACAGTTGTCTGTCAAGCGCGAGAAGAGCACTGCACAAGCTCCTGTTTTAGGCCTGTTTGGCGCTGCATTCGCGGGCCTTGGTATGTGGATGTTACCGCTCGCTTTATCAAATTACTTACCCTCGGAGTAGTCTCCATAAGGGCATACGGTGCAGAAAGCGCTCTTAAGAAGGAGTCCTATGCACGAATTAATAGGTACACTCGGACGGCGAGGATATTCTGGAATCTGAATCGGTAGGCAATCCTCAAACAGCTTGAGCTCAATGCTGATCATAGAGCCAGATGGATAAACATCCGGATCGAGGCTCTAGGCGCTCTCTTCTCAACGGCCCTTGCTGTGTATCTCGTTTATGTCGACAAGGCCAGTGCCTCGAAGATAGGTTTCTCATTGAACATGGCAGGTACGTGAGCAGTCCGGGAGTTAGAGTCCTTGCTTATTCATTTTGGCTAGTTGGATTCAGCAGCATGATCCTGTGGTGGATCCGTATGTTCAATAGCTTTGAAATTTCCGGTACATGCATGACCATAATGACCTGATATTGAATAAAACACTGACGGCAGGGGTTCAGCAAACAGGTATGCCAATCACGTTTGATACTGAGGGGCGCAGACTTTAATATTGTGTCAGCCTGGAGCGCATCAAACAGTATATGGACATAGAACAGGAACCTAAATCTACTGACAGTGGAGTTCCTCCGGCATATTGGCCTTCAAGTGGAGATCTGAAAGTCGAGAACCTGTCAGCCCGATACTCACCGGTGGGTGGTGATATCAAAATTCAAGGAGTCAAGTCTCATAGAAATGGCAGGATGGCCCCCTTGTTTTGAAAGACATCTCATTCGAAGTGAAGTCCGGGGAACGAGTGGGCATCGGTATGTGTCCATCATGATGGATGTACTATTGTGATAACGAATTATGCTGCTATATAGTGGGCCGCACTGGAAGTGGCAAGGTATATAAGCAAGCCTCACAAGTCTTACTTACGTGTCCATTACTGACACTATCACAGAGCTCCCTGACGTTGGCTCTACTACGGTGCATATTGACGGAAGGCAAGGTATTCTATGACGGTCTTCCAACTGATAACCTCAATCTCGAGGCACTCCGCTCACATATCACCATCATCCCTCAAATGGTTCGTACATCCTCCAGTGACCCTTCCGTGTGCGTAAACTCAGGCGCTCGCTTTACAGCCCGAGCTCCTCAGTGGAACGCTGCGTCAAAATCTCGATCCATTTGAGGACTACGACGATGCGGTTCTCAACGATGCACTCCGCTCGGCTGGATTGTTCATCCTGCAACAAGACATGGACGAGGGCCGCATAACGCTGGATACCCAAATATCCAGCGGTGGAAGCAACCTATCGGTCGGCCAGAGGCAAATTCTGGCGCTTGCTAGGGCCATCGTGCGTCAGAGCAAGCTCCTGATTCTGGATGAAGGTACGTCGGTATTAATCTATAGGACTTGATTACTGATTGCCACCTCCGGAATAGCCACCTCCGCTATTGGTGAGGGATCACGAGATTTAATTGCCCGTGTTGTCAGGCTAACATCGCTGCGCAGATTATGACACCGATGCCGTCATCCAAGAATCCTTGCGCAAGGAACTGGAGAACGGAGTCACAGTGCTGACGATCGCACATCGTCTCCAGACCATCATGGACGCAGATAAAATTGTGAGCACATCGACGTCCTTGTGTATGTGTTGACCTAATCAACTCTTGTACAGATGGTCCTGGATACGGGTCGAATTGTGAGCCGTGACGAGTCAGACTTGGCGTTTACTAACATTCACCGGCTTAGGTTGAATATGGCAAGCCCAGCGAACTTCTCAAGAATGAAAATGGCCACCTTCATGCATTGGTGAAGGAGAGCGGAGATGTGGAGAAGTTGTACGCTATGGCCGCAGGAGCGGGGGCTTCTGCGTCATGAGCCACATTTTTTGCAATCCTTGAGACCACATTCAGTCACCGTTCGTTTCTCGTGCTAGAACCATCATAAATTTTGGACTTTCCATCTATGTGTGATAGAATCTAGATGAACGTGCGGGTCGTCACAAACGACCACCCAAACGAAACGTCGAAATTATGGCATCTTGCACGCCTTCTTGCAACCCCACCAAGGCGTGGGAGCCCCACATCGTCTCAACGTAAATGACCTTCCCATATGTACCGTCAAACTCCTCCACCACACCGAAGTTCGGTACTTCGACCTTTCTGACCAGTGTCGCCCTTGCTTCCCTTCTCTTGCCTTGCACCTCGATGAAGGCCGCATACCCCTCTTCTGACATGGGAGTACCAGGTGCAGATGGGAGATCGACGGCGGGAGGGAGTAAGGGGTCAAGCAGATGGTCGAGAAGCGTGCGGGAGTGTGTATGAGGAACATCAAAGTCATTCACTGCATGTGCGATCAAGGTAGGAACGTTGAACTCCTGCACACGGAAATAATAAATGATGCTGTGGATCGCAAGAGAGGTATGCTAGCTCACTCTGATGACAGACAGCGTGTTGTACTCTTCAATTGTCAGTCGCTTGATCAACTCTACATTAGAACGTTTTGAGCTGTCGGTCACGCGATCTCCAAACCAACCAGGACTCACTTCTTCCCCACGCAAACTGTTGTAGCGGCTGCAGAACGGGGAAGCCAAAGATGTTGTACGTCTCTACCACGGAAGATAGGCTCGAAAATGGAGCAGTCAGTACAATCCCCCGAGGCTTCACATTCTCTCTGGCTAGCCGCGAGCCAAGTTTGCCAGCAACACCGGTGCCCAGACTGTGTCCATAAATCAATACATCGTGGGACCTTGCGCCCTGCTCGACGAGCCAGGTCCAGGCTGCGTATGCATCCGAGGCCAGACCCGCCTCAGATGGTGATCCTTCGCTGTCACCGAAACCGCGGTAATCGATCACAAGAACGTTGGCTTGCATACGAGACGTGTACGCATTATAGCCCTGCACGCGCCACGTGGTAGAGCGCCGTCCGGCTGCGCCATGAAGATACAGAATAGTGGGATATGCTTGGATTGCTGCTTGGATTGTCTCGAGAGACGGCTGTGACGTGGGATGCCCGCCGGAACGGAGAGATTGGTAGTATGGATCGGCGAGGACGAACCAAGCGCCGAGCGTGACGTTGTCCGATGTCAGTATCTTCGTATTGAGGGTTTTTCCGGCTGTGAGAGACAACAGCATCAACACAAGGCCTTCAACCTCAATATACGGACAAGACGTTTGACTGTCAAGAATGATTCCCGCAGGGTGGTGTGAGACGCCGTACATGACATACAACGCTTTAGACAGTTACACAAAATCACAAAAAATGGAGAAATCTCACGAATGCGAGCCGATGTGCATAGGTACATGAGGTGCAAGATATACACCATATAAGAGGCAGTATGATCGATAAACTGAGAAACACGCTCAAGAAGAGGACGTACGAGCGAGACCGTACTTCTCAGGAACATCAAGCCGACCTCGGAATGGCTCGGAGAGGTAATGCTGATACGCTACACTGAAAATTTGGGAATGTGTTGAGAAGGACTACTATAGATGTTACCAATAAGCTGTATGACTTACTGCCGTTGAATCGTCGGTTGGGACAGCAGGAAGATGAGAACGGCATACAAAATAGTTGCGTAGAATGCGATCTTCTGTGTCCGCGACAGGAACCCTTTATTCTGCGCTTGATGACGCTGTGGCTCGGTCATTTATTGTGTTGCTGTAATGAGTGAGCAACGAGCAAAGCAGAATAAAGGTTAGTGCAAGACTGGACCAAGGTCGACATGATGGCAGGCGTCTGATAGAGTTTCTGGGGGATTATTTTGTTCATCAGACATATCATTGCCAGCCCCTTTATATTTACACGATAAGCCTTATCACACACCTTCCTCTTTTTTGTTTTTTAAAATGCGATGTTTAGACTCCGTACAACAAGGTACCCCTCTCTCAACATCCTGCAGTCTCCGACACACACCTTCCTCACCGGTCTGCTCTGAGTAACAACTTGCACGACTTGCTTTCTCTGAGTGGCAGCGAGCTCGTACAAGCAGTCGACCGACCAAGCGGCACTTCAAATGCTCCTCTATACCCACTAGATGACCGACGATACCTCATCGCAACGTCCGACCATAAAATCCACTCGCAATTCTGGAGACCATGGAGAGCAACGAAACGACCCACACATCTATGTCTCAGTCCCCCTCAGCTACATTACGACTCAACGACCATGTCAAGTCTCGAGACATTCCCCGCTGGCTTGCACGCATCCGCATTGGCTCTGGGATTTACCGCGACGTTCGCTCTCGCCTTCCGTACTACATCAGTGACTGGACGGACGCTTGGAACTACCGTGTCATTCCTGCCATCGTGCTTATATTCTTTGCTAAGTGAGTGACTCTCAGCGCTGAGGCCAAGGAGTTGTCGGAAGGTACTCCTGCACGCCTCACCCCACCATGCATGCACTTACCTGTGCCCGCAGTGTGCTGCCAGGCATTGCTTTCTCGCTAGATCTCATAGAGACCACGCAGCAATATGGCGTGTCGGAAGTGCTCCTATCGTCATTTATGGCTGCTTTCATATTCTCGGTCTTCGGCGCGCAACCACTATGCATAGCTGGCGTAACGGGGCCGATCACAGTGCTCAACAAGACCATCTATAATATCATAGAGCGACAGCCGGATGCTCCTAATTATCTGCAGTTCGTCGGGTGGGTTTATTTGTGGGGTGCAATATTACACTGGATCACTGCCGTACTTAACTGTGAGCATTTACTATTGCACTCCTCGTCAGTCTTTAATGTCTTCTGTACAGGGTGTAACTTCCTACAGTTTGTCACTCTCTTCCCCTGCGACACGTTCGGTTTCTACGTTTCGTGGGTCTATCTGCAATACGGCGTACAAGTAGTCACGCGACAGTTCCCCCCACTCTCTGAATCCTCAGATGACGAGCCGTCTGCTACCCTGGATGGTGCCTTCGTCGGCATCATACTAGCATTGCTCATGCTTATCATCTCCTTCCTCTTCCGCTCGTTGTCCCAGTCAGCCTACTTCCATCGGCACGTCCGTCGCTTCCTTGCCGACTACGGTATGCCGATTGCGCTTGTTGCATCGTCCGCAATGGCCTACTGGGGGCGCTTCGATGCGGCGAAGCCGAGTACTCTTCCAACAAGCAGCCCCTTCGAGCCTGCGAACGGACGAGACTGGTTGGTGCGCTTCTGGCAACTAGACGGCAAGTGGGTCGGGATTGCGTTCCCCTTCGGCTTCGTCCTCTGGGTGCTGTTCTTCTTCGACCACAATGTTTCGGTAAGATGCTTGAAATCCATGGAAGGAGAGAGGTGTTGACAGCTTCGCAGTCGCTCATGGCGCAGGGAACACAATTTCCGCTGCGCAAGCCGCCAGGCTTTCACTACGACTTCTTCCTGCTTGGCGTCACGACGTTCATTGCAGGGCTGCTCGGTCTTCCGGCTCCGAACGGTCTCATCCCACAAGCTCCCATACACACCACGTCGCTGCTAGTCATGGGGTACCCCGACAAGAAGAGTGAGCAGGACGATGTCGAGGGCCAAGCAGGTGGAAAGCAGCAGGAGAAGCAGCCGAGAGACAATGACGCCGCGGAGCTGAAGCGCATGCGCTCACGCCGGTCGTTCCTCGAGCCCGAGCTCGAGCCAGACCCTACCCAGGCGAGGGATGGAGGAGGGAATGCGCGAAAAGAAGAGGTTGCCGTGGCCGTGGTCGAGCAGCGCGTGTCGAATCTGGCGCAAGGCGCGCTCTGTCTCGTACTGCTGACCCGGCCGTTCCTGCACGTACTCCATTTGATCCCGCGAGGCGTGCTGGCCGGACTGTTGTGAGTGCCCGGGGCGCCCCGCGCTTGACGTGACCCCAGACGACTTTGACTGACGTGATGCGCGTGATAGCTGGTATATGGGTGCGGACGCGCTGCAGGGCAACGGGATCACGCGCAAGATCCTGTATTTCTTCCGCGACAAAGCCCTTACGCCCGCGGACGAACCGTTGCGTCGGGTGCGCAAGTCGCGCATCCTGCTCTTCGTCGCGGTGCAGCTTGCGGGCTTTGGAGCGACGTTTGCGGTCACACAAACGATTGGTACGTCTCCGCGTTCGTGCCTGTGTTATGTCCCTGACCGAGGTATTGATGTCGGCAGCTGCCATCGGGTTCCCCGTGATCATCCTGCTGCTCGTTCCGCTGAGGACCCTTGTCATCCCACGGCTGCCCTTTACAGATGACGAGCTAGCCATTCTGGACGGGCCAACCGCATCGCCATTCGTGAGTCAGCCGGAGCCAGTCTATTGACATAACGGTAGCGCTGATGTGCCGTTGACAGACCATGGAGTCTGTCGGAGGCACTCGTTAGAAGGGGGTATTTCCCTAAGCGCTTTCATCGTTCTGAGGCGTGTCATTCAGACTACCGAACCAATGCCAATGCTGCCTCAGGAGCGTTTCGGGTCACCGTCCGTTCCGTATGTGACAAACAACACCGCCGGTTCTAGGAGACGTCGCTGCCATCCAGGTACATCGGTACATGACTTCCCTTAACCTTTGCACGAGTGGGGATAAGTTTAGACATGAAGACGACATACAGTACCAAGACCACTAGCACTAGCGGGGTGTGTCTTATTCCGCGTACATTCTCATTCTCCTAAACCCTGTGTGCACGAATGTTTTCAAAGATTGTATACCGACCAATCGACACCGACCCGTCTCAACTGAATAGACGAATTGAGACCTAGATCGCCGGTGAAAATGATTTTGTCTTGTTTCTCGTGCCTCAACTGTGAGTACTAAGTCATAGTATGCCTGTTGAATCACGTATCACTGTAGAAGCTGATCTGGTAGCGGTCATAGAAGAATATTAATGTGAGCGAGCTTCGAATGGTCGGGGATTTACGAAGGGTGGACGCCGGAGGCCGCCGCGTGCCTAGTCAAAAAAGTGAGCGTCTAGATTACCAGGATCAACATGGGAGCATTGTTTCTCTCTACCGGCGCCGCCGGGCGCAAGCAAGGCACCTGGGGCAACTCTTGAACTCCGTGTGTAAACTTATGGCGCGCGTCGCTCTGATTTTTCTCGAAAGGGCAAGCGGAGAGACTACATATATTAGAGCCGTCATGCTATCGACTCCCCCTCCCCCGCATATCTCTGCAACGACCGTGCGGCCAAAATGACTAGTTCGGATAGCGTAGTTATCGGCGCGGTTGTGCTTGCGAGGCACGGTGACCGTTACGGATTTTATCAGGATCCCGAGACGTACACCGTAACTGCAACGAACATTACGCCGCTGGGGGAGGTGAGTGTTTGCGCATTCGAGGCCGGTATCGAGTTGTTCACGATTATCGTCTTTTATAGCAAGAGGAATGGCAGCTGGGCAATCTGCTGCGCTCGATCTATCTCAATGCCTCCTCGCCTTCGTACATTCAAGGAATCTCCCCGATCGGCTCGACGTTCAACGTCAGGCAGGTCGAAGTGTACGCCGACGATAGCGGGATCGACAGTGTGATCATGGACAGCTGTGCGGCTGCTGTGCAAGGACTTTGGCAGCCTACGCCGCTCGAGAACATCACACTGGCGAACGGGTCTACCATCACCAGTCCACTCGGCGGGTACCAATATGTCCCAAGTAATGTTCTCGATCATGTCTACGATATCGTGCTAATCATTTATTCAAAGTCAACTCGGTTGACCCCGACACCGACTATACCCTGGAGGGATTCACCGACTGTAATGTAGGCTCTCTCTCCGTGAAGGGGATTAGCCATAGACTGACGCCTCGCTGTAGACATTGACGCAGAAGACAACCGAGTTCTATAACTCTACTATGTTCAAGCAAATGGCCAGCGAAAACGCTGCATTCCTCCAAGACTTGGTACCATATGTCGGAGGCCGCTCCGTTCAGCTATCGAACATGGTACGCCATAAGGTGGCTTGGAGGAGAACATACGCTCACCTTGTCCTCATTCTCAGTGGAATGTAGGTACCCCAGCGTCTGACTTGGCGATATCTTCATGACGTCTCGCTGGACGTAGATATTCGACTACATGAACACCCAGTCGATCCATAACGCGACGTTCCTCAATTTATTACCGACCGGGTACCTGGAAAAAGCACGCATTCTCGTCAACTGGCACGAATACAACATCTTCAGCGATCCCTCCTTCACTGGCGTTGGGAACGGTGTGTTTTCGTCGTACATCATGATTCTCATGTTGACTCATCGACACAGTCGCCTTTCAAACGATGCTTCCTGGCGTGATCGACGCCCTCGACAGGGTTGCGAATGCGTCGGACCCGCTCAAGCTCGGCTACTACACCATCAACTACAAGCCGCTCCTGAGCATGTTCAACATGACGGGTGTCGTCAACAGCGGCGAGCTCCCCGCCGCGCTCGGTACGTCGCTGCGCGGTCGTCGTTCGTTCTGTCGCATCGGCTCATCACAGCCATTGCAGTGGACTACGCCGCGGCGGTCGTCCTCGAGGTGCGGCAGACGTCCGGGTCCTCGGAGCCGCTCATCCGGTTCCAGTTCAAGAACGGCACCGCAGAGGAGGACTTCAGCACCTACTCGATGGTCTTCGACGGCTGGGACGGGTCCGGCGACGTGCCCATGTCCACGTTCCTCTCCGCGTTCGGGCCCGCGGCCATCAACACGACGGCGGACTGGTGCAACGTCTGCGGGCAGACCACGCTGCGCGGGTGCTCGGAGGCGCTCGCGGCCGCGGCCGATGCGAATGTGCACTCGGTGCACCAGAAGATCACGCCTGTCGGCGCGGGATTCTTGGGTGCGGGCCTGACGGCGGCGGTGATGCTTATGGGGCTGGGTGCGCTGCTGCTGTTGGGTGTGTTGACGTTGGGGGCGGGTAAGTTCAGTAGACGCAGTGCGGGTCAACGGGGCACGCCGAGTGGGTCCATGGTCGGATACCACAAAAGTAGGCCAGGCGACGTGGAGCTCGCTGGTCCTCCGTCTGAGGTAATTGAGTTATCCTCCTTTGAGAGCTGGCGATTCATGGTGGCTGATATGTTCTTTCCAGGCAAACTCTCTGGCGCAACTCACGAAGCATGATTGATGAGCGGTGTGACCATTAATTCTGCGTTGACGATGATGTAGCTATATATGTACGTACGATCGCAATTGCAAGATGGACGCCATTGTGTCCCGGTATGCTACCCGGTGCTACCACTACCATGCCACCATGTCGATATCCGTCTACCAAAATGCATGCGACTTGGTCTGTCGCACATAAAGCGTTCGTGCAATGTCACCAGACCCAGTTTCTTTTCGATGAGCACTATATCCGCCTTTTGTGCCATGACCATGTAGGCTCTATATTTCTTTACACCTGCTTTGTGGTACACCCCGGGGTGCGTTTCCGCCAAAGCCAGTTTCAGTTGCGAAGTGGGAACGGGCCCACCTACTTCTAGAGTTAGGTTCTTCAGGACTTCGACCAGGGGCTGAAAATGCGGAGGCACAGTGTCAAGGGGATCGCCCGACTGAATAGTGGCGGTGTTCTCCGGCTGACTAGTGGCGGGATCGCCCGACTGACTAGTGGCGGTGTTCTCCGATTGAACGACGGTGCTTGGTTTGGGACGCGGTGCGGAAAAATAGTAATTTCCCCCTTCGGGCAGTTGTTTTGAGGAACGTATCGGGAGATCAAAGCCCGCAACTTTAGTCGGAGGCTTCTGCACCGGCTGCATCGTGATGAAGGAGTGAGACCCATGAACGATCCTCAGAGGACTTGACTATGCTCACGATGAAATCCTCTGGCCATGTCAGCACTTCAGCTGCCTGGGCATCCTGTAAGCACTCATGCGCCTGTGGTGGAGCGATGAGGATGACATGGTACCCGCGCATGGACAGTATGGACGCCAGATGCACATAATCTTTGTCGCCGACAATGAGGATGACTGTGGCTGGCGGTGGGTTATCCCAGGCCCAAACACAAATGTCCACTGCACAATACAGATCGTAAGTCGCGCCTGAGCGCACGCGTAGTGTGACGACACTGTGATGCTGACCGATTATCCTTTTGTCGACGACGTCTTTGCCACGATTGTGAGGGCAGTCGATGAGAGATATGCCGCTTGAGTGGAGTAAAGATCGAAAGGCGCCAAGCTTGATGCTTGAAAACTGGTTCAGGTCAAAGTACGCGTTGCATGATCCTACCCTGCCGAGATTTTGTAGGTATTGCCGGAGAGTACGTATAATAGACTCTCCGGACGGCCTCGACGACGGTAAAGTGCAGTTTTCTAATAGAAGATCGTGAACTCTGCGAAATGGGCAAGCACGCAGGCCCGTGACGCGTACCAAGATCCCACCACACCGAAACAACATCCAACTTGCGCTGTGCCAGTGATTGTGAGCCGGGGCCAGTCCCAATAGAAGAGGCCTGTGAGTGGACATAGCGTCTGACTCTGCGGGGCGGTGGGATCAACAGTGTTGGCAATAGCCCACTGTAAGGCCTGAGCTTCACCAGAATACGTCTCTTGGCATTGGCACCTGAGAGAGCGGAGGTGATAGGTTCGTATCGGGCTGCGAAAGTTGCTGGCCAGTGTCCGCCCAGAGCGAAATGTCGCTTGCCCATGTGAACATGATTCATTTTAAGTGACAGTGACACGCGAAACTTGACGTTTCAAAGCTTCAAGGCTCAAGTCAGTTCTTGTAAAACCATTTCCGCAGTCGGATCGCAGAGGCTGACCTACGTCGGGGTATCACTCTTCGGAGCCTGTATGGAACTCGTGTTCCGCGAGATCGGTCGCTGTAGCAAAAAAAAACGGAATGGAGATTGACTTGCGAGCTACGTGGACTGTGACTGTCAGTCACGGTGTTTGTGCATATTGCAACCATTCCCGACGACAATGCGAGGACCAAGGCTCACCATTAGCACCCTGCACATGTAGATTCCTGCGTCGCTCTTTGTCTCCCAGTCACCTATATGACATTCACAACGCGTCCAGCGATACTTGTATTATTGGGCCCCTCGTTTCTATGTTCCCATCGGACATCTGGGGGGATTTCCCGGGGTCCTACCTGTCTTCATCCAAATAGGGCAAAGGCCACGCGGTCACGTATCACTGAGCTCCCGTCTCAAACAAGTACTTCCGAACTCAGGTGTTTGGATCATTAGACCCCAGCGAGATGAAGAACGGCCAAGACCCAAACAACGGGGTCGTTCATTTGTATGACACCCAATTTCAAGAACGGTCGTCAGCGCCGCGGCTTCGCCGCGCTCCCCGACCTACAATGTTCCTTACAGTGTTTGACCCCGCCTTCGATAAGACAAGGTGTTTGGTCCGGGCCGTGCAAGACGCCTGGAATGCATTTAAGTGGTGGTATGACCTAGATATCAGGAAGAAAGGAGCCCCGCCCGTCTCTCGTGGATTTGGATCGTTCTTCAACCGCAGCGACAGATAGAGCCTAGCATCTCACAGCATAGGAGCATTAGCATACCTTCCAGAATCAGCTCACTGACATAAATCAGTCACAAGGAACACGTTGCTCGGGATGACGAAAGTGGCCATTGTAACTGGCGCGTCCTCTGGTAATCACTACAATGGATTCGAGCGGGAGTTGCAGACTTATCACTCGCACCATAGGTATTGGAAGAGCGAGTGCCATCGCGTTATCCAAAGCGGGATGGTCCATTGTCCTCTTTGCTAGGCGCATCGACGACCTCAATGAGACGAAATCGCTATGTATAGACTCCGAGAAGGTTCATGTCGTCCAGGGCAATGTCACTGATGAGGAAGACGTGGCGAAACTTTTCCAGACTACGATCAATCATTTCGGTATGGTTTGATATGTCATCGCTGTAGTGCACCCTTGACGATATCGTCGCAGGCCGTCTGGATGTTTTATTCAATGTTTGTCTCGTTTCAGTCGCACCCGCCTTGATTTTGCTGATCGTTCTGCAGAATGCAGGCATCAGCGCGCGCGCGATTCCCATCGAAGAAATGCCGCTATCCCAGTTCCAGAACATCGTCAACGTAAACCTCATCGGCAACTTTCTCTGCACACGCGAGGCAATCAAAATCTTCAAGTCGCAAACACCCCAAGGTGGTGAGTACGAGGGGTTTTCGTGTCAGATATAGGTCTCAACTGGTTAACGACAGGACGCATCATCAACAATGGCTCGATCTCCGCATATACGCCGCGCCCGCATTCAGCGCCGTACACTGCGACCAAGCACGCGGTGCTTGGAATGACGAAGTCCACTCTTCTCGATGGCAGGAACTTTAATATCACCTGTACCCAAATCGATATCGGTGAGCATCGCTGTGCTCATCGCTACTCGCCCAGCATTGATCGAGATATATAGGCAATGCGCAGACCGACATGGCGGGCAGCCACTCCGGGGGTGCGTTGCAGCCAAACGGGCAGGTCGTGCCCGAGCATATGATGGACGTCACGCATGTGGGAGAGGCGGTGGCCTACATCGCTGACTTACCTCTCGGAGTGACGGTGCTGACCTTCAATATAATGTGCGTTCTCGGTGTCGATGTGAACGCGATAGGAATTGACTGTGTCGTGTAACAGGGCTACGCGCATGCCGTTTGTCGGGAGAGGATGATGTAAGGCCAAAGGCACAGTAACTTGAAAGAGCACGTGTACTACCATGACACCAACCCATGTGTAGTGTCACCAGAATTGAGTCGCTGCATCTCGTATTTACGTGGATAACTTCATGAGTTATTATACCCAGCGAGTAAGGCGTCACGGTGTGGATGCGATAAACTCCATGAATTTCTAGAACATGCCACGCGTTATACTAATATCGAGTGTCATATGCATAGCTCACACAAGGTTGTAGCTATGCTACAAATGCCGACCGTGTGAGTTCTTTCATTCGATGAACCATTGAACGAGTTACTATCAGCGTCCCACGTCTCGCCCCCATCACAGCGACGGTGATAAGCGACAGAGCTGGCTGAGGTCACTAGACGAGCAAGGAGCGATATCTGTGTACAATTATCTACGGACATCACGACAAACGAGTTATCATTCCGGAAAATGCAAGCTACTAACTCCTCTCAACTACGAGAAGCTTTACCGAATGGCTAATCACCTCTCACGGCTTTCAGCCCACCCTTTCTCCTGGGAAAAAGACGTAGAGAACAGGCTGTAAGCTTGCTTTCGAAACTTGCAGAACTTCAGTCAGGAATATATACTCAAACTGGATGAAGCCCGGTCCCAGTCTCCACTCTGGTTTTGTACAGTGTTTGAAAGAGTGACTCTGCACGGTAGTCAACGAAGAATACGTCATCGCCGGCATACCACCTACATCGACCAGGAACTGCAGCTCTTTGGCAATCTTTATAGCTAAAGCACCGATAGCCAGTGGTTTTCCGGTACGACTGAGGTTGATCTGGCGTGAATGCGAAGGATAGCCGGGCCACTATGCATGCATGCACACCGTCAGTGAATAGCAAGCATGATAAATGAGTAAAATTCATACAAGCACTCGAATGGACACCTTGGATCCTCGCATTGTGGCGGGCACAAGTTCATTCAGCCACACACCTGTGATCTCTCCATCGAGAATCTGGCGGAGATTGATCCCGCGAGGAAGACTTTGTGGGATGCAATAGGTTGCCACGTTGTGTGGACAAAACCGCGTGCGAGATTTATAGATTTCTTGCGGTACCAGTGTCAGAGACGGTGTCTACGAGCCGAATGATTATCAATTGTTTGCCTCCGTACGAGAGATAGTTCATATAATATACTCACAGGCGAGAGCATGGATGGGTAATACCACGCCGTATCGGGCCCACGCGTGACAGTCCTGACGGGCACCTCCACAGGAGATGAGGGACATGTCGCTTGTCCAGACGACAAAGAATGTGAGGAATCATGCATATTGCCACAGTCGTTTACCAGCTTCGGTTGATCCCCGATTTGAATGTGATTATCTGGTAGTCGAGGAATCCATTGGTTCAGGTCGCTCAAGCCGCTCTGCGTCATGCTCATGTGAATGACAGTAATAGCTAAACGAACAATCTACTTGCCGAAAAGTGTGCAGGCCGAAGAAGCATCATTTCATGCCCACGTTGCAAATCAATGCATGGTGTTTGCTCTCCGGCTTGCCCAAACTATGCAGCCGTCAGGCACTCAAATACTGTAGGAGAGCTGCTAACACACCGTACTAAACCCGTGGCCGGTAGCTGAGAGCTGACTGTAGTGATGATCGTAAATGCCTATCTCGTTGAATTCCTGTGGCGTGCGCTATAAGTAGGAAGCATTCGGGAGATGTTCGATGTCAGCCAGCACCACAAGGTCATCGCAGATGGTGCGCACCGCTAGAGGTCTTCCTGCGGTCGACGGGTACCATGGTTGTTCCACGAACATTGCAACGGTAAAAGATGGGTATTGTAATCGACGATCTGGAGCCATCTGTAGTAGGTACGATGTTAGTGGCATATGAGAATGCGTGGATTGGTCAGACAGTGACCGTCGAAGTATTGTAGGACGTCGCATATATGTCTGCGTCATTGTCTTGCCACAATGAAGAATATCGATTTTCTTGCATAACGCTATCCGGTGAAACTGAAACATTCGAATACAAGGCCACACATTGGTCGGACATCGAGAAGCTAAGGCGAGAATGAGGAACGAATCACTGTATCCGCGGCTCCACACTTATGTACCGTGGCGACGCAGCCAATAGCGCGCACACGATAGTGTTGCGAAGTGAATGGGTATGTCTAGACCATGTTCGGAAGGCTAGTATAGGTTGCGACGGGTGCTACGCGGTTGCGTGCCGTGTCTGGCCCTGCTCTGGGGCCTGACGTATCGACAGTCGGAACTGTGTGGTTGACAGGATTTCTACAAGATGTCTAGTCCGGTAGGTGGATATCTGCTTCTGTCGTATGAAGCGTTGGCCCACATACGGAGTGCACTGTCTTGCCATGCATCCGGGCAGATTGTGAGCGCCGAGTCCTGAGGGTTTGACAATACCTTTCCGATCGAGCACATACGCATGTTCTGAGGCCCGTTTGGCTACGTTAGCTTATTGATATCGGTGAGAGCGTCCGCACCGCCTCCGGAGCCAGCTGTGTCGAGATTAAGATTAAGTCGAGACTCACCCTGCTAAATTTACAAACAGACCCTCTCGGCCTATCCGATGCTAGCGGCAGACGACCAATCATGAGTAACATTACCATCACGAACAATGCTGTATGATTGGCGGTCTGCATCGCGTTCAAGTCTCGGCCTTTACGGAAGTGAGTGCCATATAGCGTCCGGTAAGTGGTTCATCATAGAGCGCCTATCACATAGCCAATCGAGAGTCAGACCTCGAGCTCATTTTGCCCACTAACATCCTACCAATCCTTTCACGACACGCTTCTTCACGGGAGGCTTCTTGAGAAAGTCGGGGATCTGGGCTCACATCCTGGGTCCAGACCGCTCAGCGCTTGATAAGCACTGAGCTGTCCCTCCCCCAATAAGACACCTTGACGACGCAAACTTCCCCGTATCCTTCTTGGTTCATGGGATATTAGGATACGTCTGTGAGAACTGTGATTGTTGTTCCGTGTACTCATAGGCCCCGTAGAGCCGTGGGCCCAGGCGGCTCGGTGGGGCAACCGAGGCAATCTGGAGTACTTGCGCGGTTGGCCAATGGGAGACGTTCGGCGCCCAGCTAGCCCAAAGAGGTGACGACTGGCGCGACTGCAGTAAGCCTTGGTAGTCATTTGTGCAGCTATTCTTAGGGATACCCCGCAGGGATCTAGATTTTGGGGACGGCATAGCCTTGACTGTGAGCCCTGCATGACCGCTGCCTTCGGCCTATAGGGTCACAACAGGCGCAGCTGAATGAGATCACAACTCTGAATATAGGCTGTAGCACAGGTTCCTGTTATGTGAAAACGTGGACGTTCTGATTGGTTATGTGATTGAGTGCAAGCTAAAAGCAATACTGTGGGCACTTACACTGAATTGGAATACTCAACAATTTGAAAGTGCCTGCGGAATGTATACCTGAGTTCCAACCCGAACACTTATAGATACCCACTCTCCCCGAAGATCCGGGGAGTTTTAGGGAAGTTGCTTCTCGACGTTCGTCGTAGCCAATGCGCTGACCGCCATTTACTCGTCGTACGTTGGACAAGTGTTTGGGGCAGCGAGGTATCATGTCTGAACCTACCTGCAAAGAAGATCATCGCTGATGCTGGCCATCCTCTGATGGTTGGGTGTGTCGATGAACACTCGGCGCACAGGGCGATGATGTCATCGAGTGGCTCTGGTCCGTGCGGGTATAATGGATGGTATTGCGAGTTTGCAAGATTTAATTCATAACATCTGCACACCTGAGTACTGAAACACTGGCATAGATAACGACCGTTCAGAGTGAAGACTGCGCGAACATATAGGTAGATCCCACCGGATCTTATCGTAGCAATGCATCTGTTCATTTGTATCAACACATTTACTTGTTCGAAGTATACAGACATACCCGCTTGCGAAAGAGAACCCGATGAACTACCCACCAACACTATCAATAATCGCCAAGGCCAACGCGGTCGGATCCGAAGTGTTCCAGCCGTCCAAGAATATGATGTTCGGATATGTCGTGTTCGAACAAGCGGGAAAAACATCCGTGTACAAACTCTGCATAGCCTCTGCCGCCAAATCGAGGATGGTCGGATAGCCCGTGACCGCGTCCGCGGCATCCTGCGTGAGTGTCCAGGACAGCAAGAACTCCTGCGCGTCAGGGCTCGTGCGCACGGTCCGCATCTTCTGCAGCTGGTCGCTCGACATGTCGCTGTCGCTGTCTGTGTCAGAGTACGAGTTGTAGGCGTTGAACTGGGAGTACGTGTAGAAGCCGAGGCTGTTGTAGTCCCCGAGGGTGATGGAGCCATTGTTGGGTTGGACGATGACCACGACGGCGGCGTTGTCATCGCCAATGAAGTCGCTGAGCGGGAGCTGGGTGAGATCGACGGTGGTAGGATCTGGCGCAACGTAGAGGTCGTTGATGCCCAACAACAGTTCGAACAAAGCATCCCACTGGGCTTGGGTGAACACTTGGTAGTCGCGACCTGTGTCCGTGTCGTAGTCGTGCGACAGGTTGACAATGATGAGCTCCTTGTTAGTGCTGGTGAAGTCGTTGATATCGCTGATGATGTCGTCGAACGACTCCCCATTCCCACCCTGCCAGCCGAGGGGTTCCGTCAGATCAGAATAATGACCTGATACATACTGTCCATCGCTGATGACGGGGCGAGAATCAAAGTAGCGAGACCCTAGAGTGAGCTGCCCTCCGATTGACAGCGTCTGCGTCTGCGTGTTGGCATCGTTGGCAAACGCAGTTCCGCCGGTGAGCTCGTACATTCCAGCGTCGTGTGATCCGGGGATAGTAAGCTGGCGGAGCGTCCGCGGGCCGAGCTTCCCAATGTTGTCCTGCATCCATGCTACGGGAGGGTTGTTGGACGAGAAGCCGCCTTCGTTCCCGGAGAGGATGAAGGGCATGTTCCCATTGTGGTCCCAGCCGAGGCCAATTGTGCTTCCCTCGTCATTCCCCGCCGTAGCGATGGATTGGAACTCGACCTGTATGTAGCGGTAGCGCGCCTGTATCTGGAACGAATACGGCGTGCCGGCCAAAGCATATGTAGCTTCTCCGGCGTCATTGAACGGGTCGACGGTGATATCCTCGTTCCATTCGATGTAAACGGGGACGGACGAATCTGGGACAACCGTTAGCGCGTGCATTACGGCAGAAGAATGACTTACAATCAGGTATAATCGAATAGTTAGTAAACGGCCAAGAGTTCATCTGATAGCTGTGCTGGTACGTGAGATTCCAAGGGTGGGGTGTGCCATTGACGAGGACAAGAGTTCCGCCTTCACCCATGGTTGCATGCGACGAAGGAGTGCTTGACGGGGAGGTATGCGTAGAAATGGAAGTGTTTTAACATGCGGAATCGAAAGGAAGTAGCTCAGAAGTGTGCTCATATGGCTCGTACCAATGTGACCATGATGCGCGAAACACTGGAGACAGATGGGCAGGAATAGACAGGAACTCATCTGATATGGAATCATGGTGCAGATGAAAGCAGTAACGAATGACCACGCTGGAAGCGAAAGCCATCGTAAGCCATGTGGTCCACGCAGGCCGACAATGCTACCATCACATGAGCGCCTCTCTGATTGGTCGGTCTTTGCTTCGATCGTGGAACCTGTGCACGTTGTTGCGATCTCGAGGCCCGAGTGTAAGACCACGTTCGACGGCACTCTAGAGAGGACAGACGCAACGGACACAAGCCTAGCTCGTAACCCCGACCTTTAGTCTCACGCCCATGCGGCGCAAGTGAGATAACAGTGCCTTCCCAGCCATCGCGCGAGGACCGAACTGGAGACCTTGAAGCAGTGCACCGTATGGCCACTGCCATCCAAAAAAGGAAACAGTAGCCCAGGCAGAGTGTAGGCGAGGAATCTGCAAATAAAGTCGTGATCGCAATGTCACAAGATGCGGTTAGCGGCCGCAAACTTGCGTTCATATCAATCCTTCATGTCATACTGTGGCATACTGGGTAGTCGGAAGACCCCCCAAGTTGGCCCAGGAGCCAAAGTTATTGGTCGGAATGCGAACATCCCGAGAGATTCCGGGGAATCCTGCTCTCTGATTAGCGGTAGGTCATAGTATGCGCATCCGCGGATCGCTCACATCTGCGAGGCACTGAAGGTGCTATCACGGTGCTGTGGTGTCAGCCTGTCAGGCTTCACATGTTGCCAATCATATTGATTTGACCGGTGAGGAAGTGAAGAGTTGAGGCGTTAGACTGCGATGTCCACACTTGGCCAGCAACTGTGCATTCCCTACATTTATCGTCAGTAGTACAATCAACGTTGAGAGAACCACAGTGGTGGGGAAGAAATGGACGCACAGGTGACAATCAGTCCAGTAAATTCGGCCCGGCCATTCAGGGTACGGATCGCGCGGCGATGTAGCACGCCGAGTGAAGGCAGGGCATATATGCGTCTCGAATCTAAGATGGGACTGTGGAAACGATGGCTCGTACGTCATTAGCAGTCATGAAATAGGGCACGACCGGGCTGAGACCAGCATGGGTCACCGTCAGGGTGCCTGGTGTCAGAAGATGCATCACAGCCGCAACGATCCTTATACTTACCAAAATGACCGACTTCATGACATCTTCATCATCACTGACATATCCCGCACAACCAAACACTCCAAAGGAGCCAGTGTATGCTGCGGGAAATGTATCACCCTAGTGGTAGACCAGTACATGAAAGACCTCGAGGTCCCTTTGCACTCGGAGGAATCAATATGCCACACGTATCCCTGCCAGTGACTATGGTCTAGACCAAGGCAAGGCGGCGCTTCCAACTTCAGGTTTCGGTTCGGTCATACTATCTGATCAGAAGCAAGCTTGAGACGGTCGTCGTGGGTTACAGAAAACAACGAATAGTGTGTGTTTGCGCAAGAAGTTGAAGAAGGTCGAGTACAAGAGTCAAGTCTGCCATTGTAGTCAAGGTCATGTGATCCTCTCGAGCCAATGACGACGCGCGGGCGGGAATGTTCAGACTGGCAGTCTCCAACCGAACTCCAACTCGTCATCGATGTACAGCAATCCAGGACGAGATAAATAGATTCTAAGGAATCCTTGCTGTGCCAGAGCCACCCTCTTCATCCCACACAAACATATTATCGCAGCTCTCTGAGAATGACATCTTCCGCTTTCCTCAGCACCTTGCATATTCTTCTCAACACGCCGATGGTTCCCCCACCCAGCAAACCCGATGCGAGAGCGATACCTCTACAAGAATTGTCCACGAGACTGTCACCTGTATGTGCATTGCATTGTTCAGACTGTAATCCGACAAATTGATGCTTTCTGACTATGCGTCACGCGCAGCGGTCTAGTGTGGACAGCACACAATCCTCCCTGTCCTCGGATGATACATCGTCCGATACCTTCCATACACGCGCTTGACGATTCGGCTCATGTCACCGTGCTTTGCGTCGGAATTTCTGTTATTTCCGTGCTAGTGATCCTGCATACCATTGTCATGTATACCAGCTTTGAATTGTCCGATCAAAGCCCGCATTTCTCAGGCACGACCACATCAGTGAATCTACAATGCCGGTCGAGTGCACTGTAGTGAGAGCACAATATCTGTGCCTGCCTCCGGGCTCCGAACCTAATCCACCGAGACATGATGTGTACCGCAACCATCGCAGTATCTAGGTTTCATGGAGAACCATCGTATATGCGCCTAAGAACAATGCATCCGCAGGTTTCACGGTGTGTTCCGCAGTTCCATGTTCTCGCTCTTTCCGCCCCCAACCCGTTGCGGTTATGAAAAGCGAATGTGGCCATGGAACGCCCTCTTCGGTTCTTCCATAATTACCGTCATTGGGGGCCAGTCGCTGGGCACGAGTGCTGCTCGGTATAAATACATTCGTACTCAAATTCTCTAGCGCTTTGGATAGCCACCCTTCCCTCCTCTCTTTCCCACCGGGTTAACTGCCTGATGACCTCGCCAAGCACCGCGGGCAACAGTTTTGGCATCTCGACCTTGTAAGTGTACAATATATGCTGGTTGCTCCGCATCATTTTGACTGAACCTGTCGCAGAGATGCATACGACTACTGCGCCGCTGTCGCTTCCAGTGATTATATCATCACGTCAAGAAGTCTTTCCCTGACACTTCGCTAACTGAGATGGCGTAGCATTTGTCATTTACGATTACCTTTTGACACTCGGACGAGAGTCGAAACTCTGGCGCAGAAGATCGACAAGGGCTTCCGCCGTTTACTACGCGAATAGATATACGTCGCTGTTATGGGCTATATTCAATGTCACGGCAATCTTTCCATTGTCGAGGATGGTGGTGAGTACGTTGACATGCTCTCCGAGATCTTCACAGAATCTCACTATCGCTATAGACGTCTGTATTCTGTATTTCTATTTGACACCTCATCTCTTAATCCGTGCTCTGCAGCTGTAGTGCTGTCATGATAGTCGACATCATACTACTTCTATTACTCTCCGTGATCTCAGCTGGTATGTTGATACTATGTGCTAATATGATATGGGTCTCAACGGGAACTCCAGCATTCTCCGCGTTGAGAGTATTCGCCTCCAGCGGCAGAGACTGGCCATTGACGAGCCTCACCGGTTTCCTAGCGCTCATGCAGTTCATCACAAATCTAGTACGTGAGCCGATCTTGTATCCCTCCCAGCTGATTCAATTAACTGTGCAGGCAATCTATAGCAAGACCACCTACAGCGTAGCCCATTTACCTTACTTCGGTGCAGTTTGTAATCAATCGTTCGATATGTCCTATTCCATAATCACCAAGTACGTGGATACTATTAGAGCATCGTCACTCTACTCAATAATATGCAAACTATACTAGAGGTATGACTGACTTCTTCAAATGCCCTGGTTCATGACCCCGCAACTATAACCAGTCACAATTGTCGGTTGCTGTTGCATGATTGGATCCGACGCCATTGTGCTCGCTACTATCATTTATCACACTCGCCACGTACGAGGAATCTCACACACATCGCATTTTGGAACCTCTATTGCGATGGTTATGAGAAGAGATGGTGAGTCATGATAGATATCCTTCGTACTTCAATGCACTGATAAACGAGCATCGTGCAACATTGCACTTAGGACTATTGTACTTCGGGTAAAAAAGTCAAGCCCTGATGAGGTTCGCCTACTGATCGACATATAGCACGCTGCTGGTGCTGAATGTTCTAGATCTTGCTTTGTTCGTCCCGAAAGTCCGTCCTAAGATGTACATCGTTCATGTCTGAGACTCATTTTGTGCGTGGTGCAGATATACCTCAACGTCGGCATGAATTTCGTCATCCCGTGGGTCTTCAGTCATTCACGGTGGCAATCCGCTGATGCGACTAACATAGAATCTCAAGTGTGGTTATTTCACATTATTTGTTGGACCTGCGGGAAACACGGATCGACGAGGTAGCGTTCCTAGCTGATCTGTCACATGAGAGGACTTAAGATAACTTCGTTCAGACCTTGACATCGACACCAGAATATACCCGACATAGGTCCAGCGCAACGACGGAATCTGACTGCGAACAGCCAGAGTGGGCGGGCAAGTAACCCGGCACATAGTTTCAGTGAACTTGTCGTAACGCTCTACACAGGATGGCAGGACAAGACATCTTCAAACCAGGCTGTAGAGGCAATTGAGCTCACGCTATTATAGCGTGTTCCGAAGACGGCTAGGATTTGGGGGCGTCCTTGACAATCACGCAAAGCATGTGTGTAAGATTAGAAAAAGATGGGCTTGCGTGTTCTGTTATATCAGCCGAGCCTACTACACCCTGGTCCTGTGAACTTTGTAAAGAAGTACCGACGTCTTAGCCAGGGGAGACTGGGCTACACCAGAGGTCTCCCACAGAGGTTGATGTTGCAACGTGGGTTTCTCAGCGTATTCACTCAAGAGTACGGTCTCTATATTCTCTGGTGCCTTACATTTGCCCTCTATCTCATGCGGTAATGCAACGCAAATCGATTCATTCGGCACTAGTGATTTCGTTCTACTGATCTTGGGCCTCTGCATTTCAACCGGCGCGCTTGTCACCACGAACTCAGCAGAACGAAGACAGGCGGGAATACGCGTGCGCACTGCACAAGCTACTATGAGATGCTTCGACGAAGGTGCGTCTCTTTGATGAAGGGGTCTTCCTAAGCATCCCAGAGACCTGTGTACTACGTATTCACCGTTAGCGTTGTGATTGGGTGAGTCGGGTCAGGTCTGCGTCTCGGCGACGGCAGTAATTCAAGTATGCATACTGGTAGCGCGCGACGCAACCTGCGTCAAAGACTTCACAACCATTCCCCTCCGTGGACTGTCATCCCCGAGGCGCATCTCACTCGCACCATCCTCATGTAGAGGGCTTTATAAGACTGTGAGAACATGGTTCGGTGGTAGATCCATCATGATGTCTTCTACGCTTCTGCCTGCCGTCATGTTGACTCGAGTCAATGGTACCGCACGCATGTCGCCTCAGTGTATCCCGCACACACCTTGGATGCGCTACGCTGAACGCACTGAGCTAACGCGCTTATGAAGGAACCAGTATGCACACTGACGAAAGATATATTCTCGCATAGAGAAAGGAAAGACGTTATAATTATCGAATGGTGACTCGCCTGGATTGCCTCAGCTACTTCCATACGACAACGTATAGGCCACTGAGGTGCATGATATGGTGCGCCCGGGCTTTGTGCAGCTTCCAATTTCCATCGTGAAGACAAGTATTATCGCCAGACAGTCCAGTGGTGTTGACGTTGTGAGCGAGTTTGAACATCGGCTTGCCTTGAGCGTAGGGAACCCGTTCCGAAAGCTAGTCACATAGCTCGAGACCAGTTCACGATGTCCTACATTAGGAACGGTAGACGAGAGCAGCAGACGACGGTGGAGAGAAAGTACGTGCCAGTAATTTCGAGCGTGAGGGAGGCCACGTGGATCATAGCGGGTCAGAATGCTTTCGGTCAAGCTTGCCTGCAGGCCATCTGCCTTCCCCCCTCCGAGCCTCATGCAACTCTTGCAGTCTCGATGAAATTTCTTCCAGCCCTACGGTGCACTGATCTTCTATTGCTGACAACTTGGGTGATATCAAGCCTTGAGTCCTGCGCCAACCGGTCGACTTCTCAGTGCAGCATGGCACCATGATGTGTTTCGGATCCGTTCACGAGGCTCATGCAGCGCGTATGAACTTCTGAGGCAGGGCTGACTGCGTGCGGAGGCGGAACCCCGGATGGCCTTGCCTGTAGGTGTGTGCTCATAGTCGCAGGCCCTCGGCACATTTGCTATTGCGCATTCGGGACGACGGCCATCGTCCCTGCGGGCCTGCGCCTAATGGTCAACGCAGAGCGTTCGTTTCGCCTTAGGGATGCGCCACCTCGCTTTTTCATTCCACGTCCTTGCTCTCCACTCAAAGCGCGGTGAAGTCGGTGTACGTGCAGAGTCCGTCGCTTCGAGTTCGCTAAGCCTGACGTAAAGATCCTCAAAGTATTATGCTGCCTGCGACTCCCAGCCACGCCGTTCCTTCGGCAAAATAGTCTCGGTATTCAATTGCGGTGATTGTTATGTTTCAAAACGCCTCGCCGGCCGCATTTCGTGTGATGCTCAGCTTGACGTACACGGGCCCCGGCCCTAGCCCCGGCTCCAGTAGGAGAAGACATTCACCATGGAATTTTGAGCAGTATTGTCTCTACTACCATAAATATCGTCGCAGAAAGCGTACTTTTCCCAGTGCCATTTGCTCCCTCACTTCCTTCGTTGCCAACAGCGGCCCATCAGCGCCCTTCATGTCTTCAGCGCACGGCCGTAGTGCGACCCCCGACAGCATTCAAACCGTACGCGTCGGGGATGATATACAAAACCTGGAGAAAGCTCTGTCAGAACAGCCGGTGAAGCTTGACATCGAACATGCTCTCGTCAAAGACGATCCACGACAATGGTCCAGAGCGCGGAAGGTAACCTCATGTGCTGCTCGCCTTGGCATGAAGCTAAGCGCCCTCGGTATACAGTATTGTGTGGTGGTGATGATCTGCGCGGCCGCTATGATTGCTGGTTTGGGCGGTAACATCTACAATCGTGAGCCTTGTACCATGAGAAAACCTCGGCGAAGCCTAATTTGACCCCGTGGAAGCCGCGATTACCCAGATTGAAGCGGACCTCCACGCGACGAGTTCCCAACTTAGTCTGACGGTGTCCCTCTTCATACTCATTCAGGGAGGGTTTCCTGTGTTTTGGAGCGCGGTTAGTGAAATCCAAGGTCGCAAGGTAAATATGCAATAATTTGGCACATGCGCATTATCTGAGCAATTATCACCTAGATTGTGTACCTGGTCTCCATCTCGCTCTGCACTTTAGGCTGTGTGGTCTCTGCGTTAGCGAAAACCATTGACGTGCTCATAGGCATGCGATGTTTGCAAGCTGCAGGGTCAGTACAGTGCCCTCATCTAATACGCAAAAATCAAGATACTCACCTTCATTAGAGCGAGTGCTGTCGTGTCCATCGGTGCGGCCACGCTGGCTGACCTTTTCGAGCCAGCCGAAAGAGGAACTATGATGGGCATATACTTATGGTAAGCTTTCTTGCGCTGATGATAACCCTCGTGTTCATGTTCGATCGGGGCACTCCTTCACTGCTTTTCTGGATCGTCGTAGTGCTCCCTTGCTCGGCCCCTCACTCGGACCCATCATTGGTGGCATACTCACGCAGGCGTTTAACTGGCGTGCGACGTTCTGGTTTCTGGTCATCTTCACAGGGCTCTGCGCTATATCCTTCATTTTCTTCGTGGATACGTTCCGTCATGAGCGTAGCATGTCGTATCAGGCTGCCCTCAAGAAGGCCATGCATACTCCAGATCTTACGCCCCATGCCAAAACAGATCCAGCACACGGCGTCGATGCATTGAGCAAGCTATCGGAGACCGGACATCCTGTGCACGAGTCCCAGGACGATACGATGTCCGCTGTCACTACCATTGCGGAAATCCCAGAAGCTGATATGCCGAAGGGAGTTTCCATGCCTGCACAGGAGGTGAAGCTTACTCTAAAAGACGTCAACCCGGTGCGGCCCATGCTGCAGGTGCTGCGGCGACCAAACAATGTCGTAATCATCCTCGCGTCTGGTACGTACTAATACCCCGTGTGTCGGTCGTGTGCCCCATTTAACGCCGTGTGCCGCAGCTCTCCTATTCGGATTTGAGTATAGTATCTTGTATACGGCATCGATCACGCTGGCCAATGCGTATCACTATGACGCATTGAGAATCGGATTGGTCCTCTTGGCGTTCGGGATGGGTTAGTGTACTTTCGTCGACATATAGAGCACGCCGCTTGATATGCATTCTCCTCTCTTTATAGGCTGTCTCCTTGGTAGCATCCTTGGTGGACGCTACTCCGACTACATCTTGGCGAAGGCGAAGGCGAGCCATGGAGGGAAAGGCAGCGCAGAGGCACGCACATTATGCATTGCTCTCGCGTTCCGTGCCGCATGCTCATCCAGTCATTCTTGGACGTGCAGATGCGCTTGCAGAGCACAATGTTCGCAATGGGGTTCTTCCCCTGCGTGGTTATAGCCTACGGCTGGGTGTGCGAGCAGCGTGTGCACGTCGCTGCTGTCTGCGTCATGCTGTTCCTCTGTGGGTTCTTGATGATGTGCGTTGTCTTCCTCGCGTCCCCACCTACGGCAGTTACTAACGGTACGGTCCCGCACTCCTCGATGTATGCACATACGATCTTTCAGTTGCATCTACACCAGCACATTGGCGTACATCGTAGACGCTAACGTAGGCCTTTCGTCGACCGCAGTCGCCACAAACAGCTGCATTCGAGGCCTGTTTGGCTTTGTTGCTACGGAGATTGCGGTGCCCCTTCAGGTGTGTAGGCTTAGGCGCTGCATGCAGACCGTCGCTTGCTTAACCGATCTCTTGACACACAGAATTCTATCGGCGATGGCGGCCTGTACTCTATGTGGGCTGGCTTGATGGTAGTTTCTGAGCTGCTCATCCTGCTCGTCTGGTGGAAAGGCGGCCAGTGGCGCGAGAAGTCAGCTTGAACGCCTTGTGGCCAAAGTGCAGGATACGGTGAAAATTACGCTTCGAAATGCCCGTCGCCACTGTCCGGACAGGGCGACGTAACGATAGAGTTTGGATTTTGTTTACTTATAGATGGGTGTGTATTATCATCTGTGTGTAATATGATTGTATTTGAGCGACCGACAAGTCGTCAGTGAAACCAAGTCATAAATCTCTGTCTACATATGTTCCTAATAGCAAGGAGATCCGGATGTCGTGCCATAACGGGGTACGACTACGACCGGTGTGTCTCTCAGGAATTCATGCTATCATGCTCAACAGTCTTAAATAAATCAGGGCACTGACGATAATTGCATGCGACGCCGTTTTAAGATCATACGGCAAAGTGCTGTGAATGCGAACCCGTGCCCTGACACACATTCTTTCTGCTTCGGGTCTTTGAATCTCGATTGGCGTTCGGTCCTCGCGTGTGGTCACTCGCTCCCAAGTTTACGGCTGCATTAGACTGGGGAGCTACTTGACCACCTTCCTAAGGATGAGAGACTGAGTATGTCTGTGAGACATTTCAATCAAGCACCGATGCTTTAGCTGCACCCTCGTGAGCAGCCGCACAATGTGTCGTATTTTGCTACAAAGTGAGTCACTTGTGTGGTTCCAGAGGTGACTGGACCGTCAAACGTTTTATTACGCGCTAGGGTATGTATGATTTCTACATCAAATTGAAAGTTCGATCTCGAAGGCCATGAAGCTATCCGAGAATACTTCACAACTCCATCAATCGAGCATTGCGAGCGGCAAGCAGGAGCTTCTCTACCTTCCCCCACCGTTCTACATGTTCGTCGGCTCCAGTTGCGATGATCTCTTGAAGATCAGGGAAGAGGATAGAGAGTAAGGAAGCGATATCCTCTGGCAGTCCTTCAATTGTGGAGTGACTGACTTTAAGGATCGCCAAGGGCGACGAAGAAGGATTTAGCATCGCCTGTGCGATGTCAGCCACAATCGCTTCATGGTCCGCTCTGACATCGACGTGCAACCAGATCCCGAGAGATAAGAGGTCCTTACAGCATGTCGCTAATGGTATGAGGGACCGCAATGTAGCAGGTGAGTGCAAATGCGATCGCGAGACTTGAATTTCGGCTTCCGCAAACTCTAAATGCTTCAGTCCTGGCCATGCCTTGGCCATCTCCTGTAGGACGTCGTCGTCGTGACCATACTCCCAGTCTGCATCAATGACGATCCTCTGCATTTGACAGAAAGGTAGCAGGGATCGCAGATAGTCCGAGTGGGCAATGGCACCGTGGGCTACCTCATTGGAGGGCTCGAACTCCAGTAGATGAACCGACAGGTTCACCAATCTGTCAGGGCAGAACTGTTGGCCGATAGCAGAGAACAGATCACCGAGGTGGGCCGCTGACGGATATGGGGTGATGCACAGTGTTGCTGACTTCACCTGTGGCAGGGAAACAAATCTGGCGAAGTTAATGTAGGATTCTGCGCTCGCTTCCACGATTTCTATGGTGGTAAGTGATGAGAGCTGGAGTGGCTGTCCACTGACAGGACGGGCCCAAGGCTTCCACTGATCACCAAGACCGAGCTGGAGTTCTTGAATGACTGATGAGGAAATCAGATGCGCCAAAGCAGGACCTGTCAACGGTGCGAATACGCATAGCAAGGTGCGCAGGCCAGAGAATCTGCATACGATGGATGAGAGGCGTTTTGATATTGCTCGGGAGGAACGAAGGGAGAGACGTGGCAGCGTCAGACTCTTGAGTGCTATACATTGGTTACCGACGGCGTCCAAGACTTCTGCAAGCCCTGAGAGGGTATCGCTCTTGTGGGGTGCGTAGGCCTTTTTCCCGAGGTACAGCTCTCGCAGTTTGGGCCCGACGTATACAAGCAAGTCTTTCCATGAACCCCGGTCTGAAATCGCACTGTGCGACCAGGGTCGCATAACTACCCGCCAGTCCAGGCTGAGAATACCGGGGAATAGAAAAGGGTGGGGGTAACGCTCTACTATGTGCGACAGTGCATCCGACGTGACTGCGTCAAGTCTGTAAGTGTGGGTAAAGCGCGAGAAGCGGCCTTCTTCTTTGACGCCCAAATGCCTTACAAGCGGTGCATATTTCTCAATTGCGACAAGGTCGGAAGCCACCAACGGCCTCACCAAAGTCTGAAGCAGAGAGCAGATGAGCGATAGTCACGCGATGACAACGATGCCGATTCGAGGACCCACCCAGATTCTAGTGTAAAAATATCCATCCAGGTCTTGAAAGATCAAGGCATCCTGAGGAAGCAGTCTAATGATAGGTGTAGCATTGCACAGCTGTCCCCACAAAACCTCAATGGCGGGCCCGTGAAAGGCATTGCACGTTCTAGCAAGGAAAGCCAGGCTCTTTCTGCCTCCAGGCCGCAGATAACGGAAGATCTGGAGAAGGAGCTCGTTTATAAAGAACAGAGGATGCATCCTGAGGGGAACTCGTGGCGGTAGAGCACTGTTCGATAATAGGATATCACTCACTTCTCGCTGAGGTACATACTAAGGCTTACCAGTTGACGGTCCCCCTCTTAAAGTTCTTAAAGTTGATGGTCAGGTAACACTTCGTCACATCAATGTGACGATGTCGATTTTAGAGTCCATTTTATAACTCCGCTCGCGTCCGTCGTGGCCATCGTGCTCCCAGGCGTGACATCGCCATCAAATCCCTCGGAAGAAGGGACTCATCAATGACTTATCTGTTCGCTCTGTTTCATGTTGGAGGTGAGAGCAGGCATACGAAAGTATAGGTGTCCATATAATTTTGAGGACGGTGGAGTGCCCGCCATCACAAACCTGGCCATCAAGAGAGGGAGGGGCATCCACTTATAAACCATAGAATCAGATGGTATGCGCGACTGCGGCTCACCCAAATTGAATCATGCTAGGAATGCAGCTCAAGACGCCGCGAAAGCGGCATCATGGTTCTGAAACAGGACCCCCTAGGTTTACTGTGTCATCTGCTGTATATTAATCGAAATTAGCCACAGCGAAGGTGCAATGATCAGATCTCCAACAACGTTGAGTTGTCTGATTCCCTCCCAGTCCTTCTATTGCACGCAAAGGCACGTCCATTCTCTTTCTGTCTCGACACCCTACACGGCACGAACAACATTATAGTCAAGGTATGCATCACCAGCAGCGAGGCTGTCCCGCCTCTCCCCTTCTACTGTGCAGATCTGTCGAGTCCACATCGCATATTGGATGCGCGATTCAGATGATTCAGCCCATGCGACTGTCTCTGGGAAGACGGTCTGCGACTCTGATTACCGGTAACATCGGCTGCGACAAGAACTTCAAGCTCGCAGGCGGCCTCGAGAAACAGAAAGTGAGGGATAATAATCGCAGCTCGATCTCGACCTCATTCGGTATTATGACGATCTTCATACGACTCACATTACAACGCGTTGAGATTATGCTCAGGACTTTGTGGCCAGCTGGCGCAGACGTGCAGAACAACCCAAAGTGGACATTTACCCCATAAACCTGAAGGAAAATATGGCGCCCATGAACAAAATTCACGCGGAGGTGTGTCTTCCTCTGAATGGGGCTGCGCGGTGGTCGAACACTGATCCCCTTGGATGTGCACTACGTCAAGGAGGACGCCTCTGTCCTGCCATTGGGTGCATGTTCCAACATTGAGGGCATCCGCAAACTTTCAAGAAACTCAGTACAGTGAGGTCCATGATGCTCCAGGTTAGCAGCTCAGCAAATCGTACAGAAGGCGTTATACGACATGTGTTTCAAATCTTGACATAATTGTTGCATGGTTCTATCCGCACGAGAGAGAACGAACCGCCCGTTGTGGGGATCTGTCCTATCTTCTACGTAGTGTACTTGTTTCGATGCCTGCAGAGCTGCCTCTCTATGACCCCCAAAGACGCCATCAGAGGTAGTGGCCGATGGCCAGAATTTACAGTATCATCGATCCCCATCATTTTTTGAGCTCCATGTACCTCCTTGACGGCAACAGGACAATGCAAGAGCTGTGGTCCGTAATACTTGCTAATTCAGCATTGATCTCATAGATCGTACAAGTATTTCTCTCGAGTGCGTTGCTTGTATAAATAGCCTAGCCATTATAGCTTTGGTGCCAGCATCGCCTCGCCCTTCAAGCCAGCCGACTCGCACCTCAGAGTTTATTCATGGATATCGACATTTCTCCGACTCCGACAAGGGACACCACCAGACGTGTCCAATATTGCTGTGAGCGCCTTCTGCTCAATAGATGACGTCAATGACATTTTATTCACCGTCTTCCGTAGCCAAATGTAAGAGAATAGGGAACACTGTATACATCTCAGCCCCCGTCAGCTGCGACAAGATGTGCCCACTCCAAGGGAGCAAGGGTGAGTTTGTCCATCGCAAATCCAACAGTACCTCATCGGGCAACTATTGCAGGAGCCAGGATCGCGAACATGATGGCAGCCGTTCAAGACGCCAGGAGCAACAAGGAGTACATCACAAAGCTGACGATGTACCTCACGCGCAAGGACAACCATCTCGACATGATGATGAGCATATCGGTGCAAGTAAGAAGCACCATTCTGCATGTTGTTTACACAAGTCGTCTAACGTAGCGGATAGTTTTTCAGGAAGCCAGAAGACGTGTCTCCTTGGACGTGCCTTGGCGTTTTGTCATCGAGTGCATCTGCGAGTTGCTGGGCCAACTCCAGCCATCCGCCGCTACGAGCCGAGAGCCTCTGAATGGCGCCTCGTATATGGCACGTTCACTCCGCGCCTGCCTCATGGGCTCCCCCAATCGGTTGCATGGTTGTTCACTGTACTCCTGCCTCGACTCTGTAGATAACTACACGTCTCATGTTCGAATAGACTCAATCCCCCGCCACATAAATGAAAGCTGTTCTACCTCAGCTCCCTTTCCCAAGCTCTGTTTGTTTCCTCTCTGCTCGAATCCTTCGCCCCAGCGCGATGTCTTGCATTAAAGAGGCGAAAATACTTCGAACAAGATCATCTGAAGGCCATTCTGAGATTATCCCAGATATCTCGGTTATGTAGCGCCACATAGTACACGGTGATAAGAGATCGATAATCTCAATAACGTCTGCATAACAAGCCGAGAGGGCTTTGAAAGCTGATGCGCGGCAGGTCAGCATCTCGATAAATCTGAGAGAAGCATGGCTAGCTGATTTTGGTCAATGATCATTGGCGCCTGTATAACGCGAGTGTCGCTCTGCGGCTCGCAGCTCACGTTCGCCGGCCCCCCGGACATTCGCCTATACCCTGGATCTTCCCAGAAGTCAGACGCGCTGAACACATTTGGAGGCATGAGCAACATCAAGATATAACGAAACGAGGATCATCCGCCGACACGCGCTGGCGAGCCGACAGCTATTTATTGAGGGACCTGCACAGCACCACCCTGAGACTCTTGCGTCCGACAACGCCCAGTCCGCGTTCGCGTAGCTCCGGCATCTCTCGCTGGATGAATCGATTCAGCTCTGCAGCGTGGCGCCGTTCGTTCAGACAGAACTCGAGCTTCTCCAGGTAGCGGAACGGGAGGCGCGAGAGCACCAGCGAGAGCTCCTCGATCCACGCAAAATCGCGAGGAACGAAATCGTTACGCGGCGATGCCAGGCCGATGTAGATGACGCGCACGCTGTCGGTCCGGATACCCCCGAGAAGTTGCGGGATCCAGGCAGGCGGAATGGGGGTCGCGGAGGCGCGGAGACAAGAGCAGGAGGCGCTGGGTGGCGTAATGAGAATGAGGCGGTACAGATTCGTGCATTGGTCCAGCGAGGCGGCCAATGCTGTTCGGCGTGGATCTTGTTCAGCAAATTTGTCTCGACGGCGCACACATGAACACCGCACCACATCATCACAACACGCACCTAGTCCATGCAGTCCGCAGGTAGGGATCGTCAGGCTCAGCGAGAGCAGTGCAGGTCCCATGGCGCGGAGCACCATGGGCAGTTGGTGCTGCAGGAGATCGCCGAGCCGACGTGAGGGCGAGTATCCGTCGGAGGCCGATATGACCAGATGGCGGATGTTGGCCGCTGTGAAATGGAACGCAACCCAGTAGGACAGCTCAGGGAGCGGCTGGACGCCAGAGCCCAGATGCAAACTCAGCGTGTGCAGCGATGCAGGCACGCAAGGCACGCGCCGACGCGGCTCGTCGACCGTGCAGTACGGAGGCAGCGCCAGCACCTCCAAGGACCGGAAGAGACGCAGAAGGCCCGCCAGGAGGGCCGGCTCTGGCGCGATCAGGAAGCCCGCGAAGCCGAGGATCCTGACCGGCGCCGCCAGCACAGTGAAGAGCGCCGTGTGGGCAGCGGTGAGCTGGAGGGCAGCCACCCTGAGGATCGACACGTGCCGGAGGCGGTCGAACACCGGCCTCAGGGCGCGCGCCTGCGCCTGCGCGGCGTCCTCGTTCACCGCCGTCGTGGAGTCCTTGGCCTTCGCATAGAAGTCGACCGTGACGTCGCGCACGTGGCGCGCGAGGCCCGGCGCCCTGGACAGGATCCCCAGGAAGGCGTGCGCCCTGCCGGCAGACAGCTTGATCGCGCGGAAAAGATGGTAGCGCGCCGCGGCGCGCCAGGAGCGGCAGACTAGGTTGCACGCGCACAACGCACGCGTGTCCTTGTGCAGGAAGTCGATGATGATGTCGCAGATCTCTGGCGGACACTTCGGTCCTGCGCGGTCTCGCTTGGACACGGCGAGCAGGGCCAGCGTTCCAGTGTCTGCGGGCCGGGGCCGGGCTGTTGCTGGTGTCATCGTCGTGCCTCTGGCATTGTACACGTCGTGGATGTGGATTTCCGGCCTCTTCCTGCGCCGGGTCGGGAGACGGAAGAGCGCCATGCTACGTGGATGGTCATGGCCATTAGGATTATGTCATGGCACAACGAATCACTTACGTCGGCTCGGCGTCGCATACAACTCTCTTGAGTGTGTCTGGCTCGGAGACCACCGCAACACGTCCTGCAGGACCTCAGCGCGAAGGGAGGTAGCGAGTGAAGAAGCACAAAAGGTCAACTCGATTTTACCTGTACTCCGGAAACGCACAGGGTCCCCAGCCCATCACCGTGCATGGGACTAAGATATTGATGCGCGCCTTCAAAGACGTAATTCGTACGCTTACCGACTGTCGTATGGGGATAATGCGAACACCATCGCCCTACAACCTAAGTCATAGGCGGGTCAGACTTTCTGAGCCAGTCGGTGGGATCAAGGCGTCTTAGTGGGCAGACCTGGCTTCACAGACCAATGTGTACATCGTGATTCGTCCGGCACGCCACACAGCGAAGGCATCGGCGGACTCACCTGTGACCTCGGCCCCAATCGCGCATGCACCGGGTCGAAGCTCTCGCCCGCGCACCGAGGCGGTCCTACTCAAATACCACGACGTCTATTGGGTGGGGGCGATCGCGCGCGAACAGATACATACATGATGTAAGAAGACGAACGATGCGAACGGGAACGGGAATGTAGAGCAAACACAAATAGGGGCAGCGACGGGTCCAGACTCGCGAACGAAAACGAACGTGCGTACGTACTACGTATGGGCAGAGGCGAATAGGGCGGCGCGGCCCTGTGTCATCGAGACGAAGAGAAAATAGGGGGCTGTTACTGCCAAAAGCAAGAGGCTCAACAAGCAAGCGAGGGTGATGCGGAGAACAAGAGGGATACATGGCTGTGAGCAGTGGTGTCAAAGGGTAAATGCAGAGAGGGTATGGCAAAGGGACAGTGGAAGTGGATGTCAAAAATGGGCGAGGAGACAAGAGACAGACAGACAGGACAGTGGGGATACATAACCTGGCGTACGTGAGGCGGGAACAGCGATCGGTCAGAATCAGATAGATAGGGTACAGATGTGTTTTTCTCGTCTTCTCCACACTCGAGCGCACATGGGTTGCGCGCCAGCGTGCCTCCGCGTCCTGTCGCGTCTATTGGTGTTTATGTACAGCACTCCGGCAAGCGCGGTCGTGTTCGGGGGCGCGCATGCGCGGCGTGCCCTTTGAGTCGGTGCCAGAGTTTTGGGGGTGCAACAGGATTTGCAGGCGGCTGGCGATAGCGCCGCCTGGGTGGCGAGGCGATAACGCACACGGAGATCTATAGGTCTGCAGCATATATAGTCGCGAATAGTACCGAGTCGACTTCTTCCGGCGAGGCATCGTAGCAGATGATGGGGGATCACAAGCACAGGCACAGGGGGTGGGATCGCGTGCGCTCGCCGCCGCGGCGAGACTATGTGGGCTTGTAGTAGATCGTCGTGATGTACTGCAGAAGGAACGCGAGATCAGCACAGCGGACAACGGGCTTTAGCCTCACAGCACTTGTACGGCCGGAATGAAAAGCGTCCGTGCGTGTGTGCAAGGGGCAGAAAAAAGGCCCCTGCACCGGCCGCACTCAAAAGCCAGCACCAGCAGCCTTCGACAAAAACCACAACGCAACGCACCTTCTTCCGGTACCTTGTCGTGTTCGCCACCGCCAGCACCCCGTTCCGAATCGCGCTCGTGCTCAGATGGTGCAGCACAACGTGCGACGGCACGGGCAGCACGCTGTTGTCGTCCGCGAGCCCCGCCACCTCCAGCTTGCCCACCCCGCCGTTCGTCTTCGCCGCGCCCTCCGGCAGGGGCGACGACGGCACCGCCCCAGCCGTGACGTCTGTCCCGGATGCGGTGACGATGGGCAGCCCGAGCTGCTGCGCCGGGTGCTCGCCCTCCGCAAAGTCCGCCGACGTGCTCGACGTCATACCGAGGGCCGACGGGCGCGGGCGGCCCTCCCTGTCGCGCTCGCGCCGGGACCGCTCCTTGCCCGACCGGCGCGACCGCTCGCGTTCTGTCGGCCCCGGGGAGCCCGGTGCGTTCGCAGGGCGCACGTTCAGGATGAGCTTGTCGAGGTGCCGCGGCAGGACGGGCGCGGGCGGGATGTTCGGTGCAGGGATCCCGCCGAACGCAGAGGCAGAGGAGCTCGACGGCATGTCGTGCGAGTCCGTGGAGGCGAGATACGCCTCCTCTTCGGCTGCGGCGGCGACGAGCTCGAGCGGGATATCGGACGTCCAGCGCGGCTCCTTGCCCCGGCCCGGCTCCTTGGCGTCTTCGACATCGTTGATACTGCCGGCGGTGCTGCTGGCGTCGCTGAAGAAGCTGTTGATGTGCGCGGGGTGAACATAATGAGGGCTCTGCAGGGGCGAGACGGAGGTCGCCGCTGGGGCAGTGGCCATCTGGGGCGATGCGGTCATCGGAGACGTGACGGCGACATAGTTGGCCAGCGATCCATCACGGTCATCGGCCGCGGTAGGCAGATCGTCTGCGATGCGCCACTGGTCATCAACGATGAATTTGAGGTGGTGGGTCCCGGGGAGCAGCGAGACATAAGTGGACCAGTAGCCGGTGGTCGAGCTGGGCGTCGATGGTTAGCTGGAGACATTGGAGGGGACGTGAACATACTCGAAATCCATGGGCTGCCTTCCCTGCCAGTTGTCGTCCCCCGCACGTGCGAGAACGACGGACCTGCCCCCGCCATGCCAGACGATCTTGACGGATACAGGCTCGGGGTTGGTCGCGTCTTCTTCGGCCTTGATGAGGGCGAGAGGGAGAGTGCTGTGGACGACCTCGGGGACGAACCGCGGTCTGGGGAGTTCCTCGCGGACAGGGGAGGTGTCCTGGACCCTTGACATAAAGGAGCGCGTGGAGGGGTTGGCGCTTGGCAAGTAGGAGGACCTGTACCTTCCGCGGGGGACATTGAAGGTGGATGGGTCGCGATTGTAGTTGTTCAGCGCGAGGTGGGCGGCGGAGGGGAGGTTGTTCTGGGGGCGGAAGGTCTGGGGCGTGGGCTGGGCCGATATAGGAATAGGGATGGGCGAGGAGGCGCGTGGCCGGCGGTGTGCGCCATGGGGCGAGACGGAGGCGGGAGACGAGGAGGAGGGGGTGAGTGCGAGGGACGCCAGGTCGGGCAGCTCGAGGGACTTTTTCTTTGTGCGAAGGGAGGGGTGGACGCGGTGGGAGGAGGTGGACGAGGGCGGACGAGCGGGGCTGCCACGGCGGACGGGGGACTGGGAGTGGTTGTGCTGGGACGCGGGGTTGGAGGAGGAGGTGGTGTTGCCCATGCTCGACGGCGGGCTGAAATAGCGTGTGGACGGAGCAGAAGACTGGCCGTGGGTCGTGATACAATCAATGCGCTGCTCATGCCAGATCGTCCCCGCCCCCTCCTCTGGGGCCCCTTGTTTGGCCCTGTTTGGCCATGCGCCCCCTCGTCATCCTCATTTACTCACCGCCATCCTGATCATAGGGGCCAATGACGACTAACAGCGCCCGAGCTACTTCCAACCAGGATAGCGCAATAAGGCTAGCTTGGGCAGCCTGCAGTGTGCACCGCCGGCATGCTAGTTCTTCGTGCGGGACGGTGCGACTCGGAGACGGACACCGTTGGAATTGTCGTGATGGTGGCGGAAGCCTGCGCGCGATCGACCAGGCACGGCCCTCCTCCGTCATCGCGCAGCTTCTGTCGTTCGCACAGGAACGCTGCACGACATTGTCTCTGCGCACTCAGCAGAACGTCGCACGCTCATCCGCGCCCCGGCACCGATCCGCGACACGTCCAATCGTTCTCACGAATTCGTTCCGTCCGCTCGCGCCCGTCGTTCCGTTCTTCCTCCATGCCACACCTCGCTACACCCCCAACTGTAACGGACACCTCTTTTCCAGAAACCCCACTCGTCTATCGCAACCATGAACCCAGACGACGACGCGTATTCAGCAGTCCCACTCGCACGCTATTTCCTTGCGCTAAACCCTGTTGCTCCTCAGCCAGCGTTACCCCATGCACGCGTACAGCAAATGTGCTGTGCTCGCATGTGCCATCCACCGCAGCACAGCGGGTGTGCGCGGCCTCACCATGCCGTCTTCCGCTTCCGTGCGCACTTCGCGGACGTTACCAGGACGTAAAGCCCACGAGAACCGCTCTCACGCGCCATTCCTGGCCCCCGACGATCCCGCCGCACTCCCTGGACCTCGGACTGCGTTCCAAACCTTAACGGCTATTTTCTGCCGCAGTCGCGTACGCGTCCCGCAGGCCCGGTGCGTGCGCGTACGGCGCACCCTGTGTGGAGCGCAGGGTATGCTCGGCCAGTGTGCGTCAGAGCGCGCTTCCCTGCTGCTTCGGCTTGCTGCTGCTTCCCACCATTCTCATATGCGAGCGTACGCGGATGCGGAAGCACGCCCGCCCGGTCTGCGCACCATACGCGTCGGCGCGCATCAGGGTCGACGATCCGCTCTGAGTAAGCGTCTTGGTAAGTGGTGGCGGCGGGCCCACGTGCCGGGGAGGACTTCATCCTCGCCCAGACGAGAGCAGTCGCTCAATTGGGAGTTCTGCATTGTGGAGCGAGGAGCCGATCCGACGCCTGGCGATCACTGATGGAAACACGGTGCGGTGGTCACCACTTGTGGGAGGGATAGTCGCAGCGTTGTCTGAAGACGGTTAAAGAGCCTTTGATGACTATATGCTGGCTAGAATAAGAAAAATAAGCTGTTTGGCCGCGTTGAACTGACTATATGCGTTTCACAAGACAACGTCGATGATTAAAATAAAATGGCCAATACTCGCGATAAATTCCAACACGAAGCGTGTTCGAACTGCAACGCACGTATACAATAACCAGCGTGGACCCTCCCAATACGTGCTCGAACAGACACGTCCAAACACAACGAGACACTCGACCCCGAAGCGTGCTCGACTAGCAACGCACACAGACTACTGACCACGTATCACGAAGCGTGCTCGACAGCGACGCGCGAATAACGAAGCTATGGACAAACAAGGTACTCACTATGTACGTGCGACACTCGGGTCACTCGTCCGTACCAGCGCAGAGAGCGAGAATGAGAGAGATGGTAATGGTTTGAGGGAGAGAGGGAAGATGGGATTACAGGACGTTGACCCGGGTTTATATATGTACAGAAGAGACAAGACGGATGATGTCACGACCAGCTTGAGAGGAGAGAGATGACGTATACGAGAGACAGAGCTTCAACCTGTCCGATCGACCAACACATGTCCGAATCCGGCAAGCCACTATCCGAAACGAGACGGAAGCCCTTTCCTGGGCACAAGCAAGCTAGGCCCGACGCTTTGAGTTCAATTCCGCACCCGCCAATGTCTCAGTCTCCCGAGGATGATGCCTCCGGCGCACCATATTTACACGCGCGTCCTGCCGCCCTCAGGAACATGATGATGCCAGCATCCTACAGCGATCACTTCATTTCTCCATCCACGCCGGCTTCGCAAGCCCTAGAGTCGAGAGGAAATGTTCATATGCACTTTTCACTTTTCGTTCAATAAATGTTAAGAAATGAAACAAGAGAAAGAGAAATGAAAGAAAGAAAAGGAACGTATTCGCTGATGTTTCTCCTCAGGATCCTCTCGCCGATGTCGCTTCGGCTTCAACGCGTTTTCCCCCACCACAACGGCTAACAGGCATGTGCAGGCCGTCGCTCGCGCGGTTGTCCCGTCTCAATGCTGTGCATCCGGGAACGATCCGCGCCCGCCAACGCGTCGGGCGCAGGTGCTTGTTCGCGTCCGTATTGGGTATTGGGGGCGGTCCATGGACCATCCAAAGGAAAGGGAAGGGAAGGGGAGTACGGAGCGACGGCGGAAAATGGTCGTCGCGATGTGCTGAAGCGAACAATGAGACGCATGCCTCGCAGGTACACAGCCACCCTATTTCTCCTCTCCTCTGCGGCTCGCGTCGAGAACCGCGCCTGTGCTCGCTTCGACGCGAGGGCTTCGCCGTTGAGGTAAGCACGAATAGACACAAAGTGCGATCACGGTACAGCTAAGTAGGTGAATGTCGTCGTTTGAGCGTAATTTTGAGCCAAAGGCGCTGTCGTTGGCATCATGTACTTTCGGACCTCCCGTCGCGAACGTTCCTAGTAGAGAGCCTCAGCGCTTGTTCTTGTGTATGACGATCGATCGGCGCACGTCACAACGCGCCTTATACATTCAGAATTGCCGCTTATTAGATCTCGCTGGAAAGAAAGCGGGAAACAAGCAACCAGGAAAGGCGACGATGATCACATCTCCGGTCCTCGAACCAGCGACAAATAAGCGACTGCTCGTCGCAAGCGCTTGCAGAGTCTGACTTATGGCTTGCATAGTAGCCCGCCAACTTGATTGGCTGGTCAGCTGAAAACACGATCAGACCACGGTTGGTCGTATTACGCTTAGTCAGCTGCGACTCTTTCAGCGACCTTTCAGCGATCCTCCAACATCTGGGCGCTTGAAAGCAGCTAAAAATCGCTTCTTTTTAAGCGACGTTTAAGCAGCCTAGTACTTACTTTCGCTGACCGACTATGGGATTGCCCACTCTCCTCGTATTGGTGAACGACTGCCTATGTGAGGCGACAGACCAGCAGAGTAAATGCTGCTGCTCTTTGGACGAATAGAGGCTCCAGCGTGTCCGAATCTCCTTCATACCAACACGTCCTATACTACAGCGTGTCCAACCCACATTGGTGGCTACTACTTCAGCGTCCTACCCCTCATGAGAGAGAGAGACAGGTGCTGGCGGAAGCGCGTGCTGATCGTAAGTACTGCTGGCTGGCGATCCGAGTTGTGCCTCAAGAGCCTTCGTCTTGCGATTTCCCGACTTCCATATTCGGAAATCCTCGTTGCGGCGGGGCGCATTCTGGCGCACTGCAGGTCTTCCTCGGCTCCATTTCCAGATCCTGTCCAGAAGGAACACCTTGCGCGTGCTGCGATCCCGGGCATAGTACCGCGATTGGACTGCGCGCCGTGCCTTCCTTCAAGTCTTCGACGCGAACAATCATCTCTGTGGCGGAATGGAAGACAACTGGCTGGCGCCCCGCCAGGAACAGGTCGCAGCCTGACGACCGTCGGTGGCGGACCACACCCCTCGTCCTCGCAACAGTCGCATCCCCTGACTGGCGCTCACGGCGGCGAAACGGCACGTTCCTTGCGGCCTTCTCAGCGCTATCGACCACGAAGCTTCCAAATCCAGATATGAGGACTTCGTCGCCCATTACTTAAACGTGCTGTATCTACCCGGTGCGCTCTCTCCCTTGCGCTTCTTCTCTCTCTCCCCGGCCCCCGCCCATCTCCATCTGCGCAGCCTCGAGGCGAGGGACGACCGGTTGCTGAGCCATTGTACAGTACGCAGCGTGCGGTGGGCGATGGACTCGAAGAGCTGTTCGGAGGTCATAGCAAGGTGTGCCTGGTCTTTGTGACACTGTGCGGCACGCGCGTTCACACGTCTTGACAGAATGAAGCTGCTCGTGCGCATCCGCAAATGCTGCAAACACCTGGTGCGATGCTTCACCCACAAGAAGCGTCGCAAGGCGGATGTAGATGAATGGTCACCCGCTGTGGCGCCAGAAGTCCTCCTCCCGAGGCTCCCGCCTGAGCTGTGCGACAGAATCATAGACTTTCTGTACAACAGCCCCCGTGCACTCTCGGCATGCTGTCTCACCTGTAGATCCTGGGTCCCCGCATCCCGCTTCCATCGGTTCCGATCCATCTTCCTGACCCCTTTTCGAGCAGAGCGCTTTCTGCACATCCTGGAGACCAATCCCGATACAGCGTACTACGTCGAGACCGTCGTGGTTCACTTCCAAGGGCGCGACCCCACGGCGACGCTGCTCGAGCTGCAGGAGGGGAGTGCCGAGACGCTGCGAAGGGTCTTTGAGCAGCTGCACGCCGTGACCTCGCTCATGATCACCCGCCTGTTCATCACGCCCAAAATGACCGACCTGTTTTCCGTCCTCGCAGCGTCCGTGAAGTCCCTGGACCTCGTCGACATCCTGATCGGGGACCCCATCAGCCTGGACACGATGATCAGCGCCTTCCCCTCGCTCGAGAAGATTGTGACCGCGGACAAGATGGTGCTGGACGTCACCACGTCCGGCAGGAGCACCGTTGTGCTCCCGTCGTCCATCCGCACCCTGCGCCTCAACTTCCCGTACGGCCCGCACGCGTTCCCGATGTCGTCGTGGCTGCACTCGAAGAACCTGACGCAGCACGTGCGCAAGCTAATCGTCGACGTGCCCACGCCGCTCATCCAGCGGCGGCTGGACACGATCACGAAGGTGTCGTTTGCGCTCCTCTTCGACACGTTCGGCCCTGCGCTGGAGACCCTGGAGTTGAACATGCCGCAATCGCTGCGTCTATCAGGTGCGCCGCACGCGTGCGCCACTGCCCATATATGTATCTGCTGACACAAGACCATGACCGCCCCGCGCGCGCCACAGACATCCCGTTCACGTTCAAGCACTGCACGAGCCTGCGGCATATCACGTTCCACGCGACGCCAGACTGGTTCTGCCCCGTGCACGCGGCGGCGAACCCGTTCCCGACGTGGGCGCCGCTGTTCTTGTCGCGCATCGAGGTCGATTGCGTGCGCACGATCGCGTTCGCGCTGCGCCTGCCGGACACGCCGGAGCCGCGCGACCTACACTGCATCGAGGAGTTGGCGCTGCCGCTTGCGCGCCCTCAGTTCCGCGCGCTCGAGCGCGTCACGTTCCGCGTGAGCGGCGAGCGGCTGGAGAAGGAGCTGCTGGCCTTTGTCAAAAAGGAGATCCCGGAGCTGCACGACCGCGGGATCGTCGGCGTCGAGGTTGAGCGCTCCATGCCCCCGCTTCTCGTCTCGCCGCTACTGTCGAGTCAAAGAGGAGGCCGCCTGTTCGCGGGCTTTGGACCGTGATATCCTGGATCGCTTCCGGTGGTATTTTTGGCTTTTTTTGTCTTCGCCCGCGCGGTTTGCTTGTTTTGGCGTCATTGTCGCTCGCATTGCGGTGACGTCATGATTGTAAAGTAGTAGTACTGCTCGTTAGCGTCATTGGACGCTCGCGATTCAAGCGATGTAAGTATGTGCTTCTATCCTCTGTCACACTCAGCCTTTGTCATGTATATCACTCCGAGTCTTTCCACTCACCATGTTGTATCGCCAGGGCTTTTGACGCTGTGGGAGGGACAGTCGCATCGATGTTCGAAGATGGCTAGCTAGAATAAAAATAAAAGTTGTTTGGCGGCGTTGTACTGACTATATGCGGGTTCGCGAAACAACAACAACGCACGTAGACGATCAAACAACTAGTCTCGAAGCGTGCTAGACAGCGACGCACGTTCAGCGATGTGTGCCCAAATGGCTACGCGCGCACGATACTATGAACGAAAGAAGTACTTGCTATGTACGTGTGACACTCGGGTCAGTCGTCCGTACCAGCGAGGAGAGAGCGAGGGAGATGGTAGTGGTTCGAGGGGGAGGGAAGATAGAATTACAAGACGTCGACCCGGGTTTATATATGTACAAAACAGACAGGAGGGATGATGTCATGACCAGCTTGAAAGGAGAGAAACAACGTATACGAGAGACAGAGCTTCAACTTGTCCAATCAATCGAAACCTGTCCGAATCCGGCAAGCCACTATCCGAAACGAGATGGAAGCCCTTTCCTGGGGACAAGCAAACTAGGCCCGACACTTCGAGTTTAATTCCGCACCCGCCAATCTCTCAGTCTCCCGAGGATGATACCTCCGACGCACCATATTTACGCGCGCGTCCTGCACCCTCAGGAGCGTGATGACGCCGGCATCCTCGATCGACTTACAGCGATCAGTTCATCTCCCCGTCCACGCCGTCTTCGCGAGCCCTAGAGTCGAGAGGAAATGTTCGTACGTACTTTTCGCGTTTCGTTCGATAGCAGTCAAGAAAAGAAACCAAAGAAAGAGAAATGAAAGAAAGAAAAGGAACGTATTCGCTGATGTTTCTCCTCAGGATCCTCTCGCCAACGCTGCTTCGGCTTCAATGCGTTTCCCCCACCACAACGCTCCGTTCCATTACAATGTATCGTACTCCGCTACTCAAGTGCACTACAGGTCGTCCGCGGCCACTACGTCATTGAAAGTGTCTTGATAAGCTCGAATTCAGCTCGTCTGAGTAAGTCACAATTCGATCAGGGGCTTCAGCGAAGAAGTGATTCTCTTGTAGCGCATCAGCCCCTTGTCCCGGGATGATGAGTACCTACATTACGACTCGTTAGGCTCCGGCAGCGGCGGGTCCACGAAGCCTGGCGCGGGGCTTCCCTGCACGGACGAGCTGTATGTTTTGCCAGCGTCATAGCAAAGCACCACCAAGAATGCTAGCTACACGTCCGCCATCGACACTTCCTAACCTATCATGGTCACTAACCACCGCGTGCTCGCAACATGTGTGCCCCCTGCGTAGAAGAGGACATGCCATGTGCTACCAATTCGGATGTTCTCCGCGAAGGACACCCTTGGGGACGCGCCGCCATTGGCGTCCCCGCACGTACGCACAGGTTTTCCGCAAGCGTTTGTGATAACTCACCGCGCAGACGGGCCTCGCTTGAGACAGGATGGCTTCGTGCTTATATTGTTGAGATCCAGACCAGCCATTTGAGCACTTGTCCAACGGAGGCTTTTTGGGCATGTTGTGCTTCAGAGTGTCATCGCGGAGGTCCGTGTGAGCGGACGGTTGCGCAAGAGATTTGCAGGTGTAGTCGAAGCAGGTCCCGTATTGAAACCTCTTGGGGCCTGAAAGACATTGAAGAAGGCCCCATCGGCAGAAGTGTAAGCATATTGATACCTTCGCTCGCGCGAAGCACTTTCCAAACCTTGAATAATGTGGATGATACTATTGGCCACGCTGGAGACTCGAGAGCGTGGCGGGCAGGACTGAGGCAATTCCTACAACCTTCTACGCCCAAGAAGCAGGGAGTTTATATGCCTTGCAGATCGGCACATCACGACAGGCACACACGAGGGGAACAGAATTGCACAGAGATGATCGTATGGCTGACAGTGACCACAACGACCAGCCATGGCGGACCTTTACAGACGTCATATCGATACACACATAAATGTAAGAGAACACAATGGTCGTACCCATGCTACCAGTCGCACAGGCAGCACATCTAATCCTCGATCTCAAGATCTCCATACGGCTTCACCCTGAAATAGCTCTCGTCAAAGTGATGCACGCGCACGAAACCATCCTCTCCTCCCGACGCGAAGCAGTCGCCTTTTGGAGAGACCGCGATGCTGTGGGCGTAAGTAACACGAGTCAGCAAACACGAGGCGAGGACAGGGGGTGCAAATACAGACGTGTTGATTGGCCCGAAGTGGCCTTTTACCCGCCCGACCTCTTCTTCAAAGACCTTGTGCCAGAAGCGCGTCTCGAACTTGCCCTGGCGAAGCGACGTCGTCGTCACACTCATGGCATCCTGTCCACCACCGAGCAGAACCTGTGGACAGGGGTGATCAGCGACTCAAGAAACATGAACTGCAGTTTGCGTACATAAGGCTTTCCTCGCGCGATCGCAGCGCTGTTCAGCGGGGTCTCAGTCGAATATGTCTTGAGAACCGTCAACGTCCTCGTTTCGTGAAGCTGGTTTCTCTTGTCAGTGCGGGCTGCAGCAACCTATAGTGTACGTACCCGCGCCGTCTTGTCCTTGGAGCTGGTGATGAAGTATGAGCGGTCCGGAGAAAGCTGCAAATCCGTGACCAGATCCATGTGGGCGCGCTCATTAGAGAGCACCTCCTCTCCAGTCTTTGCGTCAAATAGGGCGACCTTGCCAGACTCGTGGCCCATCAGAATAAGGTTCGGCGTATGTGCGAACGCGCACAGCGTCGCTTTTGAACCCACGGGGTGGAACATAGATGTCGGTTCCTTTGGCTCTAATGTCACAGTCTACGTTCAGGCCGTGGGGACGAACATGACAAAACAGACACGTACGGTTGGTCCCATCATCCTCCCGGTTGACGCTGAATATCCGCACTGCGCCCTGATGCCCCATGCGTTGTTCCGTAATGCAAACGATCTGGTCGTCCTCGTCACTAAATGCGACCCGCTTGACGGCGGTTGGGAACTCCCATCGGTACAGACATTTGCCCGTCTGCACAGACCAGAGGCGCATAGTGTTATCGGCGGAGCCGCTAACCAGGAAGCGTGATTGAGCTGCAGTAGCATGAACAGATGAGATCGCACAGTATGAGTGGCAAAATTGACGTTATCAGGCTGAGCAGGGTTCAAAGATGAGATGGGAAGGCGTACAGTCAACGTCGAGCGTCCACACTGTCCCATTATGCCCGTCGTATGTCCCTAGCCGCTCGCCGTTATGCGTAAACCAGACGTTGATGACATGATCTTTTGAGCAAGAGAAAAGTAGGTCGCCCTCGGGATTAAACTTGATTTGGGTGAGCGACCGCTCGTGTCCTGGGCAAGAGTAAGGTTTCGCACAGGAAGGATCGTAAAGATGAGAGCAAACCTTGCAGAAGAATAGGCCTCTATAATTCTGTGAGAGCGCATTCTGAAGAGATGATTACAGCACATACCATCCTGTCGACGAGGAACGGGGCAGCTGGATATAAGAGGAGGTGTATAGGGCAAGGTGTTTGGTAGCTTCCGCTTCAGGCTTTTCATCGGCAATTGCCGGACATTAGATCTCAGATCCTCAGCGTCGCCGTGGGATACTTATGTAGGCGTCCTAGTAGCCCCATCGGTTTGTAACCTTACCACATCTTGATACTTATCTACCAAGGACGGTCTCTCTACCGGTCGTCTTTTCCAGCGTTGTTTTTACAAGAACTATCTGCGAAATGGTAGACTACATATGTGATTTCTCTAATATGCAAAACACAAGAAGGGCATCTTGTGTCTCAATGTGAGTATGGTTATATCCCACGGGCATAGTCTCGTACTTCCTTGTTTCGGATAGCTCATCGATGACCCTCTTCCAGTTTGACTGTGTCATATAGGCTGCGTTTTTGCTGTAGAACAGCTCTCGTAACTGCCGCAAAACCGCGCGGAGATAGAGAGCCACGCCTGAGCTATTGGTGGGTGTTGACGTATCAACGGACAATGTACAGATAGTGTTATTGAAGTATATGTCAATGGGGATGGACGGAACGATGCTGATATTCAAGCCCATCCTTATGTGGCAGGGTCCGCGACATCGCTGCGCAAGCGGCAGGAGCACATCGAGGCGAGGAGAGATTCCCATCGCATAGATTCTGGAGAGACAGCGCCTTGATATGCAGTAATACTTGCCAGAGATCAATTTATTGATCTCATCAAGTATTACCGCATATCAAGGTATCGCAATGACTGGATGTCCAAGAGCGGCCTCAGTGTTGCAACGAGACCACATCCTCTGAGCCGTCAAGATGACTTGACCCGGTGGCATCCATACGTAACAAGAGCACTTAACGAAAACAAGTTGAAACCGTGACATGGCCCGAATATGCTTGGTCAAGAGCCCAGGTGAGTTCGGTTCTGCGACGGTGATGAGTGAGTGATGTCAAGTTGATTGCGTCCAGCAGCAGAGAGATGGATCCATCCAGCCTGTTGAGTCCAATGTCTTCAGAGCAGGGAAGGAGCATGCTAGAAAGAGTGTTTTTGACAGTTGATCTGCGCTCGTATCAATAGCGAGCATGAGGTTAGACATCTTAGCCAGCGCAATAATATTATCAAAGGTGAGAGTACCAGTGACGTAGAAGGTCGTGAATTTACCTTCTCAAACTAGTGTATGTCGACGGAGGAGGTGAGGCGGTGCTATGCCAGCCCCAACGTTGGTGCATCTGGCTTCCTCTCAGGATCGGGCCAAAGCCCTCAGTTGATTCGTAGCTATACCAGAGTGCGTTTATGCTATCGACTCTCTATCAACTTGTAATCCTCCTCTTACTCATGCCTTGAGCTTGTAACCGGCGGATCATGAACCCGTCATTGGGGTATTGTACATCATAGTCAGACTACTACATCACGGTGATGGTATTGGGCCTCATGGAGTCGATGTCTCGCATGCAATCATGAAAACACCTCCACTTGTACAGGGTCAATGTAGGCATCTTCACTATGGCTTAGGTGATTGTGTACCTCCGGACGGACCCTCGATGTAAGCTATGGTTGTTCCGACGTGTCATACCATGTCCTGACCTTCGTTGGATATCTGGGGTCTGCTTAGAGCTTAGCCTCAACATCGAAACTGCCTCTTTTTGGTTCTCATTATGATGTGTGCTGGAAAGCTCGCTAGTCACGGTCCTTTGGTCCGACCTTGCACAATGGTATTCATAATTGTATTCTTAACGAAGGCAAATGTCACCATACACCTATAGAGTGAATATCCGTTGACAGAGTACAACGTGCACAACCATAAATGGCAAGATGGTCCGCACATGTACCATTACACGCAATCGTGTATCGTCGGCATGGTGAGCGCGTTCTATCCTTGCAATGTAAAACTCACGGTGTGCATGATCGTAAATAACTTCAACAATCCTAACGTCATTAGAGTTCGCTCCAGCTACTGACGACATGTTGAAGATAAGTTAGACGTAGACCATGATATAAATATGTATTTTAACGCACTGGTCGATGAAAGCGATATGATAGTGCGATGTGTCCAGCTATTGCACAATAGCCATTGACCTGTTGTTGCACTGCAGAAACATGTGAAGGCTGAGAACGCAAAGATTGAGGAGGCCGAAGCGTCTGCTCTTCTCAAGCGCAAGCGCAACAAGAAACATAGATGTTTCGCCTCCAAGGCTGGAGGGGGAGCTGTTGGCGAGAAGAGGCGGCTGAGTGCAAGCCCTAACATCACGAGGTCAAGACCGCGCATTGCCAACCGCCTGATGCGCTCTGACGCGCCTTCGCACCTTCAATTAAATGGACCCTTGCGGGTTTGAGGGCTTCCGAGGTGTTACATGGAAGCGCTGTCGAGCGCGCCTTCCGAGCCTGTCCACTCCATTGATCTATGGAAGGCCTCGAAGTTATGCTGCGTATCATACAGCGAATACCCATACCTGTACGCAGCCGCCGGCCGGCACTGGCATGCACAGACTATTGTTAGATGAACCAGGACGACCAAGGAACTGAGCGCTCTTGCGATGCCGCATAGACAATGAAGGCTCGGGACGATTGCAACGCGCCGTGTGGCCAGGTACCGCGGTCCCAGCGTCGTATTCGTGTCAACAGCTACGATTCCCACCGATGGAATGATCCCAAAGCCTCAACGTTTCCAAGTAGCCTGCAGGCCAGAGACGCCGACCATTATTAGAAGCGAGACCGCCGGCCACCGCAGCTGGAGGACGCAAATCTAAGCACCTGTGTCGAGGATAGAGCGGCAGCACAGCTCAGAAATATGAGAGAAGCAACATGACATGAGAGAACGAGCTATGAGAGGAGAAGGCCATGAACGTACGGACGAGGAGAGGTAGCCGGATCCGGTGCAGCTTGCAGAAGCGCCAAGCGCCCAGGGTCCCCGTATGGATCTTTCCATATATGGGCGTATATCTCATCCGTGTCCTGTTCGTCGCTCCCAGCCAGGTCCCACTCGTCCCTTCTGTCCCTACTTCTTCCACTACGCTCACGACTCCCACCACCGCGCTCCTTCACTTTAGACGAGCCTGTAGAATCACCGACCCCCCCGCGCAATCCTCGTTTCAGCCATCCATGGCCTCACTCACATTTCTCTTTCTTATGCTCTGCCCATATGCGGGCGCATACGCCTCAACAGACGACGTCCGTGCACGGCCGGCACCCCCAAGCCCCATTTCGCGCAGGGGCCTGCCCTCAGTAGGATTCTACAACCCCACCAGCGGCGGCGGCGACTGGCTGACGGTGCGTTTCCACCCTGTGTGCGCTGCGCAGGCGCTGAGACCCTTTCCCGTTACTAGCAAGTACAAGATACATATCCGCCCGGGCAGGGCGAGCCTATCAACGTCGTCATTTCCGGTGACTCACAATCCGCGGTCCTGCAGAATCAGGAGCTGGACGGCGGGCTGCTCAACTACTTCATGTACGTCCCGTTGACCCAACCTGCAAACCGCAGCACGATCGCGGGCGCTAATATATGGCAGCTCATTCGGCTACTCGACGGAATGCCTCGGTCAGCACCAAGGTGCCCCGCAAGCGGCCAACTTAGGAGATGGCTTGGGTTATGGTGTGTCACATTGTGCGCTATGAGTTCCGGTTGCGGTGATTGACGGCCTCGTAGTGAACCAGACGGCTGAGATTCGGTGGGACTACGGGAACCCACAGTTGGGCACGTGCCAGGAGACGATTGAGGGAGGCAGTCACTTCCGATACTGGTCCCAGAACGGTGCCAAGGCAAATAGGCATGTGTTCTACTCGCGTACCCAGAGACGTAGGTATTGATGCCAGCTCCAGCAACGCTGTGTTCATGGCGGCATCGTATGAGCTACCCGAGACAGGTGCGTAGTTTCATGAAATGGTATACGACGTACCTAACTGCACAAACTTATGAAGACCAGCACAACATCGTTTTCGACGGGTGCGTCCGCGTTAGCCAGGTGTTGGTTGGCGTATCTACTGCTAATATACATGCAGGTACAACCTCGGGCGCGACTGGCTCGTGGGCAACGTGACAAACCAGTCGAAGATCATCGACACTGCAAAGCTCAACAACGCGTCATCATACACAGGGCAGACATCGTATGATGGATACACTTACGAGACAACAGCAAAATACTACTGGGGATACCTGCCAAACACAAGCTACGCCGTGAATCATAATGGCAGCGTAGCAAACGCGACCATCAATGCCGTTGACGGATGGCTAGCAGTGCTGTCAGTGAAAATCGTGTCCCAGCCTGCTGCAACGAGGTGCGTCCAGATCAATCATGCATATTAAGTTAAGTGCTCACCGTTTGATCTCCGGGCCGGTATTTAGCGATGCGCGGATATCATGGTCGATTCCGTCATGGCAGACCCTGTGCCTGCCGCTGGCCGTAATGCTCTTCGCGCACACCGTCGCCGTCTCGCTATCTATCTAGAACCCTCCGTCCCTCTCCGACCCCACGGACTGACTGACCGGTTCGCATTCCGCTCGCTCTCTCGCTATCCGCCTAACGACCGTCACGACCTTTCTCTTTCTGCCCATCGATGTCCGTGTTGGCTGGGTCGAGCACGTCACCGCGCCGCAGATCACTCGCGATAAATTGCGCGCCTGCCTTGTGTCTGGACTTTGCCCCGCTCGTCGTCACTACTACTTGTGTGTCATAGTTTTCCTCTGCAATGTATACCCGGACTCGATGGACGGGCTCACTTACTCTTACGCAGACAGTTCTACGCGCTGTTTTTCTTTTCCTGTTTATTACTTACGCTTACACCCCCCTAGCGCGACGGAAGCCCCTTCCGCACTGTACCTACACCCACAACGAATGAGCCCACATCGCTTGTTACTAGAGTATACTGGTTGCGTCAATTCGAACGGACTCTTTCACTCGTACTCTGCTTAATTCCCTTAGCAACGAGCTGGGCTGTTCTAGCGGAGAGCGGGTGTCCGTCTGTCGACAGTTTTGCATCGGTAAATTTGCAAGGTCTGTGACGCCCGCATCTGCCGGGCGCAAATCCCCGCAGTACCAGTGTACCAGTGCGCACCAGACTGGAGGGCGGTGGTCGGTGGCGGTGATTCAAATTTCAGCAGGTGATCGGTGCGCCGCAATTTTCTTAGCGGTCTCGACTACACCATATCGGGAAAGATCTAAGGCCATTGGCCTCCGAAATTGTCCGAGCAGCCAAGCCTTTGAAATTTACCGGCCGACCTCGGCCACGCGCCGGCCATTTTTCGTACCGCCACAACTCGGACAGCATGATACCCGCGCGGCTGCAGAAAAATTCAGACGGCGGCCCAAGGGCACACCAAAAACGCCCGACGTCCGCTCAGCTCACAGCGGACAAGAGCATTATTAGATGCTTCCATTCCCAACGCACGACGGCGCGTCGTGTATAATGCCATGATGCTGCGAGGTATTACAGTGCATGCGGGGTTTCTATCTATAGCTACATAGTAAATTCTTTGAGGCCAAAACATTAGCAGTGGACGATGGAGCAATGCCTGAGCTAGCTAAAGAGCGCGAACGACAACGAAACAGCAAGGAAGCAATGCACCCGTTGACCCCAATAACCCCCAATAGTAGTAACCCTGGTTCAATCAATATGGATGGTGGTGGACGCGCGCACTCGTGTCGTATTTGACGGGCGCGCGGTCGCTTGTAAGATAAAGTTTAAATATTAGTCTCGAGACCATGCTCTTGCAGTGCGTGCGTGCGTGCGTTCGTGTGTGTGCGTGCGTGCTTGCGTGATTGATTTTGCTGAAAGCAAGTGGATGTGATCGTGATGGGAGATGAATGTACGTCAGTGGTCCGTGTAGCTGTGATGTCGACGTGAATGCTAGCAATGCGGGGGTCGACTGGCTTTGCTTTATCCTCCCTCTCCGGGCGGGGGCTCGTCCGACGGCCCAGCACCTCCCTCCGTCGGCGGTGCAGGCCGGTCCCATTCGTCCAGCAGCGCCTGGCCCACCGACGGTTCCAGTTCTGTCCCGTCGCGAGACACCTTAATCTCGCGATCGTGGTTCCAGGGATTGCGCAGGCGTCGTGTGCGATAGAACGGCAGGCGCTCCGTCCGGATCCACTGCACCCTGAACGGCTCGCCCCACCCGGGGCCCTCATTGGCCTCCGCCTCCTCTCCCGCCGGCGCACCGTCGGTGCGCGACCGAGATATCCTCCCGCTCGCCCTCTCCTCCTCCTCGGTAACGGGCTCCAACGGCGACTCCGCTACCGGGTCCCAGTCGAACTTCCGGCCTGCCTCGCTGACGTCTCCCCGGGCCGACATCAGCTCCGACGCCGACCGCTCGCGAATATGTCGTTGCGGCGCGGTCGGGTCGAGCTCGAAATCATCGGGCAATTGAGGTGTGGGAGCATACAGTTGAGCAGCAGGCACCTCGAGAAGGGTCTGCGCCTGGCGCGGCACGCCGGTCAGCGCACTGAGGCCGCGGTGCAGCCGGTGCATCTCGGGCGGCGCAGACAGGTAGTTCCGGCTGTGGCCTTCCTGGGTGGACCTCGGCGTCGCGCCTTCGTCGTACGGCGCCTGTGGGACCTGCAGCTGCTGCGCGGACGACGACGGTGGCAGCGGCGCGTCGGACGACAGCGGTTGGGGCGACTCCTCGTACCGTTGCTCCGCCGGCGAGAAGAATGTGCGCGCGTGCGCATCCCGCCGCGCAACGGGCGGGCTCGAGCCCTGCGAGCTGCCCGCCCGTGACATCCGGCGCTGCGGCGGCGACTCGGCGGGCGACGTCCACGAGACGCGATGCTCACCATACGTGACAGGGCCGGCCATCCTGTGGGCGAACGCGTCAGTGCGTCCATGATTGGCGAGCGCGCGCACCTCCCGCTCCCCAGGTAACTCACCTTGCGTACCCATAAAACTCGCCGCTCTTGTTCACGCCGAAGATCAGATACACATCCTGGCTCGTGCGGAACGCCTGGTCGAGCGTGCCCTCGTTGTGCCGCTGCGTCGCCCACAGGCCCTTTTCGACGCTGATGTCCAGGTCTTTCTGGAATGCACCCAAACCCGACGGTCAGCACAGCCCCCACCGCATCTGCGAACACGGCAGGCACGCATACACCCACCTGCGTCAACGACTTGAGGATGAAAAAGCGCTTCGGGAAATACTGCATCAAGATACTCGAGCTCGTGCTCGCGTACGAGCCCGAGCTGCTCGAGTGGGGGGCAGGGCGGCCCCGGTGCCTGCGCCCACTCTCGTCGTCGCTGCCCAGGCTCAGACTCGCGAGCAGCGGCGCCGCGTCGCTCGGCGAGCTGCTCGGCGTCGTGAGTGCGTCCGACGACGTCGGCGAGCGCGGCTCCTGGCCCGCGCGTGCGGCCTCGCGCGCCTTCTCCTTCTGGTCGCGGATCCACCGTACGTGCAGACCCGCCCCGCGCTGCCCGCCGACGCCCGCCTTGACATCGTCCTCGCGTGCGCGGACGCGGCACACTAGACGCGGGCACCGCGGGTCGCCTGGGCGCAGCGGCTGCCCGTTGAAGTGGCGGATCGCGGCAAGGAGGTGCGTCTCGCTCTGGAAGTTGACGAACGCGCAGTTCGAGCGCGAAATGAGGAAGATGGACAGCACGCCGCCCCACACGGCGTCTACGCCGGCCGCCGCCGAGGACGGGCCGGCCGCGGTGCCGGCTGATGGCTCCTGATTGAGGAAGCGCCAGAGCTCGTCGTGCGTGGTGTCGGAGGGGACATTCCCGACCCACATCACCCATTCTGAGCGTTGCGCAGGAGGTTGCGGGTGGTGCGGGCGGCGGGAACGCTCGGCAGCAGGGCGAGTGCCTGAGGGTGTTGTGACGCCCGCCTCAGGCTGCTTCTGCTGCTGGTGCGTGCGCGCGGACGAGCCGGGAGATGGCGCTCGCGAAAATTGCGGCGGTGGTAACTGCGACGCCGGCGGAGGTAGAGGCGGTGGTTCGGGCACGACATGTGTCGGCATCTGCGCGGGCGGGTACTGGGCGGGAGGCTGGCGGGGCGACATGGCAAAGACAGGGGAGGACATGGAGGACGGCCCGGGCTGCGGGTACGGCTCGACTTCGCGCGGGGACATGGTGTACCCCATGGAGTACGGGGCGCCCTGGTGGTAGGTGTCATACTGGCTGGAGCGCGGGGGGACGTACCACCAGGTGCCCTGGCCCTCCGGCGGCGGTTCGGGCGCGTACGAGTGCGGCGCATACGGCGAGGCGTATGTGGACGTGTAGAGTGATGGGGAGTGCGGAAAGGAGTGTGAGGGATAAGGGAAGGGCGGTGTGGGGTAGCGGAGGGGCGCGTACGGCGACTGGCCAGCGTACGAGGCAGAGTGAGAGAGCGGCGGCCGGTGGTGCGGGCCCGAGCCTTGCTGCACCAGGGGCGTATGGGGCGGTGGAGACGGAAGCGCGGGGGAGTGGGGGTTTGTGAGCGAGGGGTGAGAGTGTGGGGAGAAGATGGCGGAAGCGCCGGGGGCAGGTGTAAATGAGTGACTAGAAGAAGAAGAACCTTCGGGCGAATGTCCGGGGAAGCCCTGGTACACCGGCGTGTGCGGCTGCATGAGAGGCATGAGCGTGTTCGGGGAATAGCCTAGCAGCTGATTTTGTGGGGGATGCATGGGCGTGTCTGGAGCATGCAGACCGGGGTGGTGCGCGTAGGCGTACTGGGGCATGTTGACGGGGGGCTGCGGGGACATGGCGTACTGCGCTACATAGCCGTGCTGAGCGTAAGAGGGCGGATACGGGGATGGAATGGGCTGGAAGGAGGGCGAGGGCGCGGCTGATGCGGGGGCGGTGTCGAGAGGATAGAGGGGCTGGGCATGGGGGCCCTGGAAGGGGGGCCGGAGTGGCGGCCGGCGGGCGGGGTTTGTGGGCTGGGAATGGGAGCGGCCGCGGGAGGCCGGGCGCCCCTGTTCAGACGAGGTCGGGGATCGTGAATCGGACATATTGGGCGGGCGCGTCCTGCTGGCATTGCCCGACATATAAATGAGCCCTGGGGGGTCGCGGACGGCTTCTAGAGCGTTCTGGAAGGTGGCAGCAACAGCGACGGAGAGGATCGGTGTCGGGAGCGTCGGCAGGCACGGGGCATCCGGTGCTAGCGTCGGCGAGAGAAATAGAGCGAGAGGTCAGAGGAGGAGCGAAGGAGGAGGGGAAACTCATACGAGGCAAGGAGAGAGAGAACGCGTGGCGCCAGACGGCTAAAGGCGAGACAATCCTAGCAAGATCGGTCAGACGAGGGCATAGTTGGCCGCGAAAAAAAGACGGTGGTGGGGGCTCGTCAGGCCGTCGTGGCTGGAAGATGAAAGAAACCGAGGTGCGCTGGCGGAGGGACGGCCAGCCTCGGGGTGGCAACAAAAAAAGACAGAAATCGACTGCATGTGCGCGTGGCGTTCAAACTCCGGTCACCAAGGAGAGCGGCCAAATGCAGCCAATCGCGTACCGGGTGCTGTCCTCGACCACGTGCGTTACTAAGATCGCGCTCACCTGTAAGATTCGAAGACGCGGCCGCACTCGACGCGGGACGGGGGCGCCCATCAGATGCACCCGCGCGAGGCGGCGACGGAGGCTGCGGCGTCCTGCTCTCGTCGGGTCGGTCAAAGGTGGCTTTCATTGGTGCAGAGTGCGAGTGCGGGATGGGGTTCCGGTTCAGTTCCACAACGGGATGGGAGCGGCAGGCGGGGTGAGAAGGCGTTATTAGTATGCGAGTGCGGGGGCGAGAGATGGATCTGGCGGTGCGGTGGTTGGTGGACCGGAAGCGGGGCGAGTGGGTCCCATGCAAGAGAGCGTGGAGTGTCCGCCAAGTAGCCGCCGGTCGCGCAGCAGGGCCCATGCGCGCGGAGGGAAAGAGGCTACCGCGGAGGGAGACGCGGAGGGAGGGCCCGGGACCGGGACAGCGAACGGCAGGCCGCGGGCACAGCGTAGCGTCAGTGCCTCGTCAGTGCCCTGCGCACTGCACTGCACAAGACCCACCCACCACCACCGCCTGACGTCACCCAGCTCGCCTTCTCATTCAGCGGCGGTACATGTACATGCCCCGAAGCGGACGCTCCACGGAGTGCCTGTGCGGGCGCTGAGCTGCGCAGCTCGCCGCGGCGATGCTGCAACGTGTTCCCAAATTGGGGGGTCGCAAGCACTCTAGTTCATGAATGGCGCTGCCGGATGCCAGACAGACTCGCACTCAGACGCCGGGCAGCAGCGGGCCCTGGCGGTGGGCAGGACCATGGGGGATCTTCGCGCAGCAGGCTCAGAGGACACGATAAGCCGGGTGATGTCAGAAGACACAAATGATGTCGCCAGAGTCCCGCCAGATCCCTGGCAAGCGATCTGATTGCTGCCCCCCGATCGCGCTCAACGCCCCCATAGTACACTATGACATCATGCACGCGCCCTTCCACTGGCACGTATCCCACCTCCGCGAACGCCCCACATCGGCACCCTGAATCTCGCCGATCACTGCTCGTTCTACCTAATTGCATTGATTGACGTCCTCCGCGCCACCGCGTCTGCCCCCGTTCTCACCAGCCCGTCCAATCAGAAATGCACAATCGCCACGCTCCACAATCGTCCTCCGCTCCACACAGATCCCATCGTGCCCTCGTTTGCGCAATCGGGATCCTTGCCAGCTGCCGTCCCACCTGACGGTCCACCACGGCCAAGTGCCTTCGGACCTTGGCCTTCGACACCATAATGCGCAGCAGCACCAGCGCAAAGTCCCCGGAACAGGGTCCCCAAATTTTCACGAAGCCAGAGAGCAATCACCACGCATAACAACGCCGCCACATGCATCACCCGAGCAGGCTCTCGGAGGTTCTGCCTGCAATATTACTGAAAAATTAAGCTATGCCGTTAGTCACTCGCTCCGCCGTCTTATCAGCCACGAGGCGGCGATAACAATCATTTTTTCCATCTTGTCATAGCAACCTCTATATCTACTTAATAATTACCTTGCCGTGCGCACGCGATCATGTCAATTTGACGAAGCATCAAAAACTCACGACACCGGCCACAACCTGTGCACAAGCCCTTCGGACTCGGACGCGCTCGTAGGCAGCATCTGAAAAATCACTGCGCCCATCTCAGAAGCACCGCTGACACCCCCAGTCTATTGATGTTCCGAGCAGACGCATGCTTCCAAGCGTACACTATCGTCGGGCGCGTCGTGTTTCCGAGCGGGCCACATGACGCATGCTGCCATTGCGTGCTTGCGGGCCAGCTTCGCCGCCAACAGCTTCGCCTTGGGGGTTCGTGGGCGGCCAAATAATCACCAGAGCGGGTACAGGCGTCGTGCTGGCACAGAATCACACATCGGTCGACAGGCTCAGGGCCAAATATTGACATTGATAGCGTAAACGGCGCTGCGCCAGAAGAACAAATAACAGGCACCGTGCGGGTCGTCAAGACGAATGCGCCGGCGCAGGCCCCCAAGGCCGACGTCTCGCCGTTGGCCATGCAGGCCGAAGTGTCGCACTCCGTAAGGGCCGCCCTGAAGGCTGAGAGCGGGCACATCAGCACATCAGCGTACTGCGTACCTGACGCCATGTTTGGCGAGCACACATGCGACACGGTACCAGAGAGCGAAGCGTCGACGTGTTCCACCGGCTCGGCAGCCAAAATCGCGCAGCGGGTGCAGTCTCTGGCGGCAGCGGCGCGCGATCACAGATCAGCCCAGCAATACAAGGACAAGGATGGGTTGACGGGCGGAACAAGGTGGTCGCCTCGAGGCGGGCCATTCCGTGGGTCCGCGATGGCACCAGCGAGCAGCCCGCAGTCTGACCAGCTGACCGGAGGGGGAAACGAGGCAGGTTACCGCCTTCTGTCAGCTGCTCGACACGTCGTTTTCCGACTGCAGCGGCGCATCAGCGGAACGCGTACTGGCGTTGCCTTTTTTCTCGAGGACGGAGCTGCTGCGCCGTTTGTGGGCGGAGCTTGTTCGTGGGCCCTTATTGCGCGTGACTGGACTGCTCGCTTTCGGCCCATTCACTGTGATAGAGCTTTGTCTGCTGCAACGTCCTATGCAGGGTCCTCGCCGGCGCCGCGGTCGTGTCTGCTACCGCCGTTGCTTCTCTCCAGGGTAGAGAGAGACCAGCAGAACACGTCGAACTGCAAGCCAATGCGGCCGGAACCTCGCTAGCATGGCAGTAGACCACAAGGTGCTTTTTTTGCGCAAGCTGCGTGCCCGCTTTCGACGTGCCACCGGACATAGTCTGTGCGCAGCTTTGTATCCGTGTCCATCAGCGCCCGGCATGCATCACTTACGGAACGCAGGGAAGGGCCGGTGCAGAGCCCAGTCGCGGCGGCATGGCAGGGTAGGTGTGGCCGCGTGCGACGCGACGCGATGAGGGGGCGCCATATCCCGGGAATGCGTTTGTTTCGAGGACTATATGCATCTTCCTGGCACTGGCGAGAGGCGCTAGACAAACGGGCGGATGACCACTTTTTAATGTGTGTTCGCTCGACGTATCTGATCGTTTCTGCGCGGCTGCAGAAGAGGGCGCAAATTTCAGCGAAGATGGTCCGCAGTTGAACTAGGAACGACTGCACAGCCTTAGCCCGACGCTAAACCTTTCAGTAGGACAAGGGACAAGCATCGGAGGTCACCATGTATCTCTGAGTATCTCTGTTGTATTACGTTGTACTGCCAAGAAAGAAGAACGCACGCCGTTTTCTTCTTCTCGGAGTCCGTACGTCTTGAGCGGTGGGCAATGTCTCTCTCGGGCAAGGCAGGCTGTGCACTGCGGGAGGGCGCCTGCTCCTTATGGGAACACGTTGTGGGTAAGGTTCCACTTTCGGCTGCGACCATCGGCCCCCAGGCGTAGCGCAAGGTTGGTGCCTTGGTACCTGGACGCAAAAAAAGCAATCAAGTGCACCGCGTTAGAATGGCTATGCATACAGTGATGGAGCGATGGAGTAGACGACCAACAGGGTAGACTTCCCACAGCAAGCTACGGCGCATAGTTGTTCTCGACAAGAAGACGGACGGCGCGCGCAGATTGAATGTCGGGTGCAGAGGTACCTAGTGCGGCCATGTGCTTCGGCGTAGGGAATTGGTCATGGGCGAGAATGGTGCGATGCGATCGATGGCGCCTTACGTCGTACATACGTTGTTTCGTGAAGATTTCGCTCTTGATTGTACCCGAAGGCGGCCGAGACTGTTGGGCGGGTAGAGAATATGGACGAGATCATTGACAAATCGGAGGCGAAATATTCCGGTGTGACTTCCTGCTGAACCGAGAAAGATCGCTGTGAAGCCTCGCGAGGGGGTGAGGCTGTGAATTTGGGGAGAGGGGGAGGGTTGGTAAACTAGCGAAGGGGATAGTAAAATACGACATGTCTCCGGGAGACCGAACACCTGATCAGGGACCGTCGATGTGCCGCCGATCGGTAGCGGAGCGGGCACTCTGCCTAAGGCCTGAGCGCTGCGGATCCACTGCCGTCCGAGCTTTTCCTCTTTCCTTGTTCTTCGAGCACCATCATCGGCGTTCACGTCGTTCAAGGAGTGCCGTTACCAGTGTCGCCGCTTCCTAAGAGAAGACGTTGTACAGCCCCATGGAAAATGAGAAAGAACACGGGAACTGCATCCGTGCTGTCAAAAGCTCGAGGAGGATCAAGGAGAGGAGAACAGGGCTAGGAGCGAAGGGGCATTAGGCAGTACATATGGGACTAAACGGACAGCATGTTCGCGGACTAAACGATCTAGGGTCGTCTGAATGCTCAGCACGGAGCAGAAGCCTAGCAGTCCAGATCTGGCTCGACGCCGAGGGCGTGAGGGTCTGTGATAAGAGATCGACCCAGAGCGCAATACAAACGGAAATGCCATGCAGTATGCAGGATTTGTGAATGCGGATATAGGCGACGTGCTGTAGGAGACATGCCGCATTAGCTGGTGCCAATAATCAACCCATAGCGATTAACGTCACCGACCCTTATGCAAGGCCTTGCTTGCGATCATACACCAGAATGCTTGCCAGCCTCTGTCGTGTAGCTCGTCTCAGAGGAAAGTAAACGTTTGCATCCTCGGGTTGACACTGTCAATCCCGCGGGCCAGTGACAGATAGCGCCAGGAGAGTTGTAGGCTCGCACATGAGAATGGCCAGAGCAAGCGCTCACTGGTCTTGCGCATTGCAGCCGCAAGCGCTTATTCAGGAGACATCAAATTCAATCTATCAGATCACTTGCATGTTTTGAAACTTGAGCTCAATATGGCGATCTCTATTTAGGCCCCTAGTCTCCACCATCTTCATCAAATGCTTCCATGTGGGTATACTAGGACCATTCAAAATTGCCGCTTAAATCTCGCTGGAAAACAAGCGATATTTAAGTGGTCAAAAGCAGCGAGCAGAATCTGAGCTCCCCACCTCGAACAGCGACAAATAAGCGACTGCTCGTCGCAAGCGCTCGCAGATTCTGGCTCATGGCCATGTCACGCTTGCACGATTCGCCAACCTGATTGGCTGGTTAGCCCTTCGCAAGCTGAGAACGTGATCAAATCACGCTTAGTCATCTGTGACGCTTTCAGCGACCTTTCAGCGACCTTCAGCCACATTTGGGCGCTCAAAAGCAGCGAGAAGTCGCTTGTTTTCCAGCGAGATTTAAGCGGCAATCTTGAATGGTCCCACTGACTGTATTGTCTTGATCCATTAGCTTTGGGGGCGAGCCGGTCTACATTTCCTGCACAGCCTTAATCCTGCCTTGGTCTCTGGAATCAAGTCGATCAAGGAAAGTAAGCTGAAAATAGCCTTATTTTTGCTCTTCCATCAAGCTGAAAATGACCTTAGCTCCTGGAGTTATGCATTGGAGTACATAAAGTTGCTCAAGGAAAGCTCTACTGGTATTGAACCATCACCGCCGTCTATGAAAGGTGAAGCGAGGACGACGCTGATATGACGGCTACGACTGTCCGCTGTGATCTCGGACCATATAAAGGTAGAAACAAAGTGAAGACTACACTTGTATAATATACATGTACACTCCAGCCTAGCCTACAACGTGCGCTGATGATCCACACATAAATATTAGCGCGAGACATACAAGTACGCTATCGACAAACACGAGACTCGACAGAACTCCTCACCAAGTCCGCTGAAGCCAGCCCTACATAACACGATGTTACAATGTCCTCCTCGACTCATTCTCTCAGTCACCACCAGATCAGCGATCTGAGGACCTAGAATGCATCATGTCGCACCTAACCCGCCAACTGTTGTCGCGGCAATATTCACGAACCGGCCCGCGAGCCCCTCGCGCATCTCTTTCCTCAAGTCTCTAATCGCCAGCAGCGCTGCCCGCTTGCACACCGGGCTCAGTGCCAGAGAGAAGTCTGAGCTGCAGTTCAGCTGTTCCTCTACGCTCCGCAACCGCCCGAGGACGTCCCACGGCCCGAAGGACAGCGTCCGCTCGCTGCGCGCCACCTCCTTCCACAGCGCAGCGAATGTCGCGATGCACCCGTGCACGTGGTATGTGCAGCCATCGGGTTTCGGGAACGGCGGCGGCGGGCCAACAGCGAGGCGCTGCCACAGACGGACGAGGGAGTGGAAGCCGTTCAGCAGGCGGATTTGCTGGGGGAACGTGATCTGCATAAAACTATCGTCTTCTTCTGGTTCTCCCTCGCTATCCGCTGTCTCAGCGGCGGCAGGTGTCGACGTGGGGAATTGGGTGATAGCATTCGTGGCTATCGACGCAATGTCGTCCATGCCCAAGTCGTCATCCATGAGTTGCATGTAGTACGCGATGCCCTTCAGCCGACAAAGATCATACTTGTCTGCTGTGTGCATCGCGGGTCTAGGATCAATCCGCCCCCGTTCAATGCGGTCACACCAGCGTTCCACGACCTGATCCACGACGCCAGAATGACCACAACAGAGGGCGACCTCGAGAATGCGTGTCAGCGCAGATGAGGGTGCGGTGGATAGATTCGCAAGCGGATGTGTGGGCTTCCCATATTCTTCCGAAATGACAGAATGGACAGCCGAGATAGCCCACGCCGAGGTTGAATTGAAATGATATTTGTTCGTGACAGCAGCGATGGTGAGCAACGCGGAGATATCCGCTGAGGCACTGTTAAAAGCAGCTATTTCATGTGGCCTGTATGCGACAAATATATTCTACACATTAGGCCCTATCGAAAGGAAACAATATTACTCACAGTGCATAAAGGACGGAAAGCAAGGCACGAAAGCTTTCCGTAGTCTCTCCACATAGATGTATGGGGTTATGGTCGCTGTACCCTTCCTGACTGACACGTTCACGCGTGTCACCTACCGGAAGGCTGAACATGTCCTGAAACGCCGATGAATCGCGCGCCAGCAAGAATCTGTGTACCTACATAGTGCAAGTAGTGTGAGATCGAGTGTCAGTATCCACGTGGAATGGGTCGGCGGCCGCAGGCGTACCCTGAACAGTGTGCTTTCCACCCTGATGACACAATCCGCTCCCTCGGTATAGTAGAGCTGGTCTCTTTCCAATACAACAACTGGTTCGCTCATTGCGTCTTGGGGGTTCATAGCAGAGTACACAGCGCCGTGGCAGGGCTTATGACCTGCAGGATAGGGTTCAAGCCCCCCAGTCCGTAGGCGCTTGCACGGGGGCTCGCTGTCCGATGATGAGTTCGGGCGACACCCGCCTGACATTGGCGCGGCAACGAACGCTGGCGTGAGACGTGCAGCCACGGTCGTCTTCCTGGTCTGTTCCCAGGAGATCCAGTGCAGAGGATGTATGCAGGCATGCGACACAGATATGTTCAATGGATGATCATCTCAAACAAAGTCCACCAAGTTGGGCGCCCATGGCTATTCGCCACCAACACCTCGATCATACATCACGATCACGTATCCCTCGATCGTGATATGAGCCACAACTTTGCTTGTTACGCTCTTCACTCTAACGGTTGCAAGAACAGTAGGACGAAGCAGTATTGCAGATGTGAACCTCTGCTGGGAAATTTTATGATCGGCGTAGTGGACTCGAGTTAGATGTCTCTCATATACAAGGGCCGGGATCAAGATTACTCTGGGGGAGTGAAGCTTGTGACGACAGGACTTGCTCTCGGCCGCCTCTTCTTAACGACGAGTCCTCCTCCGGCCCCGGATGCGAGTCCGTGTTGCTTCTTGCGCTTGAGCAGAGCAGCTCGACAATTTTTGTGCTCTCAAACTTCACATGTCTCTGCGGGAGCAACAGGCCAACGGCTATTGCGCAGTAGCTGGTCACATTACACCATCATATCGCTTTCATTGACCAATGCGTTGAGATACCTGTTTATATTCTGATCTACGTCCAATTTACCTCTGGCGTCTCACGACTTCAACATGTCGCCACTAGCTGGAGCGAACTTTCTCCCACCTGCGCCGCCATGTAGGAGTCACACCTTTGTTCGAGACTACCCAGACAGATAAGTGCGTCATTTGCCTCGTCATCAAGAGTTGGCGCTGGATTGCATACCGTTCGCTCAGATGAGAATCGTTCAAACATAAGTGATGTGTTTCCCACTGCTCACCGCGCTGCGCGTCTTCCTGGCGCTGTCTTCCTTGATCCTGACGCACCATGTATTTTTTCTCGCGCTTCTTCGCCCTACACTCTGCATGCCGTTTCACCTTTCTTCTTTCATCACGCCCTTCTGCACGGCGTCTCGATTTTTCTTTCTCCTCGTGCCATTTCACTTTGCGTTCAGCACCATCCCTCGTGCTCCCTTCTCCTTAGCGCTCCGTGCTCGCTCTGCGTTCTGCATGATATCTCGCCTTTTTATCTATAAGAATGGCTGACTTTTATTTTTCAGCTTTGGAATAAATTTCGTAGACATGCCAGCCTCCCCGAAGATAGCATCAGATCTGGATAACAGCTCAATTGTGTTCACAGAAGGTGAAGTCATGATTCGCCTACACAAGCTATGTATCTGATGAATGAGGAACGCGTGGCACAGACCGAAATGAAACATAGGAATACTGAAGTCATTTGCGATCATGCACAGCGTGAGTTTTAGGTTGTCTTAGCGAAAAGACGGATGCAAGGGCAGAACGTGCTCACTATGCCGATAATATAGCCAACATCACACGACGGCGTGTAACAGTACATGCGCAGACCATCTTGTCGACTATGACTCTTCTGGCCCTACTAAGGCTGTACTCTATCAACACCTGTCCGTCAGCACCCACTAGGCGTGTGGCAATATTTACCTCGGATGGACAACAGATCAGGCCCTTTTTGAAGGAGCCGAATTGAATTAACTGAATAACGGTGCATCAGAGAGCTCAGACGCGAAAAGTCTGTGCTCCCGAACGTCCTTATTGAGTATGAAACTCAGACCAAGTTCAGTCGTTCGGCCGGACCTGTCGATTCATATCACCTGAACGGCGCTTTCAGGTAGTCTGATGCTACTTGAAATCTATGGATTCCGCGCGATGACTGTGTTTACAGATGCACCTTATATGGCTTAAACTCTTACGTGCTCGACTCCAAGATGCGAATTAGATTGAGAATGCCTCCTCGTTCACTCTCGTCCTAGAGGTATTCCCGAATTTCTTCCTGCTTGTACTTGTAGGCCGAGTCAATGTCCAAGGCTTCGTGACGCTGAAACCTTTTCATGTAACTGTCACGATGGTTTTCAACAATGCACATGCAGGAAAGGCGCAGTGGATGGGTCATCTATGAGAGAACTGGATCGCAGTTACATTGGATTCGGTACCTTCCACCCTCCCGCTAATCCCATGATACTCATCGGGTCGTACAAGCCTTTCAACGTGGTAAGCTCGGATAAAGCTGTTCCATATATCGAGCTCAGCGGAGTTCCATACACGGCGTAGTTGGGATAATGCGGTGCGAAAAGTATGGCAGTCTGGCCCTCCGCCAATGCTACTGTAGTCAGACTGGACGCACTGGCGACGATCGCGTCGTAAAATTCGGCGTCATATTGCGGATGCACCCAGCCGAAGTAGAGGTTCAGTGGTAGGAAGCGCTGAACGCGCGTGTACGGGTAGGCCGATGGCCCGCCGTGATCGAGGATGGTCGGCAGGAACGGTTCAATATCTATACTGATGATATAAGCAGATTGATCTTGGAGCTCGTTGTACCAGAACTGGCACTGCGTCAGTCAATGTACAGGGGAGAGGACTGGGAACGTACTTCTATCAGCGCAATGGCCTCCTCCAGGATCCCTGGTGTAATTCGCTCCACTGGAGCCGTATGGTAAAGTCCGCTACGAAAGATTGGTGAGGATTTAGATAGACATTGGATAAGCAGAAGTGGTACCGGCAATTCAATGACACCTCCTCAACCGAACTCAAGATGAAAGACAGGAAGGACTGTGTAGAAACGGTGGACGCCAAGGAAGGAACGGCTATGAATTCATCAAAGATGCCTGCCGGGGGAGTTGGTGCGTCGTAAAACATGATCACGGATGAGACGAGCTAGGCAAGACTCGTAATTATTGAAGCCCATAATGTGGACATTGATGTACGAACGTACCGCTCCACCGATATAGTCATAAGTCGTAATTATGGCCGCCTTGGGATCGACAACATAGTTCGCGAAGTTATAGGTCGCATCTGTGACGGCTTGAACCTCAGCTCCGGAGTACGTTACTTGCCCAGCCTTCGCTAGATGAGTTATCCATGCAGCCATTGTATAGCCTGTCCGACATACCCACACCTCCCCCTGAGGGAACGTTCTCAGGATGAATGTTGTGACAATGCCCTTCGAAGACGTTTGTCAGGAAAAGTTGAAGTGTAAGATGTCATATAGCTCCGCAAACGCACATAATTGTTGTAGCCGCCCTTGGTAGATACTGTTAGGCTAAAAAGCGCAGACCCTTGACAGTGGGTTCTCACCTTCAATCCGTAGAACAAGTCGGGGTTATTAGAATCAGTAACATTGACGATAGAGCCATTTGGCAGGACCAATTCGAAAGCTTGGATTGTGTCAAGCGTTAGACCGTATTGGTTTGTTAGCCAGGAGTAGCCTGTGAAGTGTGATACTCTCTCTACGGATGCAGCAGAAGTACACAGACCTCCGCCCAGAGTATACCCAGACACCCCTATACCAGATACTCTTCCGCCAACGACGTTGACATTGTACGGATCGAGTGCTTTGTAAACATCATCCCAAACCAAACCTGTGCCAAATGCCACAGTCTCGGTGTCAGAGTCGTAATTCACAGTATTGAATCGCGTCATCGCAATCGTGACGCCTGGAGTGGACGAGTATCCGGGATTCATGATATGACCACCATCCTTAACCTACACATGGAAACATGATTAAACAAGACACTATAAGATCATAAGCCAAGAAAATACCTACCGCGAACGGAGTTTGGTTTTCACCCAAAATCTGGAGCTATATAACCGGCACAATCAAAGACTGTTGTGCCGATAGAACAGTTGCAACGTACAATGATCCCGACATCTTCAGCCGTACCTGGCTCCACAGAACAGACGGAATCTTCCGTGCTCGATGTGGCATAGTGGGATATGTCATGCAGGTACTGAGAATCCGCTGCGATGCGAGAGATCAGTTTTTTGAAAAGCATGGTAACTCGGGTACCCACCGGGATAATACACAGAGGATGCAAGAGAGAGTGAAGCCGCGATCTGCTGGCACGTAGTTTCTGTACTCGCGTTTTGCGCATAGACCCATGCGCCTTGCTTCAGAGCTGTCAACGCTAAAGCAGTCGTGGCTGCGAGAAAGTACATGACGCTATACAGTCAGCTTGACCACCTCGGTCTCGCGAGATTGGTTCACGACTTATTCGAGTTGTCGAAGAGTGCGATAAGGGTGTCGCGCTCATACTGTAGTATTTTATAGGGTAGACGAACGTATCGCACGGAATGCCACACACACGGAAGCGATGCGGAACATTGGCCTAAACGAGCTGTCGCAAAATTCCTGGAGGATGGCTGAGGGTCATGGGCCCTCGAGGACACTGGTGGAGTAAAGTATTGGTAGAATGAACATCATACCAGTCTAACCCAACGTCGGCGATTGTCAGGGCTTCGCAGAAGGCATTAACTTTCAGAGATGTAAGCTATATATAGGACAGTCGCTCAACGAGAATTGTACACGACAAATAAGTACGCCAGTGACGGATGATGTAGAAGATATCATGAGAATTAACACTTACATCAGCCTCCAGAAATTACTAGACGATTGACCGAGGTCTACAACGATGAGAACAGGGACTGGTCAATGTCGCTTGGTTATGGTAAGAAACTTACAACTAGGGCCAGACGTAGACTGAAAGCCTGCGCTCGCGCTAGGATGTGGGGAGCGGGAGCTCAGGAATATATGAAACCGGGCTTTCACCAGAGGCTAGACAAGACGAGGCCAGATCTTGACTTAATCCCTGACTTGATTCACGCCATAGATAGTGCCTATCACGGTCTTTGAGGGGCGCAAATCTTGGTATGCGGTCGTATGTTCACCTCGCATGCTATCCGCTGAGATTGAGCGAACATAAGGTCGCGATCGTACCATTTTGAATTTACGGCCCGGGAGCGTTAATTGTGAGAGACCCATGAAGCTGATATAGCGGATAGCTATAACCTGCTAGGCCGGCGCCCATAATGAATGTTTAAGCTACATATGATTGAGTGAGTGACATACAAAGGCTAAATCGGACGCAATGAGACAGCACTGCCGCAGGCGCCTCGAGCGTAGTCGGAATCAAGTTCGAGTTCGGGCGCCTAGATATTACTATGTGCGGATATCCAGAGTCTGCGAAGACATCGTGTTCTGCTCACAGGACTAGGGTACAATGGTCCAGGCACTAGACACGGATATGCCGAGCCTACGAAGATTGAAAGAGTTATCTTACGTCTCGCTCACTAGCTCAGGGATCTGATCACTGAAATCCGGCCTCGACTTGCACTGTAAGCCCGCCCAATGACCGAAACCCTGCCGACATGGTGTAGTATCATCTCTTTCCGTTACGGCATCCCGCATTTGCATCCGTACTATCTGCAGAATCAAGTCAATTAGAAGGTGTTTGAACGTGTCCTTGGGGCCCGTCAGACAACACGGGTTGTATATAAGTACCACGGAGACGCCTTGCATTACAAATAGCGAGCAAGGGAAACAAGCTGAATGATATCGTTGCAGAGGCCTACATAATTTCCTGCATATTTTGCTTGGATCAACCTGACTGGCTGGTCTCTTCCATCGCCAATCTCTGCCGCTATCGAGGAATATGAAGTCTGTCAATAATGATTTACAATGATCAAAGAACAGCGCAGCCAACAAGACTATGATACCGGGGTAAGGAACGACTATCTTCCGCATACGGTGACAGATCTATGAGCCTTATACAGGGGTTGAAAACATAGTCATGTCATTCTACAGAAATCATGGCATTGAAATTTGCCCATTAATACTGCTATAGCGATACTAGCGAAGCGTACTTGGGGGGCAACTCGTCATATCATGGAAAATGGCATGGGCCCATAAACATACGTGCGTGGAACATGAGGCTTGCAGATACAGACAGAAAGGAGACTGGAGACAGAGAACAAGAGAGCAAGAGGAAACAATGACGATCATGCCCATGTACACTGCCTATCGCAAGGTACAATGAGGACCAATAAGATACAGGGAGAACTGAAGACAAATAAAATAATGACAGTGAGAAGAATTTTAGCGTCCAAGGGAGAAGCCTATATGGCACTGAGGGATGTAACGGCGGACCAACAATGCCAATCGCAATGGACGTGCAACAGCGAGGCCCGATCAACAAACTAATAGACGATTGAATGCTCAGCGTTGTGTTATAGCGACAGATCCATCGGATTCACTCACCCGAAGAGAATTGGGAATGAATCCTGACGAAACAGCACGGGTGCGCAGGCTATCGCTGGAAGATCTCCGTAATGGTTCTTCGGCGCTCCTTCCTGCCCAAACTGCCAGACATCGTGGCAGTTCGGCCGCTACCGCGCACTTCCTCAATACTGTCCATCCCACGTTGACTGTCTATGGAAGCTCTAGGTCTCGTAGCTATCGTCCTCCGCCAGCTCTCTGGTCGCTCTGTTTCTGACCCCGACATCGGCGAGTTCAACATGGCTGGGGCGAGGGCAAGACGCACAGGCGGTTCGTCATCGGGAGGGGGCGGGTTGGACTTGGACAGGGCACGCAAACGCCCAGTGCGTTCATCGCGTTGTTGCACACCGCTCAATGTCGACATCGACACAGTCGAGGGCCGCGAAAACGTCACGCCATTTGATCGCGCTGAATTGGATGACTCGCTGCGAGTGATAGCCTGAGGGGATGGCTGCGGGTACTGGTCGATCTCAGCCGGAGAACCGAGCATGGAGACGGTATGCGTTGTCAGTGCTGTCGTGGCATTCGGAGGCTTGATGACAGATGTGAAAGCGCTCGGCTCCGCGCGAACAGTGATGTTCGAGTTATTCGATACCTTGCGGCGCGAGCTTCTTTCCGAAGCACTTGTGTCACTGCGATTGAGAAGGGACTCGGATGGCAGAGTAGAGAGTGAAGGGGGAACTGCAACCGGAGGTAAAGCGCGCGTGCGCTCGGAGATAGCAGAGTGGGATGTCCTGGACGTAGGCGTTGGCGAAGGCTCGTAATTGCCCGGTGAGTCCTGGGCATTAAAGCTGGTCTTGATGGGTGCGAGTGCCTCTGGGGTCGCCCTTTGGTCCCGTGTAATATAGAGTCGACGAATAGAGGATGATGCTCCAAGATGCGAGACGTTCCGGACTGTCTGCGGTGTCTGCTCACCCACTGCCTCTGCGACACTCCTGCCTTCGCTGCTTGAAGTCGCCGATCCTTTCATCAAGAGAGAAGAGCCGGGTCTGACATGGCTCCTCTCGCGACTCGACAGCCTCGATGCAGATTCGCGGAGCTCGCGCGGATCCCAGCTTCGTCTCGTCTCCCTACTTTTCCTCCCGTTAGGACCCCCAGTACTGCTCGCTGGGGTGACATCCGATGGCGTTCTTCTAGCGGCTTCGTCATCGAGGCTCATCGTTCTAAGGTGCTGCTGTTGTCCATGAAGAGCGCTGGTCTCGCGGATCACCTTCCCGACTCCCAAAAGAAAGCCTGTCATATACCGCACGATATCGTCGCTGGCCCTCAGGCTTTCACGGTGCTCCGAGCCGACCGACCTCCAAAGCTCGGCCATATCACCACTTTCGCCGGTGTCTGCTACCTCAGCCTCAATCTGTGCCTCTAGTGCTCTGTTTGTGCCCGACTTCAACATGCCGTTCAGCTTGTCAAGCGCATGTACGACATGCTGGGCATTTTGGAACAACTCTGGGATTGTGTTGGTGGTAGTGTGTCCCATAGAAGGAAGACGTTGCAAGTGGGACTCGAACATGCCCAGTGCCTCCAACATAAGGCGGCGATGTTCTGCATTTGAATCGCGACTCGGACCTGGAGAAGTGCCTGGTGGAAGCTGGGCAATAGGAGAAGGCCTGTAAGCAGCGAACGGTGACGAGTAAGCGCGATCAGACGAATGTTGTGCATATCCATCTTGCGTTCGCGGAGACGTCACCTTCTCGCGTTCGGCAAGACTGTAGCTTGACTTCTGCGGACGCAAAGAAGGTGTGGGCCTTGGCGGAGGCAGGTCGCCGTTTTCGTGATGCAGTGCCGCCATGGATGTGCCTGGACGCGAGAGTCCGGCACTGTAGCCATTCCGGTGCGAGCTGCGCTGGGACGACGGTGCTGGCGTACGAGGCTCGTAGTGAGAACCATTGGGCGGCCCTTCAGTGACCCGCGAGCTACTTCCTACGCCCCTACTAACCCCAGGTGAAGGCTCCCAATCGTCGTGAGCCACAGACGAGTTACCAGTCGATTTGGTTCGCCGGGGAGATATCGGCACGTTATCTCCGCCAGAGAACGGATCATCGCTGAGATCGTGCCGTCTAGTCAATCCGGCGGCGCGCAGACCCTCACTCACAAGGCTCCTGCCTCCACTAGACAGCAGCATGGCATCGGAGCTACCACCTCTATGTCCCTGACGTCTGCCAATCGGTCCGTTACTACGAGATGGAGTTTCATGCGCTTCGTCTTCTCCATCCCCAGGGGTGGATAAGTCCTCAGACAACCAACGCGTTTGATGCTTCCGCGTCAGCTCACGGACGGTAGAATATCGCACCGATCCCGGGCGACGCGGAGACGTCTGCACAGTCGACAAGTTTGTGCGGGACGCCCTTGGAGAAGTTGGGGAGTTGCGGTCAGAATGCCGATATGGTGTAGACGACTCGCCATTGGACTGGGCAGCACGAATACATTCATATGGTGGACGGAGAAAAAAAGATGCTGGACCATACCTTGCCATCCAAGCTCCTCCTATCTCTCTCGCGAAACTCACGAGGTAGCGGTTGTCTATTCCGCTTACCGCTGCTGCCCGTCGGGCTCCTGCGTGAAGATGCTACTGCTGCAAGTGCAGCAGTCGTCACATCTTGATCGTCTTCTTGCTTGAACGTCCTGTAAATCTCGTCCGCCGCTACAGACCGCCTCTTCTTCGGAGTGCGTGAGGGACCGGGCGACGGTCCCCTGTCCCTATCGCGTAGCGGGCGTGTACCTTTCGCCGGAGAGGCAGGCGCAGATATCCGCCTCTCGCGAAGGGGTGGTGGTGCTCCGAAGTTGGGATGTGTGGGGGGTGTCGCAGATAGATCTTCGGAAGAAGGATATGAATAGGTCGAGAAACGCTGACTTTCGCGCTCGGTTTCAGAGCCGGAGTGTGAGGGCTCGGGATAGCGGCCGTTTGCGGGGAGTGGATTTGATGCAGACTGAGGTCGTGGAACGGCAGAGGGAGGACGCGAAGAAGAGGAAGAGCTGCCGGCAGAAGGGGGAGTCATGGGGGACCGAGATTGAGAAGATGGAACTGGTGAACTGAGCCGGGACATTGAAGAAAGTTTGTCCAGAACCTGCGACAGTCGATCATGTCATATGGAGGTTCAACATGAAAAGGTGCACCGAGCGAGTCGATATATGCGCGCAGAAAAGGAAACATGTGCGCCGTCCGCAAGTTACACGGCGAGGTACAATGAGCACGACACAGGCGATAAGAGAGAATTCGAGACAAACAGGAATAGAAGCGTTGTATCGAGAGCAAGATACCGTATGCACAGTACGGGGAAGCAGACCATAAATGGTTGATGGACCAAGAGAAAAATCACTTTCGTTAGTCCTCGAACAGAACATCCTTCGGTGAACACACACCATACGATTGCGCTGCGCCAGGTTTTTCACGCGTTGCAATGCAGAGGCATTATCATTAGGCGTTGCGCTAGATGCTCTCCGACCGCCCGACAGCCTCGCCGTGTTGTCCTCGTCATTTTCGCGATCGCTCCCGTCGTCTTCATCGTCCGTAAACGCTGGTCTGCTCCTGGATCTGCTGTACCGCCTACCGTAGTTGCCATTGGACATGTCTGGGTTGGAGTTTGGACGAGAGCCGGTCCGTTGGCGGAGACTGCCGGAGTTCACGCCTTCGTTGTCACCTGCACTGCCGCTCCCCGTCGAGTTCGTTGCGGGCGGCGAGGGCAGACCAGACGAGGAAGACAACGGACTGAGTGGTTCAGGGAGGTCGGGCAGAGAAGGGGGCGTCGATGTGCAGGTAGAAGAACTAGGGCCTATGTAAATTGCCGACAAAGGACGCGACTTGGCTGCCAATGGAGTAGGACGGGGTGTCATTGCACGGGACAGAAAAACATGCAGGTGAGGTTGACGGCGGAGACGACGGTATACTCGTCACCTTCGGCGGCGAGGACAGCCGGGAGCTGGAGCGAAGAGGAATGGCTCCGGCGTCACAGACCACGTTGTGCAGCCTCGTTTCCAGGGTGTCGAAGTTCAATTGCAGCCTGCTGCTTTCAGACGCCTCTACAGCCGCGCCGTCCCCGCAGCTCACCTCACTGTCGCTGTTTCTGGACCACCTCACCGCTCAGGCTATGAGGTTGCGGTACGGGAGTTTGTAGTGGTAGGTTTGGACGATGTACCGCATACCAGACCATAACAAGGCGCCTTGTAATCTGCTCACACCGGCCCTATTAGTTCGCACTGTTCCCATGGGCGCCGTAACCGTAAATCATGTTGTCGAGATCTCGACCCGTCTCACAGTTATAAGGCACAAGCAAACATTAAGGACCCCCCACGTCGTTCTTTCAATACATTTGTATTATAGGACAGGTGAAAGCTGTATGAAACATTAGGAATGAAAATATATGGTAATACATACAAGTGCGAGAGGAGTGGAAGGAGCTATCTGAATTTCTACAATGCTTGGTACCGTTCAAAGATCGGCCTAGATTCCCTGTATGCGGTATAGTATTGGTTACGAAGTTGATGCGCTGGTGGGTTTAAGCGGTCCCCAAATAATAAGCATAACATTATTGCTGAAGTAAATCAAAGCATCAGAGGAGACAGCAGTAAGTATGTGTCAAAGCGAGGCACCATTTCACGGTCGATAAGTATGTAATATGTGGATTGTCTGGGTATATGCCCAAATGCTTTGTCGTGTCACAGAAGTTGGCATTGATTACTATGTCGGAGAATTACGCCTGCGCGTCGAAAGGATGCTAGGCAATCGGATTGAGCACATGAGTATAGCCCCTGCCAGCATTGTAATCTTCGGAGAGATTTGTCCATTCAGTTCGTTCAGCCGGCTTTACTACTGAAATCACGACACTCACTGAAGAAAAGACAACTCCCTTCCACCATTCATAGTCGGGTCCAAGGATAGCCCCGCTTATGGGTGTGCCGATAAGTGAAGAAACGCCAACAGGAACCAACGCTAGTCCCATCCGTTTCCTAGCAGCGTGACAGGTCAGCAACAGACGTCAGGAGACGATATGTGCACATACCCCTCGTGCGCCTTCTCGTCGCTAAGCGATGCTACGGCAGGGAGATAGAGAGAGATAGCTACAATCCAATGTCAGGAAATTACGTTAGTGTCGGGAAAGACGGCTCACATGTGCCGAGGAAAAATCCGTAACTGAATAATGTAGAGTTGATGAGAATCAGCATATAATCTGTTATAGCAGTACCGACGCACATGATAATGAAGAGTATTAATCCGTACGATGTTGAGCACGCGAGCATTGAGAATTCAACACCGCCTATATAATTAGCATCAGGGTTGTGCTTCTTTAAGATCGTCGATCTATCGAGGACGCACCTGCGCAAAGCAAACAAACCATATATACATCAAAGGGGCTCCACCGATCGCCCAACCAGTTGGGAAATATGCGACCAAGCATGTTGGAAATGTTCATGACGGCGAGCGCATAAAATGACAATTGCTGGCTGACGCCGTGCTGCTCCGCGAACAGCTGCACATAATAGGTAGGGAACCATTTCCCCAATCCTGTCAGGAAACCCATGCCCAAGAAGCATAGGTATTTTGCGTCGTAAATCGACCCCTGGCGGGTCGATTGGTCGTTCAGATTCGTTGTCTGGATACTGTCCTGGCGGACTTTCTCTAGAACCTTTTCATCGATGATTGAGCTGGCGTCCGCTTGGTCCGTCCGTGCGATGGTATCCTTCGAGGGATGCGGCTCGAACATGAGCAAGTTTCCCAGAAACAGCAGACCCAGACAGAAGAAAGCGGACAAGCGCATTGTCCACCCAAACGTCATGGGGCTGTGAAGGAGATAGTTCAAAGCCACTACATTTCGCATCAATCAGGGAGGCTGACGACATGATGTGCAGGCCTTTGCCTCACCAGAGAAGACGAATCCTCCGAGCGATCCTCCAGACATCACTACCCCCTATTAGATTGGGAGGTAGGTGAGCACACGCAGTCTGCTGCATTGAACCCACAACGTACCATGGCGAGGGATTTATTTTGCTTGAAGTGCTGCGTGACAATGACGGACGTAGAAAGGTAGACAAGCCCAATGCCTATGCCCATGCCTAATCCTTGTGCGAGAAAGACTTGATAGTATTGATGTGGGCTAACTAGAGAAAGCATAAAATGACTAAATTGCACGGGAGTACGCACCGGGAAAGAGACCGCAAGGCAGCGGGGAAGGCGTGAATAAATGCGTTGAGCATAGGTATGTATGTCAATTAAAAAAATCACGAACCAGATCACGAAGATTACAGAGCCGGCTACTACGGTGTGTCTGAAGTATCCCTTGTCTAGCCTATATGGAGACTGTAAATCAACGGCACAAGACTCTATACCATACCAGTAATACTCACAGGTCTCCGCCAGGTGCCGCCAGAGCAAGGTCGAGGAAGAGCTGAACACTGCCGATCCAACTGATGGCTGACGGCGACATGTTGTCGAGGAATCCTTGCGAGTAGTACGTTTGCATCACCCCGAACGCTGACATCTGCCAAGAATCAGGACTATTACGTGCGACATGGGGACATGGACCTACGAATCCGACAGCACAAAATTGTACAAGCCAGGCACCAATAACTGACCGTGAGGAGCTTCGTCAGATGTCGGGGCATAGGGTAGATTGTAGCAAATGTTATTCACGTGTGGACCAAGCTCGCCATGGACCGCAAGCGTAGACGTCCTTAGCGGCATTTAGAGAAACCTCGTGCACGAGTCCTATGTCCTGGGTTGGGCAGGTTGCAAGCGAGACGTCGTCCGAGCATCGTGAGGGCTTCGTGGCAGGCATAATGAACGGGTCTGGAACGAAAACCCGCTAGGCATTGCACTCCACCTCTTATACCTCGCTTGCGAGCTCTTATCAGCCGAGGAACGCAGCGCGGGGGTTGTAGCGAGAACAAGAACGACAGAGCCGAGGCACGTACCCGAACACGATTTTGAGTGTCAGCTAGGTCAGCAGGAGGACTAGCCCGCCGCCCAACGGCCATTGCAATGCTCTCAGCCCGCTTAATTTCCGCGCTTTTCCAAGGACTCCGTCTGCGCTCCGCGTCTCTTCGGACCAAGCACATCGACGCGGCTCTCAGGCACGCTGTATGGGGAAGAGACACTGCGGCGCTACAGGCTGATAGCGGTGGACGCCCACGGCAGCGATGATCATACAAGAAGAAATAGAACGGGAGGACAAAATGGAAGTGGAAATGGAAGCGAGGAACTGGCGCTTCCTGGGCGTTGTGGCGCTTCCATGCTGCCGGGCAGAGCGATAGGCATGCTTCGACTTTGAGGACCAGGTCCTGGCGAGGCATCAGCACGTCGGTTCTTCAATGTAGGGCGTATGACGGGTCTGTGCATTGTCATGACATACAAGGTGACTGGCATTGGCTATGAACATACTGCCCAAATGCTGGCAGATGGAAGGCGCAGATCTTGATGATATGACAACACAGTTAACAATAGGCTGGCAAGAAGCCAGAGCGCGCATCTGCGCCCATGGCTCCATCAGTAACAAGAGTTGACGCTGTGCCGTGCAGCGCATTCTGTGCCGCGTGCTCGAACATGAAAAAGCATATTGTCGGCACAGGTTCCACGCTACCTCCTGTACACGCAACGCCGACTGAAGACATGCTCGCTTGAACGCCGCTGTTGTACGCGCATGCATCAGATCGCGAGATCAGCACGGATCATGAAGCCTCACGGTAATTGACTGCATAGCATACCGCCCGCTTACGTCGTGTTTTAGACGTGTACCCCATTGCATTCGGATCTCCGCGAATTGGAAGGAGGCCTCAACGCACCGAGCGCGGGGGGCAGCGAGCGCCGGCCCTTGTGGCGCCGGAGCGCTGTAGTCTCCTGAGAACAGACTAGACAATTCCTTCAACCTGCGCAGGCTCTGGATACCCACGTCGAGCGCTGTCGCCCGGCGTCAGCCTATGGCGCGAGGTCCATGAGCGAGCTACGTGCATCACGTCGTCGGCAGTCCACACTCACCTCCTGCCTGTTCCTCCAAGGATTCGCCCATTGGACTGCATGCAAACGTAGCCGACATGCACGCACACAGGTCTGTGTCTGCATTTTGGGATGTGATCTGATGCAGATTGCTATGCCGAGTCATCTCTTTAAAAATGTATGACGTCCTGTATAGTATGAGAAGGGCTGTAGAGCCGCCCGGCCTCCCAAGAGCAGAGGGCAACATGAAACTGAGCTTGTCTGGGGACCTCTGAGACCTCGCTGAACGCACAAGTGAAGCACAGTACGCCGACTTCCCCTTGCGCCCCTGCTTGAAATTAGATTTGAGACGCTATTTCACGTCTAGCATCTGCTGACCGCCTATCTCGGGCCAGCTCACACGGGATGAGCGTTGTTGCCCTCGGGGACGAGCGGCAACTGTGCGGTCCACATCAGAAGCATCAGGCCGGTAACGTCTGCGCATGCGCAGTGTCCAGACTACCCGCTCGAGGTTGGCAAGCTCGGGCACCCTCATGATTTCTGCTGCTCGACTGCTGCTTTTGCGACTGTGTGGCTCCGTGGTGGACGGGATGTTACAAGGCGTAATGCCTCACTCGCAGAAGAGATGCTAGCCCGAGTAGAATGTGTGCGCCGCCGTCGGCTAATGTTACGTGCGCACCTTCTAGCGCCGTCCTCGTCTTCCAATTTCCTGTATCAGTCAGCGTGTGCACATGCACGCGGTTTCTTTGGGCTTTTTTGTGTGGATAAATTCCTTGTGATTGCAGCTAGAGATACCGCGATGCGGTGTCTGTGAGCATTCTGTGTACATTTCGGATTAGTTAGAACGAAGAGTTCAACGCTAGTGTTAATGTTGGGTGGCATATGACGAGGTGGAGATCAGATCTCGAGTCGAGAGCGATGAGCGACGAAAAAGGACTAGCTCTCCCCGGTTACCCGCGAATTTGACCGATGCTCAAAATGACCGGAGAAGGCCAAGGACAGACCAGCAAAGGCAAGCGGTCTCCCGGCGCGCTTCTGGGCTGCTCTCAGGCCGCCATTGCAGCCATTCCTCGTTCCCATCACACCGCGAAGTCCCCCTCTCGCACTTGCGCTCTTCTAGTGTGCCGTCTCGCTAGTCTGGCGTCGCCTCACGCTCTTTTGCACCACGTTCATTTTACGTCTCTCTCGACAGTCACGACTGCACGACCATGCACGCGCGTCTGCAGGCAGGACACCGGCGAAGACGCGCTAGGGCTTTAGAGGAACGCGATCCGTCGCTCATCAACCTCCCGTTTCCCATCCCGTCCATACCGATCCTTGGTCCGCTCTTGTCTCCCCTGATTGGCGGGGAGCCATGGCCGGCGGCGACGTCCACGCGAGCAGAGCAGACGACAAAAGTCTCGCCAACCACAACACAGGCGCAGGACACCTCACCTGCAGCAGATCCTTCTTCCTCTCCTGCGCAGGACCCCACGCCAGAGCCGCAACAGACGTCGACGCCTGCTCAAACAAATCCATCGCCCACTCCCACCGACTCGGGTGGGGGCTCTGAATCCGGAGGTTCTTCTGGGGACGGACAATCGGGTGGGGAAGGTGGCGGCTCCGAAGGCGACGGTGGCGGGCAAGGCAGCGGGGGGTCGAGCAGCGCGAGCGGGACAGGAGCGAGCGGAGGAAGTGGTGAGAGTGAGAGCGCAGGTGATGGCAGCGGCGGATCGACTTCAGGGTCATCGGTGTCAAGCCCATCAGACCCAACAGATCCTGCCAACGCCGCCTCCGCCTCGCGTGGCTCTCAGACCCTCTCAGTTGCAGCTGGCTCTGGCAACACCCCCGCAGTTTCACAATCACCATCAGGTCAATCTACCAATGGCTCTGGCGATGCAGACATTTCTCCATTCACTGTTGCAGGCGCAAGTGCTTATAGAACAGTAGCACTGGCGGGCGCGACTTCCGTACCCGCGGCCATAGCCAACGCTCAAGGCGGGGCAGTCATCTCAAGTTCCCTCCCAACCGATGGCTCTACAGGCGAAAACGGCGTCGGGAGTGCGGCGACTGGAGTATCCGGTGTTGCCGCACTCACCGGCTCTGATAGAGCCGCCGCTCCGCATCAGACCTCAAGGCCATCTTCCGGCGCAGGCTCGTCCGGGAGTGGCAGCACAGCAGGGGGCGGCACCGGGCAAAGCGCGGGACAGTCTGGCTCTGCAGGAACTGCACACGATCCCTCCTCGCGCCATCATCTGTCTCAAGGCGACATCGCAGCCATTGCGGTGCTCACAACCTTCTTCTTCCTCCTGCTTCTCTTTCTCTTCCTGCGCAAGCGTGCTATCTCCCACCGCCATGACAGGCGGCGCCGCTGGCTTTTGGGCGGCGGCGAGAAGTCGTGTTACGGGCGTGCAGCCGCTTCAGGCTCGGACACCGCGTCTCGGAGCAGCAGCTTCGCCACCCCAGCCGAGTGGGAGGGCTTCTCTCCGACGAGCTCAAACGCACAAGCCTCCTCCATTCACTTCGCTTCCACCGCTCCCGCAGCGCCCATATCCGATGGAGAAACTGTACACGTCTGGCCGAGCAACCTCAGTGGGTCCATCGCCACCCCCTTGCTCGCACCGACGGCCGCCTCCGAGCCATTGCCCACCGTCCGCAGCCCGGATCGCGTGTCCTGGGGCAGCGACGGGCCGTTCGTGGACTCCTCGGACGCGTCGTCGGACGGCTCCGGCGAGACGGACTGGCTCACCGCGCCCAGCAGCGCCGCGCTGCACGTCCGCAGTGTCGCCCTCCCGTCGCCCATGTGCGTGCGCCCGTTCACGCCGTCCGAGGCGTGGGAGTTCCCGAAGCCGCCGTCCCACGCCGCGGCGTCGGACGAGCCCGACGCGCGCCGGAGCCGCGCTTCGACGCACGCGACGATGGTCACGCCCGACTCGCTCCTCGTCTCGACGGTCGAGTCCTCGACGTACGCCACCGCGCCCGAGAACCCGTTTGCGGACCCCGCGAGCGCGTGCACCGGCGAGGGCGAGGGTGAGGGCGAGGACGACGGGCACACGGTGGAGTCGGCGGACGCGGAGACGGCATCGCACTTCGCGACGGTGGAGGTGATCCGGCGGCCGTTCGTGCCGACGATGGACGACGAGATGGCTGCGGCGCCGGGCGAGCGCGTGCGCATGCTGCGGCGGTTCGACGACGGGTGGGCGTACGCGGAGAAGGTCCCGCGCGGGCGGCGTGGCCTGATCCCGATTGACTGCCTGCGCATGCCGGAGGAGGAGCTGCCTGCATTCCTCGCGGCGAAGCGGCTGAGCAGCTACCGCGGTGCGCGCTCGCCGAGTCCATTGTGGAGGGGAAGCGAGCAGACTGTCGGGACGGCCTTCTGAACCGCATGCTTGACTTCACCGCAGACTACGTGGCGAGTCATCTAGCGGCACTGTTCCTAGCCCTCGCTGACAGCTTCTAGCAGATGTAGAAGTTGTCCGCTATTCTTCGAACGTTGTACCCGTGACATGTGCACGGCTACGCAAGTGGTGTACCAAACACGCCTTGCATTCCTTCGCTTTCTGTATGTACATATACCCTGCACCTTCGGTTCGCTCACGCTTCCATCCCGCCCATGCGAACATTCCACATGACTGTGTGCTGTTTCCTTGCTTTCTAACCGTTCGTGCGCGTGGCTTGAGTTAAACTTAGGTTGTGTGCAATTAGGACTATTGGCTTCACATGTAGCCTACAGCCGTTGTTAAGATTGTAATTCATTTGTTCAATAGTATATGTTGTCCTTGGACATGCTCAATACCGAAGAGAGCAAGCACGAAGGAACAGAGCAACTTTCCCAAAAATTGGAATTACACAGTAATGCGTTCAATTGCGTCTCAAAGCAGCTCCATATTGTGTATACAGAGAAAATGTCAGCCCCTCATACTACTCCAATTGCCAGCACTAGCCTCGCATCGGCTGGAGTCCCACAAGGGGCATCGTCATTTAGCCACTCGACTATTCATGTAGCCTTCAATGTCCCGAAGGACGCACAACCAGGGTAGGAGTCATGAGAGCAGGAAACCCCACTCCCCACTTCTCAACCACCGGGGCTGGCTGGCAAGTGCTCCAGAAGGTAGACGCGCGCTTATGCTTGGGATCGGACCAAGCACAAGCAAGCAGCCTTCCAGGGCACCGGCCTAAGGCGAAAGAAGGAAAATGACCATATCTAACTGGACAAGACAAGAAAGACAACGTGGACGAAGACTTGCCATAGAACCTAGTGCATAAAACCTAGTAGACATTATGTGCAATACAGTCACGGCTGCCCCGGTCTGCGGACCGCGCGGCCGCTAGTCACAACATGGGTGAGTAGTATAGAATACAGAAGACAGCGAAAGCAAGACGTAGCAAAGCGTGGTGGTACATTCTCTCGACCGCGTCCCCTCGATAAGCAAGAACCGTGCAGCCTCCTCAGGCGCCGGGGTTTCAGAGAAGAAATGGTCCAGGTGCTCTTCAGTGTCCGTTTCTCCGATGGCCGCTCCCGTTGGTATAGGTGTATTCGGTGTCGGGTGGGCCGGCGGGGCCTGGCGGGGCTGGATACGCATGCATGATACTAGCGAGAGTGGCAGGGACAGGTGGGGGGGAGGCCGGCATGTAGTGATGACGAGGCGTGACCGGACCTGCCGCAGCCTCGCCATTGCGGGCCGGTGGCTGATATGGCGAGCGGTGGTGCGCGTGCGGCGAGGACATCGACGAGTGCGAGTGCGAGCGTGTGACGTGGGGCGGCGGCATCTGCTGCGGGGAGTAGTGCTCGTGCTCACGCTCACGCTCCCTCTCGCGGTGCATCACGGGCGAGTGCGACATTGTCCGGCGGGCGTCGGGCGGCCCGACGACGGAATCGGTCTCGACATAGTCCTCGTACCGCGAGTTGCTCGAGCGTGAACTTCGCCGTTCGCGGCGCATGGGCGGCTCCTGTTCACCACGCTCGGCCGGACGCACGTACTCGCGATACTCTTGCTGGAACATGATGGGTTTGTTGCTCGGCGGCGCTGGTGGCGGCGGGGGAAGGTATGCCTGGTGGTCCTCGCCCTCTTGGATAATTTGTAGCTCTCGCTCACCATCGCCGCGGTCGGCATAGTACCCGCCGCCCGCCCCTTGACCTTCATGGTCATCAGAGAGGGCAGGCATCACCGCGGCGTGGCGCCCACCGAGCGGCCTGTGTTTGGAAGATGAGTCACTTCACAACCGTCACGCGGCAAGACTAACAAGAAGTAACGAAGACGCTCACCCGCCCTCCACAAAGTGTTGCCAGACGTAATCTTTCAGATTACGTGCACCCGGCAGCTCCTGGATAAGGTGTTTGATCGTGTTCTGTCCCAAGCCGAAGAAGTCCGGACCCGACACCGAGTTCGAGTGCTGCCGCTCCCGGATATGGTTCGCGGAGCGTACAACGACGGACCACGCGCCTGTCGCTGTGCCCGCAACGATGGGCTTATCGGGCTGGTCCGCCGCGATTATTCTGAACTTTGGCCCGTCACCGCCATCAAGGATCGTGCAGGTATACTGGACCTCCGCGCGCATGTCGATCGTGGACGCATAGCGCCTGTGACGCACATGTTAGCGCCTCCGATTGGACGTGGGGTCTAGACACGCACCTCGTCACTTCGTAGCCAATAGGGAAGATATACCGCTCCGTATGGAAGTGCTCACGCGTGCACACCTCCCCAAGGCGATGCACCGTCATGATGCCGACGTTCAGAGGGAGGATCGGGCTCCCCTTCGCGTCGCGCGGCACCGTCGGGATGCTGTAGTTCTTGCTCTGCACGGTGTGTGCCTTCAGCCGCTTCGGCTTGGCGTGCCGCTGCAAATCAGACGGCCGCGTGGCTGCCGCTAGCCCGCCCGTCGATGACGTGCGCAGAGTCATCTGCATCTGCGACTGAGGAGGAGGCGGCGCCATGTCCGCAACGTGACCATGCGCGAGCGGTGGACCGTATTCGTCGTGGGGGGACTGAAGAGGCGATGGAGGCGATGGCGAACGGTCTTGTGGGTGCCCGCCTCCGACCAGCGATCCTCCCTCGGAGGACGGCGGCGCGGGGGGCTTGAGGCGCAGACGCGTCCCGGAGCTCGACACCAGCACCGGCGGCGTACCCGCAGGCGCGAACGTCAGCGGCGCTCCGATGTCTTTGGTCTTCGCTCCGCCCCGCGGCCGGCGCACCGTACGTCGTGCCTCGCGCGCCTCTTCCTCCTGTCGCTCCTTGAGCTCTGCTTCTGCTCGCTTGCGCGCGTCAGGCCCGACATGCCGCGAGAGCAGATACGGGTCAATGTCGGCGTCTCCTCGAACGACCTCATCGGTTGCTTGCCGGAGGTTATTGACGAAGTACTTTTGCCCGGAGACGGAGAGGAGTGAGCGTGGAAATGCATTAAAGGGCGGCGCCAGGTTGAGTGCACCGGGATTGAGCTGCGGGTTGGACTCGAGTTCTGTGATGCGATCAAGGAAGAAGCTGTACAAGAGCCCGTCAACAAGGTATAAGAGCCATATGACGAAATGTGCAAATGCGAGAAGAACCGTGACTCGCAAGTATGTAGACAGGAAGAATTGGAAAGGAACGGTGAGACATGATGAACGGGAGAAGCAAATGAGAAGGCAAATGAGAAGGCAAATCAGCTGTACAGAGTAGCCTTCACTTCAAGATGCTCGTGGATGGTGAAAGCTGATGGACGACAAGTCCAAGCTTGGGACCAAAAAGAGCGAATGAAATTAAAAAAGAATTTGAAGACGGATGACGAAACGGGATATGTATAGAGAGCAAGGACAAAACAACAGCTAAAAGCCTGATTAAAGAGGCAGAATGCGCAGAAAATACTCACCGTCTCTCCGCTCGCCACTTTACATTACGTTCGCCAGAGCCTCGCAGTTGAAGGATACTCTCCTTGTATTTCTAGGGGGATTATAGTCGTATCAGACCTCGACGGTCTGGTATGCGAGTAGATCAACTACGCGATCGCTTACCTCTTCAAGGTCAAAGTACTTTCTCTTCAGCCGCCGGTACTTCTCGACGACGTCCGTGCTGTTGGACTTTTGGGACGTGGACTGGGCGACCTGGGGCGGCAGTGGGGGCGGACCCATAACGACATCCTGAGGCGGGCCCATGTTTTGCGGAGGGGCCATGTTGGACTTGTGGGCGCGGCTCATGGCGACGCGGGGGCGGGAGTGATGAGGGTTGAGAGAGAAGAGGGGATAAGGGCGGCTGGGGTCCAGGGGCATACCGCGCCAGGGCGAAGCGACCGTCGCCACCTGTTTGGTCCGATATAAATCCCACATTGAAACACTACTAGTCAGCGTCCTCCCAATCACGTAGATCATATGCTTCGTGCGTTCCTTTGTGCATTGTCCCATCCGACATTGACCACTACCGCGTGTCTATGATATGGCTGCAGACCGCGCCCCGCCGCCTCGCAACACCGCCGCGCGGACAGCCAAACGCACTGCGACGGCGCCGGGAGGGCTGCGAGGAGGTGACAGCGCATTCGGCGTGGCGTTGATTGACTGATTTGGGCATGTCAGACGCCGAAACCTTCTTCCCACTACGCCTCCCACTCGGACCCCGGGACCCCTACGTATGTCTCTGCTCCAGGGCCCAGACACTTCTTCTCCGTCGGCCACGGCTGCCGCAATCGGCGACATGTGTGGTGTTCGCAGCACTCGCTGCTGCATGTCACCGACGTTGACGGACATCCGTACAGCCCGTATCTCTTCGGCACGCCTATCGTCTTGATTAGAAGGATCCTTGCTGGTTGACAACAAGCGCTCCCAACCACACGACACTCCCCGTGCCACACCTCTGCCCCCCTCAATCCACACCCTCTCGTGCCTATCGCTCCGATCGCCCTTGTCTCGATCACAATGCCTGCATCCTAAACTCCCTCCCGAGCTACCTCACTTGCCTCATTCGGCCATGCTCCTTCTATTTTGGGCAAGTCGTGATCTCCATTCCTTTGCTGTCGGCCGCTGTCACCGGCCGTGATGTCGATACAGGAAATAGAAACTGTAAGCGCTTTGTCTTCCCGTCGTGTCCGAAGTTCGAAGGTGAGAAGTGATCACTGGCCCTCTTGACATGTCTTTATCATACTCCGGCATCGAATGATGCGGACGCAGGTCACGTGCGATCGTCAGCATCAATGTCCCGCCGAGTTCGCTGACATTCAAGAAGCACGCTCTAGGACGCCTTGATAATGTCCATGCTCCACGACAGTCTTTTGCCCACAACGGTGCAACATGTCCCAATAGCAACAGACGTCTACATCGAACGTCTATGCGCTATGCGACAGAACGCCGAAGCCACTGTCACAGGGGCTGCCAGTGAGGCGGCGACCGGTTCTTCGCTCCTGCTATGTCCAGCCAATTGCCCCGCCTTCGTCCCAGTGTGCCATACTCTGCGATGGGATGTCTATCATTGAGACTGCTATCACGTTGTTGCGTATCGCAGCAGAGCTTATTTCCAATGAAGTATTGAGAAGCCACACAGCACCTGTGAGGAAACAGAGCTTCCTCCCATCTTCTGTCCGGATTAGAGTTTGGGTCCGCAACCCGAGTACGCACCTACCAAGTATGTCAACCGCGTGTACACCATTAACTTTGACAAGTCCGCCCCTCATCCGCAAAAGCATCCTTGATGGGTGCCCCTGCTGCCTGCAATGCTAGCAAATTTGATGCGCAAGGACAGGCCTATCTGACAAAAAAGAGTACGGCTCGGGGCCTAGGGGCGGCAACCGCTTTCTTCCGCTGCCGTATGCTGGCACCGGCGATCCCATGTTATTGCATCCGTGTTTGAGGCCGCCGTGCTATATCACAAGCACACCAGCGGTCTCATACGCTTGCCACTGCAACGGTCGGTGATGAGTGCCCTACGATATAACCAAAGTCTTCGATTGTGCATATTGTACCAGCTTTGTTGAAGGCAGGGAAGCCGTGGCAGTGGCGCTTGAGCCGGACGGAGTCTTATCAATGCACTATTATCGCTCCCAGTGGCGAGTGAGCCTCGATGTCTATTCTGTGGTGCACGTGCATTCATTTCTCCTCAAGATGATTCTCAATTTATTTGGTCTCAAATCCAGTTTTATACCCGCTTGAGGGCGCCGCCGCACGCGGGACACCACATGCATGTCACCATATCATAGCGGAGCGTCAATCTGTCGCAGGTCATCTGGTAGCGCTGGCTGTGCGCGAGCAGTCCATCGAGTCTTTCGGGTCTCAGGTATGCGATCCGATTTTGCGGTGTCTAGTGGCATGAAGGGGCCGGGTGAGGACGGGGAAGAGAGCATACGCGCGAGATAGAGTGTAACAATATTGGCGATGTTCGTTGTTAATGTCGACATTCCGTCAAGCAGACCTGAGCAAAAGTCAACAACGATAATTGAGCGCTCTGGAGCACAAGTCGTACATGTGTGTCGTCATTCGAACAGTCGAAAGTTCAACGCAGAGATTTGCAACGGTTCTATGCCGAATGCTAAGGCAGCGTCAGGGCACAGCCCGGTCACGATGAATTCTCACTCACTCACATAATTCTTGCCGTGGTTCTAGAGACGCCATCATGCTTGAGTAAACATCTCCATCGAGCATTGTTCCAGTAATATACGACAAGTGTTTCTTGTTTCTGAGCCGATGCATTTCAAGTGCAGCACACTCGACGACCCACTGTTCGAAAATGCTTGCCAAGGAGGCTAGCTAGAGATATAACATAGAGGACTCACCTTCTCGGCGTCTACGACAGATTCGTTGAGAATGAACCTCGAACAAATGGTTGATTAATCTCCGTTATCATGTTCGAACCTTACGTGAGTACGATGTTCATAGTTGAAAATGATATATGTACCTTTGAGTATGAAGCTGTAATACGTGTGGGTGCAAGAGACCCAGAGTACGCCGCTCACGGAGGGTGGACTTGATGTTATAGCGCCCACAGCCTGTAGCACACAGTCACAATGCGCATGTCCCGTCGCCTAGTATTTTCTTGTCTTCATGGTGCCTCTTGAATACGTCCTGGATGGCAAGCGATGAGTGTGAGAATAGATGCTGTCAAAACGAGACAGCAACGTACGCGTCGATGGGGCAACAATCAGCGGTCTGCGACTCTATATGATTATCATGATCATGAGTACAGTAATCACGAGTCAGAAGGGGGGGGGATATATATGTACGCAGTCGTCGCGGCGTGAATGGCGCTGTTCAGGTGGTTGGGCATACCTCGTTTCGGTGCCTTTGCGAGCGAGTGCGGCTGTTCTCCCGGTTCATGGTTGCGAAGCGATTAGCAGGCTCCACGGCCGGGGGTTGGGGGAAGAAGTACGTCGTTCTGAATTTGTTTGTCTAGGGACAGTACTTTGAGGTTCACTGGCAACATCTGTGCCAGTCGGTAAACCAGCGATGGCGTACCTTATGGCCGTTCTTCCATTCGTTCCGCAAGGGTCTCCACTTTTCAAAATGACAATGCGAAAGGCCGACAATTAGGGTTTATCGCTGATAAACGCATGCACGGTTTGTGTCATGCGAGACTTGCTAGCTTGAACGAAGCCAATGCCGCGATCTCTTAGTTGCTGCTGCGACACACCTGCGATGACTTTGCCCTGTGTTAGGCACGGCACTTCACTTGACTAGGCATTGCGCATACCGCGAGAGCAGGAGATGGGTCCAGCGTCTGGTTTCCGGCTGCAGCTCGTCGTCGTCAAATTCATGTCAGAAAGGTGTGCTCGGTGCATGCGATTGTCCGAAGGCCATGTACAAGGGGTTGGTTGATATAGGTATTTGCCGCTGTCTCTGTAGTCGCCGTCCCTGCTCGCTCTCGACATCCCAAGGAGACTCAAGGAGCGATGTAAAATCTACAGGTCGTATGCCTTGAAGTCGCTGAATCAGTATACGGTACCCCAACGTTGCCCAATCACTGTCTGTAAAGCAACGCCACCATTCGATGGACCCCTTCAAGCTCGGAGAAATTTCGTCCCCCGATGGCCCAATTCGACACGGTGAGTCGTGAGATACCCAGTGCCGACGTCGCGCATAATTGTTGAAGTTCCCACTTCCCTCTCGCTGTCTGCCACGACAAACGTGGCTGTCCCTCATATTGTCTTCGGCCGTTAATTCATTCATCCACGTCATACGTACGCACAAGTGGAGCATAGAGGCTCAAACATTCTCCTGAGCGCAGACGTCGATCTCTCCTTCAAGTCTCTAAAGGCTCCGGCGATCCTGGCTCGAACTGTTAGTACAGTTTCCTCACACCCGCTTCCAGCCGTAATGAAAGTTCCTTACAGAGCGAGCCAGACTCTTGATACCAGGATTGAGTAACTGTTTACCCGAGGTACCGTCCATCCTACTGCCAAAGAGAGCACATATACAGCGACCGGGTTCCGGGGCAATTCAGTTTGTGCAGTGCAGGCTGTGCCAGGATCGCCGTCGGAACGGCAGATCTCCTGGTCAGATGCGTCGTTGGCAAAGGAAACGCAGCGACCCCGTCGGCTGGAGCGATAGCTGTTCTGACAAGGAGGGAAACAGTACGACATATCAGGACATATGGAAAGCTGGAATGAAGATCTGCAAACATACACGTAATAGATTGGTTACAGCGTTGCTAACCGGGCCTACAAGGCGATTTAAACTATATGACGCGTCGATGTTCGCTGAGGCCCCGGCTGGCGGTCCTGTCACAGGAAAGCTTGAGTTCACCGCCGGCGAGGGTGATAGGAGATGGCAAAACGCGACCGATCGTCGATACGTATCCCGTCACAATGGCCATACCCGTTGTACTTTGCAACGCAGTGGAACTAGTACCAGAGCTCCAGCTTTTCCGGTAGAAAGAGTGTTAGCAGCTTGTGCGAGTGCGCAGAGACAAGGGCTAGACAAGGAATAATCGAAGGACGTACCCAGGTTCGCAGCTAGACACTATTACTTGCGAACGATGGGATCGCCGCAATCCAGATTCAACCGTTAAATGCTACTTGTGATCGGAACATCTCAACCTCAGGATCTCCGGTTGTTCAGGCAAGTGCGTGTGTATACACGCCTCAGATCGACTCGGCCGAGTAGGACACAGACAGCAGGGAAGACATGAGCTTATCCCAGCCAGCCTTCCGACTTGCCACAGTCGGGGGCTCACTACAGGCGAGATGAAGATCTGCGACAATGGAGCGAGGGAAATATAGCTTAAATTGCAGGAAACGCCGCGACAGCAGCTAGGCCATTACGTTGTATGGGAGAGCATACCTGATGAAGCGGCAGCCTCCAACATCTAGGACGTGGACGACGAAGACAGTTAGGCCGACGGAGCAAGGCAATCGCGAACGCGCCGTTTGTGCTCCGAGGTGCTACTGCTCCTATCCTACATGAGCGGATGCCGCGCTGATTTGGCGTAATTTCCGCTGTGGGCAGTGCTTGGCGAATAGCAAGCGCGAGAGCCATCGGATCCCAACTGGAAGCTGTGCTATATGCAGAAAGTGCAGAATAGAGTTCCTGATAATATGACTGGCTACCGGGAACACGACCCCTGGAAGAAGCCCGACCACTGGGCGTCTATCGTTGCCATGCTTGGAAGCCGAACAAGCCTGCCGCACGGCGGTAGAAGCACTTATGAGACGCGTGAGATAGGATTGGCGCTCCAGGTCGGTCGGGCTTGCACCAATGGCAGTCTATAGCGTATAGCGTCTGAGGCGACACAGCGGCATTCATGTCAACCACTGGCATCATATCCTGGCGTTTGGATGTCAAATCGCCCCGAAACAGTACTGAAGAGTCTGGGAGAAATGTACAGGCGTTATTGACGAAGCGATCGAGCGGGCAACCGAGAAGACCGATAAGCCAACGTGCATTCTCTAGGTAAGAAAAGAGGGCTAGACACAGCTAGATAGTTGAGGGCCTGAGCATTCTTAGAGCAGCGAGGATCACGGCCATTCTCAACTAGGATAACGCGCCAATTATAGCTGGGGAGTTTGCGAGAGGGAACCCGTGAGGCGTGAACGGTTCAGTCAACATCCCATGGCACTCACCAGCTGAGCTTACCACGAGACGTCTGCATGGCTATAGTTGTGCTTTGAATGGAAAGGACGATGTGCGATGGCATGCATCCCCTGGAAGAAGAACGTCGACGAGAAGCGCACAGGAAAGATAGGACGCGCGGGAATAGCTCAATCAAGGCTCATGACACGCAGGTCCGGCCGCGCCAAAGCAGAGCTCATGGCTCCTGTCGGATGGCGCAATTGCACGGCGGGAAACATTGTGGTGGCAGTCAAGCAAAAGCTGTCAGGTTGGAGGTAGTTGAGGAGAAAAGGATGCAGAGTCATGTACGGTGCGAAAATCACATGCACTACGTGTTGTGGGTCCTCAATCTCCGCGAGCATTACCGCGTGCAAAATTCGCGAACAAGGTGGATACCAGCACACGTTAAGCTGTGTTTAGCGAAGTTCAATACATATGGCGACACGCTACTGGGTCTCTGAATTCAGTGAAAGGGGGTACCAATGACGCTACAAGAAGATGAACGTGTACGCGCTGCCGAGAGTACGGGCCTCCTTATCTGAGAACGATGCCATGACAGCCGCCGAATCTTTCAGGGACCCGGATGGGGCGGTGTTCGCGCCTGTTCTTGCCCGCGCCTCGGAAGGGACGATACAACGAATACAGTCAAGGAGCACGGAAATATTTGACAAACGTCGCGTTAGGAAGGTGGTCGCAAACGCTTCGTGATCCTACGCCGCCGGCGTTGGCGTTGTTCCATTAATAGTAGAACATGGTCATTCAAGGCTCCGCGGAGCCTCGGCAGCGGTATGTGCAGGGTACAAGCTCAAGTCACTCGTGCCCCGCATGTGAACATTAGTAGAGGAAAGAGGACAGAGGACGGCATAGCGAGCTCGAGTATGGAGCATCGATCGCCAGGAATCTTCATATGTCTAACTTTCGAGCATCAACTTCCCAAAAGGGACTGCTTAGTAGCTTATCTGCTCCACTTGCGAGAACGTCACCCTGAAACCGCCCGATCAAAGTGAGAGAAAAAACAAAGGGGCGGGTTGTTATGACGTGTACTGTATTCTAAGAGCGAGAAGACTGGCCTTGGGAATGCACGTCGTGATACAGGCCGACGTTCGATGAGAGGTTGTGGAGTAAGTGGAGACTTGCTATATGCGGAGCGTCGGGCTCTGTCGGGCTTGGCCGGACGAGCGCCAAGTCGCACGTTCACTGCGAGTCATGGTCTGTTCACACAGTTTCCAGGGTGGCTACTGGTGAAATGAACCCCAGCGCACGGTACCGACGCCCATAGTCCGCCCGCGTAGCAGGAGGGAAAAGGACCCTCAAAGATAAACGCAGAAGGGGTGATTCCCGAAGCATCCCATTTTGGGCCGGGAAGACGGCGTTGCCTTTTACGACTCAACGCCCGCATCGATACTGGGATTTCGAGCACTGGCGTCCCAATTAGGCAGGCGTGGTATTGATGACCCTTGGGGTGACAAACGAAGCTCCGCCGCCTTCTCCTCTTGCCGACCACCCGTCGCGCGCGCCACCCCATTTCTTCAACACTAAGGCGCTTCCTCGTGTCCGATCCACTGTCTGCTCCACCGTACTTCCTCCTTTGGAAGTGGGTACGAAAAATGCCAGCCTCCGCTTTCGCCTCAATGTTTTCTCACGGAGTCACCGACAATGGCGATCGAGACGTATATAAGACGACCCACCGTCAGCCCAGTCCGTCAGTCTCAGTCAGTATCACAACACACCTCTTCTCCTACAACATAAGAACAGGTTCACTCCACCTGCCACCTCGATACCTCGACTTACTCCTCTACATCTACCTTTCCTACATCCAACATGTCCTCTACCCCAAAGACATTCTGCGTTGACGCCGTCCTCTTCGACATGGTATGTGGCACCCGACGCATCACCATTTCATTCGGTTACTAACCAAGTTCCCATGCAGGACGGTACGCTCACTGACTCCATCGCCGCTGTCGAGGCCGCGTGGGGCAAGGTCGCAAAAGACATTGGGCAGGACCCGGCCTACGTGATCGCCGCCACTCACGGCAAGCGCGCCGTGGACAACCTCTCCCAGTTCAAGCCCCACATCAAGTCGCACGAGATGGACGTCGAGGTGCAAGCCTTCGAAGAGACCATTCTCTACTTCGCCGACGCTTACAACAAGCACGGCCCCGGCTCGCGCCAAAACTCTCCGATTGCCTCACCCGCTGGATCGAGCACCAGCACTCCTGCACTCACGCCCGCGGCGTCGACGCCTTCGTCCCGCACCTCATCTCGAGCGTCGTCATTTGTTGGTGGCCTGAGCAACCTCACCGCGTTCCGCCGCCGCCCATCATTCCTCCACCGCGTTAGCAGCCTCCTCATGATGTCGGACGACCGAGCACGCATCGTAGAGTCGTCAGTTGAAGAGGACGAGGAGACTACATCAGAGCAGAAGGAGCAGACGAAGGAAGCGCTTCACCAGCTGCAAGCTTGGCAGCAGGAGGCAATCGCAGTCGACCGCTCCGTGCGCATTCTGCCCGGAGTCAAGCGGATGATCGAGTCCATCCCCAAGGGTCGCTACGCAGTCGCAACATCTGGCGCTAAGACATATGGTATGTTCTTTCCTATAGGCCTGCATGTAGAGAGACGCTGACCACATTGCGTCACAGCGCACGGTTGTATGACACGCGTCGGCATCACTCCCCCTCCGGTGACCATCACTGCCGATGACAAGCGCCTCAAGGCAGGAAAGCCGGCGCCCGACCCGTTCCTGCTCGCTGCAGAGTGCCTTGGCTTCGATGCCAAGAAGTGCCTCGTCTTCGAGGACTCGCCCTCCGGTATCAAGGCCGGCGTTGCGTCGGGCGCGACAGTCATCGCTGTCTGCACGTCGCATGAGCGCGCGAAGATCGAGAACTGTGGCGCGCACTACATCGTCGAGAACATGGACAAGGTCCGCTGCGACTCCGTAGAGGTCGACGGGCAGCTCCAGCTCAAGTTCACCGTTCTTGAGTGAGCGGGAGGAGTGGTCTTGGTCTTGACGATCGGTTACGCAGCGGAATTCTCATAGCTACATCTCCATGTTTTCGTGCCTTCCATGACTCGTGCTTTCTTTCTGGACGCTATCCACTGTCACGCAGTTGTACAAGTAATGTGTACCATCAGAAGCGCGCTCTTCATCTGTCGCAATAATACCATTTCTATCGCATCTGTGGGATTTGCTTGATTACAAGAAAGGAAAGGATTTAAGCGAATCCTCTCAGAGCTCTAATTCCAGAAACCTCCGAAAAGGGCCGTAAAGCGGTTAGGTTGCAATGGTTTACCGGTGGGTGGCCCCTCTAAATGGTGAGGTTACATCAATGTAACGGTGTCGTTTCCATTGACCGCTTGCCGCACAGGATCGGCGGCTGAAAACTTGCCCGGAGGTGCGTGGCTCCCTGTGGCTCCATAGCGATTGACAGGTCCATTTTCTGACTCCGCTCGAGTCCGTTGTAACGCGTGCTCGAGCGCGACATCGCCTGCCGATTGTATGTCTGGTCTTACCTCCAACTTGAATGAGTCCAAACGGACGACTCGCTGAGACGCTTCTTGCGAGCAAACTTAAAAGGAGTCAGAATAACGAAGTACGCTGCTTCGAGATGGAATCGGTGTTGGTGGCCAAGCGCGTCCGAACGCCTCGCGGTACGCGCGAGCATGACGTCGCGTTATCGCGTCGGGATCAGCGCGATCTTGACGCGCCCCCTGACGTACCTGTACCTGTCGGACCTGTTGCTTGTTCGTTAAATTATTTTTCGAAGATAATGATGGCTCACCAGCATAGCTGCCCGTTATTTACCTGATGTCTTGCAGCGCGGGCTTCAGTTGTTGTTTCCTACCAAACTGAAGCTCGTGAGTTTTACTCCTTTAATTTGTGTTATGTACCGTACTCGTACTGATCCCCTGTAAAGATATCTTACCTCGTTAGGTATAGCAATAATTAGTAGAGTTGTCGTTTCCTGCCCAACTGAAGCTCGAATCTTACTTAGTCAGATACTCGCTCGCCCCTGTTAAGAAACGGGCCATCGCAGTGGGCTTCCAAAAAAAAACAGAAATGCGGTCCTACGTCACTTGGGTTTGCGCGGGATGGACTGGCGCGTGAACGCGGCTGAGTCATGTGAGGCGCGACTCATTACGCGACGCGTCTCGCTGCCGTCAAGCGCGTTCATCTTCTCTGTCTGTCTGTCGAGGCGTCCACGAGACCCGGCTGCCGTTGGCTGCTGCGCTATCTCTTTCTCTCAGCAACGACGTAGAGAAGTTCGAGAACCATTCGTATCGTTGAAGTTCTGGTCGGCTGTCTGAAAGCGCTCCATAGCAAGATTCAAGAACGTGTCAGTAGCATTTCGGTATGCTCGGAAGTGCTGAGAATAGCTCAGTCGCTGGCGGAGACAGCGACGATGACTTCGACTGGGAGGAAGTCATTGTTCCCCAAGCGGACCAGCCGGAAGACCATGCGCAACCTCTTGAGTCGGCCTTGGACAGAGCCAGCGATACCCAGGACCTGCAGGAAGGCCCGTCGGAGAGGCCTAACATAGAGATAACCATACAAACGCACAGACGAGGGAAAAAGGATAGTCCAAAGTGCGTCTCCCTCGCCTTGGTTCTACGTTTGGCGACTAAGTTTGAGGGCGGTAGGAAGAATCCCAGAGCGGAGCAGATACAGGCTGAACGCCTCGCCAGGCTGATGTGCCACCAGATACACACGGTTGCTCTGCTTGCTAATGCGCGAATCAGGAACAAGTGGATCAATGATCCGCTTCTGCACGTATGTCCCGCCGTCTGCGTTGGCTCATGTCCTGTCATAACCTCGCACATACTATAGGCTAGGCTCATGTCTCTCACACCTTTACACCTTCAGAATGCATTTTCTTCTATCACTAGGACTCGATATCCCGAAGCTGCTCAGCGCGGGCGCATGTTTGAGTCTGCTGTCGTCCGGCTTGCGGAGTGGTGGGGTCAAAACTTCAGGGTCGACCGTACAGGTCATATCCGTAGTAGGACGTTCGACGAGGTCCAGAAGAAGATCACCGTGGACAAGAAGGGAAAGGGAAAGGCGCGTGCGCTAGCAGACGACCTCGACGACGACGATATGGAGGGCGAGATGATTCGGAGCGAGAAGAGTCTGATGAAGCATGCCCTCATGATGCGTGGCTCGAGGGATACCAGTGCCCAGCTGTTCACCGCTTTGTGTAGAGCACTGGGAATACCCACGCGATTGGTCGTCAGTCTTCAGAGCGTGCCGTGGCAGGCGAGTGTCGGCAAACCAAAACCCACGACCAAGAAGTCAAAAAAGAAGGCTGAAGCGGAGGAAGGTGCAAGAAGTGATGAAGACGACGACATGGAAATGGAAGAAGTACAGATTCCTGACCTCCCGTCTGCCACTGCGGCGGCGAAGGGCAAGGGGAAAGAAGTGCTCGCTGGAACAAGCCAACGCATCGGCAGCGAGCAGCCGCAAGTGAACGGGGCGGACAAAGGCAAGCAGAAGGCGCCGCCTGTGATCAAACTGAGGCAATCGAGAGGTCGCAAGTGGGGTAACGTGCCAACTGAACAGCCTAGACGAAGTATGTGAGAGATCGACGTGCAATTTGAGGGCGTGCATTGACAACATCATATCCTGTACATCACAGGAGAACGAACGCCTAACCCCACAACGACGGCACCAGTCTTCTGGGCGGAAGTGTTCTCTCGTGCAGACGCTCGATGGCTCTCAGTCGACCCCGTCCGATGCATCGTCAACAAGCGCAAGGCATTTGATCCTACACCAAATCCCAATGCCGTGACGAAACCCGACCGGAGCCGGCCGGTTAAGGTCGAGAACCGGATGGTATACGTTGTCGCCTTTGAGGAAGACAGTTATGGTCGGGATGTGACGCCCCGCTATGCCAGGGAATTCGGCGCGAAGGTGTCCAAGATGCAGCAAGGTGGCAAGGGCAGGAAAGAATGGTGGGAGCGTATTATAGGACTGGTCAAGCGTCCATATCGACTGGTGCGCGCCGCCGTCTGATTGCCTTTGTTGGTGCTGAGAAGGGCGACTTGCTCGCATCAGCATAGGGATGACTTAGAGGATGAGGAGCTCACAACAAACCAGCTGACCGAAGCAATGCCGACCTCTATGGCAGGGTTCAAGAATCATCCTCTGTGAGTTGTAAAATTCCCCTCTACACTGATTCATCTCACGGACAAGTCTTTCTGGACTTGTCACAGCTATGTGCTGGAACGCCATCTCAAAAGGGACGAAGTGATCCACCCTCCCGTCGAGCTGGGCAAATTCCGTGGGGAGCCGGTATATCCACGATCTTCTGTGGTCGCTCTTAAAACCGCAGAGAACTGGATGCGGCAGGGCAGGAACGTGCGCGAAGGCGCTCAGCCGATGAAGTGGGTGAAGCAGCGCGCGATGACCGTGAACAAACAGCGAGCAATCGAAATGGCTCTCATGGAAGGCAAGAGCAGAGCGGGCGAGCAAGGCGAAGGGGACGGCTTCGCGGGCGAGGACGCGGCGATGCAGGCACTGTACGCCGAGAACCAGACTGAGCTCTACAAGCCTAATCCGATCATTAATGTGAGCGGCCGCAACCCCTTCATGAAAGCCCTTCTTGATGCATTTTTCCTGTAGGGTAAAGTACCAAAGAACGACTTCGGTAATATCGATCTCTATGTTCCCTCAATGCTGCCTGCAGGTGCCGTCCACATCCCCTGTGAGTACTGTGAGTTCTGTCGTCGCACATCTGTCTTGACATACCGTACGTCGCAGATAAAGGCACGGCGAAGGTCGCGCGCCAGCTCGGTTTTGACTTTGCAGAAGCTGTGGTAAGTTTGCGCTTCACTTCCGGTTCTCAATGATCGCCTGTTGATGGAGCTGTGTACTTCAGACGGGTTTCGAATTCAAGAAGCGGAGGGCCTTTCCCGTCGTCACCGGCATCGTCGTCGCCGCCGAAAACGAAGAAGCTGTGCTCGATGTAAGTGATCGAACGGCGGGCTTATGTCGGCAGAGTACTAATCGCTTCCCGTCGAAGGCGTATTGGGAAGCGGAACATGATGCGGAGGAGAAAAGACGCGCGAAGCGGGAGGAGCAGGTGATCAAGCGCTGGACGAAGCTTGTTCACGGTCTGCGAATCCGACAACGCCTTCAAGAGCAGTATGCGGGCGGCGAACAGCGCGAAGGCTCCCCTTCCGGCGCTAATGAGGAGGTGATACATCATAAACAACGGCATGCGCATCATGGCAATACTGATGTCGATTCAGGACGTGCAGGGACAAGGGGGGTTCCTCACGGCTGCGGACGATGTCGTCCAACCGTACACACTTCCGAGGAACTTCCACGAGGTGTTGCCTACATCAACTACGATCTCACTTGCACCATTGAACAAGCAGGACGATACCAGCTCTACTCTCGATGCCATCGAAAGTCGTGGTCATGATGAGGAGCACAAAATAGTGGGAGAGACTGGGAGCGAGAGTGACGAAGACAAGGATATGGAACAGGTAGTGGCATTGGCACTTCCAGGCCAATCTGTCCCGCTGCCCAAGACCATGCTGGAACTCGCTGAAGCAGCGGCGCGGCAGCGGGATGAGCTCTCAGAGCAGGAGCGACGAATTCCCGCCTCGCCTGCACCAGAGTCGTCCCAAGTTCAGACGAGGACAGCGAGAGCAAACGGCTCGGGCGCACGATCGACGCCCACTGGCACACATACACCCAAACCATTTACGAAGACAAGATCAGCACGAGGCTCCGACAAACGCCGGACGCGGAAGCGCACGCGAGATGACGCGCAGAGCGCAAGCGCCGGGTCAGACGTCGAGCCGGCGACTTCGACGAAGGCATCCCCAGCAAAGCGCGCGAGGAAGACAGTTGCGCCGGTGCCAGCGTCTGATAGGGTCCTAAGGACACACACAACGAAGAGCGCCAGCAAGGTGCAGGAGGAGCGCGAGATGGAGGAGGCTTTCAGGGAAGCCATCACGGAATAGTATACACGGCGGACTTTCTGCCTAATAATGTCCGTATTTTATGTACTACTTATTGTGGCTACCGTCTCCTGGATCTTATTATACCTTTATAAGCTTATGTTTCTTCTAGAGGGCTCAAGGCACGCGCTCACCTGCGTCGCTGGGCCGCCGGGATGTGGCTGTGCTGCCGCGGCTTCAGGTGTGGTGGAGAAGAACGTGCTGAAGCCTGAAGAACAGCGCAGAGACCGAGCCAGTGACGATCGTAGATTTGAACTTGACGTCCCGAGTCTAGCTTGCCTGTGCCCAGGAAAGGGCTTCCATCCCGGTTCGGAAGGTGGTTTGCTATGTTTGGACAACTGTCGATCGGTCGACATGTTTCGAGTTTCTTTGTCTTTATGTGCGTCATCCTCTCCTCGCAGGACATGTATGATATCATCGCTGTCAATGCTTCCGTGTACTTATATAAACCGGCGTGGACGCCGAGAAATCCAGTTTTCTCCTCTCCCTCGAACCACTACCATCTCCCACTTTGCGCTTCAACGCCTCCAATAGAAACAAGAGCCACAAGTACTTGGCAAGTCGCTTATTCGTTTGATCATCGTACGTGCAAGGCGTGCCTGCTTCGGATATTCGCAGTTCGTGTACGTGCGTTAGCATCGGATGCGCTTCGAGATATTCGTCGTGTGTGCACGTGCATCGCTGTCGGGCGTGCTTCAATATCACGTAGGTTGTTCGTGTTTGTGCGTTGTTTCGTGAACATGTTTATATACGTTGTCAATTTCGAGGACCGGGCACTGCTATCTCGAATACGTTTTGGGGACGATCGCATATAGTTAAAGAGCGCATCGGCATTCTGAGACGTTTTCGAGGATTCCCGTTTTAGTTTGTCTGTTGTTTGCTGTTTCGCGAACGTGCATACAGTCGGATTAACGCGGTCATTTTATTCTTTTTATTCCTCTAGCTAGCATACAGTCAACACATCCCTTCGACCATCTACGGACAACGCTGCGACCGACCTTCCCACACAGGCGCAAGCCCATCCGCCATTATCGGGAGGAGACACGCGAAGGTGAGGTACGATGTGTGGCCCCGGACCTCGGGGAACGCCTTCGAGATGCTGATCCTGGGTGCCACACCGGTCGTCACCGGGCGTGCCCCTTCCTCCGGCTGCGCGTCGAGCTCGTGCTCGCGCATCACAATCTGCGCCGGCGCCGCGCCGCCCTCGCTGAACTTGAACTCCTCGCCTTCTTCCGTTCTGGAGCGTTTCCCCGCGGCACTGATCGCATCGGCATCGTCATCGGCGTCCGCATCGTCCGTGCGCTTGCGTTTTCCCGCGGTGGCCACGGCGGCGCGCGAGTTGGCGATCTGCCGAAAACGCTTGTCCTCGCGGCGACGCTCCATGCCCTTCAGCTTCTCCCTGACGTCGCTGATCGGCGTGAGCGCGGGCACGGCGTCGACCTGCTGGGGGCGGATGAGCGTCTCGTACATCGTAATGTCTGGCGCGCGGGAGAAGGCCGCGTGTGAGCGTCAAAACAAAGAGGGAAGAGGTGGGGGAGGCACGATACCCGTGAAGCCGGCGTCGTTGAGCGCGTTGACCGTCCGGAGGACTTGCTCCATGCACGGGCTGAAACAACATATCCGCGTCACGCGGTCTTTCTATCCACGCCCGATAATTCAGCCTAGGCATACGCGGAGGGGGAGGAGCATGAAACCGCCGATTACGCACCCTCAAGGCCTTTTTGGCGTGGTCGACAGCGTCCCATGGCGCGGGGAGGTCCAAAAAGACTGGGGATGCCAGTCAGGACTACCCTACGCGGGCGCGCGTTTGCGACAGATGACCCACCTGCGTCAACGACGTCGCTTACGGTGAAGCCATCCTTGCATACGTTGCGGTGGGTAAGCGTGACTGTCGCGTCCATGCCGTGACGCGAGAACTCTTCCCTACCCGAAGCAGAAGCGCGTCAGCATCCGCGAACCGCGCAGTGCGCACAGTGCAGCGAGAAGGCCATATCGGCAGCCAATCTCGCGTCCACAGTCAATCGCATGCGGGCCGGGCGAGCCCGCGCAGGATCCGCCGATAGGACCCCTGAGAATCCCCTCAGAGCTCCGATCCCAAAAATCCTCGAAAATGGGGCCTCTGGAGCGAAAATGTTACATCTCAAACCCCCAAATGGGGCCCGAACGGCGGTCAGGTTACATCCCAAACGCCCCCGAATGCAGGGCTTCCGCCGATCCACGCCGACTCGCTGGCCCGTGCGGGAAGAGAGACTGACTTACCTGGCCTTGGTGGCGCGCGCTTCGTGGAATTCATATGACCAGAGATGGCCGGTGGGCCCGACGGTGCGGGTGACGGAGTGGGAGAACGAGCCGGAGCCCGTGCCTATGGGGCAGGGCGTAAGGCGGACGTCTGACAGCTTCTACACGCAACCTACCTGGGTACAGATGGTGTCAGCAAATGTAGGCGTGCGGCGAAATAAAGCGACATGTCATCGCCGCATCTAGTAGGCAAGGAGATGAAGAAGAAAGATGGTGAGCATATAACTAATGCCCTCAGAGGGCGGGAAGCGGCCTGTCGTTGTACCGTGCGACAAAGCAGTTATGACAGGATATGGAAGAAGAGAGAAGATGGAAATTTTCGACAGCACCACGGGCGGATGTAACTCGACGCCATCTACAGCGAAGTTGCGAGCTACAGTCTTCCTGTGGTATATGGAATCCGAAGGCCAGCCGAGTGCGGACGTAGGCTTACCAGCTTCAATAACTTTGCTGCCGGGCTTGATATTCAGCCACGAGGTGACGAACGCAATGTCCGCGAGGTAGAGGATTTGCGTGCGGTGAGGGAGCGCGAGAGTCCAGAGCTCGGGCGTCGGGCGGAGGACGTGGATGAAGCCCTTGCCGTTGCGCGAGCCGACCTTGGACCCATAGGGAACGCCGACAAGGTCGTCATGACGGTAAAAGCCGAACCTGTTGTTGATCTCCTTGCCTGGAGTAACGACGAGCGGCTGGACAAGGTCGCGGGTCTGGTGCCGGGGCACACGCGAAATTCAGCAATGACATGCGGGCGCAAAGCGGGCGACACGCGTTCACGCACCATCCAAACAATGACTAGGTCGCCGGGTGCAATTTCACGGGCCGAGGACCACATAGCCGGGTGTGGTGTGAGCCTGTTGGATGCAAAGTGAGGTGGGTGGGACATGCTCGAGACATGCTGCAGGCGTACCTGTTAAGAAGCCACGGGGCATCGTGTGCGAACTTACCAGGCAGAAATGCAATCTGAGGACTTTGAAATCTGGCCCGCGGAAGCAAATCTAGACCAATGGGAGCGCGTGGGAAGATTCCAAATGGCACTTGAATCTTGGGCGAGACGCCGGGGCCGCTGTTTCTCGGGAGCAGCAGTACACATCCTCAGCGGCCCTTCCCCCGGACCCATTCCCTCTCAGCCCTCCGTCGCGCGGACACAACGATCCCTCCCGGCCGAGATTCTAGTCTCAATCGCGTATTCATTATTACGATACCCCTTTTGACCCCGTGGGACTCGCGAAGCTATCCTTCCACCGCATTGTATTGGCGGCCGTCTCGTTCTATTATTTAGATCACATACCCTTTCCTCCTCGCCCATCCCACCTCAGCGCATTGAACCGCCGTCGCCGGTTGGATTACATTTGTCCGTTCCGCGAAGACAACATATCTCCTCGGGCTCATTCGTACCGCCTTTGCCTTGTCCAGTACGGAACCTTGTTCCATGCTTCTCGAATAACAACACGACTTATCTCCACAAACACTGCTTGCTTCTTACCACCATCTTGTCTCGTTCCCCGTGCGTCGATATTCGCATCCTCTCCCGTGTGCTGCCATGGACGCGTCCACGCCCTGTGTCTCGTTCAGTATGTCCATCCTTCCTGTGTCACGTCTCCTGCCAGTGACTCAGACGGCGGTCCAAACCAGTTGGAATTGTGGACTTCACCGAGCAGGTAAAGGCGCTCGATAGGCGCTCGTCCACGCAGTGCTGGCTAACCACATTCCCCCACAGGCTAAATGGCTGTACCTGTCAGAATCGGTCGTGGATCTTCTTGGTGCGAGCGATGTGGTTTTTTTTCTGCGTTTCTGCAATGACACTTACCGAATTGCAGGCTGGGAGCCCGCAGACCTCATCGGGACTCCCTCCTTGAATCTCGTACATCCAGATGAGTACGACCAAGTAAAGGCGATGCACTACTCCACCATCACCCAGGATCGCGCCGCCGTGCTTGCTTATTTGCGCATGCGGCACAAGGACCCGTACAAGGGCTACGTCCTCTGCGCTATCGTGCGTACCACATCAATTGTTTAGCGCCCAATTATAGCCTGATCATCCGGCAGTCCCGCACGGTCGCCCAGAATGTGCTTGTCGGCAGCGTGTCGTTCGCATCGCCTGGTCCGAAGGCCATGCACAACGCGTCGACCGCGCAGGAAGTCCGAATTATAACGCCATACGCCAAAGACTTGGATTTCCGGGTACGTTTCAGGCGACGTGCTTCTCAGATGCCTTCTGACTGTCATGGTGGACAGCGCTGGAACGACCCCAACCCCATGCCGCCTTGCCGTGTGCCGAGCCCCATCCGCGAGCTGTCGACAGGGCCTTCAGGCTCGTCCGACGGCTCGCGAACCCCATCGCCCAGCCCGTCGGACGAGGCGCCGCCCCGCTTCGACCCGCTGCCGGAGCAGAGCGTGCGCACGGCGCTGATTCTAGACCGCTTCAGCCGGAATTGTAAGATCCTGTACTGCTCGAACGACAGCCTGGTGAGCACGACGAAGGCGATGGGGCGCGACTTCTTCGACTTTGTGATACGCCGCGACGAGGAGAAGGTGCGCTCGTGGATCGACGTCGTCAAGGGCTGGGGCGTCAACGAGCGCGGCCAGCCGAGCGACGGCGGGTTCGGGTTCGGCAAGTTCGCGGTGTGCGTGCAGGGGCGCGATTCGAGGTGCGTGCCGGTTTCCGGTTTTCGTGCGGTCGGCTGCGGATATTACGGACGCTGACGCGCGGTACGCACAGCATCCGCACGCCGGAGCCTGCACCTGCGCGGGGCCACCGTCAGAACGGACACAGCAGCCGCGCCAACGCGACTAACGACAATCGCCCTGGCCGGCATGAGCGCCGCGCCCAGGGCTCTTCCTCGCACAGTCCGACGCACAGCCGCCACCGCGGACGTGGGGATCCGTCGGAACTCGTCGTGGACGCGATATTCTCCGCGCACTCCGACGGGCTCATGGTCATCCTCCGCAAGTCGTCCTCCTCGTAATGCCCTTCCCCAAATGGCTATTGCTCACGCCCTTCACGACTGCTTGCTGCCTTATACCCATCTGTCTCCCGGTTATTCGCCCCATCTTTGCATAAAAATCATGATTTAGGATCGCTTGCTGTCTGACGTTGCTGTACGGTGCTACAAGGAATATTGTATGTGTATGTAAAGCTTCTTTGCCTCCGTTCCACTCGTCCGACGTCGTTTTCCCTGTTCGAGGTATGCCTATGTTGTGTCGCCGTTCGCCTTCAATTTTCTCGTGCTATGATCTGGATAACAATGTACATATAAAAATGCACGCCCACTTTAGAACGTAAGTCCCCAGCGTCCCGAACTTCTCCGCCTGCCATTCTGAGCCGTTTGCGCTGCATAGTTCCGCCATAAAGCAGCATCAATGCCCCTGCTGCGTTCGCTTCGAGCGGGCACGCCGCCCGCGTACCCACACTTGGACGTTATCGCACCTGAGCCCGCACCTCGGACCCGGTCAGATCATGGGACGCCCTCATGTAGAGCATGCCCCCCACCGAAGGTGAGAGCCCTGGCCGGCCAACGGCCGTGCCGCGCGTCACGGATTGTCCTCACGTCATGAGATCTCAGATCAGGATTGGCCCTCAGGGGGAGGACACGGACAGAAGATTCGACGACGGAGCACGCTGCACGATGCACGATGCGGTGGTGCCAGACCCGAGGCCTGTAGTGCATGTGCGGGTGCTGCCCAGGCCGGCTCATGCTCCGTGGCCCGTGGCACGATTGTGGTCGCGCATGGCGCTATCTGCGCCCGGCACAGCAAGGCGGGCGCAGTCTGAGATAAGCAGGGTGTCCCTTGCTTCATGGTGCATGTGCATGAGCCGCCGCGTAGTCGTGGGTCTAGAGCAGGGTGCTCGCCGGGTGTGTTTGGGTGAGTGGGCCACCTTGGTTTTCAAGCGCTGGTGCGATGTCTCGACTTCCCCACAGGTATTTGTGTGGGGGTTATGTGCCGATCGAACGTGATTCACGCTCTGCTCTGCGCGGCGGATCGTCGAGAAAGGACTTGCAATTGTGCATTTGCATCTCCGGCGCACGGATCGAAAGGTATCGGCGTTCGCGATGCCCCCCAGAATAGGGAATCACTGTCAAGGCCTTGGTCACGGTTTGGCAGCTTCCCTGCACGCAGCGGTTAAGCATTCAGACGTTCGCGGATGAGCACGCAACGGGGCCAGATCTTACCTCAGGCCGCACGTCTGTCATGTCCGCCTCCTGGAGTACTGCTGCATTGAGTGACACCGGCTGTGAGCGCAGCAGGGTTTTCTGAAGGCGTTATGCACCTACTGATCCCGCACTGCGGGTACCTGTGATCATGCGGCCTTAATTTTCTCGTACCGAATTTCACCGATCAGTCACCGATCCACTCAGCGGTGCTTCTTTTTAATTAAGACCTAGTAGGCAGCTGCGATCTGGCCCCGCACTTCTGCGGACAACCTAACTGGTGCTAGTGATGACTTACGTACTCCGTGCCTGACACGGACATCTGTATGTGCGGTCGTCAACGGCAGCGGGACTCGGCGTATCAATACTGATAGCACCGCCAATGTGACAAAGCAACACCATGTGCTGGGATCCATGGTGTCGGCTAGCCAGAGATCTCTGTCCCGTTTTGCATCTCAGCGAATGTCTGGCCTACCGGTGCGCACCGATCGCTCGCACGGGACCATCTGAGCCTGTTTGCCGCATGGTTCGCTTTAGCTAAATATTTCGTCATCAGTGTGAAAGGACACAAGAATAGTTGGCAAAACCTGCCATATTTAGTGGGCTTCGCAGTTCTCATCATCCTGATGTGTTGTGAAACCGTCATGTTCATGTGGTGGTTTACTGTGAGATACGGGGTTTTGCAAAATCGACCAATTTTGCGAAACCCCGTGATATCGTCTTCCACCTCAAAGATTGTATTTCTGACACTTATATGCCCTTATAGATATTCACTGTACTCTACCAGTGAGGCCGATTGGGGAGAAATAGATTTGTCGTGGAATGGGAGTCTTAAGACTGTTTATATAGCCTTCTGCAAATTCATGATAAGACAGATCCAAAGTGATTGCAAGCCGGTGTCCCCAATTGGACATTCGATCTAGTATGTTACAGCCATGCTTTACTTGATCCTTCAGCCCGATATCTTGTCAAAAACTGAATCGCGGCGTGTGGACGGTTTGCAAAACGAGCGTGACATTTCCTGCCACCAATGCGTGATGCGTTCGATCTCCGCCTTCGATCGTGATCTGCAGGTGGCACGACGACAGGCTTGGTCACGGTGTTGCGACCTCTGCCGCGGCGGAGTCTGAACCTGCTGCCGTGACCTGCGAGTGACAGAGTTTGCAGAACTACCGCAATTTGGTCGTTTCCAGCTGGCATCCCTTTACAGCTCGCATTTCATTATGGATTACCTTGAAACTTGTTATACAGGATGCCTCAGCAATCAAACGTTAGCTTTTTCACTCGTTCGAGCAAATCGGCTCAGGCATCAAATTGTTATGCAAAATCCCGTATCCCACATCATTGTGTTCGTACACACCTGAGCTAAGTTTGCCTCAACACACGTGTTATTGATACATCGGTACATACATTAGCGACCATGAGTGCAGGGTATATTTTATGCATGAGAATCCCTCCCCTAGATTATACGTCGCCCGCACCATCGCCTCCCTGCTCGGCTCGTTTAAGATCCAATGTATCTGTCTGGCGGTGCGGATCCTCGAATGTCACCGTGGGGATGATGGTTTTTCTCTCCCGGAATGTCGACACTCCGTCAGCGAATACCATCGTGTCAAGAGGAATGGTATGCGTCTCGTCGGTAGTAGCGGTGGTGGCGGTAATCCCTGACCGGAATCGCGGCCCCGATCGTTGGCTCTTTGTCATTCGCGAGGTGATATCGTTTGTCGTCATTTCCAGGGCAGCTAACACGATGATCATCGTTGGGACGATACCCTTCGTGGGAACTGTGGTCAGCCAGTGGCTGTGGAATGGATTTTGAAAGCATACCGTCAATTGGCCAATAGGGTCATAGACAATGTAGAATGAGTTGAGGCCCAAGAAATAGAGGGTCACCTCGCATATCAGTGCAACTGAGTAGATCATGCCAGATTCGACTACGGTCACGAGAACCCTCCAGTAGCGGAAGTTGGCAGTGCCCCCACATAAGCGTAGCATGTACCTGCAACGTCGATGGGTCTCGCAGGCACCTCAATGCAGGATCCGGTACATACCATACACGGAGAGCGACCAGCCCCGTTACAACGACATTCGTTGCAAGGGAGAGGCTGAACAGGGAACCGTTCCATAACACCAGCGGGTGCGCAAACGCACTATGATATCTCTGCCCGCGTGCAAAAAATACAGTTTGTCCAAACCCACATACTAAGCAAGAATTCAACTCAATACCACATAGAACTCTGGCAGAATACGGCGAACTCACTAGCGGATCCGCACACCAACAGAATAGGAATGGCGCACATCTTCCAGTCTCGGCCCCACACAAGGAAGCACCGCCAGACCTGTTGGCCCTCAGGCCTCAGTAAGGAACGTGCATGGCAGACGGTATTGCTACGCACCACTACACTGTCACCAATGATCGACTGCGATCGACGTTAGCTCAGGAGCTCCGCTCGTGCGACTGAGAGAGACCAGCTCACATTAACTGTATGCAGTCCCACCTTCGCGACATTGGCAGGAATAGAAACGTCGGAGAAGAAGGCGGCAGGGCCCCCCGGTTGGTCTCGCAGCACGATGAAGCCCATTATGAGGCGATAGAAGCCGAGGAAGACGTGGCACGTAGAGAAGCAGAACATGGCCACGGCGATGCCAACGAGAAAGGTATTGACCCGTGGGGTTCGCCGGCGCACGACCAGGACGAACATGCATGAGAAGAAGAGCACGATGTTCATGCCTGTCGCCGATATCGTCAATATAGTCGAGATGTCAATTCGATTGCCGTTGGCCTGGACATGTCCCGCGCCCTCTCTCCGCACCCCCTTATTTGTGCTTCGCCTTCCCTTCGCTGTATACAGAGACCCACTCACCATAAAACAACGTTTCGAGCCATATTGCCGCCAAGTAGGCCCGGTCCAGCGAGATATCCGTAACCGCCATAGATATGAAGACGAGAACTCCGATACGAGTCGATCTGTCCGGGCTTATAACATACGTTCTAGGGGCATCATGGAGCGAAGCTAATGAGTGCGGTTGATACAAGTCTGGGAGAGCATCGCAAAGGGTGTGGGAATGGCGCTATACTGTACCCGGTTATTATATAGACGCTTTGCTGCTCCCACACAAGCTTCGACGTATGGACCGAAATCTGCGACGAAATCTGCCGGGCAGTGGCGGTACGTCTCTGTGGCGACTATCAGGATCTTAGTGCCACAAGACATGCACTACGTAAATACCGAGTGCAGCACCTCGTGTGGCGATGCCTGAGAAGGAAGTGAAAGCGTTTGAATCGATCCCACATACATAAGGCAACAGCACGCATGAAATTGGGACCTGTCAAATGCGGGAAAATGCCATGCCACTGTGGCGTATCATGAAACCTAATGTGATTGTTCATTTCAATGATATAGTGATCATGCAACGGAGCCAGTAGACCGCCAAAATTGAAACGACAAATGAGCACTGTTCATCAAGGAAGCAATACTGATACTGTTCGGTGTTATTGTCCGTACAAGTCCTGAAAGTAGAGTCTCCTAGAATTGACACGATGGGTGCTAGTAAAAGAGGAAAGGAATACATGTCCGCAACTTCAAGGTCATTGGCTGCCGGAGCACGCATGTCACGTGATCGTGATGCGACCACAGAATGCGTCGCGTCGCGTCGCGTCCACGTCGCTTTAGTTTGCCACCGGTGTTCCTTATCTTCACCCCTCCTCATACTACATTAACAAACGAGATCCATGTGCTGAAGCACATACAACCACCGCCAAAGCCATGATGGATGACCTTGAGTCCGACATCGAAGCGTCAGTTGAGTCGAAGGAAGTCCTCGTCGCACAGGAGTGTCAGCGGTAAGCAGTCGAATGCTGTCTCGGCTGTACAGCTCTTATTTATTTGTAGGGTCCTTACAGAAAGTGAGGATAGCTATGTTGCTCGCAGCTTAGTAATGTGGCGTGTCATTAACCTATCGTCCGATAAAAAGCCTTCGGACATTCCGAATACAAAGGGAAACAAAGAGAGATCATAGAGGCAGCTGTTAGAGGTCAGTGATATAGGAGTGACTCTTACACTATGTTCACATTGATACTTACCCGCGATGATTCAGGAATGGATGTGTTTGTCTTGGCTCCGACAGGAATGGGCAAGGTACAATCCGTGCGCAGGCGACACTCTACCTTATTTACGATGTCCGCAGAGCCTATGCTTTCAGATACCTGCCATAGCGCAACAGGTATGCGGGCCACAGGCTATATGACTAGATATCCTAACACTGGAGCTCCGTCACAGCGAGGCGTGACAGTGGTGGTGTCCCCTCTTCTTGGTATGTGGACACATGCCTGTCAGCCAATCCAATAGCTTCTCAAATGACTATATGCGCCGCATGATCACAGCTCTGATGAAAAACCGTGGGCCGAATTTGCTTCCTACAAGCACCGATCACCCGGAGCTAAGATGGCAAATTTACAGAAGTTGCAAAGTTGAGACGAGTTGACATACCCGTGGTGGCGTTTACCTCGGAGACCTCGCGCCAGGAGAAGCATGATGTGCGTTTGCATCTGCACTGCCTGCACTAATTTCTAAGGTTTTAATCATGACCATCAGATTGTGCAGGATCTCAATTCGGAACATCCCTCCACTCGTCTTCTATATGGTGAGTTGCACCAAGTTTATACAGTCGTTCTCATAATGACTCACTCTTCACAGTCAGTCCTGAGAAGTTCCGTACCGCAGAATTCACCAAACTACTATCCGGCGTGTACGAGCACGGGGAGCTCAACCGCCTGGTGGTAGATGAGGTACGAGGAACGTGTCATCAGCGGAGAGCATGTTGACTTTGTTGATTCGAAAGGCACATTGCATATCGGTACGACATGTTGCTAGAAGGCTTGCGCATACGTTGACAAAACGGGACACAGGAATGGGGACATGACTTCCGTTCCGACTATAGACGTCTTGGATCATTCCGCGAGACATTCCCTAACATTCCAATCATGGCGCTAACAGCGACAGCAACTTCCCTGTCAGTCCACATGCTCCATCACTCTCTTGATCTCACTGAATGCGCGCGCAGTGTTCAGGATGACATCATTGATAGCCTTGGGATGTCAGAAGAAGGCCTGCTCAGGGTCACGCATCCATTCAATAGGGCTAATTTATTCTATGAGGTAGTCTTCACTCCGCTCCATTCTCCCACACCACCTCACAGAATTGTGTATAGGTTCGATACATATCATCACCAGATCCGGACTCGCACATGAGCGAGGTTTACGATTACATCAGTAATTTGCATAGACGTCGAGGGCGGGCTTCCTCTGGTATCGTATACTGCAGATTACGTGCTACATGCGATTCTCTTGCCGCATATCTGAAGGGCAAGGGACTCAATGCACGACCATATCACCGCGGTATCAAGTAAAGGCCTATCCCAGCAGTACAGACGTTCATTACGATATTGACTATATTGTAGGGGTCCCATGCTTGACCGCACGCTAGCTGAGTGGGAACGCGGTGGGACGGGAGAAGGCGGCGTTGACGTAGTGAGTTCAATTCCGCGTGTTCTGTGGAGTACTGAGCTTTCAAATCTTCCATAGGTTTGTGCGACTATCGCGTTCGGAATGGGTATCGATAAAGCTGATGTCAGGTATGGACGGTTCTTTCACGTTACACGATGGGCCAACGTTGCACAATACAGGTATATATTTCATTACGATCTACCCAAGAGTTTCGAAGGTGAGATCATTGCTGCGGGCTTTGCGAAAGTTACTCAGTATTGGTTTCAGGATACTATCAGGAGACAGGTACGCTTTCACTATTTGCAGATTTTCGGCGCTCATTACACGAGCTCAGGTCGCGCGGGTCGCGATGGCATGGTAGGTTCATTTTATGATGTGAACGCATATACTAATGCGAGGCAGCCGTCGAAATGTATCTTATTTTACTGTGGGTCGGAATTTGCTTACTTTGTGGGCTAAGCTGATCGCACAGATTGCAGCCAGAGAAGACGCAGTCAGAGTCCGTAGTTTAGTGTCAGGTTCACATGCGAAACGCCTTGAACGCGCAGAGTCTTCGGAAGCTCCAATGCCGAGCCAGCGTGCGGTGAACAGCTTGAGCGCGGTGGGTTGACCGTGAGCAATCGGCGATCTTAAGTTGAATCATGCCCTTTCCAGTTGATCAACTTTGCGGAGAGCGTTCACGTCTGCAGACATGTAGTCAGTATGATTCATCCGCCTGGCCTCATGTGTCGCGATGTAATATTCCGTCAGTCCATTTGTAGGTACTTCGGTGAGCAAATAGACACCGGAAACCCCGCAACAATGAAGAGCTACTGCGCCAGCATGTGTGACGTGAGTTTCGTTTAGAATCTTGTGTTATTTGGTTCATGATAGCTTTCGTAGGTCTGTAAATACCCCGATAAGACGAGGCGACGAAAGCTAGAGCTTTTTTCAGAGGAGTTGGTCATGTCACAAAAGGCGACCTTGAGACAACAAGCCGTGCGCGACATAGACAACGATGGTCATCGCCACGTCCAGCAGCCTGCGATCAAGCGTTCCAATGGGCTTACACGCGCGTCAGATATTCCGGATACTGGCGGCCGCAAGGACTTTAGGCAGGGATCAAATGTCATATCGAACGATCACGGCCATGCTAGTCGCTTGACTTCGACCAGATCTGTCGGTGCCTCGAGAAGTGCAGCAGTTGGCTCCAAGCGACCCGCTTCGGGCGTGGCTCGTCATGACGCTGTGAGTGCGAAGAAGGTCAAGGTACAGCATCCCGCACCTTTGCTTGGCATGTGTGCGTCACATTGTTTGACTGTACCAAATACGCCCCTTTGCTAACCGTGTGCAAGCTTCGAGACTCAAGCAGACCATCAACAAACCATTTAGATCACCCTTCAAGTCGGTGATCCAGAGCGTCAGTGAAAATCGCGCCCAGTCTGTGTCTGCCGAGATGGCGACCGAATCCACCGACGAGGACGAAGAGGCCGCTCAGGCCTCCAGTGCTGATGACGCTCTGCCTCCGAACGGTGACGCACCGATAGAGGTCGAGGAACTAATGTGTAAGGACGGAATAGTGATTTTTTTCCCCAGAAGCTCTCCTGATCATGTATGCAGCATCGCCACTCTCCATCCCTGCTACAGATGTCGAGCTCGACGCTTCATATTCGCAGAAGATACCGGTAAGTGCGGAGTGCCTCGCTACACTATGTTATGTACAAGCATGGCCAGGTACCGATGCGGAGCGAGACATTCACGTCTCTTCGAAGAGCGCTGCACAAAGTGTTCTCGAATGCTACCAGCGGCGACACGTTATGGGCCAAACTCGGCATGTCAGAGCTGGAATCCGATGTCAAGTAGGTTGAATATACTCTCAAGGCCTGCCGTCGACATGACAAATATGCATGATAGGGATTCCGTTTTATCCCATACTGCGAGGGAGCTAGAATTCACTGTGCATTCACTGTGTTCCACGCCAGATGGCTATCAGGCGCGTTCACAGAGGCAACTGTGGGCAGTGAATATGCTTTCCAAGGCAGAAACGTGGGGCAATCAGCCTCCCGAAGACCTTGAGGATGGTAAGGAAGTCCTGGAGGTGCTCGAACGTGTATGTGCTAGTGGCCTTCATCGCAAAGGGAAGGGAAGGAGTATAAAATGAATACAGTGACCTGTGTGCGTATGATGGCATGATACGCAAGGGGATACTGTCCGTTGTAACGATACAATACGTAATTGATATAATGGGCTTACAACGTCTATGGGATTGTCCAAATGGCAACACCTTCCTCGTGTCGCTTCATGCTGCCTTTCAATCGAGGCTTCCCGCTCGCACGTCGCATCTGGTATAGCGAGGAGGTTCCCGCGAAAGTCTTTCCTACAGAAACATGAACAGGGTAGCCATATGACGAAATGAAGTGATCATACCGTTCTCTTGTCCACAGCGGTTGCACACTACGACATAGGTCTCACCCTTGGTGTCGTGGGCATCAAATCCTATGGCGCCCTTGCCTCGTCGAATGCCATTCGGTGCTACCGCCCATAGAGGGCGCAATCTAGCAGCCCAGTACCTGATGGTCCCCTCGTCTTTGTCTGCGGTTTCATCCCAACCGGAATCCAACCAAGCATTGAGTAACACGAGAAGGTTCGAATTGTGGGTGACGACATGGTCTGCAATCTCGTAGGGTCCGTCTTCCAAGGTCCATTCCGCAGGAGGTTGTGGGTTCAGGTCCATGCAGATCCCCAAAGTCACTATGCCCAACGGCGGAGGAAGATTGAAAGTCATGAAACCGTTCCCTAAAGCGCTGTGCAGCTCGATGACGGTAAATCGGCACGTCTGGTCATACCTGCCTTGGCCCAAGTCATGTCCGTCTCGTATAAGTTTGTCTTCCGATAATCGCCAATACATTCGCCGTCTGGCCCATACAGCACTGCGCTATTTGCTCCTACTTTGGTGATGTCATGCTCGTCGAGTGCTTCTTCCTGTTCGTGGGGCTCGAGGCGTTCTGGATATCCAGCGACAACATAACAGTGGAGCCTCGCTGAGAGTTCGGCACAAAAACGAGACGTTGGGCCCGTGCGCGGGTGTTCCAGATGGGGAGCTATGGCAGCGGCGTTCGGGAAAACATAGCCTAGGATGCACATAACCAAAATTTAAATGTCAGGGAACTACTGCAGGCAAGACGGAACATACCGGTAAAAATCATCTCGGGCAGGCAAACTAGGTCGACTGAGTTAGGCCTAAGCCTAAAGAGTCTTCAGAATGCAATGTGGGGGCATCCTAAATGGTAGCAGTGACTGACTGTTCGCAGAGCCTCCGAGCGGTCTGGACATTCTCCTGCACTTGCCCAATCTTAGGGGCGATTAGTAGCTGTATCCTCTCGAATTGTTGAATAGTATACACACCTTAGGAGCGAACTGAACCACAGCGACCCTCATGCTGGAGCGTGTCACAGCGAGGCAGGACCTACAGAGCGTCGCAAACACCGTGACTGCTCGCTGCTCTCACAGTCAAATATCACATCAATTTCATTGACCAAGCTATGTCGCCGTGGCCCAAAGCAGATGTTTGCATATTTCGGCGCTGTCTGCGGCGATACGGAGGCGGGAGCAGTGGATGCAGGTGACATGTCGTCGCAAGACTGGTAAATTCGAAGTGGTCCGACCCGAAGTTCCTCCCCCCTCTCTCCTCGTAGAGTGCCTGCTTCCCTCCTCTCATCTCGACCCTCATAAACCTCGCAAAATGGCTGTCGCAAAACGAGATATCTATCTAGTCATTGGGGGTAGTGGCTTCCTTGGTCGCCATATAGTCAATGCTCTCCTAGCGCGCGGTGACGCAGTTTCTGTGTTTGACATCGTGCAGAGACACCATGATGTCCCGTTCTATTCTGGCGACATCAGTGAGGAGGGTCAAGTGTCGGAGGCTTTGCAGAAGGTATGTTCCAGGTTGTGTTGCAAGCATGCGTACTTATGACGGCATTCAGAGCGGGGCAACATGCATCATTCACACTGCATCCCCACCACATGGGATGGACGACCCCGCGTTGTACTGGAAGGTTAACGTCGACGGGACAAAGGCTGTCATATCTGCTGCTGTTGCTAGTGGCGTGTCAAAGCTCGTGTACACGAGTTCCGCCGGTGTGGTCTTCAACGGGGACAATCTCGTCGACATAGATGAACGACTTCCACCGCCCGCGAAGGCAATGGACGCATATAACGAGTCAAAATCTAAAGCAGAACAGATGGTACTCGAAGCAAATGGCAAGGGTGGCTTGTACACGGTCGCCCTGCGACCAGCTGGTCTCTTTGGGTGTGTATTAACATTGTCATCATCTTTATACGCCATTCTGAACGCTCCAAAGGCCTGGCGACCGGCAATTGATTGCTGGGCTTTACGAGGTGTACGAGAACGGCCAGACGCATTACCAGATTGGCGACAACACGAACTTGTTCGACTGGACCTACATTGAGAACGCCGCACACGCCCACCTCCTTGCTGCAGACCGTCTCCGGCCATATACGCCAGACGAGATCGCAGGATTGAAAGAAGACCTCAAGGTTGCGCTGCCCTACATCGACTGCACGACCGGTGCGCGGCGCATACCCACGTCCGAATGTCGACCATTAGGTCCCTACGTCACGCCGCCGCCCAATGCAGAGCAAATCACTGCGAACTGGAACGACCACGACTACAACGGCGCGCCGAAACCCGCTATACGCGGCCGCTTCGACCAGTTGGCGGACTCGTCGCTCGCGCGCGAGGACAACGCGCAGCTGCAGGTCGCCGGGCAGGTGTTCTTCATCACGAACGGCGAGCCGATGTACTTCTGGGACGTCCCCCGGATCGCATGGAAATTCTTCGACGAGCACTTCGGGACGGAGAAGACGAAGCGCAGCCTCATCTGCCTCCCGAGGGAGGTTGGCATGGTCCTCGCGAGCGCGGCGGAGTGGTGGGCATGGCTGGTTGGAAAGCAGCCTGGTTTCACGCGCTTCCGGGTAACGTTCAGCTGTGTATGGAGATGTCACAACATCGAAAAGGCTCGGAAGGTACTCGGATATGAGCCGCAAGTAGGCATGGAGGAAGGCCTTAAGAAGACACTCGAGGTATGTTCACATATAATTATTTTTAAGAAACTTTGCACTAAATCACCTGTCAACGAACAGTGGTGGGTCGCGGACAAGCAGAAGTCTGTCAAAGCATGATCGTGCGCTTTCCTGGTATACTTTTCTTGCTGGATAGTCTTGCTTTTTCGCGCGTGATGTAAATAGCATATCTGCCGGCCATTTTTCGCCATGTAATGAATGTTGGGAAACACACTTACAGGCGTGCATTCAGACAACACTTTGATTCCAGCATTCATTGTGTACATAAATATGTAATCCAAGATAAAGTGTAGATGGTATAGCAAATGACAGCACGGTGGTTGCACTTCGGCAACCAGTTGGATACCGAATATGGCCAGAGTTAAGACCCTCTGATCAGAACTCCGGGGAGGCCTTGCTACACAGAGTAAACAATATTAAGTAACGGGAGTACAGGGAGTGTGCGGACAAGAACTCACTGAATATCAACATCAGAATGATTGTCCCGATGCTTGTCACTCTGCTTTCGACCCACGTTAGGCTGCCCAGACACGAACACCATAGACCCCGTACTCGCCTGGTCGTCGTCGATCCCGGTGCCCGAGCGGATGGTGTCCAGACCGATGGTCATGGCAGCGGCCTACGCATCATAATCAGACTCTTGCTTCGACTGCGGGGTATGCTATCCAGCTTACCTTGCTCTCGGTATCGACGACGCCGAACTGCACGCTGCGAGACGTTTCCCGAGGCGTGCGGCTGCTGCCGGACAGGCCGCTGGAGCTCTTAAGGTCGCGCTGGTTCATGCTCTCCTCTTCACCGACACCACGTCCGCGATGTACGCTGCGGAAGTTGAGCCTGCGTAATATAATTTAGCCAATGTAAGCCGAACGATATCAACGCGGACTTACATGAGCAGCAAGCTGTTGATGTAAGCTGAGTATTTTTGAGAAATCATCAATCTATGCATACGTTGACGAGCGCGACAACACGTACTCTTGCTCGTTACGAAATGGAACAGAATCCAGACCTGCTGCTTAGGGATGGCTACGAAAAGGATGAGGGACGCCAGTTGAAGAAGGCTGCGAGAATGGTTAAAATGGACCGTAAATGTGCCAAAGCCCAAGTACATACGTAAAGCAAGTGCCGCGGTTGATGAAGAACACGGCGATGTACTCGTACCACCCCTCGACGCTGATGGGAATCATTAGTATTTGCAGAAGGGGTCGCTACGCGCTGTCCGCTTACGCCTTCATGCCCTGGAACCGCGAGCGCTGCAGGTAGTAGAACAGCGACAGCATGATGACGAGGTCGGTGAGCGTGCTCAGACCATACTGAACACCAGTGATAACCTATGTGGAGACGATGATGAGCATGTCATAGGATGTTCAAAGAGATATTTACCTTGATGACATGGTCGACGAAGTTGTAGAACAGAGGCTGCTGGCCACTAAATCGCAAATATCTTCAGTATCTGACACTGCGTTTGGCCACAATGACATACATCTTCGCAGCCGAGGCTAGGATATTGATGAGCTCAAGATATGCGCATGATGTACATAGTGTACTTACCAATACCAAGCACTGAGATGGCAAACAGAAAACAGGCTCAGTGAGTTTGACATGGTGAGAGCATGGCACTTTACTTACCTAAGTTAGCAGTGGCAAGAACAGCCGTCACTCCGGGAATGATCGGATTTCTGTCATTGACTTTCTCCAAGCCGAGTAAGCCCAGGGTTCTCCATCTAGTGAACACCGGACTCACGCGTATATATCCGCTCTGCGTAAAACCTGTACAAAGTTACTATGTGTATGCAGAGTATGATACGGCGGAATATGCTCACAGCTGAACAAGGAAGATACCAAACGCCTGAAGATGAGTAATTTAGCGACCATGTGCGTGCTCAAGGGAGGGACGCAACATACTGCGAGCGCATTTTCGGACTGGCGAGGCGCCTGTGAGCGTCAATTGAACCTGATACCCGGATCACGGAACTCACAACGAAAGTCCTGCGTCCATGTGCGTGAGTCAATATGAAATGCACACAGCATATATGCGTCTCCTACCTGGTAATGTCAAGGGTATCGAACGGCGCCATGAAGCTTGTGATGAGATAATAGTACAGCCTGTCGTTCACGATTAGGCATGTCCACGGTGTCATATCGAAGTGGGACTGACGTGTGTGATACTGATAGTTGTGGGTCAGCGACAGTCATGTGTCGATGGAATGTAACTCAATCACTCACGCAATGTTGTAGTCGCTGTATCTACCGCCCTGCGTAGATGGCCGTGTTTCAGAAATAGCCTGCAATCGTGGCAGTTCGGACATACCAAATAAGGCCGACCTAAGGAGATGAGGTGAGCATGACTAGTACGCAGAGTCAATGACCGTCACTTACTCCATATCTTGACACCCTGGAGTCATGAGGGAAACGAGAGAAGTAGATATAAGTCTCTATATGCGCGAAGGATGAAGTCAGTTGTAAAGGCCGCTCGAGGGGATTGTCTAGAGCACGTACGGAAGAAGGTCAAGCCATAGAGCGTGACCGCAAAAATGAAACCAATGAGGAGCACACCGAAGGTGGCATTGAGCTCTGACACCGGGACGGTGGGCAGCTCCAGTTCAGGCGAGCTCATGGTGGGCAGTACAGCTCAAAGCCAGCTTGCAGGAACGGTGCAAGATGGGGTACGGGAGACGAAGGGCGCTGTCCGGGCGACAAGATACTTGTACTGCGTCTCGATCACTGATTTCAGGTCAAAGCGAGCCATATAAGTACAGCATGTGATGGATGCATCAAACCTTGCAGTTCTTGCACCGAAAGATCAACGACAGCGGGTACTCACAGTGGGAAAGGCTGAGATGCAGCACTCGGTATCGCTGTCGCAAAACAAGCCTGTTCGTCGTCCTTACTGGCGACAGAGCTGGGGTCGGGCCCCTGCCCGAGCATACATAGCAACGCGCGCGTGACAGTCACAGACTTGCTAAATTGGTTGGTGATTGTGACGGACGGTCTTTGCAATTCGCATCCAGCGAACTGCTCACGAGGATGACAAAAATTCATTATATACGGGATCCATCATGATGGTGATACTTTTATGAGAGAACCCGAGAGAAGATGGAAGTCTGCTCAGGTCAAATGATCGTATTCTTGGTTATCCGGGTGCGACCTTGTGAGCGGAGAGCGTCCACTAAGCCGCGGGATGTCCCGACCGACTCCCCGCCCCCAAGGGGTGACTCCAGACCACCCTCAGCTTCACTTCATAACCCCACCATCCATCTCTTAGGCAGAGCTACCAGGTCCTTCACGCAAGTCCTCGCGGCCGCAAGCTCGAGGCATGCCGTCCAGCGCATATAGCATGCTTGGTGAGAGTTATCAGCATCTGTAGAAGCACCGCAGTGCCCCAACTGAGCCGCACCGGGTACGGCACCTGCAGCTGGCGCAGGCGGCGGTCTGGTCGCCAGCGTCGCGACGTGCCCGTTGGATGTCATCAAGACGCGCCTGCAGGCTCAACGGTTCAAGCACGGATCGGAAGGATACGAGGGTGTGGTCGGTGAGGGGTCCTCGTGAGGCTGGCTCAACGTACGTCCTCCCAACCTTGCGTTTCCAGCCACCGTCAAAACGATCATCAAGCACGACGGCATCCGCGGGCTGTACCGTGGGCTGGGACCAACTGTCTTGGGGTACCTTCCGACATGGGCCATATACTTCGCGGTGTACGACGGCATCAAGAGCCGTTTCGGAGAGGCACCGACGGGTGAGACCACTCCCACGCGACATGTCTACCCTGCAGCCCAGGCCAAAGGCTACCAGCCCATAGCCCGGGAGCATCCCTGGTCCCTACACATCTTGTCCGCGATGACCGCCGGCGCTACGAGTACCATCTGCACCAATCCGCTCTGGGTCATCAAGACTCGATTCATGGTACGTTCTACAAGCAATGATGGGATTCTATTGTCGATGACGTGCGGTCTACAGACACAACCGTTCACCGAGCGCAGATACCGGCATACACTAGACGCTATTCTGACTATTTATCAGACGGAAGGCTGGCGGGCGTTCTTCCGCGGCCTATTACCAAGCCTCTTCGGGATCATGCACGTCGCGGTGCAATTCCCGCTATATGAACAACTGAAAACCTGGAGTCGTGAGTACAGCGTACATCGAGCCCGCCGGCCCATCCCTCAACTCTTTTCTTGCTGCCAGGACGTCGAACGCAAAGCGATCTCACTCCCCAACAATTTCTCATGTGCTCCGCCGTTTCCAAAATGACAGCGTCGATAACGACATACCCTCACGAGGTCGTGCGGACACGGCTGCAGACACAGAAAAGACCAATCAACGGCGCGACTCATACGGAGCTGTCACCGAATTTGCGGGCAGGAATCATTCAGACCGTGAAGAATATCCTCCACCATGAGGGATGGCGGGGGCTGTACAAGGGCCTGTCGGTGAACCTTGTCAGAACAGTGCCAAACAGTGCCGTGACGATGCTAACGTGCGCATACGTCTATGCCCTTATCGCGCTCTTCTGATTGTCTAACGTGCCCCACAGGTATGAAATGCTGATGCGGCACCTAGAGGGGCGATCACACACGTCATGACCCGCAGAGGACATGATGGACTGGCGCCGCGGGTCGGATGGGACGGGGCTTGGCTTAGAGCGCCACGCACTGTGACTGTATAATTGACCACGTTCATTTGCTTATCTGTCTGTGCTGGTATTATAGTGTTTTCTACTCATAGATTTGCAGGAGTTGTCGACTCAATCGATCAATCGCTTAAATACCTGGCTCCTTCGTCCTCGCGTGAACTCAAATTCGCTTTGCGGCGTCGGTTGCTTATGCGCGCATGCTTTGCCGGGCATGTATGTTCCCCTCACGAAGGGCTGCGGTATAAGATGCGTCACCGCGCCCTCATTGCGACGGCAGTTCGCCCCGTGGTTAATCGTCGGAGGGCTGGCTGGCACAACATGGCAGGTCCGATATTTTTGGTCCGAATTTCATTTTGTCGCGCCGCACACTCCTGCGCGGTGTCAGCGTGCCTCCAGACTGGGCACAGGGCCACAGCCTATCATTCAACGTGGCCGGCCGATCGCGGAATATTGTTTTCAGAGGTGGAGCGCCAGGCATCACCTAATAATCACAGCCTTGGGCGCACAGAGGGACAGAAAGAAAGAAAGAAAGAAGCGTTCCCTTCGGCTCCGGGCAGCGCCTACCTGCACAACGATGTCCCAGAGCGCGTCACGTCATGCGCCACAGCAGGTGGGGGAAGGCCGACTCGATCACAATAAAGTTACGGGACATACACAATCGGATTGGGATTGGGATTGGGATTGGGACGGGTGAGGTATCTTGGGCGAATTACGACAGACATACGGGAGCGAGATCTAGGTCAGGGTCAGGGCAAACCACGCGGGGCGTCCGACTGCCCTTCTCCCTCGTCCCTCGGCCCCAGGGCCGGCGGCGGGGCGGGGCGGCAGCAGAGCAGCACAATCGCAAGGAACGTGGGTCGCCGGACACGCGCGGCATGGGCGAGTTGGAGGTGTGGGGCGGCCGCATGCGCCGGCGCGCGGTGAGGAAGGCGAAAGGAAGTGCAGGAGAGGGAGCGGCAGGCACTGCCGCGCGCGTCCGGATCTGACGGGAGACTGGAGACTGGAGATTGGAGTATGGTGGGGAGCAACATGCGGTGACGCAAGACGCAACGATCGAACGAGCGAGTAAGGACCGGACAGGCCGATTGGGCCCAACGCGGGGGCGCACAGGGACGGTATCAAGAACAGGCAAGGTGTAGAGCGAAAAGTCCGTAGCAGCAACGAGGTGCGCAACTGAGGATTAGTCCGTTCTGAACGACGACAACTATCGACCGCAAAACACAACACGCGAACGCAGGAAGAAGGGTAATAATGCACGAAGGGAGGAAGGGGGTTAAGGCCAAATCATACATAGCGGTAGCGGGGGGTGCGAGACGTTCGCCGCGAATAACTGAACTGCAAGGTCATCCAACTACCTGGAAACCAAAGAGAGGAGGAAGCAGAATGGCGATGAGCCGCGTCCGGACGAACGAGCAGGCACCGAAAAGAACGGACTGACCAGCGACACTAATGTGGATGGTCCTGCACAGTCGTCGCCGCATCGTCTTGGATCGTCGTCGCTGCATCGTCGTCCGCGTCGCTCAGCGTCTCTACCCGAACCCCGCGCGACGAGCCGACACTGCGGATGTCACGCCCCTCCTCCGCGAGCTCTTGACCGAGCAGCTCGCTCGGCCCCGTCGCACCGCTGCCCTCGGGGCTCTCGCCCTCATCCCCCGGCCGATCTGCGAAGTCCGGCTTGCGCAGCGCCGACCTGAACGCGGCCGCCATGATCGCGGCGTCCGCGCCGGAGAACAGGCCGTCGGCGCTCACTCGCGACATCGTCGACGCACCGTCGTGGCCCTCCGTGGGCGACGTCGCGCGGCCCTCGCCCGTCTCGGCTGTGCCAGCTGCGCCGCCCAATACGGCGCCACCGAGCAGCGGTGATTGCGCCGTCGCGCCCGTCGCCGCGTTGGCCATCATCGGCGATGCAGAGTTCATGGACCCGCGGTGCGAGAGCATGCTGTTCCGCCGGTTGCGCACGCGACGCGTGATGAAGAACGCGAGGATGCCGGCCGCGACGAGCGCGAGGAAGCCGAGCACGACGATGACCGCGATCGCCCAGTGCGGGAAGTTGTCGCTCGCGAGAGACTGCACGTTGCCGGACCCAGCACCGCCAGACGTGGACGCTGTGGGGTTGCGGGAAGATGGGCTGGCTGTTGTCGTGGAATTGCCTCCGCCTATGCCAGTTCCCACCGTACCCGAGGCAGTCGAAGATGCCGACGCTGCTGATCTTGACGATGCGGCCGCTGCGGACGACGCAGAAGCTGACGACGCGGATGCCACCGATGCAGACGACATGGAAGAGACGACGGCATCGAGGTAGGTAGTTTCTAAGCATTCGTAATGGTGTCAAGAGCTGCGTGCGAAGGCATGGCAGGTTTACTCACGAACGACAGTGAAGGTCGCTAGGGGCGTCTTATCGCCAGCTGCCGTCGCTGTAACGGGGCTAATTTCCCAGAAGTACTCGTAGGTAATGTTTTGGCCGTCCCAATTTGCGCCTCGCGAGCCAAACCAGGCGTCGTCCACGCAGGCGTCGTACTGGCCGGCGTTGGGGTAGGGGTTTGGATAATTAGTGACATTAAGAACTTGATCTAAGGAGTCGGCATGGTACAGGTAGAGGTCGACGACGTTGTCTTGTGTGAACTGCGGCAAATGAGAGTTCCCTAGTAAAAGGGGTGAGCGGTAAAATGAGACCGGCAGTAGAGGCGCACGCACAGATGAAGGGCGACCACTGATGCTGAACGAAGAGCGAGTCGTTCTCAGGGAAACACGAGTAGACAGCGTTGCTGGAGTTGTACTGGCATTGCTGTCTAGCGTTGTCTGTATGGGCAAAACATCAGACACACCTTCCCCGGTGAAATCGGAAGCGGCGACGAAGATGGGAGGTGAAAGGAATGGCCAAGAGACGGACGAGTGAACAGGGCAGTACGGACCTATTTCCGTCTGATCACCAATGACGGAGCCGCAAGAGGTGGAATCGTTGTCTGCACGTCTTTGCCAGTCGCCACGGAAGGACGACCACGAGCGATGGTCTGGCTGTCTTTTCCGCCTTAGTGGAGAGGAAGAGGAAGAAGAGGAAGAGGCGGCGGGAGCGGGGGTCTGCGTTGGCGAGGGGGTATGTGCATGCGCCGCGATAGAGGACATAGGCCGGAAGGTGCGTGAGGGGGTGAGGAAGGGGTTACCGGTGGGGGAAGAACGATTGGTGACACGCGACGTCGGACGAATATGGGAGTAGGACACAGGCCTGTTGGCATTCTCCAGACGAAAGGGGTCCGTGGCGAGGGGAACCCTGCGCTTGAGGTCGTTCTGGCTGGCGGGCGGGGGGCGGGCAGCAGCGAGAAGAGGCGCGAGACGGTGCGAGGCTCAGGCTACGGGAGACGGTGGGGGCGCGGCGACATGATCTCAAGCCAAACCCTGGGAGTCTCTCCCCGGCCGGCCTCTTTTGCCGATTACCTCAGCCGCCCCGTCCGTCCGCTTCTCCCGCCCGCCTTGTCGCTGCCCACATTCCAGGCTCCGCCGTCCATTCTCCGCCGCCGCGCCCACTCGGCCGCACGCACACAACCCACGGGATCCTATGCCACATGCTCCGAATGCGACTATCTTTAGACCGTTATTATTCATGCCATCGCCGTGTAGAAATGCACTCGTGCGCCGCACGCCGTCGCCACCACTGACATGATATCACACATCAATGTCTGCTCCAGCCCCGCCCATCGATTCCACTGTTCCGAGGCACAGGAACGCAGACACGGCGCTAACACTGCCTGCTGATCGTCCTCCCAGTGTTCGTCTGCATCGTCTAGTACACCACTGCACACATCTATCCACTGTGGCATTCGGTGGTCAATTAGCCGACAGCGGCGACACCGCAAAGGCCTTTCCCACCGCGGCTTACGATGCGCGTCTGGATTGACAAGCTGTTTGCGATCAGCTCAATGAGGCGCTTCGCTGAGGGCAGGGATGATTGCCGCCGCGTCACACGGTGAGACGGTCTCCATGAGCGAGATCCCAGTTGTAACAAAGTCTGTCGATTCTGGGACTGCATGACAGGCCTTTCGTTCGTGTCATGCTTGACGCACGCAGGCCATTGGGCTGCTGGGCTGCAGATGACGTGTCGAACTACTACGCAAATCCGTAGTCCTTAGGAACATGTCTCTGCCGGAAGGTAAGTCGAGCCCGTGGTCCCGACTGCCCACGCACGGATCCTTTTGCGTACTAGGTCCACCCAAGTTCTACCAGTACACATATAGGCCGAGTCGTCCTTCGCGCATCCCACCGGTCCGGGCGAGGTCCATGCCTGTCTACTGAGCTTTCTCATCTTCCCGCCATGCCGAATCGCTCCGTGCTCTGGCAGGACGAATGTGGCAGATCGGGTCTATTCTGGGAACCACGAACCGCGCTCGCAGATGCCCAAACGGTGTAAACGCTGCCCGCCGTGCGATTCGGCGGCAATCCCAGGTGTTGTTCCATCCAATGACTATGACTCGCGCTAACCGGTTGTTGTACTCGGACTGCGGACTTCCCTGACTGGACTCTACGGTGCAGAACTGGCGATTGCGAGACACTCCCTGGACGTGCGAGACGCGTGTCTGCGGCGGCGCCTGTCACCCATGTTTCGCCTGGAAGGCATGTGGGTGCCCGGACGCGGCGCTGATTCTCCGAGCCCACTGCCCAGCCGCCCGAGGTTTCTTCGCGCTTCCCGGACGCCCGCCGCGTGCGAGAGGGTAGTAATATGGCCTTTTCCGCGTTCATTCATTTCCGCATTTAACGCCGAGTCCGGCAGCGTCCGTCGGAGGCCTCGTATGGCTGGCCCGCGTTTGCGCGAACTGAGGATGGGGTTGGTTCGTGAGTACCGATCGGATGGAGGTATACTATATGTTAAGCCCGTACTTGCCGTCACTCTCCGGGACTGCTGATTTTATGGAGTGTTGTACATGCCGCATTGAGCAAAGTCAGTCAGAAGCGACTCGGAGGAGATCGATGAGGTCTTAATTACTTGCCGCAGGGCGGCCCCCTCCCCCAGGGTGCCTCTGTCGATAATGAGTATCCCGGGTGCAGCCACACGTGTCCGCGAACGTGCTTGATAGGGCGAGTATAGGCCCTCGAGGGCACCTCGCCAATCCATGGCACAGCTCGGAGTGAGCGTCTCGGACGGAGATAGAGAGCCAGATGGAGAGAATGCAAGTTGTAAGTAGTCAGGAATGATGTAATACTCACGAGAAACTTGTGCATTCGAGACGGGTGTCTCCGCTGCAGCGACGGGCAGAGTACACCGTGATTGTTTCGATGGCTGTGTTCCGGATGCGGGGGACATGCTACCCCATTATCCATACGAGGAGTCATTAATCAGGCCTCAGGGGTGGCGTGGTTATAAAGTCGCGCTCATGACGGACGTCAGTTCTCTCGTATCTTTCGATGGTGGATAGATGAGCCGAGCGTAGATGCAGGAACGCAGAAATGCTGTGCAGCAGACGCTGTAACTTAGGGGCATTCTAGCATCACATCTCTGGGGTTCAGAGATCCGATAGATGAATGGGAGATGCAGGTGATATTTGCTAGTTCGATGGAACGGATGGGGGAGCTCTCCTGGCCGTCATAGGGTATAGTAGACATGGAGGGAACCTGTGCCCGTCCACCGACCTAAAGACGTGTGCCGGGAGCGCGTGGCTATTAGATGGGAAGTGGGCAGCAGCGCATGAGAGACTTAAAGTTCAAAACATCCAGCCTGCGAAGCCCGCGAAATATTAGGTGGCAGTTAATTCAAGCATATGGGTCATTTCCATCATATCAGTCTGGAAAGTGAGCATCTAACTGTCTCAGGGACAAGGTGACCCCCACCGCTGGTTGGCGCAATTCTGGATCCTCCAAGCCCTTTACCCGTTCGAGAACTTCGTGGGCCATGGCCATCCAGCACTCAGCGCGAGAGAGTAGTTATCGCAACAATCTGAAAAGGGCTGTTAGATGGTGCCTGCGATGATTGCTTACATGTGTATGCGCTTAGTATAATGACAGTCGGCGAGTGCCACACACCAGCTCCGGACGTGACCGTGCCCGCGAATGAATAAATTGTCCGCACTGGCTCGAACGATGCTCGTGTCACCACCTATACACGAAAGTCCTCAGAATCAGAATCATAGGGCACCAGAGAAGCGAAGGTAAACAAGCGAGCGAAGGCGATCGACCTGCGAGACTCACCACAGAATGCCTTGATCGCGCAACTTAGGGAAACGCAATTGCATGATCTCGTTCCATGGGCCCTCTGATCCTCCCGCACATTGGCACCCTGGCGGTGGCCATAATTGGATGCAGACTATTTTCAGGTCCGTCAACACGAGCGTCGAGAGCACATCAATTTCTTGACACAGGGTCGGAGTGAGGCTGGCGGAGAGAACTGTAGAGATTGTGGGATGAGGATAGCACCGTAGGTCGAAGTCGAGGAGAACATCATGCAACCGCCGCGAAGTGATGTGCGTGAGAACCTGAGGCATCCAAGCAAGTCGAGTGTCCTCATCACAGAGGGGGGCGTATAGTCCCAATGGAGATGATTCTCTACGAGAGAGGAGACCGTATATCAGTCGTGACATACCCAAAATATGGTGGGAAATCGTGCCTATGATGCTGTCCGCACGGTGTTCCTCGCTCCCTTCGTTTGCAACCAACTTGATCGTGAGCACACGCAAAGACGTGGAAACGTCACAGAGCAAGCGCTGTAGCTGACATTTGACCGTATCGCTGGGCCTCAGAGATTGGAGCGTGATATTATGAGCAAATGCAATCATCCCAGAATCCAAGAGGAGTTTGATTACGGCACGATCGGATGGGCCGTCCAGTTGGAGCTCCTGAAGCTTGACGGAAGCAGCATGTCTCGAGAGCAGTTGACTATTATGGCGTGTGTCCAAAACCTTCACTCCATGACAATCCAGCCTTCGGAGCCTGGGCAGTGAGCAGGTGAGCTGGCCAAACATCTTGACCGCCGCGAACGTAACATTTGTCAACTTCAGGGTATGGATTGATGTAAATGCCGATAGATGAAGAAAGGTCCTGGGTGGCAGCTCCTCTGTCCGCCATAATGCGAACTGAATAGAGAGCATCGCAGTGTGCGTCCAGCATCCCGCAAACATGGAAAGGAGAGTGGCCAGATGAGGAATGGGCTTCGATGCTGCTGTAGGCTCATAGCAGTCTGCATTGCCTACAACGTAGACATTTTTAGGCCCCTTCCATTCATTATGGGTGCTCACAAGTTTCCATCGTGCTGCATGATTTTGATTTGAAAACATGATGCCCATGTCGAGATGATGGCGACAACGAGGCATCCAGTGCTTGCAGACCAACATACAATTCTCTAGGGCATCGGTATCATTCCACAAGTAGTCAATTATATTCTCCCAGACCTCGATGGGTAGGATAGACATATTGCACAATGTCTGCAGATGGCAAATTCTGGCCTAGTTACCCAGTAGATCAGATCCACAAGCCCGGAGAGTTGTGATGTCCGATCATACTTACGCTATGTGCCAGTGTTCTTACTCCTGAAAGAAGTTAGGGTAGTCCAACCCTGGTTATCTGGATACTAGTGGGCGTATGAATAAAATGAAGGGGTTTTGAACGACGTTGCGAGCTGGTCCTTAGGGATGAAGCCGTACAGCGGCCATCCTGGAGGAATGCATCACGTGGTAATAATGGGCACCCACAAGCGCCCACTCTGAGCGTTCTGGATGCCTCTGGCTTCTGGCTTCACGAACTTGTAGCTAAGTCCTCCTTCTGCTTCGCGGACTGGTATCAGCTTTCAAGGGTGTGTGCTCTACCATGGCCGACAGGGGATATCTGTATATCCTCAGTTACCTCCACCACCCAACGGCAGCCTTAACCTTGTCGACTGTACAATCCGCGGTTGCGCACTACCTCGCTAACATTCATCAGTCTCCGACCTCCCTTACGGCATCTGTCATCAGCAGCCCTCTTTTCCGCCGTCTCTCACACGACAAACTGGACGTACTCTGTACGGCCTTCCGACATGCAGTGCAACTCAAAGTGAAGCTGCTTCATGATGAGAAACGCGGTCTCTTTGCGCGAAGTGTACATTATATGACAGGGGAATGGGTTAAGGATGTCCTAGAAGGCTTCCGAGGAGGCCATTCAAGCCTTAAACTGGCCTGTTGTGGTGGATTGTTACTCGGCCTCGAGGATGTAGAGCATGAACTGCATGCTCGAGACGGGAGGATGCGCCGTAGTGTCGAAGAAGAGGTCGTGTTAGCCCTGGCTGAAGTCATCGACACCTATTCGTATGTGCGATACCCCGCCGATTGGGCAAAAGACTTCAAGTCGGAGTCTGAAGACGGTGAAGGTCCGTTGTCTTCCCGACGCAGCAGTATACTTAATCATATCTGTACCTCTGTAATAGAACCTCTTTCCTTGTCTCTGTTGCTGTCATCTAGGTTTGTGCCGTTGTTATCGTCTCGCAGGCTGGAGACACTCCCGTTAGACGTGCGTCCTACACAACTGCGACTTTGGCAGAGGTGCTCATGAGAAGCAGATTCTCCATGATCTTCTGATGTCAACTATCGAGTCTGCGTTTCAAGGAGGGGATTACTTGTTGTCTGCTACTGTGTCGCTATCGAAGGGCAAAGAGGCAGCTGTCATGTTCCGAGTAAGGGGTCTGTCAAAAACTGTACATTCAATCCCTGAATCCCTTGTCTTATAGTCAGCAAACCAATTTGCTCATACAATCAGGACCCTCGCTACGTCCAAATTCACTACCTCCATGGCAGCGCTATGCACATGTTGCACGCGCGTGTTGTCCGTTCTTGTGGATTCTCGACCAATCCAAGGTTGGCGTGCGATGTCGCAGGCCATATCACGCTTAAGGTTTCTCGCGCGCTCCGTAGAGGCTGGCTGGATCGTAGGGCCATTCGCATCGCTTACGAGCACAAATCAGGACGACATCGGTTCGTGACCAATGTTGGCTGGACGTCATGCAGAGCACGTGTTGATACTCCTCCTGCAGCACATGAGGAACGAGAACTATTGACGCAGCTATGGGCGATTTTGAAGACCCAGCTATTTACCACACTGATGCTATCTCAGACGATTCTATCAACCGTTGTGTTTACCGCTCCTCCGCATGACGCTACTTCGTCGACGAGCTATTCTCCGTATCTGTTGACGGAAGGTGTCCTCTGCACACTGTCACATCTAGCGTTCGTCATACAGCAATTTGGCGGCGTCGCGACCACGACTCAGAACGGGTTCCCAGAGCTCAAGAGGGCCTTTTACATGGCTCTTGATGTCTTATCTGCTAGTACAGTTGAAAGTGCACGGTTTGTTTCTGAGTTGTGCCAGGAAATAAACAAGCACGGTAAGTCTTCCTTGCGCCCAACTATCTTCTACGTTTCAATCTAGTCCCTAGATATTCAGTTGGAGGCATTCTTGCACGCGAAGAAGGCATATGTCCTGGCGTGTATCGAGCAGCTTATCCCTGTTCTGAGCGATGCGCAAGTCCGATCAGATGTGTTCCCCCTGTGTCAGCCGTACGTTCCGACTAATCTATCTGTCTTCGATGATTTTGACAGCTCTGCCAGACTATTCTCAAACCATGTTCATCGCGAGACCTATGAATCCGCGCACTCAGTCATGCTCGCTATATTCGCCTCGTATGCCCAGAAGACCGGGGAAATCAGCCCTGAACCGCGGCGGATGCCAGGCAAGGATACTCTGACTGCGTTCGCGGAGGAGTCTGTCCCTTTCTACACGCAGTGTTTGATAGAGGTGCGTCTTACACAGATGTGGACCGAATCGCTTTCATGCGAAATGCTGATGATATGGCAGAATTCGGGAGAGGGGAGACTAAGCACGACGCAGCTTTGCCTAGCTTATGCTGCGTTAGTCCGCAGTGCCAGTGCATTCGGCAGGGTGAAGGCTACCCATCCCGAGTCCCATACGGACGGCGACGTCTTCGCGTGGTACTGTATCCAGGCACTTCTCGACGCCATTCGTGAGATTGGACACCCGACACCCATCGTCGACGAACAGGATGAACACCTACAGCGTTTAGGATTGACGCTGATCGCCACTGTACCGTCCGTCTCGCTCACGTTACTGCCGCGGATGCTTGAGGAATGCGAGCGTATTATAACGAGCTCTCGGTCTTGGGCTAAGACCGCCTCAAATTTCGACCAGAGTCCTCGAATACACCTCGCGAAGGCACTGTTCAGGGAGATATCTGAAAACGTTGGTGATGCAGAGAAGGAATACTGTATACAGTGGTGGCATGATCATCGGGATACATTGACCGCATCTGTCTTGAGTGAAGAAATGGAGACACATATACCGGTAACGTCGAGGTTATAGACATCGCTATAGTCCATGATGCGGTTAGATTCCTGTATCATTCATAGTAAGTGACCAGATGTCGATTTTACTTTCGTCTAGCATATCCTCGACTGGTTCTCAATACATTTACGCAGTGACATGAGACGTCTGTGCAATGCTTTCCCCAACGCCTCTGAAATAAAATACCAGCCAACGATTACGATTACACATAGTAGCGAATGTGATGCATGAGGGATATAAGATAGGGTAGCTGAGGTTCTGCGTGGCGAAATAGTCATGTATAAGGGTTCATGTCGTATCCAAGTCACGTCCCATTACTTGAAGAATTTATGGACGTCGACTTCTTCATCACGAGTATAACGGTTCCTAGCATCGGAAAGTGTTATCAGTAGCATATACAAATCGGCGGGATGGCCATGCGTACCCTCTCATTTCGGTCCTCTGCCCCATTACGAAGGTCAAGAGCAGAGGCAAATTGGCCTCAAATCGTACAGGCACACGACTGCCAGGGGCGACTTGCCACATTCTAGAAGTCTTCTGTTCCACGACCTGGACGACAGCGTCGCCGTAATTAGTGAACGTCAACGTGACGCCAGATGCCGACAGTTTTCTGCCAGCGATTTCCTGAGCAGAGATGGGCACTGAATCGTGCGGTGACTTCGTGGGTGTTGTACCGTTCTAGTACGTTGCTCTGATCAGCTGTGTTGACGTCTACATCGATGAAAGCACGTTACGTGGATCATGATGTTCCGAGTCCTATTGAACGCTTCTCGAGACGTCACGTTCTGTGCGCCGTCTGGAACGTAACGATCCTCCAAGGCATGTTCCCAACCGTTGAAGGTGCCGTATGGGGAGCCCACGCTGTCGCATCTATCTTCCAACCGGCTTGCATTCCAGTCCACCTTATTCGGCGTGATCCTCTGGTATTTTGCTTCCGGGTTTGGGTAAGCGTTTCCAAGCTCGTTTTGGCTATTGCCCGGGGGAAAGATCCTCAGGTCCGCACGCGGTTTCCCTCTGCGTGCTCGGGAAATCCGTGTAGATGGAATGTTATGGCTCGGCAGAGAAGTAGGCTGAGCAATGGCATGCGCCTTGGGATAAGTATCGTCGAGTGGCGCGCTACACGAGACGACGGGCTTCTGCCCATCCAACGATGATCTTCTCGAGTTGGGGTTAACGTGTGCGTTTTTGACTGGTGGATCGTCTGGGATAGGTGCCGATTTGGAGCGTGGTATCGCTTTAGGAAGAGGGCTGTCTGGACTACCAGGCTCCCCTTTACACGATTCGCTGTACGGAGGTGGGGTCGACATGTCATCACCCGACGTGCAGCTACCAGATGAAGCAGAAGAAGGCTCTCGAATTGGGCTTGAGGCGCCATCAGGACGTGGTTCAGCGGTACCAGGAACCTGCACGATCTAGAATTTAGGCAGGATGATTTCGTTTTCAGTATGACATAGCACGAATAATGTGCATTCTGCACTAGAAACAAATCACCTTCCAGATATTTCTGGCTGTCGAGGTGTACTCTCGAAGACACACCTGTAATTTGTTATATCGAAAGATTAGGACATTGCAGCGAAGTATATTTGCAAAATCTGACCGGAGTCTGGTCTTCTCCATCTGTAAGGCTCCAGCAGAGGTGAGGGTGAGAGGGCGGCCGTATACTACACAAGACGTGGTCATCAGTGTATGCTCGACACAGTTGATAAACAACGTACGCATAGGCACCCGGTCCATATTTATGCGACAAGTCTTCTAAAATCCACCACCTTGGCCCGGAGTCCCGAATGACCTCCGTGTCTGGTTGGACTGGAAACATACTGGAGACGTAGGACGAGAACTTGGTGTTGTAGAATGTATGATAGCTGCCTTCGCAAGACGCCACCTCCCACTGAAAGTAATCGTATGAGCAACTGCATATATATAAGAGTCAATGAAGCATTCTAACCTGTTCCATGTCGACAGCAGGTTGATTCGTGGCGGATCTCATACAGACCAGAGGCTGTGAATGGTTCTCGTTTGGCAAGCGTATACGGGTCTTGAATGAATGGTTCACGACGGTATACGTGCCACTGAGCTGGACGTCCATAATCATCTCCGTAGGGCTGGAAATGGGTAGGCGATCGGTCTGTCAGACGTAGGTGAAAGTATAAGAGCTCTTCAAAAGCATCCACGAGGCAACAATGAAACATATCACAGGGACACACGTGAAGACATGGACATGCCGGCGAGGGGATGCCGTATAATGTATTGGTGTTCACAAATGGGCTGCAGTGTATGCGGCCAGACAGTGAAGGGTGAGGAAGCCCTTGCGACGTGCAAAGTAAATGCGACTAATTTGTCGAAAGACACTAAACACCATGGTTCTTCCCTGACGATTTGGCTTGGTCACGGCCACCTCGACATAACGGCGCACAACCAGCCGCTGTATTCTTCGGAAGTGAAAAGCGGGCCAGATCAAGACACATTCCGTGTTTACCTCAACAAGGCAAGTTCAGGGTGCTTTACGAAACGTCGTAGGAAGTAAACCGAGCGGCCTTGCATTTTCCATGTGTATCAGGACACCATAAGATGATACGAGAAGCATGGAAAGACTGAATTACCGTGCAACATGTTTGATGTTTGACTACAGACGACAGTCCGCTGTCAGCTAATTCTATTGTTAGTATACTGGAAGATGTGTTCAACTTGAAGCTATGGACAGATGGAATGATGGCGGCGGAGTAGCCTGAAAACGGAGACCTGTCGGCGGAGTCTTTGTTTCTGAGTAAGGGTCCGGCGACGTTAACTGTGGGCCGCATAAGCATTAGATTTATCCAAAAAAGCATTCCAATATAACTCTTACTCCAATCGAAGATGTGCAGGTGCAGCACGATTTGCGCGCCGCGGCATCACCAAAGGGATACGGGAAGAGCACAGCCACTTCAACCAGGCACCTACCAAGGCAGGCGAGCCAAACAGGGCACGCGCATTGAAGTGTACCGTCGTGACGTAGTACTGGCAACTGTTCTCAACCGCTAGAAAGTGAGTAAACAACTCGACCCACACGCGGTATAGGCTACTTGCACGCCCGCATAGCCGCCGTATGATTCGCTAATCTCCTGCGTGAGACACCACATCCTCCCCGAGTGGCCAGCCTGAGAATAGCTCGCGCACCTCCCGAATGTGCTATCAAACAGCCACCTTGCTACTATGCCTCGTCAATGGCTTGGGTGCAGTACGGTGACTCACTACAGCATTCCGCTACGACTACTCGCCACCGAGCTCCAGCCACCACACTTTGGAATGCCTCTTGACACGGTCATCGCCTCCTCGCGCCTGCATAAAACGGATTCTCCAAGCTGACCCGCGGCCGCCGAATTGTGCCTAGCATCCGCCGTTGCCTGCGAGACCCGAGCAGTGATCGAGCACACCGCGGCCTCACCCTATAGGATTGTCGTGCATGATTGAGCTCCCGATACTCGACCACAACTTCAAACCTGCGCAGAGTGAATTATCGCACGGCGCGGTCGCATCTTGACGACGCACGCTCCACATGCACGACATGCACGGCGGACTTCAAGGACGGGGCGTGCGGCCGTCATTGTCGGCATTGTCGTGTTCGACAAGTAGGTCGGCGGCTGATAAGCGTGGCAACTTTGGCCCTGACGAGCAAGGCAGAGATACCGGTTGGCCGAGTGGATCGCACAGTTTGCAGAGCGAGTCGACTTCTACACATGGCTCCACTTCCTGAACGCCGTGCTTTGCGCGGTGGTCGTACTTTATGGGGAGACGGGAAGCTCCCTATCAGGGTGGTAGCAACTACGATATCTGTAAGCACGTCATAACTCAATGCATAGACCATCGATCCTTCGTTGAATCCAGATCAGGTAATCAAGGTCACGGACCACAATTTGATACAAATGATAAATTAAGAACGCGTTGACCGGTAAACCCTCTTTATAGCCACTGCCGTGCGAGTGCCCTATAAATCGGGACATGTCATCACATCAACGGGCCTTCTACCCAACCTCATTGAGTCTCAGCCTCAGCTGAGGAAGCCTGTGAGTGCTCGCCCCTATATGTACTTTCCGCGGCGATAACTGAAGCGGTGTCCTCATAGACAGTCTTAGAAGCATTAGTGCTCTCTCGTCGTTGTGTTGTTTCTGAAGCCTTGCTAGTACGTTGACAGTGAAACCGATGAATGCTAGCACACGAGAGCTGAAGTGTGCTCATACAGCTATGGCATACAACATTACTGTCCATACCACCAACAACTCGGGTGTGGGCTTCAGCATCGTTGAAAAGACGCTATGGAATAAAGGGATATGGTCTAGCCGAGACGGTGTTCAGCTGCTCAGTTTGAGCGAGAGTGGCGCATCGGGGATGCTGCGCTACAGGAACAATGGGACCGGCGAAAGTTTCATTGTGGCACTTGGTATACATCAACGCACGCGATGGTGTGATGTCATAATGGGGCTTGATCCCAAGGACACTGCAACTCCCAGGCATGCATTGTACTACGAGCTGGGAAAAGCAGAGAATCAGACCAAGCGGCAATTGCATACGGCAGTTATTACTGAACCGACCGCCACGGGGCGACAGGTCACAGTACAGTATGGTAGCGATCCGGATAACTCTTACAACGTCAATGTTACCATTTCTGATGTTGAAATCTGATAATCTGATCTGATATCAAGCTAGCAATTATCGCACTACTTAGCAATCATCGTACGGCTCTAGTAGCGCGTCATAATCCTGCAATCAAAGTAGTCAGTAGTGAAAGCCGAAACATCATCAAAATAACTACTACAAATAGGATCGATATGGCTTATATGCGATTTCTATATGAATAAGCTCATGCAGCGTAGAGTCGGAGACCCGCACTTCCGTTAGACGGTGTTAGTTACGGTGAATCACAGGGACCACGTTGTTATCATATTGCTCTACATCGTTTGTGGTCCATCATGCGCGAGACTGCTGGAAAGTTCCCTAACCACATTCTCGTAACTTGGAATAGTGTTCCTAAAGATCCCACGCGACGCATTCCTGGAACAATGGAGAACTAGAAGAAGCGTAAGACCAATGTCCTCACTATCAAGTATTCATCCGAACATCATTTCCTTTGGCCAAGCGCTCGGCCTACTAGACTCACTACATCAAAAAATAGAGTTACTGATCTTTGATGCAGGAGTAACCTATAAATCGAGGTCTGTGCATGTCGAAAGGGGATGTTCACCTACATCATCGAACTTCAACGCCTGACGCTTGAGCCTTAAGCTTGTGAGCTTTCATCTAGATATTCACTTCCGATTGAAGGCAATTACTCAAGTACGAGACGGTCTTGATACAGATAGGCCTGCAGTCACTGTTTTCTAGATGAGAACCTGAGGTCCGAAATCTTCAAGGTACGTCGTCAGTGAAAGCTAATAGATGCAAGCACGAAAGCTAACATGTACTCATCATGAAGCAATGCCATACACGATAACTGTTCACACCAGAAACCAATCAAACGTGGGTTTCGGAATTGTTGAGAAGTCTGTTTGGCATAAAGGAACATGGTCGAGCCGCAATGGATGTCAGCTGCTCCGTATCGACGGCAGTGGTACATCAGGAGTTTTGCAGTATAGGAACAGAGAGACGGGCGAAGCGTTTCTTATCGCAGTTGGGGTCCACAACAATGGGAAATGGTGCGATGTCATGATGGACCTCACCCGTAATGACTCCGCGGCCGCCAAACATCGGTCGTGGTTCAACGGCCCGTCAGTGCACTATCAAGCGAAATGGAAAAAGCAGGACAATATTCAGCGGAAGGGCCTTGCGGGGAGGTGTGTGGACGTGCATTATAGCAATTCTGGGTACCAAGACGATTCCGGGTGGCACTACGATGTTGATGTTACCATCTCTGATGCCCAGACCGCCCCTTAGAGTAGGTGTGGTATGGATCTACAACATCGCCCTCATTACTATATTCTCGCGAATTAGCGAGCCAGTGGTCATTGCGTCCTGTATAGTGATCCCTACATCAACGTATAGCCTCGGATCGTTCATCAGCCTGGACTGCGCAAATATGGAGACCCAGAATATCACAAACACACTACAAGCCTGGTGCAAAGTAATCGCTGTTGCCTACTCCTCCGCTAGGCTGTGGGCCAGAGTGGTCGCATTCCGTGTGTGGAGCAAAATAGTCCTGGTCGTGCACATGGTCCCAGGCTATACTCGGATTAGGCGGCAAAGTGATGCCCTGCGTGCTCGCGGTGTCTGGTGCCACTTCCGGAATAAGCTGTACGCAATCTTGAGCAAATGCAACACGCTGGTGTCTACAGAAAAGAAATACGTGCCTTCCACATTTGACTGTTCCGATTCTGGAACTCTTTCAGACACACCTGGAGAACGAGTCAAGGTCAGTATTAGTAGTCATGCATCTTTGTGAGAATAGCGGTGTTTGACATACGGGCGTGCCATCATCTATTTGTTCAAGACTCCAGCATAAGTTCTGTATCGAGCCTGGGGGACGGATGCTTCAGTGTTGTCTGAATAGTCTGGTTCCAACTAAGTCGTCTTCACATACATGTACACCACCTCACTCGGCAGTTGGTGAGACTGAATTTGCCACCATGTGATTATTTCGGAGTGGCTGACCACCTCAGAACCAGGTGGGAAGTACTGTCTGCCGATGATGTATACGCTATGGAATTTGTTCTTGATTCTATGTCCATATCCACTACCGAGCTCAATGATCCACTGTTCAATTGAACGTATTATAGTGAGTAATTGGCGTGCAGGAGCACGCAGAACTGACCTTTTCCACCTCCGGAACGGGTTCATCGAGGACATATCTAGCACAGTTGATAGCGGACTCGCGGTCGGATGCGTCACGCAACTTCACCCGAGAGGCATGTTCGAGGTTGATAATGGTGTATATACCTTTCGCTAGCGAGACGAACCCATCCACCATGTCAAAACTATGGGCGTTAGGGTAGGTAGAGATGCGCGGCACGGCACAAAGTCCAGCGAAAGCCAGACCTAGTGCGCAGGAATGGACCAATCCTTATATATCGCACCAAAAACATGGTACGAAAGAATACCCACGATATCCATAACGATTGATAATGCCAAATTGACTTGGTCGAGTGTATCTCGTATAAGGTTGTCACCTCTGATTAGAATTAGTTTTTACGGAAGGGCCCATGGTTCTGGAACAATACAGAGCTCCATCGACAAGTATGATCGAGTTAGCAATTTACTCGCACGAAAGCACCGAAGCTTTCCTTTGTGCAACATCTGCGCCAACAAGATGTCACAGGAAAATTTATTTCTGATTGCAACTCGAGGTGGTGAGTACTAGGGTCAACACTCTGCTTCGTCACATCAGTTCATGCCCCATCAAAACATTTACGATGCCTACCTGGGCAGTTGGCAGACCCCCCAAGTCGGCATTCTCGCCTGATTGGCCCAGGAGCCAAAAGGTGTTGATCGGATTGCGAACACACCGGGAATACTGCTCTGATTCGCGGCAGGTCACGCCTGCCGACTTGGGGGGTCCGGGTAGACACAATACTCACCTAATGGATTTGTGGACCACATTAGACGCTGTCCTGCGTATCAGGTTCAGTGCGCTCCGACGCCGCAGTAAAGTGGTCACCGATCAATCATCAATGTCGATTCTGCTAGCATTCCACACTGCGGGTCGCATGCGTTTTGAGGGGCTTCTGCGTCCCTGCTACCTGCCATCAATGAAGCGATATGAATCGTCTCGATTGCGGCATTACTAGCGGACTTTGTGAAAGCTCTCATTTGACTGAAATCAGACTAATAATTCATGTGATGACTGACTCGGCGTTTGACCTCGACACGACCTATGAAGGGACCGTCCTACTAGTAGCTTGCGGCGAACAAGGCGTTTGCGACGTGAGATTAGGCGGGCGTGGGAAACCACGGGCTATGTACGTGCGCTCGGGGCGCTATAGAACCATCGGGTGGCCAGGGCATAGCGAATGGAAGTATATACACTTCTGAGCCCATACCGCGTTGAGTCAGGCGTGCGCTAGACCACTTGATCGGCGCCGCTGGGTGCATGCCAGGGCACCGCGATTACTCCGCTCTGAGTCCGCAATGCCGTGTGGCTGAGATTCATCTGAGGACCCCGTCGTTGGGTGCCTGATTCGAACAGACCCGGGCTGACAACTAGAACCGATGACCTTCACGCACATAAATTGACTTTCTAATCGCGACAGCTGATATAAATATCATGTTTCGATATTTTCCTGGCGCAGCCCGAGACTGTGTTTATATAGAAACTAGAAACTTCATCCACATACACGATGTCGTCAGGGAGACTGCCTTCACACATTAGCGAGCCTCATAGATCTAAGTCCCTCCGGGACTCTGTTATGTGAAGAGGTGTCTGCGCCGCTTGTTATTCAGGGTCTTGACACAACTTGCTCTGAATCGCACGACCTATGTCCGGTTGTGCGTCTTCGAATGGAGTAGTGGGAATCATCAATGACGCAGAATTGGGGTTAATTGTGCTCCTAACAATGTAATACTTCAAGACGACGCGAAACGTGGAGAATTCACAGCTATCGTCAGGAAAATATACTCCTAAGCCGCTCACAGAGGCTGGATGTGCTAAGTCACACTCAAGCACTGATGAATTGCCAGTGATTGCGAGTGTCAGTGAAGGTAGATGCAAGCCCAACCTGAACGTGATTCGCTTTGGTTCTTGAGAAAACTAGATAAGAAAACTCACAGGAGTCTCCAGCGCGTCGTCCGGCAGACCCCAGTACAGCTGGGAATCAGAGGGAGAGATCCTGGGATAGATAGCCTTATGATTCATAGGATCTCGTGATTGCAAGGAGGTTTACATACGCGTAATGGCCTCTGATCCTCGTCTCTTGAATGATGAACTGTTGGCTGGTGTATTTACCTACAACCTCACCGCCAAGAGGTGCACGGGGACCACAACAGGCATATGACGCATGGGTTTGGTTTTGAATGGTGTACTTGCCATTACCAAGCTGCACGACGTTCCACTACGCACTTTAGCCGTTAGACGAAGGCTATATGGGCTCAAGACATAATAATGCCCAACCTTCAGCGGGCCTGTGCCGGTGGTGTCCTGTGAAGTGGCCTGTACACGGGACCCATCGTTTGGGTCAGGCAGCTGCAGCTGATTCTTGCTGCGTACGTTCTGAATAACGTAGCGGCCAGTAGGGATGGTCATCGTCTGCAGGTGAGATGTGTTCAAGACGGGCTTACAAACCGTGGGTCGGTCTTCTGGCAAGAGGCAGCCTTTAAGTCTAGCACCTCTGACGCCGGCCAGTGATGAGTGGTCACTGTTCCTGTAATTGCCGTGAGTATGACGCTCCGAGGTGCATCGAACAAACTCGTGTCACTGAACCGTGACAGGAAATGCTTCTTGCACATTGGGTACACCTAAAACCCGATATGAGTGGTAGAACTAGCAGATTATGCAGGGCAATCTATAGGTACACACCTGAAGAGCTAGCCCGACCGGTGATTGCCCTCAATCGGGACCAGATCCCACCAATATGCGACTCCCAGGAAGTACTCGAGCCTCAATGGACCTTGTGGTGTATGGGCCAAGAAGTGACAAAGACACTAGGCCTACTTCGTTGACCAGGACTTGCATCCCCGGGCCACTATTTGGGATGCAACTTGGCCTGGTCTTACAACAGATTCCGAGGATCCCTAAGGTAAGCGGAGTCGATATGGCAAAACCACGTCTATCAATGCAATGCTGTACTCCTCGGAGTAGTAGAGGAGCGACCTACTAGTGGGTGTCCAGATTGTTGTTCTTACTGAGCCGGCTTTATGGGTCAAAGTTATTGGAACGAATCCCGCTGATACTACGCCGGTATGCGGGAGACAAAAAATTCGAAGCCAGGGAACTGACCTTCCCGCTGGATATCGCAGAATCTCGCGCGAAGACGCTTCTAATCGTCTCGCCCGCGCGGATGCATTATCGCAACGTCATATATAGAGCATTCTGCCCGAACCGGAGACCAGAGTGCACGGGGGAGCATGTGGAAAATCGAAGAACTTTCTTACGCGACAGGTGTTTCAGACTCATTTACTGTCTGAGAAGGCGAAACAAAATAAGCGGCCACTTCCAAAAGAACTGAACAGGTGCCGAGTTAGTGATGGTGGTCGACAACCTCAGGGTGGCCGACAACATGAGGTATGGACCACACATCAAAGAAGGGAGTATCGAACCGTCGTTCCAGATCACTTAAACTTGAGATCCGGTTTGATTATGTCGTCCCAATATGGCTCACTTCATTAGTATGCGAATGAGGTGGTCCAAAACTGCCGACATGGAGTCGGGGAAAAGCGAGACTTCGTCATGGGTCGAGGTCAGGTGTATTCACACTCTAGACGCCCGTACTGGACGCCCGTGATGCTGAAAAGACAACTTCGAGCAGCAAGACGCCTTGAAAGTCTAGACGGAACCCTTTCTCGATATGATATGCCCGGTAGCCATCGTCGAGTGTGGTTTAGAAGCACCGATTGGGTCAGCAGGCCGGCATGCGAAGACTGATTCTGGACGGATCTGTGTCCGGCTACATTTGCCCCGGGGCTGTCCGCTTTGACTGGGTTCAGAGCTTCCGACCGCGATGTTTCTCACATAACAGAACACGACACATGTGATACTCGTGTGTCGTGCAGTTTGGCAGTGTATAGAATGTGTGCTCTATAATACACCGTACACGCCGATGTCAGTATAGCCCCGTCTTCTGTATATCCGAGTCCTGTGAGGTGTACGGAAGACTCCTCCATTGGACGCTCTTGCTAGAGATTGTGAGTATTCCTTACACTGGGGAACTTGTCACGAAATGAAGATGAAATCAGTATCCAGCGGCTTATCCTACTGCTGCGACACAATATCACGTCGCGACACTCTGCCATATTACTACGTCAGTACCTTTCTTGGTTAGCGAACGGATATATAGGAACACGAAACCTGATTAATTTTACATCCGTAGGAATGGCATATAACATCACTGTCCGTACCAACAACAAGTCCGATAAAGGCTTCAATATTGTCGAAAAGACCGTCTGGCATGGGGGGATATGGTCAAGCCGCAATGGGATACAGAAGCTCACCATGGATGGCAGCGGTACATCAGGGACGTTGCGTTACAGGAATAAGGAAAGCGGAGAGCATTTCGTTGTGGCTCTGGGAGTGCACAACTACAAGAGATGGTGCGATATTTTAGTCAATCTCGCACCCAAAGAGACTGCTGCGCAAAGGCACGCGTTTTATTACAACGGAGGCCACGCACAGCACGGGATGTTGTGGAAGCAGCTTCCGGAGATCTCTAGTACAACGTCAGCGGGAACACGTGTGGTAGTTAAGTATCTCAACGAATCGGGGCATGATTACGATGTTCTCATCACCATATCTTGACATTATATTTGAACTTTACCCAGAATTTCTAGCCACCGTACAATGCTATCTTGCGCTATATGTGCCGGTATGAGCGGAATACAAGCACCACTGCGAAAGTTTCAACGAGACAAAGTGTGCATAACTATGAGCCTGCCGCGAAGTAGTCATCGTCGTGAACTCCTCCTCCACTCTCTGGGCCTGAACCATAGCATTGAGTATGCGGAGCAAAGAAGTCTCTATCCTGCGAATGCTGAGAATCCAATGCGAGGGATGCTGTGTCTGGAACGGATGGACGAGGGATAGACGGCGCTGATTCGGGCACGATCTGTACCAAATGTCAGTATCTCAAGTCCGCTGCTAGCAATGCCGTGGGAGTAACTGGATTGCGCACCATCCAATATTGGCGATGTTGATTTCGAAACTCCGTCAAGCAGACCTGAGCAAAAGTCAACATGTGTGACTGAGCGCTTTAAAGCACAAATCGTACATGTGTACCATCATTCGAACAGTCGAGACTCCAACAGAGATTTGCAGTGGTTCTATGCCGTATGCTAAAGTAGCGTCAAATCACAGTCTGTTCATAATCCAATGTACTCACACATATACGTTTTCTCCGTGGTTCTCGAGACGCCACCATGCTTGAGTAAACATTTGCGGTTTGCACACTAATTCTGTACCAGGCGCTCCATCGGGCGTTGTTACAGTAATATACGACAAGTGTTTCTTGTTTCTGAGCCGATGCATTCCTAGTGCAGCTGCCTCGAGGACCCACTACCCGAGAATGCTCTCCTCGGAGGCTAACTAAAGGGATAACGTCAAGGACTCACCTTCTCCGCGTCTACGATAGGTTCGTTGAGAATGAACCCCGAACAGATGATTGATTTATGTTCGTTATCATGTTCCAATTTTACGCGAGTGCGGTGTTCATAGTTGACAATAACATGTGTACCTTTGAGTACGACCATAGAGTTAGGCATGATTGGGTTAAAGAGACCCGGAGTACGCCGCTTACAGGATGCGGTCTTGATCTTATATTGCCACCGGGATGAGAATGCTTCCAGTCTGTAGCAACAGTCACAATGCGCCATGAGGCCGGGCCCCGCATGACCCATGACCTAGTTCCTTCTTATCTGAATAGTATCTCTTGAATACATCCTGAATGGCAAGCGATGGATGTGAGAATCGATGCTCCAAAGCGAGACGACGACGCACACGAGGACCAATCGATGGAGCATGAATCAGCGGTCTGTAAATGGGTGTCAGATGCTGAGATCCATCTCACGAAGCGGCAGCCCACCGAATGCAGTCGTAGCTTTCTGTCTCTTCCGCGACACCTACCCTGGGTAGTAGCAAGCCTTGAAATATGATAGTCGAAGGATCACTCAAGTCAGGAGCTGAATAGATACACTGCCATGCCAATGACGGACAGTCTAGCTTGTATGTAATCGCACGACTGACTTGCCATGGATATGTCTCAGCTGTGCTTCATCTTCCAACCTGATTCGAACATCACATAAATTATGAGAAAGTGTGGAGTTGCGACGTAATATGACGATGACGCAATAGAAAACTGTTCCGAACATGACCTCACAGACATCCGGTCTTCGCCGTTGGGGCAGAGGTGTGGCGAAGAGGGCTGTAAAACACTGGAGAATTTCCTCTAATTTTGATTGAGGCCACGTGGGTTCAGCCTGAAGGGCCAACGTACAGGTCGTCTCCAGCCAGACTCCGCTTGCAGCTACCAAGCGGTCGAAATGCAATTAGAATGGGCGAGGCTCACAAGAGAACCAAAAGCGCACACGACACCTCTTGTTATGTCCACGGGCAGTTTCGTGTTCGATTTCGTACAGATAAGGGGCTGTCCTCAGTTGGCACTCTACATATGTTGAAAAGTATGGTGCCCATCTCTATGAGGCTAGCGGCGGGGATGATATCGGCTCATAGTGGGATTTGTCGTCAGCCTTCATGTCAGCGTCCTGAATCATTCGGTAAATGAATATAGGTGTGACGCGGGTTTTATAGTGTGGTCAACTCCGAGAAGATGAGTGTCACTAGATTCAGTTGCTACGCTCAGACCGGTTTACCAAATCAAATACAGAATAGGTGGCAACCTGCGTGCGTTCACGTTATCGCTCACGCCAGAGCATCCACTGAGAGCTTGAAATCTCCGGGATTGTTTTCTTTAAGACGTACCGTACAAACCTATGTGATAAGCGCAGAATCATGGGTGCAACATATTGGAATTACCGCCGGCACCTACAGTAAGCGAGATCGTTGCAGCGACCATTACTACTCTTCTGCATGATGATCTGGTGTATGCGGCTTGAACGTCGGTGCAATAGTCTGGAAAAGTCCACATGAATCTAAGGCAAATTGAACGGGGTTTCAGAAGTACTTCAGAGATCGTGACTAGTATTGAACGTACTCACGTATCAAGTCCGCGTTCACATTGTCACGGTGACGTCCCAGCGACTGCATCTGCACCTGATGGTCAAAATCGGGGCGATGAGTGTATCGCACCTGCCTCTCGGACGCGACACGAGGAAAAATAAAGGGGGACGCATCACAGCATGACCATCAAGACGTACTTCAATGCCTGACACATAAATCAATCAGGAGCATCCTGCTTAGTCAGATAGCTAGCACCGGTCGCCCGTGCTACATGAACCAAGCAGTGCAAGCCGCCTTTGGGGCCAGTATGCTGCAGCCGGTATGGCGCGAACCAATAGGCTCCACGAATGCTTTAACGATCTCATATAAGTGCTTCCTTTGACTGATTTTTCCCAAGAACATCCGTGGGGCCCTGAGGGCCGAATGAACTTGAGGACCTGTAATCGACTTGGCCATTTGAGTGAAAGGAGACGTCAAGCGCTCGACGCCACCTTAGCGCGCCGTTGTGTCAGGAATAAGCGCTTTATCGCCTTCCTTCACCCACAGGTCTGTAGCTAGCTATGGACGGTAAATGGCGATTCGTCTGACTTCTACTGTACTGTCTATCTCTGTCCTCGCCATGTCTCTCTCGCTTCATTCAAGCTAGTGCAGTTTCAGTTCTCGCTAATTTTGACTGGACGAGCTTGTAATCTACAATATGCCATTACAAACGTTACAATGAGGGCAGGCTATCACTGGCTACGACAGTCTTCAACACAGGCACTAAAAGTTTAGGATGCTTTTTATATATGTATCTCCACGCCCGTCACATAAAGAGACTTCGCTCTCGGATAAGAAGCTCCGTGTACACCTTATAAACTTGCGTCAGCCCTTTTACATCGCCGTCCGGCGAAGGTCCTACCACAAATGTGGTCAGGAGCTCATCTAAGTGAGTGACTACTTATATGTCTCATTTTGTACTGAAAGTACAAACATTAACCTATGCCGTCCCGTCATGCCAATAACAAAAGAGGTCATCAATGTGCACAACATATTCAGAAACATATTTATGTATCGACGCTACCCCCTATCCATATCTTGATATAGCTCTTCAACCCATAGAAAAATGAGAAAGGCGCTGCCGTGGACCCCGGCTGCTGCACTTAAGTCGTTCACTGTTCACGGTCTGACAGCATTCCACGTAGATGAATCACCTCCGACATGAGATGTGAATGCTGGGCCCTGTAAACCAGTCACGGCGTGCCGGAAGAATGTGTGATTGCAGCATTGTTGAGTGCCGCTCACATCTCGACATTGCGCCTGATTCAGTGCTGCTTTCTATCACAGGCAGAGCGTGTTGGCGGACTAAGTTCAGTCTAGTATATCTGAGAAGTCTACGCTGATCACTAGCCGTTCCAGATTTTGCGCTCAAAGAAGCTGGACGCCGTCGCGATTTAGGAATGGCGAGCAGATGAATCCTATCCAAGTGGTTGGTTCTGGGTTCTTCTCAAGCACGGGTTTGATCTGAGCGCATTGCAGGATCCTCGAGGGATCATCCTGCACGTTGCAGGTAGAGGTCCTCGGTAGCCAGTATTCTGCCTCAGATCAGCTCTCCTGAATTATACATGTTGAGAGTTTGCTCACAGCAGAAACTTTCGTTCCTGTCCATAACAGATGGATGTATCGCACATGTATGCCATCGATCTTCTCGGGCTGGCGCACGGTGCCTCGACCGCTTGGGCACCGGACCTTGCATGACGTAGTCCACCGGTGGAAATGGTCATGGAGAATGAAGGCCTCGTCTAGACTACCACCTATTCTCAATCCGCTTTCAGGCACGTCTGGCCAGTCTCGACCACTACGCAGGACGCTAGTCGCTCTTTTACATTCACCAGGACGTCTGCAGCCAAAAGAAAAGCTGCGAATCTCCGTCCCGAGCTCATATGCAGACCACATGGGGCCAGAATGCGATAGCCAAGTTCTCCGCATTCAATATCCGCATTCAATATCAATATCAGATAGAAGAGGATCAGCTGTGCATACAGATTGTAGGAGGGCTTCTTTGATTGCTGTGTGGTGTCTTGAGCTTATCCAGCACGCTTCCATCCATTGCAGTCCAAGACGATCCATGCTGCTTTCAGAGAATATAAAACATCGTCCGACTGGCCGTATGAGCTCCCAGCACCACAAGCTCCTCACCAAGTTCTCCCATTGTTCATCATGCCGATTCCAACTGGTCGCTACATTATCCAGAACATTCGCAGCAAGAACCAGCTGCAGCTGCCTGACCCTAACGATGGCTCTCCTGTGCAAGCTACCTCCGAGGACCATACGGGGACTATCCCGCTGAGGGTAAGTCGGCGCTCTCACATCAACGTTACTCTCTGACACCTTGCGCACGCAGTGGAACATCGTACAGCTCGGTAACGGCAAGTACACCATCCAGAACCAGGACAACGCGTCGTACGCCAACTGTGGGCACCGCTCGTCGCCCGGCGACGAGGTCGTTGGTCGACGCAACGGCCAGCAATTCTCCATCCAAGAGACGAGGGTCAGGGGACAGTACACGTACGTTAGCTACCTCCAGGGATGGGTTGACGTGCAACTGATCTGCAATCGCTTTGATGTCCCAGTATCGCCCCATCTGACTCTCAGTTGTGCTGGAGCCTGCCAGACGATGAGCTCGACACCCCTGTAGGTGTCTTCCATAGGACGTCTGGTATAACATTGACGCGAACGCTGTACAGGTCGTCCTTGCGTCGTCCTTCACGGACTCTCGCAACCAGTGGCAGTTCATCAGGGCTTGAGGATGTTGAGACCTGTTGACATGTCGGAGTGTGCACGCCAGCGTATCTTCTGAGTATATACATGAAAGCCTCTCGCGTTACCTTTAAATGTTTAAATCCATTTGTCTCGGAAACATTTCGTCGCTGAGCATTCGACATAAGATACGATGAAATCACATCCTTGTAACACAATCTTGACTATGCATCAAGCCGTTTCGTAAGAAAACGTCCGGTCACGAGCTATGCAACATTAGACTTGTAATCTGTAATTGTGTCTGAGCTTGAGGCCAATATCGTCGAAGTCACACATGACTTGAAAGACTTCGGCCCGCTATTTTCCCATAAATGGCCATCTATATGTTGAGCTTCACGCTTCTATGTCGGTGATCTACCTATTCTGGCTGATGTCTAGTATCCCATACTCCAGGCGCCAGCTGGAGAGTCGAGCCCCCTTTCTTCCAAGCAACTTGTTATGACAATGCTCAGCGGAATGGTCACAGGACGTATGCTCTGCCCTGTTTCCATATGACGATACGATACGCATAAACCATCTCGGAGCCGTGGTGTATGTCTGTCACGGGAGACTTGTTGAAAAATAACGCAGTGCTCAAATCGGATTCTTAGCGGGTGAGCAAGAAAGTGGAAATGCAATGACTCCAGTGGTATATACAGGACGTGCGATGGATTATATCAGATCCAAAAGAGCCCCTCCTTTGGCGACACATATGTGCAGCCTACCAAGCATACACTAATAACAAAACCGACGAAGACGTCGTCACACGCACCTCGGACAAAGACAGATCGGAGGGACTCACCTGCATGCATATTAACGGCCAAGTTGGGCGAAATTCGCGTGATTTGCAAACGTTCGAAAACCTGCGTGGGATATAGTGGGATCGTCAGGTTGAGATGACCCTCGCGCCGGGTACCGTGCCCCGGAGGAAGGCATAGCAGGGCGCGGAAGGGTAGTGGAAGAGGGATGCATCCTTGGACTCGAGTCGTATTCGTACGAATGAGAAGGAATGTTGGTGCTATTGTGCCGTCCTATCGCTGTGTGGTCTGGTAGCGACGTGAGAGGCACATCGCCAGCGTCTACAAGCTCAGGAGCTGGCTCCCCCCACTGAGCAGTGCGACCAAGATTTGAGTTTGGATTCTTCGATTCCAGTGCTATATTCATGCCGCGCTGCGGCACAGTTGAAAAATTGGAGGTCTATGTTATTGTGGTCAGATACGCGAAGTGCAACATGTTGTTCTAGGATACTACCTGCGATGGCTGATTTGGTGATCTATCCGATGGATGTGGCCACGATGTTGTCTTCTGAGCGACGTAGCGGTCGTCAGGACTCTGTGTGTCATCCGCAAACTTGCCTTTGGCGGTCTTGCGTGCGTTGAATGAACTTCGCGCAGGGGCCGGGTATGACATGCCGCGCGTGAGCTCCGGTCCATCACGCCTGACGTCACGGGAGTAGTCGTCTGAGTCTTTAGACATGACAGGCGCGCTGAAAGAGGTGTTGCCCTTTCCTGTCAACGACGGAGACCGCCTTTGAGTTTCGAGAGCGCAATTCGACTCATTACTCGAGCTCCACATTGGACGTTGCTGGACGATCGGCTCACAATATGCTGAAACCTCAGTTCCAGGAGGTCGTCGTGAGTCAAATCCTGCGGACGGGGTCGGGTCCGTGGTCGAACGCCTTGGCGTGCCCGGACGGCTGTCCATGGGGCTTCCGGGAGTAGGTGACGAGGTAAAATCGTCAGCGCGATTGTCCTCTAAACCCCTATGCGCATGATGTCTCGGACCACGACCTTGAGGTGCTGGCTTGGATACGGAAGATTCCGTGCCGGCATCCAGCGTTCGAGTGTATGATTGATCGGTCGTATGGGACTCGGGAACACGGACAATCTAGGAGCGACACGTGTAATTTGTTGAACCATCAGCATGCTATAATGATGCAACAGGAAACATGGAGCTGAACTGACCTTCCATACATTCTGGGTCGCCTGTTTAAACTCTTGCAGATACACCTTTGAATCGAGTGAGGACGACGCGACAGGAAATAGCGAAACAAAACGTTACTGGAGTCTCGTCCTCTCCGGATGTGAGGCTCCAACAAAGACTCGTCCTAGAGGTCGCCCGTATCCTGCGATCAAGAATCAGCTTTTCCCCATTTCAATGTTGGTGAATTCGGCGAACGTACACATAGGTATCCTGCCCATGTTTTTCTGATACATCATCCACAATCCACCATGTTGAGGCTTCTGAGTTTGGAACTCGCCCGAAGATCTCCTTCTCTGCCTTGGGAGGAAATGTGGTGGTGACAATCTGAGAGTTGCTATCAGAAATTCTGTGGTAGCCTCCTTCCCCCGCTTTCAGCTCCCACTAATCACATCCAGAAGTGCGCACTGTTCAGTAAAGGATAGATGCCTATGAAGACAGGACAGACCTTTTCCATGTCAGCGACAGGGTCATCTGCTGCCGCTCTCATACAAGTCACTGGCGCGTCTTCATTCTTGTCGCTCTGAAGCCGTAGACGTGTCTTATAGGAATAGTTTACGATAGTGAACGTACCACTGAGTTGAACGTCGACCCCCATTGCAGTGAGACTGAGCGCGCCATAGCCTGCATATTGTTAGTTTTATACACAATATCGCAATAAGCACGAGGATGCAATGAGTTCTTGGTCAGCGTGCAACCCTAGCCAGAAGATCTGCCCATGTGTGGAGACGAGGCCCGTGCGCATGAGTACTGAGTACAACAGGCCCCCGCCTCGTTACGACGCGTACCGAATTCAATATGGAAGATCTACGGCTGTATGGCACCGGTCGGCAGTGACCTTCTGTGAAATTACCATGTTCGTCTCGGAGCTCAGGCAAACTTCCTAACATCCAATCATACACTATCTGACAGCACACAAAAGCCCAATAATTCCCCTTAGAATTGTAGAAGGGCGGGGAGATGGCCGAGATAGGGACGTAGTCCGAACCATTGTCTTCCTTCGACCTACATTCATTCAGTTTTGGCGAGTCGACAACACACCTGCAGCTTATCCGGGTCATCTTAATACTGTCACGTTGCTGATGGTGCAGAAAGCGTGTGGCCGCACATATTCCAAAGCTCTGCTAGTATCAAGGCTGATTCGGGTCGTTGAAAGACTGCAAGGAAGTAAAGTTCAAAGTACACCCTCACGAACTTACTTGCCTTCCTGGTTTGGTAGCCGCTCAGCCTCCGGCGCTTCTGCGTGTTTTCAAGCTGCTGTTAATCCAGAAGCGATAGGAAACAGCTGAAGCTCTATTTTGAGTACCGTCCGTAATGAACTGACATAGCTCCTAGTGGCACACTCTTCTGAGCGGGGTAAGCCACAAATTGTGAGTTCATGGCGGACCTGTTTGTGCTCTACTGACTAAGGTTCCTGCCCACTATGCGACTTACTCGGTCAACGATGACGACAACATTGATAAATCCTGGAGATAGCATTGGAAAAGCTCGAGACGTAGATGATGAGACTGTGTGCGCGGAACACTGATAATGTTACAACTTGGGCTTCTCCTCGCTCGCCTTCTTGGCCTCAGCAGCGGCAGCCCTCTCCATCATCTCCTTCGTCTCTGTGGCGGCCTCCGCCAGGTAGTGTTTGAGCTCCGCCGTTCTCCTCTTCAAACTGGTGATCGTCCAGCGAATATGGTCGTCGCCAATCGAGTACGACAGCCCATATCCGTCAGGCACGACTAGATAGAACATCAGCTTCACACAATTGTATTCGGAACATCCCCGTCACAGACCTTCTCCGTATCCCCACCCGTCAAGGACGGGTGAGGACAGATTGGACGTTGACAGCTCCCAGTGGTTCGTCTTGGAGAACGCCTCATCTGTATAGATCTGCGGTACCGGCTCCCCGTCGCGGAGCGTCTTCTTCAGACCGAACAAGTGCCGGTCGACGCCTTGCCCGTCAGCAGCCCACGCGGCATACTGCAGGTGGCGTGTCACAGCCTTGCGGAACAGGGCAGCCCGGTGCTCGTCCTGCGGCGAACATGAGAATCGAACTTCGCCGACGAGCGTCGAAGAACGAAGATCCGTACCGTCTCGTCAGGGTTCAGCATGGCTTCCGCCCACGCCTTGCTCTCGTTGCTTGCGCTGCGGATCGTCTCCGTGCGGCCCTGCTGGTACTTGCGCGTCTGCGCGCTCTCGTAGCAGACTCCTGGCCGGTTGTACATCTTGTGGAACGCGAGCTGCTTGACGAGCTGTGCCCATGCGTCAGGAGAGGACTTGGCCTTCTTGATATATTCCTTGCCGTAGCCCTCATAATGCAACACCTGCGGAACAAAGAGAGGTGAGGCAGTGATGCCTATGCAAGACGGTAGCGACATACGTGCATGTCGTGCTTGCCGACAAGCTCGTCGAAGTGGGACTCCGCTTGCTTAATGTACTGGTGCGTCTTGTCGTCGAGTGCGAACGTCAACTCGGTCGGGATCTCCAGGTTCTTAGCGGTGTCCACGGTGCGCTCGGGGCCCAAGTCGGCCTTGCCAGACGCGAGGGACGCGAGCATAAACTCGTTAAGCCGCAAGGTCGGTGTGCCGTCCATGCACGAGTGCTCGCCTAGGAAGCCGGACTTGCCGTTCTCGAAGACAATCACTGCATGATGGGAGTTGAGAGGCAGCAGGTAACGCGAGACTATGGGGCTCACATTGATGCTTGTCGTAGAACCGGTTTCGCCCGTCGCCCACCCAGCAGCCCCAGCCGGCGTCCTCGCGAGTGACGGGTGCAAAGTCGTCCAGGCAGACAATCAACATCGCCGATTCGATCGCTTCGAGAGACGCAGCGTTCTCCGGTGATGCGGCGAGCAGCGCATCGCGAGCCTGAATGTAGAGGTTAGATACCGCAACACTGCGCAGGTTTGCCCAGACGCACATCTGTCCACGTATCTCTGTTCTCGCTAGTGAGCGCCCCCACAGGAACAGCCTTCCACTGTCCCGCCATCGCGATCACCTTCTCGATCTGTGCCTCAAGCTCTGCTGCAGATAGCTCCCGGCCACTCTTGTCTGCCAGGGGAACCTTGAAGAACTTGTTCTTTCTGACGAACACAACGTGGTTGTGCGTCGTGGGATCGTACTTCCGCGCTTTGTCTGAGGGCTTCACTGGGTAACGACTCGAATGGAAACTAGAGGCATGTTTTGTTTATCAGAGGCACGCGAAAGATGGACTGTGAACATACAGCCATTCGTACGACTCCATAGCCAGAGGCATCCCCCGGATCTTCTCCGGCTCCAGCTGCTTGCTGCGAACACAGTATCGTCACTGAGTCGTCCTAGCACACAATCGCATAGTGCTTACCTCTCTACCAGATACCTGAACGGCAGCATCGCCTTGAGCAGCTGCGCCGCACGCTTCGCCTGACTCGGCCGCCGCCGGTCGTCCAGATGCACGTAGTAGTAGCTCACGTACACCACGACCGGGTCCCGGTAGCCCATGTATGCCGCATCGTTCCACCACTCTGACAGCCAGCTCTTGACGTTGGGGTCGCGCGCGCGCTCCTCGAGGCGCGCCTGCAGCACCTTTGACTGCTCCGAGTCGAGGAACGCCTTCGCCGCCGTGCGTGTCGCGGCAAATTGCGCGGGCGAGAGGTGCGGCTCCGCAGTCTCGAGGTACTTGGCGATCGTGGAGGAGAGCGGGGGCACGGGGAGCCGCGGCAGCGACGCCTCGTAGCGCAGCATAGGCCCGGCGGAGGGGTCTTCTGCGTACCCAGGAGGAGGCGCGTTTGAGCGTTTTGGAGCAGAAGACTTGAATGAGCGTGACTTCGACATGAGCACTCGAGATGGCTGTATATGACAGAGGTCAGCAGTCTCGCTTGGAAAAACTAGCACAAACAAAAATCAATTTGCCGTAGCTCCTCGACAAGGTATAATACGTTAAGGGGAGAGACATTGCAGAGAACTGCACCTTTGTCCACTGTAGCAGGAACGAGCGATTCATGAATGTATGAGTGAAGTAACCAGCAGCGAACGCAGCGGATAATAAGTGGTCTCAGTCGCAGTCTATTGCTGAACGCTCTGTAATACGGAAGGCCGAAGCCGGTCTCCCGTGTGAGAGCCGACATTTCCTTCTCTAAACTCCCATGACGGCGCAGCGATCAGTGAATCGCATAATAGCAGTGCCATTTGCGGTCAGGGATCAATAAAAAGTGTCTCCTCGTGGCTGGTCATCATAACCTCGTTACAGCAACACCAATATTGATAGACCTCCCCTCGCAAGGTATACACCTCGGCAAAGTGGAACAGAAGCTCGTGGCAGGAGCCGGCAGTGGGATAGACACGTCGACGAGCAGCCGATGGGCTACTGAGGATCGTGAGGTAAACGCTCGCTGTAAATCCCTCGTGCTCTCGCCGTCAGTGTCAGTAATGAACGATATATCCCTCCTCAGGAGGAATTTGTTGTATAACACATGTCTGACTCCATGACTCATGGTCAGATCAAGGAAGTAGAGAGCGACGATGTAGACCTCGACAATCAGACGAATATCGAGACATCGGCGTGAATCACATACTATATACGGCTGCCGTGAACAGCACTGAGATCTCTGAGGGATTAGGGCACGTCACCCCCGAGGTGACGAGCGCCGCTATGCTCCATGCCGCCTATCTGTACTTTTTGCGAGGGAGGTCTAGCAATATTGGTTTTGCTGTAAAGTCCTGGCACGGGTCTTATTCAGGTAAGAGACTGCGGTCGCGCCAATTGAAACGACTGATGCGTCGTACGTCGCAAGGACCTACAAGGCATTTCCTTGCGGTAATACAGCTCAACACGGAGTCTCTCAGAGACGAGATAAACGTAGACATTCCCGGCTCTTTTGTATGACCGGTTCCTGCGTAAAAGTGACGCGAAAGATGTGTAGAGAGTGCGGACATGCAGAGTTGCCCGAGATGAAGTAGTAGCGCATGGGGGCATCAAGATACCTTCGAGCTGTAGTGCGTAGAGATTTGGCAGTCAAAGAACCGCGCCTAGCACACTGCTTGAGCAGAACGAAGAAGAGAACGTGGCAAGAGGCCCGCAGCCTGTGGATCCACGTCATTAATGCCAGGCTCACCGCCTCCTCACTGACAAAGCTCGCTATGGTCGCCGGGCCCTGAGCAAGCGCCTCGTCCTCGACACCTGGCGCGACACTCTCCTCGACGAACTTGAGCTCCCGGACGACTGGATTAACACTAGGGGGGTTTTAGCGGGTATACGCTAGTTACGCGGAGTCCCACACTGTCCGGTCTATACCGGTCGTGCGTAATGACATTTCCTCCCGGACGAATGGGTGCAATCCCCATACGCTGGCTCGGCCTGCAGAGGCTAACCCATTGTTAGTTGTCTGCCCGCCTTATGCCCCTCCAAAAAAAACGAAGAAGAGAGAAAACATACCGATAAGAGATGATACCTCGCCGGGGACCCAGATGCGAGAGAGCACTTGCGTAACATCAACCAGGACGCGCCGTTATATAGCGATCGTCGGCTAGTAGTAGCGCTGAACTGGGTCGGGGATGGCAACACGCCGCTGCTGCACGTACGGCAGGTTGAATGTAGGAGCTTGAGTCTGAGGAAAGACAAGGTAGTCGGCCGGCATTATCGGTGCAGGGAACCCAGGTGGCGCGTGATTGCCGGACTGCTCATGATGCCCCGTGGGATGAACCCCGCACCCCGCAAGTCCCCGAGATTCCCCTAGCAGATTCATACCCATGCAAAGCTGGCCTTCCTGTAATCCCATCCAATTTTCCAACCTTCGCGACCAATCAAGCTCTAATGAGATGACGAAAAATAAATCCAATGAAATGAAAAACATATATGACAAGAGTGGGATTTGAACCCACGCCCTTTCGGACTGGATTATTTAAGTTCATCATGTGATAAACCCTCCTGATTCCAGCGCCTTAGACCGCTCGGCCATCTTGCCTCATAATCGGTGTATGTATGCCTGTCCTCGTGAACGGAACTTACGACACGTGACACTTTAAGGCACTTCTCACTTTGTTCGACGCGTCCCGAGACAAGCTCAGCTCCTCCACTGATCTCGGCCTCATTGTGCACACGTCGTATACTACAACTGATTCTTGTCGCAGGCCATGCTACACTCGCCATCCAAACGGCGATACTCCACAGAGGAGAAGAAGCAGTTGCTAGCTAACCTGGACCTAGAAGGTAAGCCGCATACCGTATACTGCCCTAATACGCTTCATAATCCCTGCAGTCGAGCACCGAACGCGCCAAATCGAGGAATGGCTTGCCGATACACTCGAGAACTTCCGGAGACACCAAGAAGGCCTCATTTTGCGCATGCCACGTCTCGTGCGTGAGATCACGCTGAGGGACTTTGCGAAGTACAATGGTAACGTACAAGAGTGCGTGAAAGGCCTTAAGCGTGAGGTCCTCGGCACGGAAGACAATGCCATCGACAAGGGGACGAGGAAGCGGAAATGGGTCGCCTCTCAGGACGCGTTTGAGAAAACAGAGGGCGGTGCGGTGGCAGGACCGAGTACATTGCGCGACGCAGAGTCTTCGAGAGGCGTGAAGAGTGGTTTGTACATGTTCATTCTTGATGATACCCCTCTCACATTGAACGCAGCCCGGACAATGATTGCTACGCCAAAGAAGAGACCCGGGCCTTCGAACGGCCAGGGTGCAGCACAAAGACCACGGTTCGCAATACCTAGGACACCTGGCACGGTAAGGCGGGCGTTCGTCCTACCTCGACCCTCTCCTCATGACTCGGATCTCCACAGATACGCACAATGCAGCGCATACCGTCAACAGGCATGATGTCACCCAGCCCGCACAAAGCAGCGATGAAGACCCCACTCTTCCCTCGGCCGCCCTCACGCCCGGCCTCTCCCAGCAAACTTGTGTCTCCGTCCAAACTCCCCCATGCTGCACATGCATCACGGCCCATCCGCCCGCCATCCTCGTCAATATTCAACCCATCGCTCCCTCCACAACCGCGCTGGCCCCGCAGGGACGAGAGCATGCTTAGCGTCAACGGCTCGCCCCTTGCGAACCCGTTCCAGATGGGGCTCAAGGGCTACCTGCGCACCGTCGCCGAAGATGGCGATGACTTCTCCGACAGTGACGGTAGCGGCTCGGAGCTGCCAATGCTCGGCAGCAAGTCTATAAGAAAGAAGAACAGCATCATCATTCACCCGTCTTCATCACATCCAGCGCCGTCATTAAACGGCCTACACTCACGGACAAATTCACAGTCCAGTACGCTGGGTCTCTCACATACGTCGCACGCCACACACTCTCGCTCGAATTCACACACAAGCACGAACGGGTTTATGCCAACCCGCAATACTCACCCGCCGAACGGCGCCACAGCGCCCAACACGACGCCGAAGAACCCTTTGCTGACACTGTCTGCGCTCGTGTCCGTGCCCACAAAGGATGGCCACGTCCTCGAGTTTGATCCTTTGCGGACATCTCCTGAGGAGCTGGACGCCCTAGATGGCATCACGGACAGCGCGAAGAAGCAGGCCAAGGAGGATATGTCGCGCCTAATACAGGCCGCAGTGGAGCGATGGAAGATCAGCTGAATGGACGTCGCTCGTGCTTTCTGTTCTGCCCCACTCTCTGCCTACTATGGTCCCCTGCACATCGTAGCATATGTCTCACTCGCTTTCCGCACCCGCTTTGACTGTGGCATTGTATCTCTGTGCATTATATTGTAGCATCATAGACCAGGACGTTCAAGTCTCATCTGCATTAGTGACGACCAAATCAATCTCCAAGCATCTCAATGCGTGCTACCCTGCAGATATTGTCCCCTCGATCGCGGATCTTGACAAGCCAGGAAGACCCAGTGTGGAGTCTGAGAAGCGGGGTAAGGCCAGCTCACGGATATCGAGTATAGTACACACCTCTCAGCCTGTTGCCAAAGCTCGAATAGTTGACGAACGGGGATCGCACCTACCGCATGACCTGTTCCTCGCGCAAGCGAGTAGTGGCCAGTTGTGACATACCCGATGATCGATTTTGGAGCGGGCAGCGACGTCGAGGACTGAGGACAGCAGTCGAATCAATGAACACACAAGCGAAGCAGGGTGACGGACCTGAGTGTCATCTTCCCCTTCGTCCAACAAGGAAGTGGCACCTTGCTGCCTCCTGGCTTCGGCATCGTGCCACTTCTTTGCCTCCGCGTCGTCGAGGGCGTAGATCATGGCCAGATCCTCCGGGTTCCCTCGCCCACAGAGAATGACTCTGACAGTGATGAGTGCGCTCTGCCACAACTCGTCTGTCCGCGTCCCGGTCTTCAATGGGTCTAGTCCGCGTTTGACGCGCGCCTGATTGATGAAATCCAGCAGTCCCGCACCGGGATTAAACATCGACGACAAGTTCTGCAACATCGCGGGCACACCCGCGCCCCGCAGGAGCCACGGCCGGACCTTTTTCTCCGCAGCTTGCTCGGTGGGTGGAACAGGTGTCTCCCTTTGTGCGCTGATGAAGTCCGTCTCTGGTGAGGGTGGCTCCTCGAGGCCTAGGACTACTTCCCAGTCGGCTTTCCAAGGACTGCGCGTGTCTAGCTTCTCGTAATTCACGCGTTTTGCGGGCGGCTTACGCTCCCAGGCACCTTCTTCCATCTCTTCCCGCACGTTTGCGTATTCATTATACGCGTCGGTACATGGATAGTCACGAGGAAAGTTTGCACAGCCACCCTCGAAGGACTGCGTATGACGCTCACGCTGGCCACCAACACGAGTACCTGTATGCGTCAAAGAGGACAAGAAGGTCATCGCCCAGCCAGCCGGGATGACGAGAGTCCACCCGTGCAGGGACGGAGAGCCGCTAGTGTGAGTAGATGAGGACACTATCGATGAGGAAGCGCTCTCAATTGAGCGCTGGATCAAGAGAACGGGGATTGTGTTGTCTTTAGCAGTCGGCTGCAGCTTCGTACCAGGCACCAGGTTCTACTCGTCACGCACTCAAAAACAGGTGACTCAGCAAACTTAATGAACGTATACACACTTGAGATCTGCGTTGGTCTATGTCCTTCTTCTTGTAGACAGGCTTGTGCAGCTTGTTCCGAACGCTGTCCTCCCATATCTCACTCTGAGCAAGTGCAGCAGTTGGAAACACAGGTGTTGACGATATGGATGGGCCCTCTGATTGTAAATCGACTTTGGTGTTCTTCGGAGGAAAACTGGAGCAAGGATATAATGCAGTGTGAGCGCAATTTTACGGGAATGAAATGGTGACATACTCCAAACGGGGATCCTGTACGGTGAATCCAATCACCATTCCGCGAGGCAGCGATCCTGTAGTTTGGACCTGATCTAACGCTTGCCAGAACTACTCCGAAAGTGTGAGTGCTTGTCCGGCCTCAAATACTGAAAGCTGCATACCTTGTTGAAGTCGCCTCGCCACTTGTGCTGCACCGGTTTCAGAGCCCCCTTGATGACCTGGCTTGACTTGGGACCCATGATCTCGAACACGTTGACACCTCCGCGCAAATCGGCGATGTCAACCTTACACTCGGGACGCCCAGTAATTTTCCCCAGCGTGTCGAGAGCAAACGATGCGGCTGTACGCAGCGCTACATGCACTTCCGACGTTACAGCAGGGTGTACGCGGATCCACACTGTGCGGTTAGGAGGCCACTTCGAGTCCACATTCTGGTCGGATGCTTTTTTCTTGCCCTTGCGCTTCCGTTTGCTCGTCGCTTCTTCGGATGCAGGCTGTGCCGCGTCGGATGGCTTTTGGAAGAGCGATCCAACCGGGTCTTCGTTGAAAGGACACGTCGGTCTCCAAAGAACTGTGGCCGGTGCAATCAGATTGAAGGGATAGGTTCCATATCTGTAAATGTGGGTATCGCATGCCCGGGCTCCAGACAAGGATCTGATTGGCATGATTAGGGCAACGTTATCTGAAACTAGGAGTGACAACACCTCTTCGCCCCAACACTTGGGCCCTGGCAATCACAGCAGCTGTCTAAGACTGCTCGAATAATATCTTCTGGGCCCTTCAGTTCAATCAGTGCAAAGTAAGATGCATCATGCAATATAGACCCGTGAACTGAGGCACGATGTGACGGTCGGAATGACTTCTCGGTAGGTTCAATAGCCTGTACTCACTGCGGGTCAGAATATCTATTCGGCCAGATTTAGGTGCATTCTCACCAATCGATAGCCCCATATACTTTCCATTTTCATCCGTTTTGCATGCCATATATGCGTCTCCAACCATGTCTTGTCGCCTAGATCGAATATTTGTCCAAGCCAGGTCATGATTATGACAAACTGGAAGCTCACGTTGGCGTTTCAACAGTTGTTCAGTGCGCTTGATGCGCTTTCCCTTTCCTTGCTGTGGCTTTTTATGCTTCTTATGGACAGAGTCCATCTGCCGCCATATACTCAGTACGTAGATAGCACGCATATTGACAAGTCATTACTTCAGCGCGAGCCTTGTCTCGTAGTCGTAAAGGCACGCGACGAACATCGTGGCTAGCAGCTCTGCGGCGCAGGTGTCGGGGGAGTTGTTGCCAAGCCCTTTGAGTCGAATTTGATCTGAACGAGACTATGAGTACAAGTGGTATTAAATTGAGACATGTGGCACGGACCGTGCACTCTGCATTGCGTCATGCATTGCCTTCATCTCAAAAGCGCGAGCCTAACAGAGACAGTACTTCAGAACACATAAAGCAAGTATGCTTAGTTTAACAAACCTCCGCGAATCGCTCTACGTCAAGTGAGCCTGGAAGACCTTGCATGCCTGTGCATTACCGTTGGCGACCCACTTATTGATAGCATAGGAACGGTGGCTACTCACTGTCGAAGCGTACCGATTTCGATGGGCCAGCCACTGGGTTGCTTCCGCTCGTTGAACTAGACGCAGTCGGTTGTACGGCGATCGTGCGCGCGATGGCGGTCTTTTGCTTCTTCCTCTCTCGCGCGGTAGGCTCGTCGCCAGCATCGCTATTATCCTTACGTTTGGGCGGCATAGTCCTCAGTCTTCAGCAGCCGTCAAGACAAGAATCCGAAGTGATCAATGAACAGAACAAGACCAGACTCGGAGGACACGCGCGACGCGACTGCCAAAACGGGACGACGCGTTTCGGGAGCACACGGCCCACACAACGTTCTGCACAACCATGGCCTCCCTCCTTCGCCTCGGCCTCACTACCGCGCGTCCCGCCGCCGCCTGCGTCGCCCGACGTTCGCTGGCGACCACTCCTATCGCCCGCGAGGCCGCCCCCACCCCGAACCTCGGAACCGTACCTCCTCCCAAGAAACCCATCGGTGCTTTCCGTGGCGGGTGCGTGGGCAGCAGCGCAGCTTGACTCGACCGTTCCGATGCTTACAGATGCCCGCGGCTGCGGCAGTGTTGTGGGTTTCCTCTTTGGCTTCTCGCTTGCGTCGTCACTGGCTGCATACCACCTGCTAGAGGAGTATAAGCTCGCGTCTGCTGCGCTGCAGGCCAGCGTCGAGGAACTGCAGATTAGCACCGAAAAGGTCATAATCTGATTCTGTTCACTATGGGTTGCATCGCTAAGAGGGGTTTTGCTCAGGTCTCCGCGCACGTCAGGCGAATAGAGGCTGTTGAGAAGGACCTGAAGGCGCTCAGCGAGACCGCGGCCTCGAAGGAGGACGTCTCGCGGGTACGAGCTGAGATGAAGAGACTTTATGACGGGCTACACATTGGTGCGTGGACTGGCATGGTGACCCTGCGCACCCGTTGTACTGACGAAATATTTCAATCAGAATTCCTCGACCTCAGGTCGCATGTCTGGGGAGTCCGTGCGTACCGCCGTGTTGTGTATAATGTCGTGTTCCTTACAGCGATCTTGCAGAACAAGACGTGCACTCGCTTTCAAAGAAGCAGTCAAGTTCTGTCAAGCTGGTTTAGATTGATACCTGACTCGATATTGCTCATATGTCGGTCTCGATGTCCCTGCGTCCATAATATTCTAGGAGAAACGGCTAACGATTGACGTCTCACGGAACAGCTCCACTGCCGTATCGTTCTGTTGCAGATGCTAAGAGACGGTAATACGCGGGCCACGTCATTGTATGGTAGAAGTCCATTCAAGCGAGCAGGATGCGCTTTTGGCGTAGTATGATCCGCGACAACATGAAGCTTGTGTTGAGTGATCTTTTCGTATTCTTCGGTGCTCAAAACGTGTGCAGTGTCCGCCTGCACATTATTGCTCTCCAAATCTGCAAAACTCTGGGGTTCTGTCAACAGCTCTCATGTACCACTATTGAACCGTTCCGGCTCCCATGCCTTCGTCCACGCAGATCGTAAACTGCTGCACTTTGTAGGCCTGGACATACGTGCTGCTGGTTGTGCCTTCAGGGCGCAGCCATGCTCGTGTGCACACCCAGACAGCCTCTACGTATGCTTTACTCTCGCAGTGTTGCCAGTGATGGGTGTTCACCCCTGTGTCTTGCGTGTATATCATACCTGCTTCTGACGGGACCAGTGTACTGGCTATAAGAACTGCGGTGGAGTTCCCCGTGCTACGAGGCTTTTGCCCTGACGGATGACCAAACCATGTTTGAGGTCCCATACGATTGACATGGTCCTGCATTGTCATTGTGTCGCGTAATCATTAGTGATGGATGGATCCCCCCATAGTAGGTTCGTTGGTTTTCCGATCGCAGATCGTCTTTTTATCATACTTTCAACACGGACTGTCCACTTCTAACCTGCACGCAATGCCTCCACCTGGCAACCAACGGTATGCGGTATTTCAGTCACGCACCAGACGTCGCTGGGATCGGGTTCCTCGACTCATACACTAGTGGTAGCATCGCATTCGTCGCTGCTACTTGTGCCTTCATTCTCCCAAATTCCATCCTCAGTGACCTTCGACGTTGCATCTCCGTCAACTGCAGCTTCTTGGGTTGCAGCATCGTCCAGAGACGACTCTACACGCATTGACATCGCATCGCGATATGCGGAAGCCTGCTGACGGAGCAGATCCGCCATTTCTTGCTCAAGGCGGTTGAGCTCTTCTTGCATCCGCGCCTTCTCCGTGATGCCAGTCTGCGCGTCGTGGTCAACGTCCGCGGCGGTTCCAACGATGGCAGTGGTTCGCATTCGCGGCAGGCGTGAGGACGATGGAGTGAAGCGAAGAAGAGGATTGGACTTCTCATCAGTAAATTCTCCCTGACGCCAAGAGGGAGGTTGATCTTGATTATGACTTGAAGCGGTAGAACCTGCAGTGTAGATCTTCGCCATGTGGTTGGCCCATGCCGATTGGGAACGGCGACGGCGACAATAGCAGAAGTATAGAACGGCAACTGCGACGACGACCGCAAACCCACCGACAACACCGCCCACGATGGCTCCGATATGCGCCCTCGAACCGTGCGACGGTGTGGAGGAACCAGCAGAGACTTGGCCGGAATCCGCAATAGTAGATGAAGGGTAGTATGTGCCCGACGTAGCCGTTGTGGTCGTGCTGCTAGACTCGTCGCTTGACGTCGGCGTGAAGTCTACGCGACTGGTTGGGTTCCCACTAGAATGACTTTGGATTACCGCGGAGTTTATGCTGCTAGTAGGGGGCTCGCTCGTGGGTGCGGTGGTCTCAGTGGAAGTAACGACCTGACTCGCCGAACCTGTTGCAGCGGTACTGGTGCCAACACTAGTAATGCTGATACTTGTATTCGTATTGGAGGGCGTCTCGACATCCTCATACCTATCTAAGTATGAGGAGGAGCTTCTGATATGTGACGTCAAAACTTACATGTACATTGCGTAGTCAAATGCTATATAGCTCGGGTTCACATCGTACTGTGGAGTTATAACAAGCGTATGCTGGGTGTTCGGTAGTCCCATCTTGCTGTATACCGTGATATTGTACAATATATCAGGGCCCGTCCCTGGACTTGTATACGTTCCGTCCGCTTTGCCGTCCAACGCAAAACTGATATTGACGAAAGTAGTGACCCACTCCGAGATGTATCCTGGCATGGGGCAGAATACCCAGATTGCGGTGCCTTCATACTAGGATCAGTACTCAATGCCTGCGGTGACAAAACCTAAACACTGACCGGTAAAGGTGAGAGTAACGTCGTGCGGTTCCGGGTCGCCTGGATGTGCGGTAGCATCGTGCCACGATCGGTCGAAAACGAGCTCGGGGTTTGGCTGGACCATGCAGCCCGGGCAGGTGGGGCCATAGTTCCATACATTACCATAAACAGGTACCACTCCCGTCACTGAGTCCCCGTAGTGGTCGTCGATGGTCCGGATGGTTTGGGAGGCAAGGAATCGGGGCAGAAAAAGAAGGACAATGACTGGGATGAGGCGGGGTGAAAAACCCATCCCTGTGTAGTTCAGAGCAAATAATGAGAGGCTGAAAGGATTGCGTCCGTAGAACGTGGGGGAAGAAATCTGTCTATGAGGAGCGCGCCGTGGCTCTCTTGCTAACTGCCATTTCATTTGTTCCTACAACTGACTGAGGAACACATCCTGATAGAAGGGGAGCTTCCGGACCTCATTATCGCTTGAGAATAAGTTAGAACTGCGATGCAATCAATGTTGAAGACTGACATGTCAACTATGATTGATGACGCAAAAGATACGGGATGTTTCCAGACCCGAAGAGCGACGAGGGAAAATATCGACCGTGTTTGTTGGATTATGGTAACTGCATTGACCAGGGTGTTTCACCTTCGCCGGACCTGATAGATAAAGAAGCTATTTGTATTGAGTAAGAACCTCCGGAGTCGCCATAGTGGGCTGATTTGACCTGTCTACTTGGTCAAGAACACGTCAAAATCATTCAGCCGAGTCAAGGAAGACGTGTTGGCTGTATAGCTTACTGAAATCTTTTCGATGTCTATGGCAGTTGCTTGAGATGATGGCGGTGCTGCGGGATTCCTCTTTGATTTCTCACTTGCATCGATAGATCTATGATGCAAAGCATTTGCTGGCACAAGCTTTCCCAATTCTGTCAGCGCAGCAGAATCGTTCAAATCAGCGAAATGGACTGCTCTTGTGGAACGGGATCATGCCTGATCTGGTATTCAGCTCAAGGACCTTCTGTATTCGGGTGTAGTGCCACTACCGTATGCTGTATAGACAAGTCAGCGACGCCAGTTGCACAACATGGATTCTATCTATGGAGGGGAATAAATAATCGCTACGACATCATTCTTGCCTTGGCTCGTATGCTGGTGGTGGCTCTGCGTTTGCTGCTGTTATCTCCAGCCTCATTCTCTCCAATTCCACCTGTAAAAGCTCTATCTGCCTCCTCAACGCTGCGTCGCCTTGCCCTGCCACCTCCTGAGGCGCAATGGCTTCTGAAGGTACATCGGCTCTCGCCACCGCCGCAGTGGGTTCTGGAGGAGCTGCACCCTGATGGAGCAGGTGCTCGAGGCGGGTCAGCTCTTCTTCCATCAGCGTGGCCTTTGTGATATCGGTCCGTGAGTCGTCGTGATCAGTTGCACCGCTTGTGCCCCTTCGTCGAGATGATTGTGCGACCGTGTCGCTGAGATCTACACTGGGCTCGACGCCGATAGAAGTCCCCGTTAGTGATAAGGGTGAGAGTGATAAGGTAGATCTAGAGCGCAGCAATGGCTTGGGCTCCTCGTCGCTGAATGACACACGACGTCCTGTCATGGGCTGATCTTGGTATGTGTCGAAAGAAGGTGTGATGGGTGGGGAGAGCTCCTCTATACGTCTCAGCTGGGTTTGCCGGAGAAGCCGACGACGAAGCCGGCGGCGGCGGCAGAAGTAGAATACAGCGGCAGCGATGATAATTAGAAGACCACCGACTGTAGCACCTATAATGATCCCAATGGACGGCTGAGGCGAAGGCGATGTCGACAAGGAGCCACCAGGAGTGACAGTAGAGCTGTGTGGGGTCTTTGAGGTTGCACTGCTGGTAACGCCCGAGCTCGCGGTAGATTTCACGCGGTCGGGAGAGCCAGAAGTAACCGTAGGGCTCCTACTTGTGCTAGTGAACACAGAGGTCTCAGTGGTAGTGACAGTATGACCCCTTGAGTCTGTTGTGATTACCCTACTAGAGACTGTAGAAGTAATCAGAAAGGGACTAGAAGTTGAGGCCGAAGACGAGCTGGTCGGGCTTTGACTTTCAGTTGTAGTTGGAGAGGTTTCAGGGGGAGAAGTTGTAGGGGGAGAAGGTGCAGGGGAAGAAGTTGTGGGGGGAGAGGGTGTATCGTCATCCTCGTACCTATGGAAGTATCAGCAGAGTATCAAGGCCCGATTATGGGTAAACCTCACGTGTACATTGCGTAGTCAAACGCTATATAGCTCGCGTTCACGTAGTACTGTGGAGTTATAACAAGCGTATGTTGGGTGTTCGGTAGTCCGGTTTTGCTGTATACCGTGACATTGTACAACATATCAGGGCCCGTTCCTGGACTTGTAAATGTTCCGTCTACTTGACCATCCAACGCAAAGCTGATATTGACGAAGGTAGTGATCCACTCGATATATCCTGGCAGGGGGCAAAATACCCAGATTGCGGTGCCTTCACGCTAGGATCAGTACTCAATCTCTGCGGTAACAAAAACCAAGTACTGACCGGTAAAGGTGAGGGTGACAGTCTGCGGTTCTGATTGGCCTGGATGTGCGGTAGCATCGTGCCACGATTGGTCGAAAACGAGCTCGGGGTTTGGCTGGACCCTGCAGCCTGGGCAGCTGGGGCCATAGTTCCATGAACTAGCATAGATAGGTACAACCCCCGTCACTGAGTCCCCATAATGATCATCGATGGTACGGTTGGTTTGGGTGGCGAGGTTGCGTCGGGATAGAAGGAGAGGAAGCAGCGCGCACAAGAGAAGACGAGGTGAGAACCCCATTCTTATTCAGCGCGTTAAAAAATGAACGGGGAGTTTATGAACAGGATCATGAAAGAGTGCTGGAGGGAAAGGATTGCGTCTCGCGAGCATGGGAAGGCCCTGGAGGGAGAGGAGGAAGAGCCTACTCGGTGAGCGACGAACCAAGGCATCCTGCTGCCTGCAACGGAAGCGTGTGTGAGATCAGGCGGTCGAGATGGCTATGCATATGTTTAACAGTCACCTCGGTGTTCTGTCAATTTGATGTTCCATTCATACCAGAGACCTACCATCTTAATCTGATAGATGCGTCCTAAGAAGGATTCAAAGGACATCCTTCTTGAGTGGATTTAAAAGTGGAGTTGAAAAATGAAACAAAGGGACATCCTTGGACCTTACGAGCGAAGGACAAGAGTAGTCAAGCGTGACCGAGTTCGTATCATGACATTCGCGGTGGAGGGTGTATGGTTAGAAGCGTTTGGTCTGCATTCGGTATCTATGTTTCACCTCAAGTACTTAAGTAATGCGATCAAGATCTGTTCCTCGATCAGAGACCGCCACTTGCCTTCTAAGATGAGATCGGACTTGTGTAACTAAGCGACTCATTTTAAATCATCGACGGATATCCATGATGTCAACACTTAGATGTCGATGAACCCTAGTTGCAGGGACCAGACCGATCAGAAATCGCGACATTGCAGTTGCAAGGCTATCTCACCTTTAAACTGCTCAATCCGTGCGCTCGCATCCCCACGTCGCGCTACAGAAGCCAGTTGGAGTTCGCAGGGACGGGCAATGATTAATGAAGAGCGATAGAGCAAATTGCTGTGAAGCTGGAGGATCACCGAAGGACAGTGATAATTTGGGCTAGACCAATACCATCGTAAGCATGTCGACAACGTGGTGCCAAGGCATATATGGAGACACTCAAGCTATCTGAGCGCAAGGAAAGGACTCGTATAACTCATGCTCGTGAGCCGGTCCGGTCGTATGAAACTTATAATTTATATTGATTCGGATGAAGGCTTGCCGCAAGCAGGCTGAGAAGTGTGAGCTCAATGTCTCTATCAAGCGCAGTTCCGTATGCTAATCCCTCTTCCGTCGTGATTTTGATAGACTTAGGAGAGCGCGACCCAATAGTATGCATCACGTCGATGGATAATTGCTGATCCGCGTCTGTAACGGTAAGGTCACGCAGCGTGTGGAAGCCGGTCAAGGGCCCTACATCTTGCCTCCATACATGGTCAGAGTGCTCCCTGCGACGTAGTTGTACCGGCTTGGATCCTTCTCTAGTAGACCTGGCCTCAAAGGTAAAAAGGACCGGATGCTTGCTTCTGGGAGGAAGCCGGATAGGACAAGATGTGGTGCTGCGTTTCCTTGGTAGCGAAGGAATTGTACACGACGAGCATACGACTTGAATCGCATTCATAGACTACACATATCATCTGCGTCAGAATCGTGTCAGCCAGATGGCTCATAACACAGTCTCAGTGGGAACATACCCAACAGCTTTCCTGCATAGAGGACGAGGAGACCATGCGGAAATATTCTCGAAGAACGCTGAGAGGGAGTAACAGCCTTGTCCACAGGGCATTCAATGCATACTCAGAGAATGCTCTACAAACCCGCGGGTGCCAGGTTTACCAGCTTCGGCTGTACATTTACTTTTGTAGGAGGATAGAGGTTCTCGAAGACTATCCTCGTGATCTAACCGTTCTGGAAGAGTTGGCACGCAGTCTGTGTGTCAGCCTACGATCGGCTCGCAGAGATTTGTGCCATATACTGCACGGTTTCAAGTAGTATCTAGAATCTCACCTTTGTAGAAGACTATACTTCTAATCCGGTACAGCATGAACACGACCGCATACGAACGCTGCTTCTAAGATTGGATTCTATGTTCAGACGGAATTCCAGCACGAAATCCAACCAATCTCCTTGCGGAATTCCGGACATTTTTGCCTAAATCAGGCCGCAGCCTGATTTCTTCCGGACATATCAGCCCGAAAATCGGAGATTTCTGCCGTACAAATCGACCAACTTTTGAGAAATTGGGATCAGGGTTCCCCCCCTATATTCGGGGGTCCTGTCAGCCCTTGGACAGTGTCCCAGCGCCTATCTGTATCGCAAGTGACCATTGCTATGACTTGTCCCTATTGTAACAGAGGCTCCCTAGACCGCCTCGGCACCGCCCCAAGCATCTCCGTGCTTGCTCCCAACCATTGGCAAAGTGCCGTGCTGTGACCGGCTCAAATACTCGAGCCCGCAGCTTCCCGAGTTCTCACTGTTGCTGTTTCGATCGGACCTACACTAGTATAAAGCGCGCCCGACGAGATCGACTGGCTTTCCGATGGACCTGCGGCCAGACAGCCCCCTCATGACCATGTCCAACTCGTTTCTACATGATGGCATGCTGCGGCTCTCGATACCAGGACCGAGCAGGGACCCGTCGTACTACATTGCGGATGGGAACACGGTGTTGTTGGTCGACAACACACTGTTCAGGGTGCGTGCTGGCTACTGCACCTGTGCCACGGGAGTGGGCTGACAGCAGCGTCGCCGTCCCGCGGTGTCCGCGTTGCAGGTCCATCGGTCGATCCTGATGAAGGACAAATCGGCATTCGAGACGATGTTCCAGCTGACCAACGAGGCGGATTCAGCGAGTTCTGACAGCGGGCTGGGCACGCCGGAGGGAGACGGGGACCACAATCCGATACGTCTGCAAGGCGACACGGCAGAGGACTTCAGGGCGTTACTGTGGGCGTTGTATGCTCTGTGGGTGCCCTCCTTACGCGCGCCGCGCGCTGCTGACGGCCTGCAGGCCCCACGAGCTCATGCTGGCGACATCGCCAGAAGCAAACTCGACCCAGCTGGTCGGCCTCGCGCGCATGTCGCACAAGTACCAGTTCCGGTCGATCGAGATGTGGGTGCTCACAGCCCTGCACGGATACTACTCGCGGCCTGGCGCGTTCGAAAACATACCCTGCACGGTCCTGCCCTCGCTCTCGCACTCGTCGCCCGCTGCGAATGACCCGCCGTCGCTCGTGCAGATCACCGAGCTCGCTGCGCTGTGCGAACGCCAAGACCTGCTGGACCTCGCCGTTGCGAGGTGGAAGCGGCAAATTGGCTTGGGCAAGGATCTCGCGCTTGCGATCGAGATCGGCGAGCGGCTGAGCCTGCGGCCCATCCTGGGCCTAGCGTACCATGCGATGATGCTCAAAGGCAAGGCACACTGGGAAGCCGAGTCACTATCGCGGGAACAGCGCGTGCGGCTGCTGAATGGGTATTACGCGCTCACGAAGATGTGGGAGGTTCTGCCCTCTCAGCCGCCGATACTGGCGCACAGCGGCCGTTGCCCGGGCAATCAGCGGTGCACCAAGGCGTTCGGGCAGCTGTGGAAGTACGTGGTGGACATGGCAGGCATGCACCCCGGCTTGCAGAAGGAGGACGTGCTGAATAAGTTCAACATGATGGAGGGCTACGTGAAGGCGTTGGTCGCAGAGCGCGAGGGGCAAGCGCCGGGCGAGCAGGACGGTATTCCCAACTGCCGAGAGAGTGCGGTGCTGGTTACGGCACACAAGGTACGGGAGTTTAGGGATACATTGACGGATTACTTCTCGGACGATTTCTGAGCCCGATGTGCTTGGAGCTGGCCTTGTTTTCGTTTGATTCTGGATTTTGGTGCTCATGCTATCCTCATAATGCTGCCGTGTTACTGCTGTCACTTATTGCTGTATCGTACAGTGTATTATATGCATTTCAACCTCGCTGAACGTTTAAGTTTTGGGTTCGACGCGGCTCATTGCTCGGATCAAAATCAAAACGCGATCGAGAGTGCGGGGGTCACGCGTTGTCACGCACGCGTGACCCGAGTTGAAGTTCGACTCGAGCCCGCTCAGCTGCTACGCCCTTCCTTGGCTTGGCCAACTGCTGCAACCGCAGTCCTCTGCTTTCCCCCTTCTCAAGTCCGCGCGACGACATAGGCGTTGCTTATCGACTCCTCTTTCTGGGACGCTCATTCGCAGTACTTCTGGGTTCAAATTTAGTGGTCTTCGCTGCCTGCGACCGACGTTCACGATCTCATTCGCCCACTCTAGCTGAGCCGACATTAAAACCTTTTCGTCCGGGCTCTTTGGGCTTGCTTTTATTCTGCTGCTACGTGTACATAACATCCAGGACTACGCGACCAACCTGCACATGCGGCATGCCCGCAGCACCGCTCCGCATCGACACCTCGCTGAATGCGCTAGCCGGCCCCTCGTCTGCGCGAGCTAAGTCTGGGTCCCTCACTCCAGCGTCCGCCTTTAGCTCGAGATCTAGGAGCGCTTCATCTGCGTCTGCGTCGTCTTCCGTGTCTCGGACGATCCACCCCCAGCCTTCCGCACCCAGCAGCACGCGCTCGGCTGCCGATTCACAGACACCGAATGACTCGCCGTCAGACGAGAATGCGCCACGGTCACAGTTCGTGCTCGCGATGCACGACTTCGAGCCGCAAGCGCAGAACGTGGCATGCCTGCCGTTCAACGCGGGTCAGATCATCACGGTGCTGAACCGAGATCCGAGCGGGTGGTGGGACGGCGAGCTGGACGGGCGGCGCGGGTGGTTCCCGAGCAACTACGTGACAGCTGATGCGGGCATGTTGACGGAGGAGGACCTACCTCGGCTCACGGTGAGCATCTGCATTCGGCGCGGGCATACCGTTCTTCTTTATTGATACTGCACAGCGCGCGTGCCGCGGACACGCACATTCGATGTCGTCCGCATCCGCCGCCTCATGGGCGACGCCTGCCGGCTCGCCTACGACGCGGTCTCGCTCGTTTTCTCGAACCGATCACCGACCATTACCCGCGGACAGCGACGGCACGGCCGTGGATCCATACTGCCCACCTCTGATGATCCCCCTCCTTCATGGCCTTTCGCTTCTGCAAAATGCCGCCAAGCTGAACCGAATAACGCATTTCCAACCCTCGACTGCGTACATCATTTCGTGTGTGCGTGCTATTCTGGCCGACGTCGGATGTCTACAGCGCGAGGCACCGAACCTCAAGCGACACGGCATTCTTGGCCAGGAACGCAAGCGCATATTGTCGGACCTCGCGTCGCTCGTGTCACAGGCGAAGAAAGCGTCAGCGCCCGAGATCATTGAGGACGATGAGCTTCGGGAGGTAGAGGTGGAGACCATGGTGCGACTGGGAGGACAACTATTCGCCCATGTCAGAGGTTTCCTGGCGCTCATCGTGCAGTGCGGAATCAACATACCTATACAAGGCGGGCAACCGCCGGGAACGACGGTCGGCAAACTGCATGGACGTTGGGGGAGCTCTGATGGGACGGCCGTTCAGTCGGATGATAGCAGCGGCGTGAGCGAGTTCGGCCAACGGTGGGGACCATCCGAGAAGATGGCGAAAATGACGAATGGCGTAGAGCGGCGGTCGTCTACACGAAAAGGGGACACGCATTCGGTCCTTAGCACCCCCTTACGCGCGAGGAGCATGGGTGATCTGAAGACGCCAAAGCAGGCGATCAGTGAGGTAGACATTGCCAAGATGCCTCTGGTAGCGCACCATAAGTCCCTCGCGGTGAAAGGTGCCGGCTATAGCACGTTCAGCCCGCGGACACGGAAACTGGTGGATGGTACGATCGCGAGGCACAAGGCTAGCCATCAGTCTGTTAGTAGCCAATCGTCCTCGTCATCCTTTTCGTCTGCCAATTCTATCACGACGCCTGCTACACCAGCATTTCCTTCCGGACCGTCGACAGCTACGGAGGTCGTGGAGGCCCTACGATACACGCACGACAATTACCTGTCGACCATTGCCGCTTTTATCGGACATGCACACTCGCATTCGCGCACGTCACATGCGTCCAGTACGGGACATATGTATGACCTCGTGCGGGAAGTCGTGGACATGGTCTGCAGGCTGCTCACGATCGTGGAGGCAGTGCTGAAGCACCCTGAGATCCCCGCACCACGCACCGAACGCCTCAAGGCAGCCAAAGAGGGTTTGTACAATGCGACAAGCAAGTTGGCAGACTCGGTTCGCCTGCTCACAATGCCGCCATCACCAGACGTCTCCGAGGAAGAAGAGAAGATCACTCTTCTGCGGTGCGCGACGAATGCCCTCAAAGCAGGATCTGACTGCGTGAGCGCGGTGAAGAAGTGTCTGCAGCGGCCCACAGGCGAGCGTCCGTTCGTCATCCAGCTCCCATCCCCGGGCGAGATTGGGCTACCGACGTCACCTGGAAAGTTTTCAAACCATGTCAATACTCACGTCCGCGCTGCAAGCAAATCCTCCAGCATGCACGCGTTGCGGGATCTCTATGCTTCGCAAGGTATGGATGCTGAGGAAGAGGACCTTACTATCCAAGCACAAACAGACTCTTCGGTCGACGTTACTGTGCGTGTGGACAGATCATCTGGAGAGCTTAAACCTAGTGCACAAGCCATCTTGCCAAATCCATGGCAGCCACCGGAGACGCCAACCGAGAGCATCGCGGAGAGTACACTGTCAAGTGCTTCGTTTGAAAGCAAAGCATTACCGCCGCTCCGCATCATCAACGAAGGGATTCCGTCAGACCTCCCCTCTCCTGTATCGCTCGCCCCGACAGACGACGACAGGACGACATGGGAGGGTAGCAGCCAGAAGCGCGCGCACTCACCGATGTCATTTGAGGAGAAGCTGGTTAACGGTGACCTCCCCCCTGTGCCTGAGGAAGTACACAGGACTATTCCGGTGGCTTGGACGCTGTCTCATGACCACGCAGCCGACGATGTCGCCTACAACAGCGACGGTCAGCTCGTCGGCGCAACGTTGTCGGCGCTGGTCGAACGAATGACACCACACGATTCCCTCGTGGAACCCGCGTTTGCTGCAGTGTTCTTCCTGACCTTCCGGCTATTCGTTTCGCCGGCGCAACTCGTCGACGCTATCATTGCGCGCTACAACCTGTCGCCTCCGCCGGATTTGTCAGAGGCAGACGTCTACATCTGGAAGCAGCGCAAGGGCCTACCTGTCCGACTGCGAGTGTCGAACTTCGTCAAGGCGTGGCTAGAGACCTATTGGCGCCCATCTCTCGACAACGTCGTGCTAGATGCGTTGCTCGACTTCACTCGCGATGCTCTGGCCACCATGTTCCCTAGTCCTTCCCAGCGGATCTTGGAGCTCATCAGCCAGTGGCGGTCGGCCAGCGAGTCTGGATTGAGTCTGAGGTCCGAGCGTGTACGGGATGCTGGCGTTCCTCTTAATCCCCCTGCTGTCTCACCATCGGAAGTTCCTCGGCCTGTTATGACGAAGAACCTGCTGAATGCCCTGAGAAGCAAGAACTTCGGCTCTGTCTCCGTCACGGACTTCGACAGTCTCGAGCTGGCGAGGCAGTTGACAACAATGGAGTGCCACTTGTACTGTGCGATTAAGGCCGAAGAGATTCTGGAGACAGGACAAGAGGGTGCGCTATCGCCTGTGAACGTGAAGGCAGTGTCCTCCTTGAGTACGGCCATCACCGGGTTCGTGGCGGAGAGTATCCTGAACGAGCTCGATACCAAGAAGAGGACAGCATTAGTCAAGTTCTTCATCAAAGTAGCAGACGTGAGCAAGACAAATTATCAAACAATGTTCAGAACTGACAGTTGGGATTTAAGCGCTGTGCGACACTGAATAATTTCAGCACTCCACGTTCAATCTTGGCTGCCCTGGATTCGTCGACCATTGCACGACTGCACCAGACGTGGGCGGTATGTTATACGCGATTTAGCACTTTTGTGCGTCGGCCTCACATGCGTGTACTTGCAGGGATTGCCGCAAAAGAATAAGCTACAGCTGGAGTCTCTGCGCAAGCTAGCGGACCATGCTCGTAATTATCATGAGTATCGTTCGCGGCTCCGGAATACCGCGCCGCCGGCTGTCCCATTCCTTGGTAAGCCAGGAAATACGACGCCTAGATGTATTTGTCTAATGGGCGCTTCATCAGGCCTTTACCTCACCGATGTCACTTTCTGTCGTGAGGGGAACCCGTCATACCGTGCATCGCCGAAGTCGCCCGACAAGAAACTGATCAACTTCAACAAGTATCACAAGCTAGCGCGCATCGTGCAAGGTGAGTGAAGTGGTGTTCGAGGCACTTGACATGAATTGACTCCGTGCAGATATGCAGCGCTTCCAAGTTCCTTACAACCTTAAAGCGATCCCAGAAGTTCAAGAATTCTTGAAGGATGCGCTGGAGAAGTCCAGACATCGCGGCGATCTACAGGACCTCTACCGTCGGAGTCTCCTGGTGGAGCCGAAACAACCGGCGGACGTGCCCCCCACCAGCGACGTACGACAACTGTTCAACTGGACAAACCGTTCACATTCACATGCATCCACGTCGACTTCCGCGTCATAATCTTTTTCTGTATGCGTTTTGCCTTGCTTTGCCTTCTATTGTCCTCGGACCTCGTTTTGTACACATTCTCTTGCAGGACTATCTGTCTCCATATGTTTTACATTGCATCTCATTCTTATCCTCACCATCATTTACCTGCTGTCTAGCTGTTTGTATACACCATACTGCATGTCTGGAGCATCCTAATGTACCGTCTACACCTTATTGTTATTCATCTTTCGCCTTCTCAATCTAGTATTCCTGTTGTGTCCCATCAGCGACCATGGCTGTATTTCGTGACGTAGAATCCAATGCCACTCTTGTCCCGCTTTCGCAGGTTCTCCTCTCGGTGGTTGAAGTGAAGCGGGGGATACGTCTCCTCGTGAGAATCTGGACCGAAGTCGAGTACAAACGGACGTGATTGTGTCGCTCCGAAAAGGCGAGAGCTCTCGAGGATGATGGAGTACACAGGTGAGGAGTCGTTTCCAGGGCCATGGACACTCCATCCACCCTTGGCATTGCGTACATCCCACAACGCCACAACGCTATGGCGCGCCGTCCCAGCAGCGATATGACTTGACGACCCGCCTCCACATGCGACGCAGTAATTCGGCTCGAACGTCCACGGGTCATACATCGCCAGCACAGGCGTGAGCGCCCCAGGCCCATTTGGATAGCTCGTCTTGCGAGCGTCTGCGCGCAGGTCGTGGACGCGGACAAGTCCGTCGTACCACCCAGATACGATTATCTGGTTGGAGGCGCCCCACGGGAAGGACGGCGGCGCACCGCAGACACCGTAGACAGCAGAGGGTTTCCGGGGCTCCTCAGTTGAGCCGGAGCTGAGGGTGACGGAAGGGATCTCAGACAGCCCGGACGGCTGGATGTCGTGTACGACGAGCGGGGATGACGATGATAGACCGAATGCGGCGTAACCTGGGGTTCCCTGCGCTGACACATAGGCAGCCCAACCTCGGGTCTTCAGGTCGACAAGCTGTGGAGGCTCGGATGGTGCAGAGAGGTCGAGGAAGGCTGCTGTGCCCCCTGCAGAAAGTGCGAGGAGGTACCTGTCCGCTGTGGATATGCTCTCGACGATGTCATCGCCGTAATACTGGCATCGATCGCGTGTAGCTAGGTCTAGGGAGACCCTCTCCTGCCCTGGTTCGCTGAACGGCAACTGGATGCATTCCAGAGCACCGTCGTGGTAGCCGATGTACAAGGTACGATCGAGACCACCATCAGGGACAGTGACCATGCTAGTGATATCCCGACGAGCCTGAAGTCGGTCGGTCGTAGTGAAAGAGCCCTCAAACTGGATACCTGGTGTATTACCAGGCTTCACAGCCGTGAAGGCATACGAATAGATCGTGTTGCCGGCGCCGACGAACAGTCTGGAGGCATTCGACGCTAACAGCGGCTGAAGTTTGCCTGACCATTTGCGCGATAGAGGCCGCGCAATACAGTCATGGTGGGCCCAATGGTGGTCCGTAAGAGTGTGGTACCTAGAAGCATATAGTCAAGATCTTGCCCGGATCAGAGGGTGCACCCCTTGGTGATATCTATGATGACAAAACGGACTGACCGGACTATTGAGTATGCGTCCCATACTGCGAATGACTTCTGCAGACTCCACGACAACGGCCAAGACGTGCAGCGCACATGAATAGACCACCCGTACTCCTTCACCTTGGATTTGCACAATCAGATACAGCTCGCGAAAGATGGTGCGACCCGACTCACCAAGGAATGTAGAACTTTGCTCGTCTGAGCTAGGGCGGCTATGTCCTGAGCAGACAGGTACTTCACAATTATGAGTATGATATCGCTGGGTATGTCGGCAAAGCGCATGATCATATCGAGTTTGTTTTCTATAGTCTGAGTTTACTGTTCGCCTGCTTCCTTGCGATCACTGAGTCATGAAGTGGTGTGAGAGGGTGAAGTGCTGGGTACAGCCCACTCTGGGATAAGCCAGTTGCTTATGAGGTCGTGCTCGCCGCTTATATTACGTAAGTATGTGCGCCGTTCATGACACGCGTGCTATAGCCGACCACGGAATGCTACACGGCCCAGACGCGTCCGCCCTCCTCTTCCACACACAGTCACGTCCCCAAAAGCCCACTCGGCCGTCCGTTGCAGAGGCAGGTCATGCGAAGAGATGTTCGGATCCTGCTCGTAGGTGACGGTGAGTAACCGCGTCTAGCATCCGTCTCGTGCTTCGCACGTCTCATCTCACGTCTCGCAGAGGCCGTCGGGAAGAGCACGATCGTCACTTCCTTGATCAAGGAGTCTTTCGTCGCCCATGTATGTCCGCGAGTGCTGGTGGATATGCGCAGTGACCAACCCGCGCTGAAATTAGGTCCAACACATCGTCCCTGAAGTCACCATACCGCCAGAGGTTACGCCCGAGAATGTTACTACATATATAGTCGATTCAGGCAGTGAGTGTACCTCCTTGGCAGCGTTAGCTGGTCCCGACCTCATTGCTCATCTCAGGTGGTCCGCAGGACCGGCCGCACCTCGAGTCCGAGATACGCAAGGCTCATGTCATTTGCGTTGTATATGCAATCGACAACCCCAACTCGTTCGATCGAATACCCACATATTGGCTGCCTTCCTTCCGGCAACTCGGCGTCAACGTATGGCATGTCTCTGGACTTTACTCGTAACTAGTCTAATTGACTTGCACAGGTCCCTGTAATTCTTGTCGGTAACAAGATAGACTTGCGTGGCGGCGAAGTTACCAATGAGGCCCTAGAGGAAGAAATTGTCCCCATTATGAATGAGTTCAAGGTTTGTCGCAATCATCTGGTTATCTCAAGGCATGCGACCAACGTTAACAGGACTGGCTTAGGAAGTCGAGACATGCGTAGAGTGTTCTGCGAAGTTGCCCTTGAACGTGTCGGAAGTATTCTATTTTGCGCAAAAAGCTGTCTTGCATCCCACCGCGCCATTATACGATTCAAGAGACCATGTTGGTACGCTGTCTGGGTCTGGCGGATTGCTGTTGAACGCATGTTTGTCAATAGGTGCTCAAGAAGGAGTGCGTGGCGGCCTTGAGGCGGATATTCAAGTTATGCGACGCAAACAAGGACGGCATTCTCGATGCTGCTGAGCTCAATGAATTTCAGGTGTGTTCATAAGCGTATACTGCCGCCGGGCGTGAAGCATTTGACACCAGCCGTCCGATAGCGGAAATGCTTCGATGCTCCACTACAGGCTCAGGAACTAGAGGGTATCAAGGAGATGGTCCGCGCGCATGCCGAAGGGGGCGTTCGAGACGGCGGTCTCACAGAAGCTGGATTTTTGTATCTCCACACAATCTTCATACAACGTGGTCGTCTGGAGACAACCTGGACTGTCCTTCGAAAGTTCGGCTATGCGGAGGACCTGCGCCTAACGGAGAGTTTTCTGTATCCGAAGTGAGTCTTGCTCTTTCGGTGCCTTTCATATGAACACCGACATGAGGTTCCAGGTTCGATGTTGCGTATGACTGCTCAGTCGAGTTGAGTCCCAAGGGCTACCAGTTCTTCACAGACATCTTCGAAACCTTTGACAAGGTCGGTCCGAGTCCCGAGCATTAAGCTGCCAGTAAATGTTTATGCATTATACAGGATCAAGATGGTGCTCTCAGAACTGAAGAGCTTGAAGACCTGTTCAGTACGTCACCAGGTAACCCATGGGCAAGCCAACGGTTTCCGGATACGACCGTCTCGAGCGATACTGGTGCCGTCACACTGCAAGGCTGGCTTGCGCAGTGGAGGTGGGTTTCCATTCTGCTCTTCGGCCCGGGTTTATTCACTCATATGATTCAGTATGACAACGCTCCTGGAATACAAGACGACACTTGCACATCTTGCATATTTAGGCTATCCGGAGGAGCCGCGTACGGGTGCGTTGCATATAACGCGGCCGCGCAAGATGGATCGTCGAAAGGGTAAGGTGACACGAAACGTGTTCCTTTGCTACGTTTGCGGCGCAGCGGGTTCAGGGAAAACGTCGCTATTGCGTGCGTTTGCGGACAAGGCTTTCAGCGAAGTATACGAGCCGACCAAGAAAATGAACTCTGTCGTCAACTCTGTAGATATCCAGGGCTCGGAGAAATACCTCGTTGTGAGTCAGATTCTGGCGAACATATTTGTGTCTTTTTTGACATCGGATGTGCAGCTTCAAGAGTTCGGATCAAAGTATGAGGCGGAAACATTGCGAAATCCCAAGAAGACAGAGCTGGCTGATGTTATCGTCAATGTCTACGACTCAAGTGACACGAATTCCTTCTCGTACATTAGCAATCTGAGGGTGAGTGGCGAGAAGCGTCCTTCCGAACCCCTTTCTCATGATGATTCAGCAACAATATAATCTGGACCACATACCCACTCTATTCGTCGCAACAAAATCGGACCTCGACCTCGCTCAACAGGTAAGGTGCTGGCCGCATTTTCCGCCATCACTAAATGATCACGTACAGAGACACGAGGTGCAACCCGACGTGTACTGCCGGAGACTGGGCCTGCAGGTTCCTGTCGCCGTCAGCGTGAAGACGGGCCAAACCGCAGACGTGTTTCACGCCATCTGCAGCATTGCGATGAACCCGTGCGTGCTATAGCCCCTTGCAGGTCGCCTCGTGTTGACTGAGCACCCCCATACAGGTCCTCTGCCATTCCAGGAGGATCCGATCGCGCAATGACGGCAGCGGCGCGATTCCGGATGTACGTCACAGTGTGCACGATAATAGGGGGGGCTGCGACGGGTGCTATATTTGTGTATCGGACATTTGTGCGACCTGGGGGCACGACGTTCAGCGGACTGGGGGCGCAGTGGGTCGGTTGGCTCCTGGGCAGGAGAGAGCTCTAGCTGTGCAGTACTACTTATCTATCGTATTCTATCATCCAGCTATTAGTGCAGTGAGATCGTCGATTGAGGCGAGGTTGGAGGTGGGAAGTAGGGATCCTCGCTGAGAACGTCGAAAGGGGAAGGAATGATGGATCCGGTTCTGTGGACGGACGCACGGCGGGGGCGTGGCGTCAGCAGGCGCATGTATAAGGGCGGCAAATGACATACACTTGAAAACAGCCTACAATAGCTTTCTGCCAATACATCTTGACTCTGAACAACGACCACCATCGATTACACGTCCTCAAGGCCTCAATCACGCTGTGTTTTTGAGTGCTTTACAAGCCACATCGCAAATCTATCCCAAGATCCATCCCCGCTACTAGTAATCTTGACTCACTTTCACGACTTCACGCAGCTTTCACAATGGATGAAGACATGGAGTTCGACACAGTGTCCTCGGGCTACGCTCAACAGGCAGATCTCCCTCAGCAATACCAAGCACACATGAACGGCGGGCACCCACAAGACGGGCGCAAAATGCTGTACGGTTCTCCCTCTTCTCTTTCTCATGCTGACTTTTGAGCATCTCACGAACTGCGTCCGCTCGCTTGCAGGGATCTTGTCTTTGTGCAGGACTGCACAGGTAGCCAGGGCAGCTACATTTCCTCGGCGACAAAGAACATCGAGGAGATCTGCAACCACATTTACGAATCCGGCAGGCTGCAGAGTCGCGAGGATCTGCGCATCGGTCTCGTTGCGTACCGCGACCATCCACCTCAGGACCACACGTATATCACGAAGAACTTCGGATTCTCGTCAGATATCTCGGAGGTGCACAAGCACCTGTCGAGCCTTTATGCGTCGGGTGGCGGCGATGGTCCGGAGGCGGTCACTGCAGCACTGGCAGAGGCCGTGGCCATGGACTGGCGGCAGACCGCTAGCAAGATGGTTGTGCTCATTGCCGATGCTCCGCCTCATGGCATAGGAGAATACGGGGACGGTGTGTTCTTTGTTTGATTTACCTCCTGATGTCTCATGGCAGGTGCAGGCTTCGATGAGGGCTCGCCTGACGGTAACGACCCATTACAGCTGGCAAGGCTGATGGCCAGCCGCGGTATCACCTTGGTAAGGTTGGATGCTCTTGAACCCGTGTGGCATCCCTCACTGTCAATAGTTCTTTGTTGCTTGCGAGCCGGCCTTGAGTGGCTACTCTGTATGTGCTCTCTCTCTTTGTCAATTAACCTTTCTAACGTCATGTGTAGTTCGCAACAGACTTCTTTCAGGCTATGACCAATATTACGTCCGGCCTAATGCTGCCCTTGACAACTGCGGATCTCCTGACGCACGCCATCGTCGGCAGCGTGCTCGAAAACCTCGACATGGAACGATTAGTCCGCGAGGTCGGCGCGGCTGTATCCCAACGGATTCTGGGCAACAACGAGAGCGTCGACGATGTTGCCCGGGAGCTCCATGAACGCCTGCTGCTCCGGAATGAAAGCACTAAGAAGGTCGTCATCGAGAGCATCTACCGCGAGTCCGAGGAGGCCAAGCACAATGTTAGCGTCTACATGCAGGCACCTAGCCTGAATGAAGCACGACCGCTCTTGAAGAGGGTGGGTTACGTTTCAACCGTGTTTTGTTCTTCTTTGACATCCTTCCAGGTTCCAGGAACAAGATTTACGGACAAATATCTACATGCGCGCATGACCTCTTCGAGGAGTTCCTACGCCTACTCTCCTTACCTCCCTGCACGGCCTGGTACGTCTAGTACGTCGTCAAGCAGCGTCAAGTCGTCGTCGCCGACGTTTTCGTCGGGCTCGCCACCGCGAAAGGTGGTGACGGACTTTGCGGCGTTTGGTGCGCCGAAGAATGCAAGTGTGTTCGGCACCGCGGTTGCGTCGACGCCGTTCTCGCTTGCGGGCGGGAAGGCGGCGTTCGGCGGCATTCGCGGGAATGGACGCGGGGCAGCATTCGATGACGACGATGACGAGGAGGAGGATGATGGGCGGCAACGCGTTGAGCTGCGTGAGGACTCGATCACGCTCGATCAGGTTCGTACCTGCCCTTTCTGTATAAGAGTCGATGCTGATGATGTTCTTCGTGACAGGCGCGGCGGATTGCTATGCAGAGCGCGTGGAGGAGTGCCCGGGTATAAAGCTTGAAGCGCCATATCCTTCGTCTATACGTCCCGGTGACAAACTCTTTCGATGGCTGGTTTTGGTTCCCGCTCGTAATACCATCGTTTGCTTCTCGTTCTGCAGCTTGGATTCCCAGTCTCATGATGACCCATAATCTGAGCTGTCGTTAGCAGAGCTTGTATGTATAAGTTTGCATTCGTGAATACCAACATGTACCAAATACAACCCGTGTAGATACACAGACAAGAATGTGCAATGCAATGAGGATACCCGCAGCGGTCATGATGGACTCTTCCGCCGTTTCTTCGATTTCTCCTTGCGTGGCTGGTCATCCTCCGAGGCTTTCTCCCTCTTGCGCTTCGTATGACGTGCTGCCTCTGTCGGCTGTTTGGAAGGTGGGTCCGAAGTGGCCTTCAGCGAGTCCTGACTTGTACCCCTTTCTTGAGACGTTTGTTGGGCGTCCTCCTCGAATTGTTGTTCCTGTGTCTTCTTGAGCTCCTTGAGCCTACGGTGTTCCTCCTTCCGAGCACGCCTTTCGGCTTTCCGCGCCCGCCGTTCTGCTTTCTGGATCCGCCTCTCCTCCTTCAGACGCCTCTTCTCTGTTTTCTCATCCTGCGCCTCGCTATCCCGCGCTGGTGTGACAGTCTCTGCATCGGCCCCGCAGCTGGCCCCTGCCTGCTTCTGTTCCCGTTCCCGTCGTTTCCTCTCTGCCTTGTCCTCTTTGGATTCCGTACCCACCGCTTCGAGCGGTACGGGAGAGGACTCGCGTTTTCGCTTCTTCTTCTCTTTCTTCTCCTTAGTCTCCCCCGCTGCCGCAGATGGTTCGGCATACTTGCTTCTAATTTCCGTGTCTACTTGCGTTTCTGCCTGTAGCGCGACGTCGTCGTCGAAGCCAATGATAGGACCGCGGAAGAAGCTGGCATAGAGCACTCGTCGTGCGGCCTCCTGTTTCGCAGCGGCCATCACGCTGAGGCGCGGGGTGCTGCTACCGCTCGCGGCGGAGCTTGGCGTGACTGTCCCCGACAGAGCAGAGGTGCCTGTCTTGGGCCGACGGTTTGAGATGATGCCTGTCTTTGTGCGCTGCAGCTCAGCGACTAGTTCTGGGGTATCTGCGCTGTCCTTTGCAACGTTCAGACAAAAGTAAGGGGATCGGCGAACGCACTCACGGAGTCGGAGTCGTCATTGTGCAGCTTTACCTGGATGTTGATAGCAGCGGCCTCAAACACACTGAGAGTTCGTGGTCAAAGCATGTATTTAGGAAATGGTGTATGAATACTCACTGGTCCCAGAAGGGAAAGGCCTCATCGCGGTCTTTGCCTACACCTGAGAGCGTCTTCTTTTGCGCAACGGTGACAGGCCGTGCTATTGCCCCATGCCGGAGGCCTGAACCCTTTCCCGACCATCCCTGCTTGACGAGGTACGCATGGCCGTCAATTGGCATAGCGGTCGACGGAATTCAGAGTGAAATGTCGAGAGGAACGCTGCCACAGCCAAAAATGATCTGGCACGAGCCCCGATCAGATCAAATCTCACGCAAACCAAGGTGTTGCCAAATTCACTCAAGCATTTTGCCTCCGTCCTGACCATGCCCTCTGCAGTCCCCAAGCCCACCCTCTTTCCTGCACAGACACCAGAGACTTTGCTGGCTTTCCAGTTCTCCTCCTGGTACCCTCGGTTCTCGAGTCTCAGCATCAAGTCCACTGTCATCCGCCCCCTCAGTCAGGAGTTCCGCGAATACCTCGACTCGGACGGCGTCTTCGTTCCGGAAGGCGCGGAAGGAGTGTCAGTCGTTCCCGGAATCTTGTACGTCCTTCAAATTGATCTGATGCTATGTACAGGCCAGCTGAAAGCACGCTTTCGGACGACGAAGACTCCGGCGCAGACTCCGATGAAGACGACCAGGACCGACGCCGCTATGCGTTCCCGGAACTAGATGCCAAGATCAGGGATTCTGTAGCAAAGTATGGTGCCGTCTTCCCCAAGCTAAACTTCTCGTCCCCTCGAGTAAGTCACCCGCTGTAGGACGACGCAATATCTCATGCTAGTTTAGGACGCTGCATGGATTTTACCGGCGTCTTCACCCCTCAAGTGCATGTCCCCAGCGGATGTGTATCTCTTACTCAAATCGTCAGACTTTGTTCAGCATGATCTTGACACAGAACGTGTGTTCGACAGCTGCGATCCTAAAGCCATACAGAGCCTTAGCCCAAGCTACGAACTGGAGCTTGTCCTGCGGAAATGGTACCCTGTGGATCGGAGCCGGGAGCTCAGATGTTTTGTCCGCCAGGAAGTGTTGATAGGTTAGTATATGCCCTCTCATAATTGCCGGTTGGGAGTAACAGAGGCGCCTTTTACAGGGATTTCGCACCGCGATCCCAACTATTATGACTTCTGGAACGAAGTCACGACACAAGACAAAGTGATTCAGGCAATGGCAGATTTCTGGGAGGCCAACATCAAAGGCAAATGGCAGGAGACAAATGGCGACTGTGAGCAAACGTCTTCAGCATTCTGGGCTAGTGCCTCGCGGACTGACCTCGTTGCCATTTCTCAGACACCTTCGACGTGCTGCTCACACGCGACCTTACACGAGGGCACATCGTCGATTTCAACCCGTACGCACCGCGCACGGATCCGCTCCTCTTCACATATGAGGAACTGCATGATTACCTGCTCTCGTGCGGGGCAGCCCCGACGCGGCTGCCTATACTGCGCGTTGTGGACTCGCCGAGCCACCCTGCCGCCACGCGCAATGCGCCTGCGCACCAGCATAACATGGTCCCCTTTGAGGCGCTGGCGATGAGTGACGGGCGGAGTGTGGATGAATTTGCAGGGGCGCTGCAGGAGGAGATCCGGAATCTAATGCTAGAGAGAGACAATGCCTGATTTCTGGGGCTGGCTAGGCAATAAGTCTGAAGTATCTGTATCACGCCATCTTTATGTAGCCATAGTATTTCATGAACGCACTACTGTTCCAAGGAGAGGCAACCACTTGACCCTGCCGGTCTGGCAAGGAGCCTGCCAGAGACATGTCACGATGGATAAGTTTGTGATAATAACGGGAAGTACGAGAACAATATTCAGTCGGGGACACAGACACCGGTTTGCAGGGGTATTAGGCGTCAACTTGCACGAGCGCCCATCCTTGTCATCGCTCCGCCACCACCTCGCTTCTTCCTGTGTATCTTTTTGGACCAGGGTGTCGAAAATCGGCGATTTGTCCAGAAATGATGGATTAGGGTTCCCAGAAACACAATTTCGCCCCCGACTTCGATTCTGACATCGTAATGTGGACTGGACACTCATACTTGTGCTATATAGCTTCGCAATATGAACTCTGTTCAAGCACCTTTGTCCCCTGGACCTGTGTGATTTTAGAGGTGGCTGCTTTCTTTGTCTTCTTGTGCACAGCACCAAGCATTTTCACTGCCGTGATATGAGATAGGCAGCTTGGGGTGCTCAGAAAAAGTGGCATTGTCGAGTTTGAGAATGCACTTGTCCGTAGTTATGTGATGTGAACTATATAGATGGCAAAAAAAATCTGATGAAATGTGAGCAAACAAGAGGCACTGTCTGTCGCGACTTAGGGTCAAGCGACAGGGGAAAACCTAAAGCTGGGGGCGTTCGACTTGTCTCACCGAAGCGATGGTGAGCGAGGCTCGAACCTAAGGCTAGGGACAAGATAATATATTAGTTAGGTAAGAAAAAAGGAATACAACTGAAGGCTTACTGACCTAGGGACAAGAGGTCGAAACTGAGGTCCCTAGGGCAGCAGAGGCCGGCTTATATACAGGGGAAGTTTAGGGGAGGCTGTGCGCACTGGTCCATGCACAGCTGGTCCGTGCACAGCATGCTGACGCGGCCCCGGGGGCCGGTGAGTCAGAGAGGCTGTGTCAGCGGAGCCCGAGCTGTGCCGCGCACTGCCGCCCCATCTAATCTAATCGTACAGTAGATAGCGATGTGTCCATATCAGGCATGTAGTACAGAGGTCGTGGGTTCGAGCCCGCGAAAAGGAAAAATTAAAAAACGGCTAGATGCCGTACCAACTCGTGACATTAACCCCCCCTCAACGGCGCATGACCTCATGCGAGGCGCCCTTGCCCATCTCCCACCCAGAGTGGCATCGTGCTTCAGTCAGCGGCGAAGGCATCGGCTGAAAGTTGAGACCACCAAATGTAGTAGCATTGAGGCGACGAGGGGCGTTCGGGTTCTTCCGGTGGAAGTCGGCTATGAGGGCCGGCGCATTGGCAACATTGCGCGCCGGCTCCCATGACGTATGCGAGTCGTCATAACCCTTCCACTTGACGAGGTACTGTAGTTGACGCCGGAAGATCCTTGAATCCTTGATCCGCTCAACCTCGTACTCCTCATCGCCCTCAACCTCGATTGCAGGCGGCTCCTCCGGCTCTCGGCCCGGGATCTCGCTATGCGTGTACTTGCTAAGCAAGGAGACATGGAACACCAGGTGCACCGGCACCGATTTCGGCAGGACTAATTCATAATCCAAGTCTCCGAGCTTTCGCCGCACGGCATATGGTCCGAGGCGTTTGGGACTGAGCTTCTTGCTCGGCTGTTTCAGCCTAAGGTTCCGGGCATCAAGCCAGACCTTGTCCCCCGGCGCAAAGACCGGTGCCTCCTGCACGTGCTTGTCGTAGTACACCTTCATGCGCTCGGCTGACAGCTCCAGTGCAGAGCGCGTATCGTCGCGAATCTCCTTCAAGATCTTGAGCCGATCCGCGGCTGCAGGCATTGCAGACATCGGATTGATCCGCACTTGGATCTCAGGATGGTACCCTTGGTGCAGGAAGAAAGGGGAGTGCCCGGTCGCGGAGTGAACTCAGTTGTTCAGCGCAAACTCCGCGAGCGGCAATTGCTTCGCCCAATCATCCTGCCTGTGGCTTGTGAAAGCACGCAGGTACTGCTCGATCTCCTGATTCCAGCGCTCAGTCTGGCCATCTGTCTGGGGGTGGAACACTGTGGACAGCGCCGGCTCGATCCCTAGTCCCTTGTACACTGCATGGAGGTACTTTGACACGAACTGGGGACCTCGGTCTGATATGACCTTAGCCGGGGCCCCATGATGCTTGAACACATCGCGGATGTACAGGTCTGCCGCACCTTCTGCTGTCAGGGTCTCATGACAGGCCGAGAAGTGGACCTGCTTGGTAAAGCGGTCGGCGGTGACCAGGATCGAGTCGAATCCATCAGACTTTGGCAAGCCAACGATCATATCGGTCGTGATGATCTGCCACGGGCGCTCGGGGATCTTGTTCGGCTTCAGCGGACCCTGGGGCTTGGCTGGGAATGTCTTGGTACGGTTGCACACGTCGCAGGTGCTTACATACTCATTGACGAATTTGGACATCCCAGGCCACCAGTAGTTCCGCGATACGAGCTCAAGGGTTTTGGCACGACTGCCGTGTCCGGCAATCGGCGAGTCGTGGTGGATTTTGACAATGTCCCACCGGAGCTCCGCGTTCTTTGGGACATAGACCATCCCGCGGAACAGCAGAAGCCCTTGCTCGGCATTCCACTCCTCAAAGCCTTTCTGCAGCCTAGGCGGTCCGAGGTTCTGCACCTTTTCAAGTGCCTTAGCCACAACCCGATCCTTATCCGAACACTCCCTGATGCGCTTCAGAAGCGACTGATCAGCCGTCACCGAGGCATGACTGCGTCTAGTGGAGGCGATGCGGAATTTCTCCGGTTTGAGAACCACCTGATCGGTGTTATCGTCCTCATCGCCGATCTGATGATCTGATCGGCGCGACAGGGCATCAGCCTTTCCATTTGACGTTCCAGCCTTATGCGTGATGCGGAAGTCGAAGCGAGCCAAGAACAGCGACCATCGCGCTTGACGACGTGTGAGGTGCTGGGACGTGCACCAGTATTCGAGGTTTTTGTGATCAGTGACGATCTCAAACTGATTGGGCAATCCCTCGAGATAGTGGCGCCAATCTTCCAGTGCTTCAATGATCGCAAGCATCTCCTTGTCGTAGATCTCGTAGTTACGCTGGGCAGGGTCCATAGCATGAGATCGGAAGGCGATAGGATGCCATTTGCCGTCGTCCTGCTTCTGCATCAATACGCCGCCAGTGGCGTAGCCTGAGGCATCAACCTCAATGCGCGTCTCTCGATTTGGGTCATACAGCGCCAAGACCGGAGTCGTGGCAAAGAGCCGCTTGAGCTCATCGAAGGCGTGCTGCTCTTCTTCGCCCCAATGCCATGGGTCGTTCCCTGTGAGTCGGTCGAGTGGTCGCGAGATCTTGGCAAAGTCCTTAATGAAGCGGCGGTAGAAATTGGAAAACCCCCGGAACCTCTGAACGTCTTTTTTGTTCCGGGGTACCGGCCACTCATTAATTCCTTTTAGCTTTGCGGGATCCATCGCTACCTCATCGCCACCGAACACATAGCCGATGTAGTCGACTTTGGGAACATCCCATTCACACTTTTCAGGCTTTAGGAACAGATCGTTGTCCTGCAGGCGGCGGAGGACCTCGTGCGTAACCTTCTCATGCTCCTCTTTGTTGGTAGAGAAGATGAGTATATCGTCTAGGTACACGAGGATCTTGCCGCCGACAATGAGATCGTGGAAGATCTTGTTCATCATCGCCTGGAAAGTCGCGGGGGAGTTGGTGAGGCCAAAGAACATCACCAGGGGTTCGTACAGACCCCGGTTAGTTACAAAGGCTGCCTTCCATTCATCACCGGCTTTGATCCGGACGTTGTTGTATCCCCATCGGACGTCGAACTTCGTGAACAGCATAGCGCCGCGGAGTTTGTCGACCATCTCGGCGATCAGCGGCAAGGGGTAACGATTTTTGACCGTGATCGCGTTCAACCGGCGGTAGTCCTGCACGGGTCGAAGCGTCCCTTCCTTTTTTTTGATGAAGAAGAAGGGGGACGAGATAGGTGACTTCGATTCCCATATGTAACCCTTTGCTAGCTGTTCCTTTAGGAACTTGTCAAGCTCCTCCTGCTCGTTGTTCGACAGGGGATAGACCTTTGAATGAAATGTCGAGTAGCCGGGCATGAGTTCGATTGCATGATCGTACGGCTTCCTTTCGGGTAGCCGTTCTGATGCTTCCTTCGAGAAGACTTTCAGAAACTCGTGGTACTGTTTAGGCACCGACTCCTCGGCGGTCTTAACGACTTTCTTCTTGATCTCCTCCTCAGCGAACAGCTGGGAGTACGTATGCCCGGCTGCGACGAACAGTTGAGGGGCGCCAGGAAGCGTAATACCTTGCTCCCAGGCCTCGATCAAGTCGGCTTCGTTCCACTCGACATCTACCGGATCTTCTTCGGGTTCTAAGTCCGGTAGTACCTTACTCCGGCAGGCACCTATGACCGGCCGTTTGGACTTCGGCGAACGCCTGCGCACCGTGGGCCTGACCCCCGTATCACGCGCAGTTGCTGCTTGCTCCATCCAACCAGTCCTTCTGGCGCTGCACGTTTCAGGGCATCGGGATAACTTTAGGGAGCCTTCCTCCCAGTTGATTTCGGGGTTGTGCTCGCGTAGCCAATCCAACCCAACGATCACATCCTCCGGACGGATGTCCGTGACCGTAAACACCGTCTTTTCGACGTGTTCTCCTATGTGCATCTGTAGTACTGCTACTTCTGAGATGCTTCCGTCCTTATTCAGGGTGCCATCGATATTATAGAGCGGAATGGGCTCCTTCAGCCTCCGCGTCTGCACCTTATTCTCTACGATAAATCGCTTGTTGATAAACTTCGTGGTGGCTCCGCTGTCCACCATAGCGATTACGTCTTTGTGCCGTCTTTTTCCTTGAAGTCGTACTGGAATGTGAAAGTGTTGGGACCCCTGGTCCACTTCATACACCATTGCAGTCGACAATACATCATACTTGTTACATGATACTCGCGGC